TGATTTCAGGATATATTCTATGTGCATTATTTCCCGTTTCATCCGGTTGCGATCGCGGAACACACGCATTTACCCCCTTTGTACATGCACCTATCCTACAGTATCTCCACTGGCATCTTTCACAGGCGGCAGGCCTATATTTCCCTTTCTTGTCGCTCTTTATGGTCTCTATGTTATATGGTTTCCGAAATGGCTTCATGCTGGACATAGAGCCCCAGATGATGTTTTTTTCTAATCAAACTCATTGTCCAATAAATAACGACGGTGTTTTGATACGACTCAGGTTGACATGGAGCCTCGACTTTCTTTGCATCGTAGAAATTCTACCGGCGAAGTATGAGCTGTGGAAGGTGCGCACCTTATTTCGTTGTCGTTTCTTTTGGGTCAGACTTGGATTTTGCCCGGAAATTCTGCCGGCGAAGTGCGAGCTTTGGAAGGTGATCACGTCATCTTTTTGGGTTGACATTTTCTACTGCGGTATTTGGATGTATATTGTTGAGGGCGGTGGCGCAATACGTGGGTTTTGTCGACACTACAAATTGCAATGGCATGGATCTGATATGACAGTATTTTTTTGTCAGTTACGACACCGAATTCTTCCCTCTCAACTCTTCAGTCCCGTTACGACCCCCCGGAAGTGCTAAATACAGGAGATGCCACATACAAGGGGCGGAAACTATCTCCCCGTGTGGTTATAAGGTGCGTTTGGTGCTTTGGGTGTCTACCCACGTACTGCTCTAACCATGATTCCCGCGGTCGATGTTCGCCTTGGTATGTTCGCCGCCTTACCTATTTTCTTTCTTGGCATCACCGCTCCCAAGCGGTTCATTAAGAACAGGTAGAACCTTACTCCTGGGCCAATGCCGCTCCCACTAATAGGGAACGTCTTATCTATCGACGCTAAAGAATCGTGGTTGACCTATACTCAGTGGCATGCTGCTTATGGTACTATCAGAGAACTCGTGAGTCTACCCAGGGTACTTTACGTCGATTACGGCGTTTTACATGGCTTTATATGGCTTTATATTCCAATATAAAGGAAAGAAGTTCTATATATGACGATGCATCGTCATATAAGCCTTTATCTGCGGCTCATCAGTTCACTGATGGCCCACATTGACAGGCAGTTTAGTGCATTTCTAGTGCAGACTATTCTATCAGAGGATCCGGTCCCCGCGCGGATTCTGGACCAGGAGGTGGTCGTGATCAATTCTCAGCATATTGCACCCCTTAATGGACAAGCGTTCTCGTATTTACTCCGATCGACCATACGTAGCCACAAGGAAGTCGTGTGTTCTTCTAATATTCTTACCATCGAATCATTCTGAAGTGCGGGCGGGTTTGAGTGGTCGATCAACTTTTCATTCACAGCTTATGGTGACGAATAGCATCTTTCCCGGCGACTTTTCCACCAAACTTTCCGTCCCGACTCTGCAGTAAAGTTTCGCCCCGTGCAGATGACACGGGCTCGTGAGATGATCGTCAATCTCATTGATGACCCTCGACATTGTCACGCCCACTTCGCAACGTGAGCCAACCGGTTTATTGATATTGAGCGGTTATTAATCCTATTCCAGGTTCTCGTGCTCTGTTGTGATGTCAGTTGTCTATGACTACCAACCCAAAGCTCGTGATGATCCCCTGGTTCGAACCGCGGAAAATGCAGTGGCTCTTGGGTTTCTACGATGACCCCAGAGAAAGCAATCTTGCTTAAAACTTCCCCTTCTGTGAGCTCAGCGTCCTCGGTTGAGAAAGAGTTAACATTCTGTACTCTCATGCAGTACTGAACTTACCTGACTGGTGCTGTGGATCCTCAATCATACGCAATGCTCGAGCTTCGAAGAATGGCATGACGGAGGTGCCGTTCCGATATGCGCAGCAGCATATGGTGGGCAATTTTTGTATGCGTTATTCAATTCGGTCCTAGACATTGATTACATGCTTGCCAAGGCCGAAAACTTGTCCCATGGCCAGTTTTCAATGATGACAGAAAATCTACGACGGGTGGAGAAGCAAGACGAGGCATCCAAACCAATGTTCGAGACTGCATTAAAGAGAGCAGTTACTGCTGCTATTTTAGGTTCGTGACCATTTACGAGGGATGGTAGGCTCTTGACAAATACACGCTATGTAGGTTCATATGAGACGGTCAGCAGGTGTCCCACATGCTACCTCGAGTGACGATATATATGATGGTTACTTCATCCCAAAAGGTCTGTCGTTTTTGTCCAATCAACAAACCATTTATAATATCGTACATCAGGAGCGACTGTGATATGCAACGCATGGTCAGGTATATTCTCCCCAGCTGTCGAGATGCTGACATTATCTTGCAGGGGCATTGCACGAGATGAAAAGCGGTACCCCGACCCGTCTCGTTTTATGCCAGAGAGATTCATGGACGTCAGCGGGGCATTGACGGATGATGACCCTGCGTAATACATTTTCGGCTTAGGACGGCGTGGATGTCCAGGTGGGTTGATGCTGCACGGCTTGTGATGAGTTAAGACATTAACATTTTTTCAATTAGGCCGGTATACTGCTGGTACCTCAGTGTGGTCTGCTATTGCGACCCTGTTGGCCACGGTGGACTTTCTCTTGCCAAAGATGACCAGGGCAGAGGGATTAACTTCACCCCTCAATTCACGACGGGACTTACTCAGTACTTGGTTTCCTAGTATCATTTCACTCTCTCATTACTTACAGTTTCTTCGCTTTAGCTCCGCTATGGTCTTTCCTTGCAGTATTTCACCACATACTCACATCCATTCAGGACTTATGATGACGAGTGACATTGAGCAGTAACTTGTGTGGGGAAGGATTTTGTATATAATTTGGCAGAGTCCTGTAATCAGTTACACGGGCAGAATGCAACTAAAGTCTCTATCTGACAGCACGCGTAGGACAGTTCATTGAAAGGTACATAGTTGGCTGATCCCGAGCCTAACATAGTTGCATATGTGAGTTTCGAGGGAATCGCTGGGATTCATGTTCCATACAGACCAGCCAGGGTTCATTATATTGCCACGCGCAGTCGCGAATCGCGACCTCGCTGGGTCCACTATCATCATTTGCTCTAAGGTAATTCATGCAGCTCACTGGATTGTACACATACATAGCTCATCTGGGTCACCCCCAGGTCAAACGTTGCCGTCCTGCGAGGTTAGTTTACGGAGGATCACGTGAAGATATCAGGCAACTCGTGGTACTTAGTCTCGTACGCACCAGGTATAGCACAGATGCAGAAAAGGGGGAAGTAGATGCATGCAAGGATACGTCTAGGTCATATCAGTCTAAATCAGTATAGAGCGACGTTGGCACAGAAGACGATGAAATGGGTGCACATACTGTGCCTCAACGTTGGCCGGAATAGCACGTAGTATACGATTATTACGATCTGCACAACAGAAGGTCAAACTACCGGTGGTACAGTAACATAAAAAAACAGAAGGTTGCGGACAGGACGTTTGCTGGTCTATACAATTCCCGACAACAATCTCGGACGACCACAACTGGACCAGGTCTTGTACACCCAACTTAGGCCCATGCCTCCAACTCCAGACTTAATGTAAGGCTGAGTGTGAGTTCGGTAGGGAATTGTGATCGAAACGAGATAGAAATGAGACGCGTTAATAGGTAACGCGAAGAGGGATTGGTCTAGGACTAGAGACGAGGACTTTCTAGAGGCTTTTCGGTCGTACTTAGAGCGGGGATCTCACTGTAAGATTCGCTGTAGGTATGAGTGTACATTGGTAGTATATACACGTTTTTTTTTTTTTTTTTTTTTCTTCGAATACTTGTTTAAGCCGGATCGAGCGTGAAAATACTTGACGGCGAAGTGAAAATACTTGACGGCGAGGTGAAAATACTTGGTGGCGAGGTGAAAATACTTGATGAAGGAACAGAGATGGTGTAATGTGAGCACAAGGTAAGGTACTGAATGGTAAGATGAAAAGAGATATATCCGCGTGACTCAGATGCGAAGAGTGTTACTCTTCGCATCAGTGACTCACGCGGATGACTTCGAACGTATGGTTCATGCGTCTTGTTTTTGAATCACGGTCGGTGCGTAAAGGACATGGCGTCCTTACATTAATACACATTCTCCATTCTACAAACATCCCCTCAAACAAGCACCACACTATCCAACACCGAAAATCCACTAGCGACCCCACCCTCATTACTGTCCGCCCCCTTTGTCCTCACAAGCCACCCCACTTCCCTCTCCACCACCTTCCCGTCTCCAAATAAGGCATATCCAAAGATCCCTAGCTCAGAAACGACTTCTGCGCGTACGACTGTCTTCTTTGTGTCCCCGTCATTTACACCTGCATTCGCGTCCCCCGCACCCGAACTCGAACTCAAAGGGATTGCGCGCATGAAATAGCCCCCTACCCCGCGCGGCGTCTCGATCATCTCCATCGCGATCCAGGCTTTGCGTTCTTCTGCTGGTAGGGCGTCTAAGAACGCGGGGATGGCTTCGCGGTATACGTTATTCCCACCTCCCTCGCGTTGGGGTTTGAGTACGAGCGAGGAAGCTTTGAGGCGGGCGAGATGTGTTCCGGGTGGTGTAATTCCTTGTCCTTGTCCTGGAGCTGGGAGATGGTCAAGCGCAGCAACTATATCAGCGTCCTCCGAGTCGAGCGCCCACATGCTCATCCAGGTTGCCCGGATATCTGTTGCGTGTGCTGAGAGGTCAGGAGCGTCTGTGCCCCATCTCGCGCCTTCGTTGCCGAGGAAACGTTCGAGTACCCCGGGGTGTGTGAGTGCTTCCTGGACTTTCTTCCCGCCTGCGAGGTGCAGGGGAAGGGAAGGACATTTTATGGCGCGACTGCGCTCAAGGAGAAAACGCGTGTCGTAGTAGGACGGTGTGGGGAAGTCGGAGGGGACTAAAGATGCGCGGAAATAGATTGTCGAGATTTCGTATGTCAATGAATGGGTTGGAAAGGGAAGGGTGACTGTGAGGGCATGCGTGGAGGGGTCGAGGGATGCAGAGATGGCGAGGTCGGCGAGTGTTTGACGGATGACGTGGATTTTGTATCTGTCCTGATAGGTTATTTGATGAATTATGGGAGGAGATGGGGATGTACTTTTCGAGTAACTCGTACTCTACCCATCGTTGGTCAAAGACATTGCGTTCGTTGGGTAGCACAACGAATAGGATGCGCGCACTGGATTGACGTGAATTAAGTATTACATACTTAAAATGAAGTTAAACTGACTCTGAGACGCCGTATGCTTCGTGAGCTTTGGCAAGACCTTCAGCCAGTCCAGAGTTGGCGCGATTCTCTGGGAAATTATCGGCCGTGAGATACGGTGATGCGGAAAAGTAGGAGGTAGACGTCAATATATGTCTACACCACGTACATCAATCTCTACGGGAAAAAAAAGAATCCAACAAGACGGACGCACCTATGCATAGCAGCCGCACGCTCACAATGCGAACCAGACGAAGCGACAGTATTAAACTCGACTTGCTTCAGCGCAAATCTATCTTCCGCAGCCTGTAAAAGATAATCGGATCTAAACAGGCCGAGGTGCAGCGGCTACTTGCAATCAGCGCCTCTCCACGCATAAGTAAAAAACAAGTCTCAGACCTACCTGTACAATACCGTGCTCCCGGATGCGTTTCCACCCATTCCACAGAATCCCAGTAAATTCATCCGCCCTCCCCGCGCCTTCCTCAGCGCCCATCACTGTATCTAAGAAGTGGGTATCCATCGCCACGCGTGCGTAGAGGACATTGTATACGTTCTGCAGTCCTCTTGCAGCTTGGAAGTGCGCACGGGGAAAGGGCGCGGGAAAGAGCGAGAGGGGGACGTGGATAGCGGAGGTTGGTATGCGTGGTTGGGTGTCGGAAGGTGGGAGGTATAGTAATCCGTGTGAGAATGCATATGTGATTGCGGTGAGTGCTAGAGCTTCTAGGTGCTCTGGGGTGAGCTGGGGAGGCCAGGCAGAGAAATCGAACGAGGTGGTCATTGATAAGTTGAAGGGGGCACGTACCGATGAGTTACAACTTTATAAGACGATGGCAATAGGTGTACGTACACCTCGATTTTATGCCTACCATGGCGCCATCCTTCCATCAAATAATCGAAGTTAATCTATCTGTGAAGTTTGCTCAGAGTGATGTGAACCTGCAATCAGTTCAGGAACTCGCATTGTCCCCCCCCCGTTTGGGAGCCGATCTACTTCGCAATGGTAACAGGGTACCGTATACTCCAGACCCCCAAAGAGTCGAGTTAGACACTCACTGAACAGCAGCTGCCGCTGAGTTGCATACCTTGGTCCTTGGATACCTGAAGACCAGCGTGAACGTAATACAAAGCAGTGGGCTGCACATCGCGCTTCTCGTTGTGCGTGATAAGCCTATAAGGAGCTAAGTCTAGGGTCACCGACTTTGCCGGATTACGTCCGTCCGTCGGATAACCTGAAAACCGTTCATAATAGCCACGTGGTTCGCGTGCGACACAAGAGTAAGCCGAATTTCTGCAGCGACTACCATCGTCGGCGACGTCCCCGCCGCCCCTTTGTCCGTCGTTGAGCACATTATGTTATCCGCTACTCGGTCGTCTGCTGGTCGTCTATCAGCTCGTCGCCTATCATCTCTACCTCGCTCATTGACCACAGACTCTACTACTGCTCAGACTATCCATCCCCCACCGCCTCCCCTCTCAAAGCCAGAGACAAGCAAGCCTCGTCAGTCGCGATTATACCCGCGCCCGCGCCCAGCTGTCCCGCATCAGCGACAAGCACTCCCAACCCTTCCTCCAAGTTTCGGGCGGAACCAGGTCCTGCCGGTTCCAGATTCCACTCGCGCCCTTCTAGAGGACATCGTAGGATCGTTTGAAGCGCCCATTCGATATGCATTTGCCTACGGATCTGGAGTTTTTGAACAGGCTGGGTATGAGAAGCAGAAGGGCAAGGAAGAAATGCCGATGCTAGACTTCATATTTGCGGTCACTCATTCGGACCACTGGCACTCGATCAACATGCAACAGCACCCCGGTCATTATCCCCTGCATGCACGCGTACTAGGATCATCATTCGTCTCCAAGATGCAAGATATGGGCCCTGGACTATGGTTCAATACGTTTGTGCCGATGAAGGGGGTCGTACGTCACTTTCGTTCGTACTGCTCCACTGTGCGCTTATTTCCACTGCGGTAGACTATCAAATACGGAGTAACGACCGTCGACACGCTATGCGCCGATCTGCTTAACTGGCGCACGCTTTATCTCGCGGGAAGGATGCACAAGCCTCTACGGATCATCAAAGATGATGCACGCGTGCGACTGACTCAGCAGGTCAACCTCACCTCTGCGCTTCGTACCGCCCTCCTCATGCTTCCCGAGTCCTTCACCCAACGCGAGCTATTTTCAGCCATCGCAGGAATCAGCTACTCTGGTGACCCTCGAATGGTGCTCCCAGCTGAGAATCGCGGAAAGGTGGAGAATATGGTTTCTCGTCAGGAGGACCAGTTTCGTGAGTTGTATTGGCGGCTCGCGCAGGGCCTTCCTGGAGTTCGGTGGGCGGCAGGTTCGAAGACGGTGGAGCAGGATACTAGTCCGCATGCGAGAGCGGCGCATCTTAAGAAATTGCCGGAAGAGCTCTTGAGGCATGTCCATGAACGTGTCGAGGGGCGCGGTCCGCCTAGAGAGGCGGATGAAAGCGCCTATTGGCTCCGTATCGCAGGCGACAAGGAGCTCCCAGGAATTCTTGACTCAGGTATGTTCTCATTTGTCCCTTAAGATTCTCATGCTGATGGTTTTGATTAGAAATAACCAAGATCGTGCGGTACCCAGCAACTGCCCAGTCACTAAAGGGCATAGTGAGCGCCGGCGTGGCTAAGAGTGTGCGATACTCTGCAGCCAAGGTCAGCAAGTGGTGGAAAGGAACCTCTTCCTCCAGTTCGTCATAGTGGATGCATATCCTCCAGCAAATAATAGTAAATACCACATCTCCCCCACTCTTTATCAGCGATATAGACCCATCCCTTCTTTCATCCGTCGAACCAATGTAGCTTTATAATATAGCTGAGTATTACAGGATTGTAATGTACTTTGCCTAGTAGGGCTCACGATCTTTGGGTTGGTATATAATTTAATTGTCGAGATCGATCGAATGTCGTTGCCTGCCTGGCGCTTATACTTGAAATTTGACGTGTACATAAAAATGAGCTTACTAACAGGAATCAGGATTATTCACTTCATCCAAAGTGAAGAGCGCAGCACAACAGCATCTTGAAGGGTGTAAGGATTGCATATCCTCTACAAACCGATCACGCTTCAAAGCGAAGACGACGTGACTCCGTTACTCTTCGCATCCGAGTTAACGTTAAATTTCCATTTTCATTTACTTTTACGATCTTACCTTGTGCTCACACTTCACCATTCGAAAACGAGTAGACTCTGCGAGCCCGCAGATGAAACCGAGCCTACATTATTCGACAATGTAGAGTTGGGATATGTGGACGGACTTTTGATCGATGATCTCTTGTACGGCCCAGCGCGCGGTGGTATTACCCATCGAACAATTTTGTTCAATGTTGCACTGGATGTACCTACGAGTAGTATGGGAAGGAACGAGACTTCAAAGGGCCAAACCCTGGGAGACAAGTTGCTCGCTAATACCGGTTTGGACGGACGGTCTCAGTGACTCAGGCAGTTCACAAACATCATCGATTTCGAAGGTGCACCGGTGCTGTTTCAAGCTGTCAAGTTAATAATTGACGATGGAGAGCTCAAGATGATCACTCATCAAGTTTTCATGTACATTATTTTTTGAGTCCGCCAATTGGGAGTTGAAGAGTGGGAAACGGGAAAATTCTTGACTCAGACATGACTTGGATCAAGGCGGCTAACTCGGAGTTCAAGTTGATTTCTGACCAATGGTGAGCAGCGCCTGTAACACCAAAACACAGTTGACTAGGACTGTCGGACATGTCGGCAGCGTACATATGTATTTTGCCCCCGCTGGCAGCCAGAGTCTTATTTTCAACCTCGAACAGAAGGAAAAGGCACCTGGCGCTTATAGCCGACGGCCGTGGTGGAGCATGCACGTTATTTTCTGCACATAGGTATTAGAACACACTTACTTCTGTTGCAGTTTTGCAGAATTGACCGAAGTTAAAAATTCTTGGGGGGGGCGCATGCTATAAAACCTTAAGAGTTCCACCGTTGACCACCGTGACAGTCTCGAGTCTCTCCAGACATTATTACACGAAGGAAGACAGCTCAAGAGCCTCTACATGCTCGGGTCCCACCAGGCACCAGCTGTCTGCATTTTACTTAGTGCATCTAATTGTAAGTGCACTAGACTTTACCTATCTGACACTTACAATGAGCCATGCCTATTTGAGGGCGAGGATCCTGACAGGCTTCCCCGACGCGAACGGCCAAGTATTAGTTTCCGGGGGGCAAGTCCTCACTCCGCCGTAAGTAACGAGATTTTGAAAGTTTATGGTTCGACAACTTGGGAGTCGAGTAGGTTCCGAATCATGAATCGGACCAGGGCTAGTCTACGCATTACTCGGTTGCTGAAATGCATAAATACCAGCTATGCCCAATACCCACGTATACAACAGTGCAGGAACCTGCTGCTAGCCTTCCATCCATAGTCATGTCAGATCGTCCGCTGCTTGTAGTAGGCAACTACAATCCCTACTACGGTGCCTCTGGCAGAAGCAGTAATGGTCCAACACTTCCTGACAAAAGTGATGAGCAGATTAGATCAATCGTGGAGAAGAGGCTTCTCCGTAAGTTGGACCTTCGAGTAGCCTTTCTAGTTCTGGTTTACATTATGAACTATGTGAGTGGGTACACCTGACGTTTCCGTCACCGCCTAAACTCTTTGCCTAGATGGACCGCACTAATGCAGCGTACGTGGCCCTTAGAAATCACTTGGAGCAGAGTGACTTATAGAACCGCCCACTCGCAAGTGCAGCGAGGCTGCGTGGTTTTGAGGAGGACCTCGGCATGACGGGGAGTCAGTTTAATACACTCATGAGCATCCTGTACGTGGGGTATTTTTTGACGCAAGTTCCCTCGTATGTACCAGCACGTTATCATTCTGCCGCATCTCCGAGGATTCAAAAGCAACATGTTCTTAGATCGCATGAAAAGGCCATCACTGTACCTCTCAAGTTGCATGGCAATATGGGGTGCTCTCACCGTGTTTATTGGTACGTACATCTTTCACTTAAGTAACGTTATCTGACGAGGGTCACGGAAGGTGTAACTCGAACGTTGGTATCTATCACTCTTGCCACTATCGAGTTAACGCTGCTTCAGGTATCATACTGTTCTTATCTTGCGCTTCTTCATTGGATTTGTAGAGGCGGCGTTCTATCCCGGAGCTGTATTCCTTCTTTCGCGATGGTATAGTTACCCCATCCCTCCGAACAGTATATATTGAAATTTCTCTAGGTACAAGCGCAACGAGCTAGGGTTACGCACAGCACTTCTTGCTTGCGGCAGCTCAGTCAGTAATGCTTTTAGTACCCTTATGGCGTCAGGAATCTTGGCAGGCCTAGATGGCACACTAGGCTTTACGGGTTGGAGGTCTGAGGCGAAATCCGCATGTTCCCAAAAGTAGAATTATTCTGACTTTGCTGCTGCAGATGGCTCTTCTTTGTGGAAGGCACTTTAACCATCGTGATCGCATCGTCTGCAATCTGGATTTTACCAGATTTTCCGTCAACGCCGAGCGTCTGGCTTTCGCCCGACGAACAAACCTTGGCCAAACAACGGATGGAGGAAGAAGTTGCGGCCGTAAATGAGACCATAGGCAAGCCCGCAGAGGGATTTTCTGGTCTTCGCTGAGGCTCTAATGGATTGGAGGGTATGGTGGCTTGGTGCTGCTCTTGCCTTGATGGTCGCTTCTTTATCATTCGGCAACTTTTTCCCCACACTATCAGCTACCATGGGTTACAACACCACTATTAGCCTCTTACTCTGCGCACCTCCGTGGATTTTGGGAACTGCAACTTCATTTATTGTGGCCAGGTCAGCATTTACTCAACAGGCTCGATGCGCGAATTGACAATAGAGCCAAGGCACTCCGACGCAACTGGTGATCGCTTCTGGCATATCACAGGCCCTCTACTTGTCGGTATCATTGGGTTTATGATTGCCATTTCTACTATGAATACGGCGATTCGATATTTGTCGTTGTACGAATCTTCTCTTCCTCGTTCTGCAGTTACAACGGGCTTACAAGCTCTGAAGATTCTTTATGACTCAGGCCCAAGTGGCCTTTGTTATCTCTTTGACCTGGGCCATGAATACCTTGTCCCAATCACAGTCGAAACGCGCTGCAGCCGTCGCACTAATAAACTCGATGGGATCAATTGGCAACATTGGTTCATCGTCAGTTCACAGCGACCTCATGCTTCATTCTACCACTGACGCCGTCACAGGTACTTCTGGCCGTCTAGTTGGGGGCCTTCATACGTGAACTCATATCTCATTTGCATCTTGACAAGCGTCATGTCTATTGCGATGTGCTGGGTATTTAGGGAACACCTTTCGCGGTGTAATGAAGCTGCTGCAGCCAAAGAGCGAGCTCTAGGGCTGCCTGAGGGATTTAGATATCTCCTGTAGCAATCGCTGTTCAACGAAGCAGTGTTCAGTCGGTGTTCGGTTGGGATTTGCCTATGATATGTAAAGGCGTAGTGGTGGGTCCCAATACATCATATATGTTACCGATATGCTTGCTTCATCTGAACGTTAAACCACCGTACAATCGTGCAGGACTTGGTCTCCGTGCGAATTCTAGATCAGGACACAGTCGTGATCAATTCTCGGCATGTTGCAGAAGCCTCACTGGACAGACGTTCTCGGATACTCTGATCGACCGTATTTAGCCACGTTCGAGTGTTCTTCGAATATTCTTACCGTTCAATCGTTCTGAAGTGCAGGCAGATTTGGCTGGTCGATCAGCTTTGCATCCTTAGGTTATGGTAATGAATGGTGTCTTTCCCGACGACTTTTCGATCAAACTTTCCGTCCTGCCACATCTTTGACCAGTGATATCCTGACGCATCTCATTTTCGGTGAGGGGCGCTTTGATCGTGATTACCATCCCTTGCAGTATTCCACCACATTCTTATGTCCATTCAGGCCTCTGACAGGCCTCAGGACTCCTGGATGTTTTCCAAACGAAAACGTAATATGTACATGGTCTGAAAACTAGCGTCTATTCTTCTCCTCCATGGTCTTACTTGGGGCTCACCGTCAATCAGTCAGACAGTAAACCCACCTGGTCTTCTGCGGGACTTTGAGTACTCATGGGTTTAGTTACATACGTACGAATATGATACATGCAACATGATGTATGTGCTAAATATTGGCACCTGCTTGCGCGAGATGCGTTATGGCCACCATGTGACATTGAACTCAGCCTGGTGATTTCACCGCTGCGGGCACGTCCGCTGCTCGAGTTGAATCACTAGCTATGTGAGATTCTCTGTAGCTTTATGATATAGCTGAGTATTACAGGGCTTATGCATACTTTTTACTTGCCTGACTGGCGCTTATCGATTCCAAAATACCAGATGATCAGATCTTCAACGACGTTCATGCGGGCCAAGTTGGTCGTCGATATCGCAAGGAGACAGTATTCACTCTTGTCCGAATTTTTCCCTACACACAAACCCGGGTAGCAATTATATCATTCATGACCTAAATTCAAGATAACTCACTGCTCAGTCAAGTAGCTTGGCTGACCAGTGTCTAGATGAAATTCTCTTCTCCCAGTTGACCATAACCGATATGAGGAACCGAGAAAAGATAATGGTCTTTGGCTTTGATTCTTGCTGGAGTGTTCGTCTTGGAACGGTTGTCAGAGTCGATACACTGCTCGAGTCTCACGACGAGCTTACGACGTTGGTCGAAAAAAAATCCGAGGCGGTTTGATGACAGCCAAAGATGGAAGGTGTTCAAGGAAGTCGTTCACACTCTTTTCTTTTTCAACCTCTGATATCGCGGCTGGACGGGTCGACATCAGCGCAGTACTGGTATAAAAAAACCCTTGAATCGGATTGACTCGCAGGGGTTGTAACGAGTACAATATTGCACTGCCTCCTCTATTGTCGTTGCTCGAAAATCGGGCCTCACAAACTTCATCAAGCTCGGATTCTGTATCTGTAATTTCAACCATGCCGCAGACACGCGCTCAAACTACAACATCCTCTCCTGTACATGTTTCTACTGCACCTACGACTAATTCTTCGCCGTCCCGTGCTTCGCCAAATACGCGTTCCAGGGGACCGGCATCGGGAGAAGCGATTACCGCGCAACCCCGCGTTCGTACACCGTTGACGATTCGTTTGCCTAGAGCAGCTCTTGTCGGGCATCCAGCTTTTTTAGCCACAAATAACGCTTCTGCAGCATCTGTTACTGCTATTGCTGCTGCGTCTGCTGCAGCTGCAGCTGCCGCCGCCGCTCCTATTCCTACCTCCTCTATACGCTCGTCATTATCTGCGCCTGCACCTTCGCCTGCACCACCGATACGAGCACCACCCCCGACGCCATCCAATGTATCCAAACCTGCGTCCACCTCCCCTGCACGGCCTATTCTACCTGCGCCTACGCCAGTTACATCTGCGCCAACGCCTACACCTGTATCATCCACGCGCGTAGCTGCTCCACCCATTTATACCTTTTCCTCCACCCCCTACCTCCTCCCAATCACGTCGATGATGCTACAACTGCACCCGTCGTCGCGCGTGTCCCGTCGACCACACTACGCCCTGCATCTTCATTCTCAAGCAATGCAGCAGCAGCGCCGTCACCTCTGTCTAGGCAGCCCGTTCCAAATCCGCTCTTGTCTCCCGCATTAACAAACGCCCCAGCTTCCACTTCACCGCGCCCTCCTACACCTCCCACGTCATCGGACGGTCCACTCCCCACATCTTCATTAGCTCCTCTACGTTCTGCTCGTCGCATGCAACCAATGGTTTCTGCGGCAAAGCAAGCTAGTCGAGAAGCAGCGCTTGCTGCCGGTCAGTCTCGACCTGCGCCTGCCTCTCCTCAGGCTCAATATCCCACTCCGTCTTCAGCAGGAGCATTGCCTTCGCCAGCTTCTAATGCAGATATTGAGTCTGACTATGCTGCCGACCCAATGGATGTGGATATGGAAATGGAAAGCATATCAACCATGAAGAATGGTCGAAATAACTCGGTAAGTTCTTCATCGTCGTTTTGGCTTGTTCGCTTGTTTATCTTGTGTACAGACAGCTCCAAAAACGTCAGAGAAGCATCGCGAAGCAAATAAAAAGTACAGACAACGGCTGAAGGAAAGAATAAAGAATGGCGAGATGTATGTCAGCATCAGTCTATTTTGATGATTTACTGATTGTCCTTAGCGATGAAATTGAGGCTGAAAGAATGAAAGAGAGAAAACGCACCAATGCCCGCAATTCTCGGTGAGTCGAACATGCCTGCATGTCCAGCTTCATCAATTCGATTATCTTGCTAGCATTCGAAGGAAACTGGCGATGAGTGAAGCAGCTAAAGACAGCACCTCCATGTCAAGTGTTGAACCAGGTCTCCATTACGGTCCTGGCACCGAATTGTTTCCTGTTCCGCCTGTCGACCCATCTCCATCCGCAGGCGATTTCCTCCTATGCATGCCCGAAACCAATCCACCCGCAGGGTCCTATTACTCCACCACCTTCCACGAAATCCTCACCAGAGCTAGCAACCTCACAAGCGGAAGCAGTGACGGCGCAAGCATCACCCACCCTCACTTCGAGCCCGACAGCGCCAGTCTATCAATGAGCACTCCCGCTCTCTTCCCAACTACCAAATCCCGAGATCTCCGCGACGCATGTACAATGACAGATTCCACCCCAGACTCTCCAAAAGAAAACGAAAGCTATGCATCCCTCGAACCCATAGCACCAGCTCTGGCCCGTCGTCCGCATAGACAGCTGACCCCCGAACGTCTGCGCCATCTCGAGACTCATCCGTTGGAGCTTATCGATAAGGCATTCCTCCTTATCGTCCCTGATCCGAGTAGCAGCCTTGGAAAGTTGGTGTTGTGTAAAGTGATTGAGCATAGGGTGTCGGCTGCTGGACATCGGTTTCTCGTGCAGTTTTGGGGGGATAAGAGGGCTAGTGAGATGGGGGTCGAGAGGATGATGGAGGTGCTTTGTGGGGGGTATGAGATCGATCCTCCGCCTGTTGGTGGTAATGGTGGTGATGGATCTCAGGGGGTGGGGTTGGCGGGGAGGGTGTTTGGTGCGCTGCGTTCGTTTACGGGGTTGTAGGGTGCTGGGAAGTTCGTTCAATTTTATCTTTTCGTGTGATTTATATTATGTCTTCTTGTCGTCCCCTAGACTTTGAGATGATATTGTGTTTATCTACCTTGCGCGCCGCACTTTTTCTTCGCCTTAGATATACTCCTGAAATATGTTATTCATCTTTGTTGTTTGTTAATTCTCTATCCTTTGTTATTCATGATGATGTGTCGTGAGTCCATGTAGATCAGTCAACGTTGTTCATGAATCGTCGTCGCTTTGTGGTGTACAAAATGCGCATCGAAATTCAGAACACGACATTCGATTCGGGCTAGTCTCCCCTTATAGTCAGACTATTAGAATCAGTAAAACAGCTCATATATTCTTGCAGAGCGATCAATGTGAATTACAAAAGCATATACATCGTTGGAAAACAAATTCTTTCCAGTCCGATGACTCCATCATTTAAAATTATAATGCAACAAGCGGAGCAACCGCACAGCCATGGCTTCCTCGGCCGCTCGGCTGTTTGAGTTTTCCAATTCCTTCGATCTACCAAAGTCTATGAGGCGGAAGCTCTTGCCCGACAACAGCCGTTGCATCGGCCACTCCGTTGGCTTGCCCTGTTGCCACAGGATGTTCCTCGCTGCGAATGACTGGTGCAACTACCCGCTTCATGAAAGCGGAAGACAAGAGACGCGCACTCTTGCTTGTCATCCCGACATAACTCTTCTGGATCTATCTCGCGGCCACGGTGCTCCAGGAGTAATATCGGACTCAGATAATTAGAACGACCGGTACCGTCAGTCAAATCATCAGGCGTGTAGTACCCGTAGAACTGTGGGCAGAGTGCCCCGACGGGGACAGGATTATGCAGAGGGGGCATGACGTTATATCCGTTCTAGTGTTGGAAGAAGTGGTCAGGGAACGATTAATAGTTTTTGGCCTCTCGAGCGAGGTGGAAGTCGTGTTCGATCGAGAGTTTGGCAACAACATGGACTGTCGTGGTGCGCGGAACGGGCTGCCAGCCGGGCCCCCCGTGTCTGCATCGTTCTTCCGAGGGGTTTTGCCACTTCACAGTAGTGCGGATGAGAAGAACTAGTCCAGAGTAAGATGATATGCGAACGACCCTGGGGGGTTCAACGGTGAAAATTTCTTCCTCGCTTTGTTTTTCTTCGCTCTGTTCTTCCTCACTTTCTTCTGCGTGTTTTTCTTCGTCCTCATTGCCCTCTTCGCCTTTCCCTTGCCCTCCTTCGGGGCACACTCCTGCGCGCTCGGTTCCTTGCAGTCCTCTTTGACATCTACCCTCGTCTCGATGTCAGCATCAACCTTGGCTCCAGGCTCTAGATTCTGCCCGTCTACGGCGTCCATTTCGACATCAACTTCAGTATCCCCTGTTTCCGCTGTGTGACTGGGAGAACCAGTAGAAGGATCCCCGTCAGAAGCTGGCGCCGGTTCAGCGTTATTAGCATCGACAGACTTTTCGTTACCCAGGTTGGCTGAATCTAATTCCTCTTGGCTTATAAACGACGCAGTCACCTCTGGAAGCTGGTGCTCCTCGACGGTAACGTGACCACCCGTTCACTTCACACCGGAGACCTGTGAGGGCTCTGTTCCAGAGGGCATATTTGAGCTGCTCTCCAGCGTTTCTCCAGGTTCATCTGCCGGGCCTTTTAGGAGTGCTTCTCATTCTCCCTTGTCCTTCAACTTCTGGACCTGTCGACGGACGTCCTCCTCCACGCTCGTTCTGCATATACGGGCCTTCACGAAAAGGTCACGCGGAAGCTCCCATTCGACACCATGCACAACTGAATGATCACCGGAGTCTACTTCACGAAATGAAAGGTAGAGATGAGCTTCTTCCACCTGTGTCCGCTTCCGGGGTTGAGGTGGGAGTACAACTTCAATCAGCGGCTCTTCCATCGGTCCCTCTTTTTCAGCGGGGAAGATGCGGAGCACACTCTCCCCCTTGATTGCTTCGTCTTCGGCTATCTGAGCCCGTTTCTGCGCCTTCAACACTGCCTCTTTGCCTTCCGGTTCGAGGGGAAGGGAATAGGTTCGGATGATGTCTCCTCCATCGGCAACTTTGAAAAGGCATGGAGTCTTGTGATCGTCGCCGCCCTTATCGACGGATAATTTGTGCCAAGGATAATGGATGTGGAGCTTTTGAGGGAGAAGGTGCCAATGAATCCGTTGTTGGAGTGTCGAAATCTTGTGTGTGCAAGGGATGAAGCGGCATGGAGAGGTATAATAAGCGGGATTGAAGGGCGAGTCGTCTTTTGGTGACGACGCGGCGGGTTCACCTGTTGGTTGTTTCGCGCCTTTTTCTGGTGATGTTTCGCCCGCTTGATCCGCATGCATGGCCTCCTTCACACCGACAGTTACATTTCCCTTTGCATCGTCATTACGAACTTGTGCTGCCTCCCCTTCTTGCTGCCTCCCGGTACTATCACCCTGACTATCGACTGGGGGGATCGAATCTTCTCCATCTGGGGCTTCTGCTATTTTACTATATCTGGAAGATGAAAAGCCTGTGCTTGTTTTGTATTTCTCTCTAATCTCGTTTCGACTGGAAAACTGATTTAATACGCCCACTGCGACGCGTACATCATAACACCTTATGAGCTCCCCAATGTCGGCAACTGATATCTCCTCCTTCTCGGCCCAATGGAGCTCATCCGTTGCTGTGAGTTCACCAGCCTGCCGCATCCATTTCGCAAGTTTGCTTCCTGTGGAGTTGGTTATATTGTTTCGCAGATACGGGAGACGTCGAACGTGGTAGAAGTCATAGAGCGTCGCACCCCACAAATCAAGTCCATTGCCAGCCTCCTTGCCCCACAATGAAAATGGCTGGATGGCTTTTCCTTTGGAATCACGAGGCCAGGAGCGGAAGATAATGCGGTTATTGCCATATCCGACACGAATTTTCTGGTTGTCGCGTTGTACTTGGATAGACTTGGGAAGTTTATGGGGTCAATCGTCCTGACATCAGCATATTTGGCTCGTTCGCCTGAATCTACTAGGCTGCAACAACATGGTTCTACAGCGATGAATGGCGTCAATTACTCCGACATACCGCTCTCCTTTTTTACCCTGGTCTTCGCATCTCCTGTGTAGTGGCTCTCGCACCAGAAATTCTGGTAAATTCTGGGAGAGTCGGATGAAGACTCGGATCTAGTCAGAGGAGCCACGATCGGTATCGCCATGACTCTTAAGTGCATATGACTATGGGCGGAAATAAGGCCTGAGGCCTCAGGGGTTTCCTAAATAGCCGCGCCTCACAGTTCTATGTTCACGCAACGTTCACGGTTCACCTGGTCCAGGTCGGTATCGGAACGCAGTTTGATTGTAAGTGATTGGTTACGCCTCTGACCGGTCTGTGTGTGATTTGCAGACGCACATACAGTAGGGACTAGGGAATAGCTATTGAAAGTGAGCTCTTGAGCTTTTGACGCGATGAATGGACAATGTAATTTTTTCGTGAGAAGGAAATGAATCTGCATAATCATACGAGTACACTGAAGGGCCGCAGAAGGTCATGTAGTTTGCGACCAACAGCGTGGCCCAAGTAAGGTAATCGATAATGAGAATAGAGACTGCTGGTTCTTTCCCTATATACAACTCACGCCCCAGTCCTGAAAACATCCACAAGGCCTGAATGAACATGAGAACGTGGTGAAATATTGCAAGGGAAGACAAGAACGGAGCTAAAGCGATAAAACTGTTAAAGACGAGAGCATGGAATTAGACAAGGAAGAGAAATACCGAGTGAGTCCTGCCGTGAATTGAGGGGTGAAGTCGATTACTTTGCCCTGGTCGTCCTTTGCGGAAGAAAAGTCCACCGTGGCTAACATGGTCACAATAGCAGACCACACGGAGGCATCAGCAGTATACCGACCTGATTACAGAATGTATAGGGTCATGACATGCTAGGATACGGTAATGAAACTTAACCCACCTGGACATCTACGCCGACCGAAGCCAAAAACGTATCTCGCAGGGTCATCGTCCGTCAACGCACCGTTGACGTCTATGAACCTCTCCGGTATAAAATGAGATGCGTTAGGGTAGCGTTTTTCATCCCGTGAAATGCCCCTGCAAAATGACTTCAGCACGTCAACAGCTGAGGAGAAATGTCTGACCATATATTAGCTATCACGGTCGCTCCTGATGTATGATATTACAGATGGTCTGTTGATTGGGCATAAATCACTAACCTTTTGGAATGAAATAACCTTCGTATATATCATCACTCGAGGCAGCATGCGGCACTACGAGGACACGTTCAGTCAAGGCGAGACCACTCAGCGAGGGAGAATACCAAGGGGTAAAATGGGATGCCATCGCAGAGTCTCCCGCAGAACTGATTCAACGTAAGGTAGTGATGCTCTGTCCTCAAACGTAGGCAAGCGATCACTTCCAATCACCGAGTCGATCTCCGCTTGTGCGCGTCGTTGAACATCTGGGTAAGACACCATGGCGAGAACAAAAAGCATCAAGGCTGCAGTAGTCTGTGAAGAGATTAAGCAGTGGACAATATGATTCGGCATCTGCTGACCGTCTCATATGAACCTGCAAAGTATTTGTAAATGTGTCAAGAGCACAACGTCCCTCGTAAAAAGGTCACGAACCGATAATAGCAGTAGTAGCCGCCTTCTTTAAGGCAGTTTCGAACATTGGTTTGGATGCATCGTCTTGCTTCTCCATTCGTTGCAAATTTTCTGCCACCATTGAAAACTGGTCAAGGGACGAGTTTTGGGTCTTGAAAAGTATGGAATCAATGAGAACAAAATCCCGAGAACAAATGCTTACCATATGCTGCTGCGTATATCGAAACGGCACCTCCGTCAGGTCAGTCATGCCATTCCTGGAAGCTTGAGCATCACGTTTGATCGATGATCCCCAGCACCAGTCAGGTAACTTCAGTACTGCATGAGAGCACAGAATGTCAAGTCTTTCTCATCAGTGAGAGTGAACTCACAGAATGGGAACATTTTAAGCAATACTGCACTCTCTGGGGTCAACACAGCAAGACCAAGAGCCAGCGCATTTTCCATGACTCGAACTAGAGGGTCATCACGAGCACTGGGTTGATAGTCATATACAACTGACATCGCAACAGAGGACGAGAATCTGTGAAATACGATTAATAATCGCTCAATATGTACAAACATATTGGCTGACGTTGCGAAGTGGGAATGATAATGCTGTGGGTCATCAATCAGGTTGACGATCATCTCACGAGCCCGTCTCATCTGCGTGGGGCGAAACTTAATTGCAGACTCGGGACGGAAAGTTTGGTGGAAGAGTCGTCGGGAAAGACGCCATTCGTCACCGTAAGCTGTGAATGAGAAGCTGATCGACCAGCCAAATCTGCCTGTACGTCAGAATGATTGACTGGAAGAATAGTAGAAGAACATACGGCTCGACTGTTGCTAAGTATGGTCGATCGGAGTAAATTCGAGAACGCTTTTCCAGTAAGGCTTCTGCAACATGCTGAGAATTGATCACGACCGCATCCTGGTCTAGAATTCGCACGAAGACCAAGTTCCCTGATAGAATGATCTGCACCCCGGACGCCACTACTCGATTGTCTGACCACATACCATAAATAGCACGCCAGTGAGTATAAGTCAGCCAAGGTTCTTTAGCGTCGAGAGATAAGATGTTCCCTATTAGTGGGAGCGGCATTGGGCCAGGGGGAAGGGGAGGCCTGTCGTGTCTTTTCTCAATGAACCGCCCGAGGACAGTCATGACAACAAAGGAAACAGGTAAGGCGGCGAGGATAGCAATTGAGCGACCATCGACTGAAGGGGCCATGGTTAGAGCAGTGCGTGGGTCACCGACTCATCCAAAGCACGAAATGAAATGAACCTTATAACCACACAGGGAAGTACTGCCGCGTTCACGGAGTGGAGTGGCGGAATCGGCAGGAGATATGAAGCCTAGAAGGAACCATTCCGTTTTCTCAGCTGGGAGTCCCAGCTGAGAAAAGGAAGTCCAAGTCTGCATATGAGATTCATGCCGTCGTACAATCAACGTTGTAAGGTCAAATGGGGAGAATACGGAAACAAAACCCGCGTATTCTGTCCGGACACGCCAACTCTACATTGTCAAATATACATGTAGGCTCGATTGCCATTGCTGCGGGCTCGCAGAGAATCTACTGGTGCGTTGCTGTTGCGCTGCGCTAGGCTTCGCTTTGGATGAAGTGGATAATCTGTTAGTTTCACCCTTGCTGCATGTAAAAGTTATGTAATTTCTCTGTCTTCTGTAATCCCGGGGAATCGCCAAATTTTATATTTCTTCCTTCTGGTGGGAAATCTTATGAGTAAATAAAACCTCCCTTGAAAATTGCTCGCTAGCTGGAATGTGGAGAACAGCATGAAATTCGCGGAAGACGGCGAGCGAGCTTGCTACGACGTTGAAATCAATATCATGATCATGGCCCTAGAAACCTTAAGTGGAACAGCAAGGTGTTTTTGAAAGCGCTGAGTCATGATGCAACAAGTCCACCAGGCTGTTTCTCCGCCCTGCTGTTTGAATCATCCATCTCCTTTGATCTGCCAAAGTCTATCAGACAGAAGCTCTTGCCCGAGAACGGCCGCTGGATTAGCCACTCCGTTGGCTCTTCCTGTTGCCATAGGATGTTCCGCGCTGCGAATGACTGGTGCAACCACCCCGTATGATTAAAGCGTAATACAGGCAATGCACACTCTTGCTTGTCATCCAGACACAATCCTTGTGGATCTATCTCGCGTCAGAGGAGTGGCATTCATTACAGTTCGATCGAGAGTTCCGCGACGACACGGACTATCACGGTGTGCGGAACGGGCCGCGAGTCGAAAGCCTCACTTCTGAGGGTCTTGCCACTTCACAGTAGTGTGGATGCGAAGTGCCAAGAGCTGGCCTAGAGTAAGATGCTACAGTGGATGACCCTGGGAGGTTCAATGGTGAAGTTTTTTTCTTCGCTCCGGCATTCCTCACTCTGTTCTTTGTCCGCTTTTTCTTTGTCCTCCTCGAGTTTCTCTTTGCCTTTCTCCTTTTCCTGCCTTGTGGCGCACCCCTGCTCGCTCACTTTCTTGGAGTTCTTGTTGTCGTTCATAACGTCAAGGAGCCTCAACCTTGACCCCAGGCTCCAGATCTTGCCTGCTTACAGCGTCCGCTTTGACATTCACTTCGGCACCCCTTGCTCCGCCGTGTGGCTGGTAGAGCCCGCACTGGGAAGATCTCCGTCAGAAGCTGGTGCCGGTTCTGCATTATTAGCATTGACGGACTTTTCATCATCCAGGCTGTCCGAATCCAGTTTCTTTTGACTGGCAAACGATGCAGTCACCTCCGGGAGACGGTAATACAATCAACCGTTCACTTCGAACCAGAGACCTGCGAGGGCTCTGTATATATGAGCCGCTCTCCCCTCTGCATTTACGAGCCTCCACAAAACGGTCATATAGTTATCGAATGTGAGCTTTGACGTGGTTGATCATGGGTCGTGTGGTGGAAGAAGTGAGAGAGTGCTATAGCTAGATGTACTTAGACCAAAGTAGTTAGGCTAGCATATACATGTTACTCCGACTCATGCTTCAGTTCGGAAAATATCCACAAGTCCTGAATGGACATGAGAACGTGGAGAAATATTGCAAGGGAAGACAAGAACGGAGCTAAAGCGATGACATTGTTAGTGAAGGGAAGATGCAATGACACAAGGAAACCAAGTACTGAGTGAGTCCCGTCGTGAATTGGGGGGTGAAGTCGATCACTTTTCCCTGGTCATCTTTTGCGGGAGAAAAATACACCGTGGCTAACATGGTCACAATAGCAGACCACACGGAGGCATCAGCAGCATACCGGCCTGATTGAAGAAAGGATAGGGTCATGGCATGCTAGGATACGGCAATGAAATAACTCAACCCACCTGGACATCCACGCCGACCTAAGCCAAAAACGTATCCCGCAGGGTCATCGTCCGTCAACGCACCGTTGACGTCAATGAACCTCTCCGGCATAAAATTAGATGCGTTAGGGTAGCGCTTTTCATCCCGCGAAATGGCCCTGCAAAATGATTCCAGCATGTCGACAGCTGAGGAGAAATATCTGACCATGTATTGCATATCACAGTCGTTCCTGATTCATGATATTAAGGACGGTCTGTTGATTCGAAATAAATGACAGACCTTTTGGAATGAAGTAACCTTCATACATATCATCACTCGAGGTCGCATGCGGCACGCCTACAAGTTGATCTTCAGCGTAGGTGAGATCACTCAGGAGTCAGCGAAAAATATTACCAAGGGGTAAAATGGGGTGCCATCTCAAAGCCTCCCGCAGAACTGATTCAACGTAGGGTAGTGATGCTCTGTCCTCAAACGTAGGCAAGCGATCTCTTCCAACGACTGAGTCAATCTCCATTTGTGCACGTCTTTGAACATCTGGATAAGACACCATAGCGAGAACAAAAGCCATGAGGGTTGAAGTAGTCTGTAAAGAGGTTGAGCGGCCAAAAAATGGTTCGGACCATTAACTGACCGTCTCATATGAACCTGCATAGTATGTATTTGTCAACAGTATGTCATTCTTTGAAAAGGTGACAAACCTAAGATAGCAGTTGTGGCTGCTTTCTTTAAGGCAGTCTCGAACATTGGTTTGGATGCCTCATCTTGCTTCTCCATCCGTTGCAAATTTTCTGCCACCATTGACAACTGGCCAAGGAAGTTTTCGCCCTTGGCGAGCATGAAATTCATGCTAATAATGAACATGAATGATGCCTACCATATGCTGCTGCGCATATCGAAACGGTATGTCCGTCATTTCATTCGCGTGATTGGTTGAAATTCGGGCATCACGTTTGATCGATGATCCCCAGCACCAGTCAGGTAACTTAAGTACTGCACGAGAATATAGAATGTCAACTCTTTCTCACAAAAGGAAGCCGAGCTTACAGAAGGGGAAGGCTTTGAGTAAGATTGCTCTCTCTGGGGTCAAGACCTGAAGAGCAATATCCAGTGCATTTTCCACGACTCGGATCAGGGGATCGTCACGAGCACTGGGCTGATAGTCATATACAACTGACATCGCAACAGAAGATGAGAACCTGTGGATAAGTGAATGATCATTCAATGTTTACAAATACATTGGCTGACGTTGCGAAGTGGGAATGATAATGTTGAGGGTCATCAATAAGATTGACGATCATCTCACGAGCCCGTCTCATCTGCATCGGGCGAAACTTGAGTGCAGAGTCAGGACGGAAACTTTGGTGGAAGAGTCGCCGGCAAAGTCGCCATTCATCACCATAACCTGTGAATGCAAAGTTGACCAACCAGCCAAATCTACCTGCACCTCAGACTGATTGAATGAAATTTGAAAGATGTTAGAAGAACATACGGCTCGAGTGTTGCAAGGTATGGTCGATCGGAGTAAATCCGAGAACGCTTGTCCATTAAGGCTTGTGCAACATGCTGAGAATTGATTACGACCACCTTCTGGTCTAGAATCCGTGTGAAGACCAATTCCCCTAGTAGAATGATTTACACCACAAATACGACTATTCAATCTGTCTGACCACGTACCATAAGCAGCATGCCATTGAGTATAAGTCGACCAAGGTTCTTGAGCGTCGATAGATAAGATGTTCCCTATCAGTGGGAGCGACATTGGTCCAGGAGGAAGGGGAGGCCTGTTGTATCTGTTCTCGATGAACCGCCTGAGGACAGTGAAGACAGCAAAGGAAACAGGTAAGGTGACAAAGATAGAAAGGCGACCATCAACTGAAAGGACCATCGTTAGAGCAGTACGTAGGTAGCATCCAAAGCACAGAACAGACCTTATAACTGCACGGGGTGGTGCTTATCGCACCATGTACCTGGCGTCTGCAGAGTGCTGGAGTCAGAAGAAGATTGAAGAGTCAAGAATATAAATCTGGTGTCATAGCTGAGAAAAAAGGCATCACGTCGGATTCACGCCGTTGTAGTTTACACTCAACGCAGAGTCAAATGTGGGGAATACGGAAATCACATATTCTCAGGCTGTCCGGCCGTGCCAACTCTACATCACGAAGATATGCAAACTCGATGAATGAGTCCCCCACGCGTCAGGGGTGGCGCCTAATCACTTCGCCCTGGTCAGCTATGGCGGGAGAAATGTCCAGGGTGGACAACATGGTCAAAAGAGCAGACTACACGTGAAGCGCGAAATGGATCTTACAAACGCACTGGGAGATAATTATCCCTATTGCACTGCGGACTGTTGGAGTCGGCAGAAGAGACTGAGGAGTTGAGAATGAATAAAATTCGATGTCGGCTGAGTAAAAGTAGTCGTCATATCGCTCCACGCCGTTGAAGTGTAGAGTCTAGACAAAACCCACGTATTACAGTACTTAGAGATACTCAAAGTATCCCAGGCCTCACATGCCTTACATTCGCTTCGAGTTCACTTCCCTGCATTCGAGTAGGGTGGTGGGGTGCATAGCCGAAGTCTCACGTGTTTGACAGGAGTCACAGGACTGACATTTCCCCACCTCCATTGTGATCATTCAATTAATTATTCTATATTGCCCTTTCCATCTCAGCGATATAACTCGCGGATCCTTTTTTCGGACGACAACATGGGTGATGATACATCGAACATTGTGTACAAATAATTATTTACTAGAAGCCAGTAAAATCCTGGTGATAACACTAATCAGCAACGTAGCGGAAATTACTTACTATTTTCTATCGTGTGTCGAATGACACAGTTCCCTTAAAATAAGTCAACTGCCCAGCGAAGCAGGTCCTGGCAGGAGGCAGCCGGTATCTTTTGCCAATGCCACTGTTCTTAGTAAGTGCACAACTTGAAAGCAAACGCAAAGGTTGCAACGTTGAACGGTCGAACAATCCGGCATCAGTGGTAACCAACATTATATACTTTCTCCAGTGTCGCAAGCACAGTGCGGAGGAAATGAGATATCAGCTGCGAGGACTTAACCATTACCTCGAGTAAACCTGGGATCAGGTACTTAGTATACCCCTGGTTGCTAAGATCTTGTAAGTCCATCATCGGTATAGGTGAGATCCCTCAGCGAGGGAGAATACCAAGGGGTAACATGAGGTACCATCATAAAGTCTCCCGCAGAACTTATTTGACTCGTAGAGTCCAGGGCCAGAGCTCGGGAGTAGCCCACTCCAGCATCACATCGGATTCGTGCTGTTGTAGTTTACACACGATGTAGAGTCAAATTTGGAGGATGCAGAAGCCACATATTCTCAGGCTGTCCGGCCATGCCAACTCTATATCGCGAATATATGTAGCCTCAACGAGTGAGTCCCTTCGTGCGTTAAGGTATGTTGGGGGTGAAGTCGATCATTTCGCCCTGGTCATTTTCGGCGGAACAAATGTTCACTGTGACCAACATGATGGCGACAATAGTGGGCTACACATGCCATAAAGCACCAAAAGGACCTTACAACCGCGCTGGGAGATGACTATCCATACTGCACCGCGGACCGGTAGTACTAGTAGAGGAGAGACTTCGGAAGAGTTGAGAAGGGATAGTCAGCAGAGTTTGATGTCGCCGGGACTCGACCGCGTGAAAATATCAGTTCCGAGTCCATGCCGTTGTAGTGTAGCGCCATCATCTTTCATAACACAATGCACATTGCTTTCTCCATTGCCACTTGCATACCAAAATGCGATCTAAGACCAACTTGTGTCAACATAACGCTGCACGCGCAAGATCTAAATTGAAGTCACCCACTCTCAACTGCTCCGATAGCACCAGGTCGTTAAGCATTCACAAGGCCTGCGTGACGGATATGAGAAGCAGTGAATACTGCAAGGGACGACCATAACCGAGGTAAAGTGATGAGTGGGAAAAGGGTCGGTTGTCACATAATTATTCATATATGAGTACTGTACAGGTACACTGAAAAGGCGGAAAGCGGACGCAAAAGACAATGCGGTTTAACTGATTGGTGTGCCTCAAGTAAGAAGGAAAGATAGACGTATACTTGTTATACTCCAGTTTGGAAGATATCCACAAGTCCTGAATGAACATGAGAACGTGGGGAAATATTGCAAGGGAAGACCATAACGGAGCTAAAGGGATGAAATTGTTAGACACGGGAGGGTAGAATGACACAAGGAAATCAAGTACTGAAGAAGTCCCGTCGTGAATTGAGGGGTAAAGTCGATCACTTTGCTCTGGTCATCTCTGGCGAAAGAAAAATCCACCGTGGCCAACATGGTCACAATAGCAGACCACAAAGAGGCATCAGCAGCATACCGGCCTGATAAAAGGATGCATTGATTCGTTACATGCTATAGGGCGATGAAAAAAATCGACCCACCTGGGCATCCGCGTCGGCCCAAGCAAAAAATATATCCCGCAGGGTCATCGTTCGTCAATGCGCCTGACGTCCATGAACCTCTCTGGCATAAAACGAGATGCGTTGGGGCCCTTACACCGCGGACTGGTGCAGTCGGCAGAAGAAACTGAAGAGTTGAGAAGGGATAGTTAATAGAATCCGATGTCGGCTGAGTGAAAATAGTCATCATATCAGTTCCATACCGTTATAATGTAACTCCTACAATACACAATGCACATCACCTACTTTCTCCAATGCCGTAAGCATGCGAACAATCTAAGACCAACTGTGTCTTCATGAGATATGAATGCTGCAGATGGACCAAAAAGATGTCGACTTCATTCGCGCGCGCGCGCAAAATCTAAATTAAAGTCAGTCAAAACAATGAGCTATGTCAAGGAGAACGCACTCATACTTAGTGCGTCCGTTCAGAAGGCACCCGTCAACAATGCGTGCATTATCATGGAACTCTTGCGTCAGTGCTTATATGTCGAGATTTGCTGCAAGATCAAGAACAGGTAACTTAGCCAGATACTCAACACATCCTAATAGGCCTCGCATCCGCTTCGAGTTCACCTCCCTGCATTTGAGTTGGCTTTCAATAGTAGGCGAAGTTCTTCACTGCGGTTATGATCATTCGATCCTATACTACCCTATCCATCTACAAGATGATTCGCGGATCCTACTCTCGAACGACGGCCTAAGTATGGGCGATGGATCACTGCATCGAACAAATATTGTGATCCTCTGTGATACTATCATCATAAAGAATTATCACTAGAAGTAAATGAAGAATTCTAGTGATGAGACGAGCCGCGCGGCGACAATCACTAGTATTACTTACCGCGTTGCATCCTACGTCGTTTCGTGTGTCGAACGTCCATGTAGTTCCCTCGCATCGCAGGCCCAACTTACTGGCACTTGGTCCTTGGACATGGACAATGGAATATTATGAAGAGCTGTACTGGTGGCAAGTCGGCGCCCAGATGATTTCCAAACTCCGACACACATACGCGTCGTAGTCGTTCCACCAAGTTGGAACAATCTTTGCAGCAGCTTCAGAATTATAGCGTTGACAATGTCAGTCAATCTGACTAGTCCTAGTACCATTCTTGCTTTCAAGGCTGGTCGTGCTTTTCGACGCGCTGGAACCAACTTCGTCGATGCCTCCCCCACCAAGGGCGCGGTTGTTGTCTTGACCAATGAGGACGGGCTCATACACTTCATGTGGAAAGACCGTACGACAGGGGAAGTTGGCGAGGATCTCATCTTGTTTCCTGGTGATGCGAAATTCGAACAGGTCCCGCAAAGTAGCTGGGGCAGGACCTATGTCCTTAAATTCGAGAGCTCTGACCAAAAACATTTCGTACGTGTGTCGCACTTACTTGTTTTTTCATCAGTTAACATCTGTTTATATATGTCAGTTCTGGCTACAGGTGATTTTGTAGCACCGACTGCTTTGACGCAGATCTGAAAGTCTTGCAGGACTCGTCAACCCGCCGCGATGAGGAATTCGTGACGAATTTGAACAGAACCCTTGCTGATCCCAACATCGTCGCTATCTGGGATGCTCGAAACATTTATCCAGCGTCGGAAGCCTCTTCATCTGCTGTTGGTGCATCTACCTCTCAACCGTCCACGGCGTAGGTTATTCGTTCGCATAATAATACCAAACGGACAATTAATAGGTACCTTTTGATATCTAGACAGCAGAACGCTCCAGCAGGTACCACCCCAGAACAACTTGAGCAACTTCGTGGGCTTGTTAGCTCAATGACCGGTTTCCCGAGTGAAGATGGTCTCTAAATTTTTCAATCAGGCTACATCATAGCTGACGATTTCCATAGAACTTTGGTTGACGGACGTCCTGTCCTCCCAAAATTTGCTTCAGCTCTTCCGATCACACCCTGAACTCCTCCCATCTCTCTTCCCTCATCTACCCCCTGAACTTCTCCCATCGTCAGATGCCACCCCGCAACAAGTGATACAAATATTGCAGCGTACGACCAACTCTCAACCTTTCCGCTCAGCTGTGGCGCAGCTTGATCGGGCACTTCGGACGGGCGCCCTCGGCGACTTTGTGAGGAGCCTTGGTCTTCCTGAGAGTGCTGCGACGGGTGTTGCTGCGTTCCTAGCTGCTATTGCTGAGCAAGCAAGACAGGAAGGTGGAACTGAAGAACGGATGGAAGAGGATTAGGGAGCACATACGCGTCGGTCGAACTGTTCTTTAGTTACGACTATCTTTCCAGATTCCTTGGTGTTGAGCTGCAGGCTTATACATGTGCCGTTTTGTTCGTACTGCGCGCTTACTGCGGGAAACTTGCGGTGGGAACAATATTCGGCGAATGCATACATGTCTTGTCGAGTTGAATCCGCGCTTGCTTATACAGGAGCTCAAGTGAGTTCTTCCATTTCGTATATTACATAACCACTAACAGTGATGGTTACCCCACGCGCATCAAACAAAACTTGATCGGTGATTGACCACACAGTCAGATTTGGCTTCCCAAATGCGTTGCATCATCTGATGAATGATGTAATGTCTTATTCTCACTAGTTGATGTTTTTGTCACGCTAACCGTCAAAATCTAATTGATACTGATCGGACCGTCCATCCGTTGATATCCGTTTGTCATGCGTTACTGCACGGACCGCTTCATCAATAATATTTACAGTGGCCATCTCCAACTTCCGTTACGAGTTTTTCCTAGTGGAGCCGTGTAAATACCGATCAATGGGAGAACGACAAAGGACTGGTGATTTTTACCGCGATATTTTCGGGCGGTATTTGTCTTTCCAGCTGAGTACCACTAATGCTAGCTCTTTATATTGGAGTGCTCTGCACCCAGGTCAATGGCAATGCTTCTGACAAAGCGGACCCCTCGCATCCTTCGAGCTGCGATAAGTCGCTGAATTATCGGAAGAAAATCGTTTCAACCTCAGAGGTCGTATCACATGTTGCCCACTCTTCCATTGGTTTCTCCATGCCCCGCGGGATCCTCGTAGCGGAATGCTTATAACGTTGACCCTGGCGGGGCGATAAGCCCCTTCAACGATGCTTGCCACTATCCTTGTCGTATCGTCACTGCCCCTACTCGTTGTGGCACAGAGTGCAGCGAGCCTTGCATATACCCCTGTTTATGGCGCATGCCCGAGCGGGTTCAACCTTGTTCGGCAAGCGGGCTTCAGTGCTGCTGGCAATCAGACTCTAAGTCCTCAAGAAGCTGCGTACATCAGCGCCCGCAAATCAAATGTCTCACCTAATGCTTGGAAGACCTATCTCTCCAATATCGAGGCTACCAACGCGTCGTTACCTTCCTATGTCTCCGGCATCCTCAGTGGCAACAGCAGCGGCATCGCGGATTATCCCAACCTGGGAATCGCGTGTAGCGGTGGAGGGTGGAGAGCTACGATGTTTGGTGCTGGTGTTCTGAATGTACTGGATGGTCGGTATGACATGTCTGTTGCGTTGGGTACGGGTGGGTTGCTTCAGGCAGCCCAGTACCTTACAGGTCTCTCTGGTGGCTCGAATCTGGTAGGATCGTTGGCTCAGGCCAACTTCCCTACCATGGATGTCCTAGCTTTTGGCACGAATTCGACAGACCCCACATATACATGGGGCGGATGGTTGTCGCAGATCAACCAAGAGGCGCCATTCACCAACGCGACTCAGAACAGCGAGTATCTCCAGGTGCTCATCGAGGAAGTGCGCGGGAAGTTTGAGGCAGGCTTTGCTGTTTCTTATGTGGATGTGATTGCGCGCGACAACGGACGTCATTTCGTGAACGGCACTGACCTTGGCAATTTCTTTGACGATTCGTTGGCGCATGGAGCAGGATATACCTGGTCAGGCGTTGCAAATGTGTAAGTGTAGGTTGTGACTCATCGTTGACATTTTGGATGACGATCATCCATCTTTGTAGCTCAACTTTCATGTCATACGAGCAACCGTTCCCCATTCTCGTTGCAACACTGTTGTCTCCCAACGGAAATATGTCCACCGTCATCCCAAATTCGAGCTTCATTGTTCCAACCTCCAATCCCATCATGGAGTTCAACGTTTGTAAGTACTGTGGGTGGTATGCAGTCCTCTTGCTTAGCTTGAGTTTCAGATGAAATGGGATCATATGATCCTACCCTTGCAGCCTTTACGCCTATGAAATATCTTGGAACGATGAATGAGTCCATCTGTGTCACTAATTATGATCAGAGTGGCCTTGTCATGGGAGCTTCCGGTGATTGGAATACGTTTTATAATACATCGGTGGAAACTTCCTTTGGATAGTCGCATACGCCTTGGCTAATCTATGGACAGGAATCGACCTTCGAAGCCTCATCGATATACCCCATCATCGAGGCTCTCAATAGTACACTTCCTCAAACCAACGTCGTCCTCGATGGCACGCTCTTCCCAAACTCTTTCCATGGTCCCACTACAGAGGGCACGTTCGTTGACGCCGGAGAAACAGTAATCGCGATGTCCGACGGCGGAAGTGACGGAGAAGCCGTCCCGATTCAACCTTTGCTGGTCAAGGCAAGAGGGGTTGACACCATTTTTGCCATTGACTCTGTGGGTCGTTTTATTACCCATTTGATCCACTCCTTAACATACAACTTAAGAACCAAGACTGGGGAAATGCATATTGGTCCGCTGGTGGGTCTCTGATTGTAAGTCAACTTCTTCGCGTTTATTTTCCGTGTGCTGAGCAAGGACGTCAGAACACGCAAAACCGCATCAACGCACTCTTCCCCACCGCATACTCGTTCCCTCCTGTCCCAACCAATGTCTCCGAGTTCATTACACAGAACCTCTCTACGAGGCCCACTTTCTTCGGATGCGATTCCAGCACGGAGGCACCGTTGATAATTTATTTAGCAAATGGTGGTCCACCAAGGAATGGCGAGACACCACTGACGAATGTTGCGCCAAATAACGTCACAACCGCACAAATGCAAGGGTTCCTCGACCAGACTTACACAATCGCTACGCAAGGAAACCCAGCAAACGCAAGTAGTGCGATCGACCCTGAGTGGCCCGCATGCCTTGCATGCGGAGTTGTGGACCGCGCGCGGAATAGGAGTGGGGTTGAGAGAAGTGGGGTGTGTTCCAGCTGCTTTGAGCGATACTGCTGGAATGGTTCGACGTATGGGCTGGAGGTGATCAGTGGTGCTCGCAGCTTGTATGTCAGTGGAGGGTGGAGGATTGCGGGAATGGTGGCTACGTCCTTATTTGTATTGGCTTTCATTTGAGGTCGGGCGAGACCTGGGTTCACGCGATGGGTTAATACTGAGGGTGCGTATTTCATAGGATCCGACACATTAGATTTCATGTTCGCCTGTAAAGTTGCGCATCATGGACATGCTAGATATTTACCTCGCAACCTGACCTCGAGAGGAGGGAGGAGCTGTCATTATTTTACAGTGTCTGTAGGTAACTATAAGGAGCAAGTTTGAGCTCAACCAAGCTTGTGTATCGCCGTTTCAGCGGTATGGTCAAGTACCAGATCTGGCAGTCAGATGCGACAAATCTAAGGTGTGAGGGAGTTCCCATGCGGACGCCTGTGATCTTTCTTGTAAATTACCAACCATCCATGGCATCGGGGCAAAACTCGCCGTATTTGAAACTGGGGCAGCTGGTAGTTGTGTGCCCACTACGCCAGGAATGTCTCTGACAGGCCAATGAAGGACTTCCTGCGCAGCATGTTCCCAATGTATAGCATCCCCAGACATGTCTTCATAGGCGGTACTTTGTGCCGGGGGAAGTTCGTGAACCGGAGAACTCAAAGGTTCTCCAAAGAACACTGCAGCGGGGTGAGTCTTTGCCCCTGCCTCTGCGTCTCCAAACCAGTGGTTTAAAGCGCTCCTTAGGTGTCGGGGTGTGCAGGGCTCTATCACCAGGTATTGGGCACTTTCTGGAACGTCCTGAATAGCGCTTGACGCATGCATCGCTCGTGAAGAATGCTCCACACGCGTCTTGTGTTCAATCGTTCACTGTCATGTTCATGGACTGGGATAAGAATGAAAGTCTTACATTTCTGTTCTGGCCTGTCGATTGATCGTCACCTATCTTCCTTTTCTTCCGCAAGTTCGCTATACGGACTTCGGTTTTGCGCTTGCGCGGTGGCATCTGACTGGAGTATAGAAGCCCTGCAGCCCCGCCCCGAGCTCCGTGTGCTTGGCAATTGTATTTTGTATTGTATACGTACACACTTACGGACTGTCCGAAACTCCACACACACAAAACTTGAAACCACTCACCTTACTTACTTAAAACTATCAAATGCATGCAAATACTCCCACATGGCATACCACCCTGAGGTTTGTGTGTTCCATAACTTCCATTGGAGTGCAAGTCATAAGCATCATGGGGTGTGGATGGCAAGGTCATGTTCGTCTACGTCACTGCCATAAGTACGTAATGGTAGTCAAAATGAATTGAATAAGCCGCTGGATGACTTTCCGGAGCGTTTTGGAAAACTGAGTGACGTGGGCGATCCCGTCCTGGTGTGCTCAGATCAGATGCCATTCAGTGGTGATGCAAGCGCAGGGATGAACTGCGCCAGGCGTCACAGATTCAAATTGTTCCGGAAAACCAAAACCCGATATAGTTCTTCCCCGTGCCTTCTCAAGCCGCGCGTGATCTCATCAAAGTATATTAATGCGATATTGCACAATATATCGATCCTACTAGATGCCTAGAATGGGGTGAAGTTGACTGTGGTCCATAAACTATGCGGTGAGTCGGGATAGCACCTTCGAGGTTGTGCTGAGCCTAATGACCACGATCTGAGAGCCAGCGGAGGACTATATCCCTATAATAGATGGTCATACAATTAGTCAAGAATTTGAGGATCAAAATGAATTCATGAATTAGAGAACTGGAACGCACAAATTATGTTGGCTTTTCATCGAACACTGGTAGAGCGTTAGCGCACACGGCAGCTAGGATGAAAAGTCTCACCGAATAGCACTGGTACAATATGTAATTAGTGCGTTGAAAATATGCAATAGTTATAAGACTTACTGAGACTGGACGGTCTTGTATCTTGTCCAGTTGACTTCACTCGAAAATGAGTGGGAATGCGGTATTGAATATACTCTACTCACAGGTCGCGTATAAGATCCTTGACAGATGCGTGTGAGGGGATGTCATTCTTGTTTCCAAGCTGTATCAAAGTAAGCAATCCTATAGATGTTCTGAGGTAGTAAGCTCACCACTAAGAGAGGAACACCTGCTAGACTCGGCTGCGCTAATAGCTGGTGCAATTCAAAGCGCGCCGTATCAAACTTCTCTTGCTTTAAGCAGCATCGGCGTTAGAACTGAAACCACCAATTGCACAGCATAGCCTACATCAGCCGAATCAACCACGAATCTGTAACGAGGGAGCATGAAACCACCTATCAAACGCAAACAAGCGGACGACGTACACGACAGCATCGACTCCATTACAATAGCGCTCCCACATTGAGCGAAACTTCGGCTGTCCTGCGACATCCCATATCTTCAGGGTCACCGCGCCTTTGCGTACCTTGCGATAGTTGAACGCAACGGTGGGGACGACGTCTTCTGACCACTAAGTGGGGTGGGCCGCTTGGGTAAAGGAGAAGCCAATGATAAAACACAGTCGCACCTGTCCCGAGCCAATGACATTCACAAATGATGTCTTTCCAGAAGCCTTCGTGAAGGCGTGTCAGTATGCATTTCTTGAATCATAATGTATGGACCCACGCACTTGGAGCCCAACCACGGATATTTCAGCGGCTTTGGAGAAGAATATGCTGCAGAATTTGAAGATTTTGCTGCTGTAAGGAGAGGCTGGCTTACCTACTGAACCAGGAGAGCACCGAAGATATGAAAGTCATGGTAATGACGACAACATGGTCGACCGTTCATTGAGCGCGGCGCTTCTTGATGCGTGGGAACTACACTGGTCTTGCACAGGACTCGAAGCTTGATGCTTAACTTTAAATAAGTAGTCAACTTTGAATGGCCAAGGCACCTCGTATTATTTCTTTAGCAAAACACTGTCCGCAAGAGTGGTCAGTCGCGTACGTACTGCCCTACAGAGCCCTACATTGAACATAATTGAATGTGCTGAACAGTAACCGAAACAAGGGTAGAGACCTGCGACAGCCAAATTCTAAAGTCTACACTCATCTGCCTGCATCTCCAATAAACGAACACGTGCAGAGAGTACTCCCGACAAACTCGCCATCTCAGGGTGAGCCAGAACAAATAAATCCAGAGCCACAATAGCTGCATTGACCCAATGAACACTGCGAACAGCATACTTTGTTACCCAATGGGCGTAGACACCTTTACTTCCGATTGACAGCTGAAAAGTCTGTAGTTCATCATCTATCATCAGGGAAGGCAAACGAGCCTTGATATCATCAGAGAGGCCGGAGGGATGAATGGCAGACGTAAAATGCTCGGTGAATACCAGACGGTCCTCGCGGAAAATTTCGTCATGCAGGGGATCGTTGCCAACAGCGATCATTGCTGGGCACATCACGGCGCATTGCAAGGGTAATCGACAAGCCCATTCATCCCAATCTAAGATTCTGATAAGATTGTCAGCCACATGAAATTGCCCATATTAACAAGTATTTCATACCCAGTGATGTTGAAATCGTCGTCAACAAGGACATTCATTTGGTTAAGGTCAGTGTGCATCAGTGGAAATGGGAAGGTGTCCAAGGACGGGACAAAATACTTTTCTTCGGCCATGGCACGAAAGATCAGGCAATCGATGGGGTCGAATGCAGAGAGATCACCAGTGAAGATGCGTGTGAGGCGGGGGTCGATTCTCCTGAGTATCCATCTCAGTGTTGACTGAGCGTTGGCATGCATGAGAGTGCGCGCCAGCAAGTCTGCGGTGTATTGCGCCAGCTGAGCCAGGACTTTTCCTCTCGCAGCTGGTGGTGGGAACCTTGCATTCCATTCCAACGTCCTGCCATCAATCCAATCCAGCAGTATATAGGGTGTCCCTATGCCATCACCATCCTTGCTATCCGACCAAGCATGTACGGTGGCAACAGGTATACTGGGTATAATGCTGTGCACATAGCGCATCGTGGTCACTGTAGCTTCAATGGGCGAGGGCGTCTCGTCATATGGAACACGAAGAGCCCAGACTGTGCCGTCCTCGAAGATGATGCGATTGACGATGTTACAACCGCCAGAAAATTTATCGCCTTCTGAGATGGTGCAAGGTTGGTCCCTAATTGACGAAGCCGTTTTCAAAACCTGATCCCAATTAATTTTTATGCGGGTTTCCTGTTGTAGTCAGCGACGGTCTACCAAGGATTCAGCAAATGATATGATCAAACGGGGCGTGATCATCATACCCTCATGGTCAAGGTGAACGTATAACTTCAATGCGAAGTGACGAATCTCAATGGACGATATAAGGTGCAAAACCTATGTCAAACTGTCAGAGGATCGTAAGGTTGTAACGTGATTACTAACCAAAATCTCGAGACCGACCAGACTTCTTATTGTATTACTGTAAACTTGTCAAAAGGTCCCTCAAAAGTGCACCGCGTCTTTGTTGAAAGTGGATCCACGCTCACAAGATCAGAGCGGTCAGTCACCTATTACTCTATTGTGAACATAATTACGTGTGCTGAAAAGTAACCGAAACAAGGGTAATTCTAAAGTCTACACTCATCCTCCTGCATCTCCAATAAACGAACACGTACAGAGAGTAATACTCCTGGCAATCTCGCTATCTCAGGGTGGGCCAGAACAAATATATCCAGAGCCACAATACCTGCCTTGACCCATTGAGCACTGCGAACAGCATACTTTGTTACCCAATGGGCGTAGACACCTTTACTCCCGATTGACAACTGGAAAGTCTGTAGCTCATCATCTATCATCATGGAATGCAAACGAGCCTCGGTATCATCAGGGAGGCTGGAGGGATGAATGGCAGATGTAAAATGCTCGGTAATCATGCTCCAGGTATGTCTCAGGTAATGTCAACCTCTTGATGATATCATTAGCTAGGTCCTTACCAACAAGATTCCCTACTATTACCTCTTGAATGACGCCGCCATCATCCTACGCATAGCCAAGTTCACAAACCCTTTGCGATCTCGTTATCCTCCACCGCTCGACAAGTATTGGTCTTTTATGGAGCAATGTTGGTCTGCTGACCCTCAGGACCGTCCATCGACGGAGAGAGTTGATGACACGATCAGGAATGAATTTTACTCGCTGTCTAGACCACACTGATTCTTGAATTGTTTTGCATACCATGATCCCTTTACATTCCACTAGATAAGCGGCATGCGGTACAGTAGATGTAGGCTCACCTCCGAACGAGCTTTGTATTCGTCACTCTGTTATATGTACCTATCACATAGATCTAGTCACGAGTCCTATCCGCACAACACACCTAGACGGACCCTCAGACCAAAACAAAATGCTTGGCGAGACACGCTGTCATGGAACATCTATAGGCAGTCGAGGAGGTCGTACTAGTACCACTCGTGCTCAAATTTCGGGGTATCATAGTACGATAGAAGTATCAGTAGTCCGCAGATATACAAATATCAATATACACGAACCCAAATCATCCTCTCGAAAGCAGACAGCATGAGGATACGAGCCAAGTCTAAATATGACTGACTCTCGTGTGCACGAGCCCTCTACGTCAATTCCACATCTCCGCACTGGGGTGGTGTCTCACGATAATAGAGGTTAGTTTGCTTCCCTCTCATTTCCCAGGTATCCTCCTCGAATGTGAAGCCCGCATATTCGAGGGCCGCAGCGTAGATCTTCTCCTCGGGCTCGACATGCTGAAGATTCGCGCCAGGCATGCATCGACCTTCTCAGCCCAATTTCCGCAGGGGAGGCTAAACGTGTAGTACCTGAACTTGAAATGGCGAGTAATAAGAAATATATTCAGCTAATTATTCCTAGCCGTCATGGCTCGCAACAGAACTTCGAGCTTGATCTACGTACCTCGGGACTTGAATGGCGTCTGTTAGTATTGTACCTTCCAAGACCGTCGACACTTGCTTGTTGCATGCCTGGATCTCTTTCCGAGGTCAAATTCGTCCAACGAGCCTACGAGAAAGTATACAAACCTTCGCAAGTCTCCAGTGAGGTTCCTTGAGTCCTTTGTTGTTACTCTCAATTCTAAACATGCAGCTTAGTACTCTTCTCTTCGGCATCGTCACTTACCATATCACTCTTGCTGCGGCATACCCCACAATGGGAGACATCGCAAATCGTTCTTGTGAGCATTAGTTACTAGCAACAGTGTAGCCACAATGGTATTAAAGATAGCTGCAGACCTTCATAAATGACAATCAGGTCGGTTCGAATCTCACTGTTTCCGACTACAAGAGAGGTAGGCTGATAAGATTAGAATGCATTCAATCCCTCTCATGTTGCAATGTGCAACGAACTTAGAAGATGCCACAAATGGTGGTGACTACACTGGCGCTCATTGGTCTACGGGACATCGAATGTATTGATGCTCCGACAACTGAAATAATAGCCAAGGCTGTCAGGTGAGAAGTAAGGAGATTTGATGAATAGGAAGGAGGGAAGGGCACACCCTGTGGCTTGCCTGTACAGTGCACGCGTGTTATGAGGTATGAAAAGGTTCAGACATGAAAGACTCAGGCCTGAGTATTGACGCGGTGACTGCATGCTCCATCGCCTGCAGACATGCTGAAGACAGGAATGGACTGGCTGAAAGAAATATGTGGACGTGCAGCACCTTGTGTTTTTCACAACCCATCCACATAGTCTCTTGCATATAGAAGGACGTACACTTGTAGTGCGAGTGGCTGTACTTGAGCGCTTTGTCTACAAGTACACATTGATGAATCAACGAACACGAGGGTAACACATGGAATATAGAACACGCACCGCAGTACACGACTTAAACGAATGGGTGCCCAACTTCCTTGACTCCAAACCAAACGCCCACTTTCTCAGCTTACAGGTTGTGCCTCTCGTTGTCCATCTGAACTTCTGAACGGCGCTTCTCGTGAGTGACCATGCACGTCTGTAAGGCAAAGCTGACCGGCAGGTTACCAGCAACTTTGAATTCCCGCAAAGTTCTGTTGCGAATTCTCGCATTATACCGCAGCAACACCTGCGTGCAGAGTCCCTAAGCTGTCGTATCAGAACGGAATATTGAATTCCTGTAAGCAGACTGCCTCGCGAACAAGGCCTCGTGCGCATGTATTGACAAGTATGTAGTAGGCTCGTTGAGTCACCAGTGATATTTGCCGTTGCCAAATAACCCGCTCCAAATCACAAGCTTCTCTCGCAAACGTAGTCCACGATCTGCTGTGGTCGAGACCCCGAGCGCCGACCATGTCTTCCCCAACTAGTGAGAAGCAACAGACACCACCGTTCATGCCCCGCCAAACGATGCGAGGTCATACCAAGTGGGTACGAGGTGTTGTGCACCTGCCTGGTGGACGTCGTATCATCACGTCTTCGGATGACACCTCCCTCCGACTATGGGACCTGGAGAGCAGCAAACATATAGAACATTACTGACGGGATGAAGCACAAATACTCACAATAGCATTGTCTCCAGACAGTAAGACTGTTGCAAGCGGAAGTGAAGATGGGAGAGTGAGGTTGTGGGACATCGAGACGGGGAAGGTCGTCGCCAAATGGACAGACACTAATATCGTATTTTCAGTGTGCTGGAGTGCAGATGGTAGGCGAGTCGTGAGCGGATCCTTTGATGGGACCGCAAGAGTGCGGAATGTCAGGACCGGCGAAACAGTCCTGGCAATCACGACCGGGCACCGGTATGTGTTGGCGGTGATATACTCACCAGACAACACGAAAATTGCGACAGGTGGAGCATACAAGAATGCAGCAAAAATATGGGATGCAAGGACGGGCGAGCTGCTCGCCACACTCGAGCATAATTCAATAGTTTCGAGTTTGGCATGGACGTCGGATAGAAAGAAGCTTATATCCGCATCAGAGTCGATTAGGATATTTGACACTGGCACATGGCAGCAGATCGCCATTCTCCGGGAGGGTCACACAAACTTTGTAAACGACATCTCTTTGTCTCTCAACAACCGCCTCCTTGCAAGCGCTTCACAAGATGAAACAGCACGGCTGTGGAATCTCGACACGAACCTCACAGTCGGACCACCCCTCCAGCACAAAGGCATCCTGGGTTGCGCAGCCTTGTCACCTGATGGAAAGGTGCTAGTTACTGGTTGTGAGGACAAAAATGTGTACGTGTGGGACATCTATGCTGTCCTGAAAGAAGCTGGCTTTGAAGGCTTGATGTCCATTCCTCATGCGGTTGTAAGTCTCGCGTCTTTTCGGTAAAGACAATGCTAATCTCCTACTTGCAGACCCCGACTGGAAAATCGTTAACGGACGTGCGTGACTTGCTTCTCGACCTTTTCAATCATCTTAGATCAACATTGTAGAGAGATGCTACGCGTCGTCCAGCTCAGCTTAAGCGACTACAACGAGGGTTTTTCGATGATCCGCGAGGCGACATTCGTGTGCGTTGTCAGCACTTCCTAAATCTATTTCACTGTGATCTGTTTCTCTCAGTCCTCTACAGCGCGTGGTACCAATCACCATCCCTCTGTACGTGTCGACGGCACTCCCGTTGTACTCCTTGGCCGTCTTTCTTCGTTCTTCCGCCATTCTCCAACCAACATCAATGAAGCAATCGAACTTCGGCAGCGCCCAAGGCGGTCTCTCTTTTCTCGTCGCGGTCCTCGCACTGTCGAAGTTCCTGCAGTACGGGACAAAAAGGTCTGTCTTTCTTCGTGTGCATTTCCAATTGCCGTGGTTCGATGACCTCTGTCCAGCCATTGTATGTTGTTCCGCGTCCCAAGGCGAAACCCACGCAGCAGCAGCAAGGCCAATCACAATGCCAAGGTCAAGCTTCATCATCGCACTCTCAGCCTGCTACCGCCTCGACATCCATGACACCTGCCCCTGCTACTAGTACCACCACACCAGGTGCAGTACGTCGACCCTTCCCATTGTGGGCTCGTCTCGTGCTTTTTCTCTGCTGTGCGTCTCCCCCACACTCCAGTGGTCATTAATACTGCAGCAAGTGGAGAATTATTTCATCTTTGCATATTTAATTCTGTCGTGAATAATGTCATCACTTTGTCAATATCTCTCAAATTGAAAACCAAATTCCCCTGCAAATTATGAGCGGATACACGCGATATGCAACAACAAATTAAGCTCCTCCCCAATCCACAATGCTCCCGATCACCACTCTCCGTGCTTAGCACCTCCGACGCTCTCCTAGCATGTCTCCTAGCATGAGCCCGTTCGCGCTCATGTCCGCTTTATCGAGACTTAAGGGTGATCCGTCAGAGGTATATGCCTAAGGAAGGATATTAGCATTGTGATATATCACTCAGATATTCTACAGTACTTTTACTCTTTCTGTTTACACTACATATTTAAGGTTAGCCCACCGTCCACACACCTCAGTCTCGTTACGTGCGACTGAGGTGTGTATACTCTATTCCGCCTCACTATGCACATACTTACTTTGTTTCCTCTTAGGCTCGTATCGTAGCTCTCACCTTCCATACGCTTGCATACCCAAGGCTCATCCATCTCTCCGTGCATCGAACTAAGCCTGAACGCCGTGCTCAACGAAGCAACATTGATCACAGACGCAGAGGACAGTCCTTCTTTCTTTCGCATTTCCAGGCAGTCCACTTATCGCCCAGCTCGTGGTACATCCACGGCATGCTTGATGCTCCAAAACAAGATGAGCGCGCAAACGGAAGTGCTTATTAGAACGTTAAGTGTTAGGAGATCGGGTGGCGTGCGGGTGGTATCATTGATAGTTCGAGCAGGTGGGCAAGGATTATTGCTATTTGTACTACCTAGGCATCAGTGTTTGTGAGCTGTGAGCGAACCGTGCATAAGAACCCCTTCGTACGGAAGATACGAGACCCAGGAGAGATCGATCAACTGGTTCCAAAGAAGCAAGCCATCGCGTGTGGCGAGAAGTTAAAGCCATCTGTGGTGAAGGCTGAGGTAAAAGTGTGCTGAAGAGCTTAGAGCACCGCATCAGATTCTTGGGACAAATGCTGCACTAATGTTTGGCAAGCAGCCTGTAAACTGACGAAGTCATCGAGGCAGTTGGCGATGCACCGGTATACTAGTATGATGGTGTGAGCATGCCGGACTACGGCAGGTACGCTGGCCATGCTGTACACGTCGTTTTCAGGCTCGTGCAATATTACACAGGTTTAGGGCCTTTTTGCATGAATTTCGGACGCGTTCAGCGTTCGTTTTTTTTTGTAACCGTTACTAATTCTCGCTTCGCATGTCACCCAGATGAGCCTGATGCCATCATTCCAGACAGCCTTCCGCAAAACCAGTCTTCTTTTTTTCTTCGCCATTAATGTTATGTACTCACCTCCTCTGAGACAGACTACTGGGGGTATTTGAAGTCTGTTTCTAATTGACCACAAACAACAGCATGTCCTTCCTCACGGTCATCGACGGCGCCATGAAATTCGCTGAATAACACACGATCCTAAGTATCCATCGTGGCTGAGAGATCCCTTTTAAGAACGATGGACGCCAAATACCTCATAAAAAGCACAGCTATCCTGGTTAATGGGATCAAGCAGCACCCCAAGGGTGCTGAACGCCTTGCCATACGCGGTGTGCGAATGCGCAGAACAGATGACATCTGGGCGAGCTTCATGAATCGCTGAATGTATCATGTTTGCCGACCTATTGAGGGACCGAATAGGCCCAGATTCCTTATCCTGTATTTTACCTTCGTGGTCTACGAGAAGGAGGAGCTCAGGCTGGACGAGCTTGAAGTGAACATTTTGGGGCAAGTGGTGAATATTATGATTTTGATCTTGGCATGACAAGTACTTACCCAGGGGTTAATCTAGCAGCAATCTGGCATGGCAGGGTCCTTTCGGAAGAGCAATTAGATGTCGCGTGCACCATGTTATCAGTGTCATCATTCTTACCAGAACAGTCATGTGTCCAGCAAGGCCTGCGTCATAGCCATACTTTGTTGCGTTTCATGATGACGGCGCTTCCTGTTACGATGAAACGATACACCCACCGAAGATACGGTATGCTTGAGCCAGGTGGGATTTTATAAACGCTCGATGTTCGAGTGCATCAGAGAACGTAGGACGAGCGGGTACATCGTTCAAGTGATCCCTCAACGAAGTCCTCGTAAGACTGTTGCTGGCGTCCCCCGATGGTGCGACCATAGTAATTCTGTGGATCGAATATTGAAACTTCGAATGTGGGACGAGTTTGTAGCACCCTGGTGGGCCTGGTCCCTATTATAACATCAACCTTCCTCGGTTGTCGCAACAACCTCTGGATAAAGGTCCGAATACCATCACGGCACTCACATGGGCCCGAATTACCAAAATTTCCCGACGCGCAACAATACTTTGTTAGTGGAGGTACAAGTTATCTTGTAACTTATGAGTGGCAGAGTGAGAAGCCATTCCCAATCGAGTAACTGACCCTAAGTTTTATGTAAATAAGCGCCCATAAAAAAAGCTTTTCACCAACCTCAAGCTGTGAACTTCAACGACTATTATTACCGCAACGTTTGGATGCACCGTCTTCACAATGCACGCTCCATCGCTATCGGTGCACTCTCCTGCAGAAAACGAGCGTTTGGCGTGTCTGCGAGTGTTTTAAATGCCAACTCGGACGCCGGCTCAACTCGAAGTCAGAACCAGAACCAGGACCTGGGAAAGGATGAAAGCCCAAGTAGGGAAACGGTGGATGGTGAACAGGGAGAACAGGATGGGCAGGGGCATGGATACATCGCGGGGAAGCTCTCGCGCTCTCTGCGTAGCCGGCGTGAACCCCAGCGCCGCCACGCAAATAGCTCATACGCCAAAGAAGAACACGCCGACGCTAATACCACCAGGTCCTCCTTCGACGCCGAATCATTCATAGAGATTATCACGAAAAAATCTGATAGCGCTGCAGACATCCCAAGCTCTCACCACGTTCCGGTGGCAGGTGCTTCGAAGAGAAGACAAAAAGACAAGCAGCCAAAGAAAAAGAAGGGGCAGGGGAAAGTGAAAATAAAATTCGTTAATGCACGACCTACTGTGGAATCAGCGCGTGCCTCCCTTGCAGGGTTCGACGCGAAGCGTACTGGGGTACTTCAGCTACTGTTGAAGGGCTCTGGGGAGATCAATCACTCAGAAAGGGATGGTTGGACAACCGGGTGGGGCGAAGACGGTGCGTTTCCCGTGACATGACTGTGATTTTATTTCTCATTTGACTCTGGTTCATTGTGTGCAGTGCTTCGACCTGGGGAGAATGCGAATTATGGATTGCAGGGTTCGTTCTGTGGCGATGTACGAGAAAGTAGGAATGGGTCTGCGCGACGTGGGCAACCGCCGCATATGGGCCGTCGCCATCCCCTGCCTTATACCCGCCGCGTAGAGGGTCTCTTCGATGACGTACAGGATCTAAATGCTCCTTCATCAAGCAAACCGAGCTCCATCAATAACGTATTGGAAGGTGCGTGGTATTCTTAAAGGTTTTGAACGTGATTTCAATACTTATGCCGCGCAGATATTGACCCACCTTCGGAACACAAGCCTATTGCGCGGCTTGCGCATGGGCTTGATAGGGTGTTGTTCAAGTGTGTCTTTCTCCCCCATCCTGTTATAAACGGCAAGATAACTTGATTTCGTAGCCCTGGTGTGCACTGGCTCCAAGATCCACGCTCACGTGTATATAATTTCACGCCCTGGCTTGAGAGCATACCCAAAGTTACGGATTTCGCGTTCGAGCGCGTCACTGGGTTCATAAGGAGTTCTCATGACAACGTATGTTCGATCTGTTTTCAATCCACAAGGTCTGAGCACACTCACCCAATAGGACCTTCATACCCTCGCTAAAATCCACTCCCGACCATATGTTGGCTCTACCTCTTCCCTGACTGGTCTGCTGAGCCATATTTACTTCCTCATGTCTGGCGGAGAGGGTGTAGATACGAGTATTTTGAGTGGCGCGTTTGCGCATGAGGTGGGTGATTGTTTGAGGCTGATTTTTGGGCATGGGTTTCATCATTCTCTCTGTTGCGCGGCTTTTATCCAAATTCGTGGGCTGCGCGTTGCGGGCGCACGTCCCAGTTCTAACCTCTTGTGTTCTGCAATGTGTGCTTTTCTCCCCTGAATCCGGGGTCTGTGCTTGTGCTGACGTCTCTACATACCTTTCACTTTCACTACACGCGTCCCTGGACGCGTCTATACGTTCCCCCGTTCTCCTGATCCATTTCCCGATACCGGCTGACATATCTGTTCACAGCCGACGACCTTTACCCCAGGCCAGCGCATGCCCGTATCAGTCGTGTTACGGTACAATGATGGCGTATGGGCGGTCGACTCCGGCAAGGACGGCGAGGATGACAGCGAAAAGAATGTTTTGACTTGGATGGTGAGTCGTGCGGGTACATTTGGTTCTATTTTCATTTACACTCGTGTTGTAAATTTCGATTAGCGTACCGCATAACTAATGTCTGCGTTTGCATCACAGGGCACCCTCCTTGAAAAATTCCTGACAGTTCCGGAGCCTGAATTCAAGACTCTGCTGCGCTCCTCGCCCGCACCCGCTGAGGGTGAGGAGGATAACAGGAGGGAGGCATATAGGTATGCGAAGGTGCGTTTCTCTCCTGTGTTATGTTGGGTAGCGAACGCTGACACTTTCAATTCGTGTATGTGTTGTATGATGTCCACATTGTCCTGGTTGACTTTGTGATTGACATTGCGGGATCAGAGTGACCGCTTTTTGATGCGCTCCCAGCTCGATTGCGTGGATCCTCGCTTACCAGGAACAGGCGTTTTTGATGTCAAAACCCGTGCTGCGGTGCCCATCCGACTGGATTTACTGAATTTTGAGGTACGTGTTCTTGATTTTGGTTGGGTGCCATCCATTATAGTACATCATTTGCATCTTAACTCGGCTCAGTCTTTTGGTAATATTCTTTGAACTGGGACTGGGCTAACGGTGTTCGTTGGATGCAGGAGAACTCAGGTTACCTCATTCGCACGCTGAACGGGCCATTGGAGAGCTTTGAAAAGGAATACTACGATTTAATTCGGAGTGCGTTTCTGAAATACAGGTGTGTTAGTTTCCCGCTCTTTTCGCTTCCTCCCGTCTCGACCTCATGTTCATCGCTTACTAGCTTCCAAGCCCGTATCGGTAACATGGATGGCGTGTTTGTTGCTTATCACAACACGGCTCGCGTTTTTGGATTCCAATATGTCTCGCTCGAGGAGATGGACGCGCGGTTGTTCGGACCAGATGTGAAACCTGCTGGTGTTCTTAACGGAGGTAGTTCACCCACCCGAGGCGCGCGTATATTCGAGAAGTGCGTGAGACTGTTGGAAAAAGTGATGGATGAGATCGTTGTGGTGTTTGGCAATAGGGTAAGCCCGTTTCTTTCTCTTGTCCACCTTTTTGGTGACTCTGGTGTGGCTATGGATAGAGCGTGAAATGCACAATCGAGACACGGGAACGCTCGTCGAAGATGAACATATGGGTTGAGCCTGTCGAGTGGGACGCGGAGAAAGAAGGGAAGGGAAAGGATGTGATAGTAGAGTTGAAAGAGGGAGAGGAAGAGAAAGTCAGGGAGCAAGGGAAAGAGGGTGGGGGTGAAGAGAGACAGGCGAAGACCGAGGAGCCACCGATTGTTCAGATCGACGTAGAGGTGCAGAACTTTGTCGCTGGCCAGCCTGTCTCGGGCTCGAGAGCGATTGGTGTCGCGCCTGATGAGAACTGTACGTCGTTATTCTTATTTCCTTTCTATTCACTTTTTCTATTCACTTGCTCTGTCATCGTATGTCCTGACGTCGGGGTTACAGGGATTCTCCACTGGTCCGTCTCGCATAGTTCGTTGGAAGCCTCCAAAATTCGCGCGAACCTCGCATCTGCGAAAGAGAGACAGTTCCGCGCGTGGAATTTCCCAGCGAATATCAGCGGACCCGAGGAGATGAAAGCATGGTGGAACGCGCTGGATTTCGGCGGACGGAAGAATGCCGCTTCTCCTTTAGGTGACGGTGATGGGACTGTGAGCGAGGGAGAAGCAGTGAGCGGGCTACGTGAAGTGGTGGCAGGCGACGAGAGCTGTGTCGCAATGGAGGAGAACAGTTTGATAGAGGAAGGACCTGAAGCCGATGAGAACAAAATCAAGAATGGCGCGCAGTCGTTCAACTCCAGGCTCTTCCGACCGGCATCGACGAGTATTGAACGATTGCGCCAGCTATCGAGAGATGGGAGAGAGGAGACTTTGAGGGCAGAGGCTGAGGAGGAGGCGATGGGAAGGGAGAAAATTGTTTGGGGGCTTTTGGGAAATGGAGGCGCTGCGAGCAGTGAAACCAAGGAAGTGGCCGAGGATAGCAGTTCGACATCAACTGTTACTCAGGCTTCAGAGATGGGGGCAGTCGATGCGGTGGAAAAAAGGAGCAAAGAGAACGATAAAGAGTGAATGGAGAACATTTCCCCGTATTGTTCAACGCGCTGCCGCCGATATGTTGTCGACCTTCTATCTACGACGGTGTCTACTGCGAGTGGACTCATGAAACAGCACCTCAAGTTAATCATTAGTTATTCAGTACTCAGTACGTTGCACGCTATATTTTTGTGCGATTTACGTTTGCATTTTCAGGTGGATATCGCATAAGTATACGACTCATGGTAACTTATACCACATTGCAGAGGCAGCCCTACGCGGATAATAATAATCAAGCACTGCTCTACTTCCGATCAGGCGGTCGCTGTTGCGATCCGACGACAAAGAGAGCGATCTGTCCAGCCAACATCAACTTGAAGGTCTCATCATGATGAGGTTCTATGAATCAGACATTGGCGACGCCTTCGACAAGGCCTGCTCCTTGCGGCATGTTCCAATTATTATGAAAGGTCTTCGATCATCGCCTTGCAAGACTCGCGGTCATCACGCGATCACTGGCACATTGAGTGATAGGCTGGAACTTCATACACAGTGACAACAATTCCTTCCGCCGTATTAACACAGGGATATTCCAACATTGGAGGACCTTCGGCAGGTGAAGTCTCGTATTAGTATATCTCATACCATGACCTTTCAACTCGCATGACTGCAGAACTACGACTTTTGTTTATAGATGGCAACCTTCTACTGTGTTTGTAGCGCGTTAGGTCCTCTCATCGCGAAGCGGTAGATCCTAAAATCGAAACAGTGTGCTAACATTGCAGATGATTCCCCCATTCTGAAGTTTATTGAGACACAGGTCGCTGGTATATATGAAGTTCGGATGTGACGAGTTCCACTCAGAGACCGTTCGTTTGGGCTGTTGGAATTGACTGACCTTGTCCTAGTGGGTCTCGACTTCGCCTTCGTTGATTATCAGTACGTGGTGGTCCTCAGTACATCTATATTCATGATTCCCGTGCAGTGCCTCCTGGCTTCCCTGATCTCGAAGATATGATATGTGATCAGCCACTGGGCAGCTACGCGGCGAGACCCATTGAGGCAAATTCGTGACATGTGCGCGCTCCGCAGGTATCGCCCGTGCTCGCTTCGACGGACAAAGTTTGGCTGGATAACGTTACCGTTTAGAACTGCATGTATGTAAGATGCCGACACTGCACCGGCAAAGTCCGTTGCATGGTGCAGCTTCGTGTTTGGCCGAGAGATTTTGATTTTAGGGGCAGCAATTTCAAATGTCATTTTAGAATCGAGCGAGGAAGTTGAGTAATTAAGGGTTTTTTTTCGTGAAATGCCGCAGCATTCCCACCAGAGGTTCTCTCTGATGTCATTCCTCCTTTCCCTTGCGGTTATAAGGACCGTTGCATTATGGCTGCTCAGGTACTGCTCGAATGATGGTCCCTTCAGTTGATGGCCGCCTCGCTATCCTCGTTGGCGTTCCTTTGTCCTTGGTTGCCGTCACTGCCCTCAGACGGTTCATCGAGAGCCGGCGGAATAAACCCTCTCTTCCCCCAGGCCCAGCGCCGCTCCCACTGGTAGGGAACGTCTTATCAATTGACACAAACGAGCCTTGGGTGACGTATACTGAATGGCGTGCTACTTACGGTACGTGGACAGACAGTGTGGTGCATATGTGGTGCAGCTCAAATATTTTATCAGGGGACTTGATCTTCGTGCGACTCCTAGACCAGGAAACGGTCGTGATCAATTCTCAGCATATCGCAGAAGCCTTGCTGGACAAGCGTTCTCGCATTTACTCCGATAGACCGTACTTAGCTACACTCGAGCCGTGGGTTCTTCGAATATTCTTCCATTTAATCATTCTGAAGTCCAGGCAGATATGGCTGGACGATCAACTTTGCATTCATAGGTTACGGCGATGAATGGCGTCTTTGCCGACGACTCTTCCATCAAACGTTCCGTCCCGAGTCTGCACTCAAGTTTCGTCCAATGCAACTCAAGCGAGCTCGTGAGATGGTGGTCAACCTAATCGACGAACCCCAACATTATGAGTCCCACTTCGCAACGTCATTGCATGTATTTTTACACATCGAGCGATTATTTACCTGTTCACAGATTATCGTCCTCTGTTGCGATGTCAGCTGTATATGACTACGATGCCAGTGCTCGCGATGATCCTGTGGTCCAGCTCGTGATCAAAGCGCTAGTTCCGGGCTTGACTGTGTTGACCCCGGAGAGAGCAATGCTGCTTAACGCTTTCCCATTCTGTGAGCTCAACTGTCTTTGACGAGACAGAGTTAACATACTGAGCACTCTTGTGGGATGCAGTACTGAAGTTACCTGACTGGTGCTGGGGATCCTCGATCAAGCGTGGTGCTCGATCTTCAAGGGATCGCGTGAATGAAATGGCCGACGTGCCTTTTCGATATGTGCAGAAGCACATGGTGGGTATTTCATTTTGTTCTAGTTCCAGACATTGATTACATGCGTGCCAAGGCCGACAGCTCGCTCCTCGGCCAGTCCTCAATGGTAGCAGAAAATTTGCAACGGATGGAGACGCAAGATGAGGCCTCGAAACCAATGTTCGAGACTGCCTTGAGGAAAGCAGCTACTACTGCTGTTGTCGGTGAGTAGCGTTTTTTCAAGCGGTGTCATGCTCTTGATATATCCGCACTATGCAGCCTCGTATGAGACGGTAAGTGAATGTCCGAATTCCATGTCTGCCCCTTGACCTCTTTACAGACTTCTGCAAGCTTGATGGTTTTTCTTCTCGCGATGGTATTATATCCGGATGTTCAGAGACGTGCACAAGTGGAGATCGACTCAGTGATTGGAAGAGATCGACTGCCTACATTTGAGGACAGAGCATCACTACCATACGTCGAGGCAGTTCTGCGGGAGACTTTCCGATGGGAGCCTATTGTACCCCTTGGTAACTTAGACTTCTTACTGTGTGATCTCGCCTGTACTAAAGACGATCTTCTAGGCGTGCCGCATGCTACATCGAGTGACGATACATATAATGGTTACTTCATTCCAAAAGGTGTGCTATTTTTCCGATGAACATATTACTTGTAAAAAAAAAACTCACGTTCATCAGGAGCGACCATTGTGTACAACACATGGTCAGATGGATTCTCTCCAGCTTTCGCGATACTGACCTCATTTCAGGGCCATTTCACGGGATGAAAAGCGGTACCCCAACGCATCCCGTTTCATGCCAGAGAGGTTCATCGACGTCAACGGCGCGCTGACCAATGATGACCCTGCGGAGTACATTTTTGGCCTAGGTCGGCGTATATGCGCAGGTGGGTTGAGTTGTTTTAGTGCCGCAGAGCATGTGATGAACAAGGTGTCTTCTAATCAGGCCGGTCTACTGCCGATGCCTCTGTATGGTCTGCCATTGTGACCATGCTGGCTACAGTGGATATTTCTTCCGCCAAAGATGACCAGGGTAAAGTGATCGACTTCACCCCCGAGTTCATCCCCGGAGTGGTTCGGTACTTAGTTTCCTCATGTCCTTCTGACCTGCCGTCACTAACGGTGTTGTTGCTTTAGCTTTCCTGCGGTCTTCCCTTGCAGTATTTCAACTCGTTCTCACATTCATTCAGGACTGGTGGATGCGTTGCGGAATACTGTGTAATATGCTTGCTTCTATAATACTAGTGACATATCTGTATATTGGTGCGAGATCGGAACATCATTGCGCCTGCCAATGAGCATAAGCGAGTAATCCATGTTATATATTGACTAGATGACCTATGTAGTCACTTTGGTGGATGTGGAGAGTCAGAGACTAAATGATTTGGATATGCAGAGGACGCTGGAAAACTTGAACCTAGCTTTACTATTATCAACTGGGATGAAACTCACTGTCTTGAACCAGCCTTTCACCACCCAGATTTCATGACAATCATCATTAGCCGGTTAGGAAGCATGGCTACATAGGAGGTGTTACAAGAGTAAGTACATATCGGCAGAATGCTAACTCACAAACGCTGATGCCAGGTCGTACATCCAGGAATAATCCTTCACCACCTGCTCGAGCTAGCAGGGACACCACCCACACGCTACCTGATCTCCCAGTACTCAACGTCCTAATAAGCGCACCCGTATCCGTGTTCATCTGGCTTTGGAGTATCAAGCATTCCGTGGAAGTGAGCTGGGTGATAAGCGGATTGCCTGGAACACGCGACAAGAAAGGAATGTCTTCTGCGTCTGCAATCAATGCTATTCGCCGACACGGCATTCGGGCTTAATTTGGTGCGTGGAGAGATGGGGGGCGCGTGCGATAAGCCTTGGGTACGGAAACGGGCATTCAGGCTGATACTGGGAGACATGCGTTGGAGAGCGTCGGAGGTGCTGAGTACGGGGAGTGGTGATCGGGAGCATCGAGGATTGTGTGTGAACTTGGTTTGTTGTCACATATCGCGTGTATCCGGTCATAATTTGCGGGATTTGGTTTTCACTTTGAGAGAGACATCAACAAAGAGATAGCATTTTTACAACAGAACTAAATATTGTGCAGAGATGAAATTGCTGCAGTATTAATGGCCGTCAGAGTGTGGGGGAGACGCAGAGTAGAGAAAAAGTATGAGATGAGCCCACAATGGGAGGGGTCGTCTTGTTGCACCTGGTGTGGTGGTGCCAGTAGCAGGAGAGGGTGTCGTGGATGACGAGGAAACAGCAGACTCAATTTACGATGATGACGCCTGGGCTTGGCCGTGCGATTGGCTTTGCTGCTGTCGTGTTCGTTTCGCCTTGTGATGCGGAGCAACATACAATGACAGAAATAATCGAACCCCGGTGACTGTAAATGCACCCGAAGAACATACCCTTTTGTCCCGTACTGCAGCAACTTCAACAGTACGAAGACCGCGATGAGTTGGGCGTTGCTGAAGTTCGGTTACTTCCCAAGCATTGGTGCAAGAGCGGCGAAAGAGCGAAGAAAGGCGGTCAAGGAGTGCACTTGGACTCCCCAAAGAGGGTGCGAAAGTGCTGCCGCCGCGTGCAGAGGATTGAGAGAAAGAGGTCAGAATAGAAACGGATTTAGAAAGCGCTGACGACGCATACCAATATTGCCTTGAGCATCATCGAAAAACCCTGGTGTTAGTTGGTGGGTATACTTAAGCTGAGCCGGACGTCGCGTAGCATCACGCTAGAATTTTCATCTAAAGTGATTGAAAAGTTTGAGAAACAAGTCGTCTACAAGCATTAACGATTTCCCAGCGGCAACCTGCGAGTGGGAGATTAGTGTGGTCTTTACCAAAGAACCATGAGATTTACACTCACATCGGGAATGGACAAGAGGTCTTCAAGGTGTAAGGATTGCATATCCTCTAGACACCGATCATGCTTCAAAGCGAAGACGACGTGACTCCGTTACTCTTCGCATCCGAGTTACAAACTTCCATTTTCATTTCCTTTTACGATCTTACCTTGTGCTCACTCTATGCGCTGCAATGCAATGTGTTCAGGAGACTAAGTGTATTGCATGTGAGGGTAACTGAGCTGAGTAGTTTCCGACAACTAGGAGAAGATAGATAGAGACATTGGTGTTGGAATCGAACAAGTGCGCCCGCAGCCGTGGCGCTCCATTATTCGTTCGTATCTTCTGATTGGTTGAGCTTATCGAATCGTATGTTTCTATTGTTCGGTCTTGTGATTCACTTTCGCTCTTGTACCTACTGAATCCTTTGTGTGCTATGGCCAGCGCCTTCTCCATTGTCCCGAGTTTCACTTACTTACAAGATCACTCAAACTATTTAGCCAGCACTGTTTCGACTCGTTACCTCAGACGTTTGCCTTCGCGTGCACGATCTGAGGTAAGATACTTAGTTCTTTACTTATATTTCACCTTTGCTTACATCGCGCAGAGTGTCTGTCTATTACAGGTGAATATACCAGACGTTTGCCTTCGCGTGCACGATCTGAGAGTGTCTGTCTATTACAGACCTGCGCAACTATATTAATCCTTTAATTGGAAAGGTACGCGACTCGATATACGAGAACAAAGCAAGGTTATTGAATGTTTGGGCGAAAGCCCGTGAGGCTTTTCCAGACTGAAACAGAGTCTTAGTCTAGGTATCAATGGTGAGCTGTGTTCCCGAAAGGTAGGAGGACTATGACGCATGCAGTGAAGCTTGATGCCCCGTGAGAGAAAGGAGTTGTACTCACTTCGCGGCTTGGTTTAGCGTACTGGTGGCATGGTGTAGTGTGTGAACGGTTCTAACGTGGGCGATGATTGGATGTAAGGTGCTATGATCTTCGTGTGATCCCGAAGATATAAGGTAAAAGCTTCGCTTGACCACCTTCCCATTGTTTTGACGACATCGAAAGGCACTCCTCGCAGGAGGTATTTTAGGGTTCCTCCAATTCACAAACCGTGACCTTTGAGGTCGGGTAGGCCTGCTGCGGTTGCTGCTAGCGTCATTTTCTTTGTGAATTCTGTTTTTGAGAGCGGACATAAGCCTTTTTCGTGCTTCCACGTGAACAGATGCGCCCCAGATTCGGCTGTGTTGACTCTAAAATGATTCTCCATGGCTGCTTTGGGGTCTGTTGGGCCGTTTTGAGCTGCCCAATATGCTTCTTCACCTACCACCGGGGACGATTTCATGATAGGAAGCGAAAATTTGGTGATTGGTGGCCATTGGGGTCAGCTGATTCAACCATTCCTGCTCTAGATATATGTTTTTTCAGGTCGAATCCTTTGGCCGTTCTAACCGTGAACTCTCCCAGTCTTGCTATACAATAGAAGGTCATGGTCATACAAGCGAAAACTGCTGCATCAAGTGGCTTGTTTAGGTTTAGGTGTTCGCAGATGGAGGAAAGGAAGTCTGGGGTGATTGGTTGTCTCTTGGGATGTTTAGAGGCTGATGGGGCGAGTACGGTGGCTCCGTCCAGTGTTGCTTTGAGTTCACCCAATTGCACTAGCCACAATCTGCTGTGGAGCAGGTGCCAGGCTTTGATGCTGGCTGTATAGTTGGTCAGCGCTGATCCGGAGTACGCGCCCACGCAACTGGACAGGAATTTGAGGAGACTGGCGCTGACTGGGCAGCATTTGTTTTCTTCTATTTTGTTGAGGTTGCAGTAGACATGGAAAACTAATAAACCTGCTCCATAGGTTTCTTTCGTTGATTGGGCCCATGTGGAACCCATAACTTGCAGGATGCGGTTCAAATGCTCATCTGAAACTTTGTGAGTGTCGGGGTCTTCTGCTGTTGCAGCTAACTGTCTGGTGCTGCTTCCTGCTGGAACCCAGAGCCTCAGGCGATCGCGTGCAAGGCAGTGGGGTTGGAGGATGGATGAATGAGGGGTGAGGTTCGGTTTGTAGTTCTGTGGGGTGGGTGTAGATGCTGCGGAGAGTTCGGTCAATGGCGCTCTGAAACGGGTGTGACTCATATAGTCATTCGTCTCTGAGCACGCAGCTAATGAGTTTTTCTTCCTCTGCCCGATAGGCTTTGTTCTGTTCTGCTGCCTGCTGTCTGAGGAGGGTGCGATTGATAAGCTTAGCTGCAGGAACGGAGTATTTCCCGTCTCGCAGTAGTTGTAATTCCGTGGAGGAGAGTGGCAGAGTTGTGTCGATGATGAACTGGTTAAGTTCGACAGGAAGGTCGATGGGAGGGAGAAGAAGGTGGGCAGGTCCGAGTATGCCCCTGGATAGGTCGTCTGCAGGATTGAACTCGCTTGGGACATAGGTAGTTGTAATGTCGAGATGGTTGGGTAGATGGTGTAGGAAGTTGTGAATCCTCCGAAAAACTCTGTTGACCACTCTGTTGCGGTGTCTGTGCTTCCACCAGCCTTCCACGACACCAGTGTTGTCTCCGTGGATGAGAATATTGCTGCTAATGCCTGGGAGAGAGGCGATGGCATAGATAAGCAGCTCGAAGCCAATGGCTTCAGCCCACCCGATATCTCGCTTTCCATTGAGTGTCTTCCAACCTGGTATCAACCTCCAAGCTCTCCAGTGTTCGCCGATAACGATGCCTATCCCGATGCCTGAGCTTGCATCTGAGAATGCGAGGGGATTTTGGAGTTTGGTAGTAGGGTAGATGTCTCGTGCTACTCCTCCTGATTGAAGTAGGTCCGTCCACCAGTCCAAGTCTTCGCTTACAGTTTTCCCGGCTCTGTGCGGCAGAAAAGGTTTAGCTCCGTTGGTCGATAGCATGTCCTCGAGGCTTGTGAGGTAAGCTCGTCCTCAAGGTGCCGCTGAACATGCGTGTAAAAGTTTACTGTACAGTTCTTGTATGTCCTGAAGAATATGCGTGCACCTCTTCCTCCATTTGTGTATAGCAGTGAGGTATTTGTCCACTTTAGTTGGACTTAAAGTTACTACCATCTGTTTCAAATCCCACGTGAAGCCTATGTAAATGGTGGAGGTACCGAAAAGCTGATCTTTCAGACACTCCCAAATGATACCTAAAAGGTCAGAGAGATCGTCTAAGTCTTGGAAACAAAAGGTAAACAGTGTGTCGTGAGTTGAATGGTGCGAGCGGTGTGATAGATCTAATAATGGTTTAGCGTGGTCCTCACTAGATTCTTCCATTCTCCCTTTGATTGGGCAGAATTTGCCAAACCATAACCTCCTGCCCGATTGTCTCAAACCGGCTCCAGCGAATTCTTTGTGCCATGATGCCCTGCTGTCATTGTAGCTTTTTAGGGATTCACGCCTTATTCTGAAAAATATATGGTCGTCGACCCATTTGTCCAGCGGTCCGATTCCTCGATGATGGAAGATTTCGGTTCCGGCGTCTGCTACATGCCCATAAGCTCTTGCTGACGGGGTGGCGCTGAAAGCCATGCAAGTGTCTATACAGAACTGAGTGTCTGATATTTGGATCACACCTGCTGGCCATTGTGATGGGTGCAGCAGGACTGTCTGATATGCTTCTGCTATGTCCTGGGTAGCGGCTTCTGAACCTGGGGGGAGGGTAGCTATTAATTGGTATATTATCGAAAACTTTCCCCAGGTTGTTGGGAAATTGTTGGCGTCTATACACAAATTAACTGATGGATTAGGGAAGAGTGTACTCGGGGAATGTGGGAAGGAAAAGTTTTGTATGATCCAAAACTTCCCTGGTTTCCCAGGTTTCGGAATGATAGCTAAAGGGGACGACTGGAAAGGTCCGATTAGCGATTCTAAGGTGTTCGCTTCAAAAGGGCCCAGGTATCTCCCTTTGTTGATTTCTTTTTGGATGATGGAGCGAAACTCAGATTCAAATTCGACAATCGAGGGTTTATTAGGTGGAGTTTGTACATGAGTGATAGGGGGGAAATCTATTTTGAAACCAGTACGAAGACCTTCAGGTATCTTAGCAAAGCGTTCAGAAAGTCCGAGGTGTTTAAGTTCGTGAGTCCAAGCTTCTACTTTATATGGGGTTAGTGGGATCTGCTTTCTGTGCTCGAGCACATCTCTGGGCTCCATGGGATGTGGCCCCACATCCTGAACAGATGTGACACGCATCGTGTTGGGGTACTGTGCAGCCTTCTTCGCGCTGCCAAGCGGTACATAGTTGTTTTCCGTCCTTTGTCCACAGTCCCTTGTGGATGCGCTCTGTGAACATTTCGTGTTGCTTGTCCCATGTGTGGGTGGCCATGCACTCAATGGTCCTGTGCGGGTTGCGTCCCAGGCATACTTTTTGTTGTTGCCTGCTGGTTCTTCGTTAGGCGGCAGAGCGCGTTTCTGGGCTGTATATCCCTGTTGGGTTGACGCTGGGTGCTGTGGGCGTATTGGGTCTGAGCTTTTGGCTGCGAACACCGCTGCTGCTTGCCGGGCGATTGTGGATGTGCTGCGGTGCGCGATGCGGTGAGTGGGTAGAAGAAAGTTCAAGTAACGACAAAAGGGGTTGTTTGGTTGTGATAACCGAGTTATTTTTTAAACAAATTGATTTCGTTTTGGCATGTGATTGGCCATAGCCCAATAGGTTGTGATAACCCAAGGTGTAGTAGTGCATGATGCACGAGTAAAGGGTTTTTTGTCGGCACATGATTGGCTGACAGTTGAAAGTTTTAAGTAAACATTGTAATGGGGTAGGAGAAAAAGGGGGGAAAACGGTGCAAGGCACGATAGTAAGATGAGCGCGTGAACTTTACAAATTGTGTCCGTAGATTAATTCGACTGACCTGGATCGCAAACACTGTGTCTTTGTCTCGTTTTTCATTGAATAGTTCCTCTCTCGCTTTGAAAAGGAGGTCTTGGTTGATTTCTTCTAAACTCCAACCCTGTGTGGTCCCTACTGTGAGGTGCCAACGGCGTCACTGTTGCGACTGGTAAAGCAACAAGGCTTTTTGTTTGAGCACATCTGGTGCGTGACGCCAGTGGTGGGCTTGAAGGGCCGTCCAGAACTGGATATGCATGTTGACTCTGTCGTTTGGCCAGTCGTGTACCTTCATGAAAGAGACTATGCGCGGGGCCACCTCGTTAAATTCCTCCCAGGTGAGATTTTCATCTTTGGTGACTGGGGCTGCCTTGGGGTCTTTGACTGCTGCCGCGGGGACCCAAGAATGGACTCCGTCTGATGCTGGGAGCATCACTAGCGCATTGGGTTCAGCAATCAAGGCTGAAAACTTGGCCTCGTCGAGGCCTCTGTTGGTAAAGTAGTGTAACTCGCAATAATCCCCTGCTTTCAATCTCCTGTTCGCGTATTGCGCTGGGAGGATAGTAGGGTCGGAAGGTACTTTTCCACACTTGATGGGTGTGTACTTGCTTTTATTTTTCTTCCTATCTTCTAATTGAGTTGCTTCTTCTTCATCTTTAAGGTCCTGCTGCCTCTGGGCTTCGTCTTCCTCGGCTCACTGACGAGCCTCCTCTAGACGCTCTTGTCTAGCTGCCCAGCGTACTTTTTTGGTGTTGTTGTTAAAATTCCATAATGCTGTTAGGGATTGTGTAGCCTGCTGCTCAGATAGACCTTCGTCTATCAGTTGTTGGCGTTCTCCTTGGAACTCTGGTAGAGTGTAGTCTGGTCTAATAGCATTGTTAGGGTCCATACTGGCTATGTAGGGCTTTGTAAAAGCAAAAGACGTAGCAACTAGATGTTGGACTGAGACTAATAGACGACTGCGAGGTGGTCAGAAGCAAGAGGCTTTCTGCGCCACCTCGCTTATTTGCGCGTAGAAAACCAACTTCACAATCCCTTTCTTGGACCGAGTATTTTCACCTCACCATATGCTCTTCATGCCGATTCCGGCCTAGTCAACCGTTCGAAAACGTATATAAATCATTCATGTACTCTCGTATCTACTAGCGAAGTCATAGCAGAATCCCAGACGCTGATTCCCCGCTCCAAGCTCGACCGAAAGCTATCGCAGAAAAGTCCTCGTCTTATACGTTTTCTCTACTCGTCTCGTTCGCCGTTGCGCTCGTCACTTATCTACTTCGTCTCGTTACATTTCCCCTTCGAACTCACAACTAGCCTTACAAAGGCCAGCTTCTTGTAGTATGGCATAGATGTCCCACACGTACGCGTTTTTGTAGTAACTAACACCTTTCCATCAGCGGAAAGGGTTGCGCACTGCACATAATTTTCGTGCCGGAGGAGTGGGCCTACTGGGAGGTTCGTGTCGAGATTCCAAAGACGTGCTGTGGTATCCTGTGATGCAGTCACAAGGAGGCGGTCGTTGGGAGACAAGGAGATGGCATACCCACGATGTGCTTCCATGTGGCGGTGTCTAATACCCCAATCAAGCCAATGGTTCCATGCCGAGCTGAAAACTTGTTTGAGTGTGGCGAGCAGCTCGCCTGTCGGCGTCCCAGGTTTTTGCTGCATCCTCGTCACGTCCGACCGTCGCAATTTTGGCGGAGTCGGGGTAGTAGATCACCGCGAACATACCCATGTGCCCGGTCTTGATTTCAATTTTCCAGGACAGTTTCGCCGGTCTTGACATTCCACACTCTTGCCGTCCCGTCGTCGGATCTGCCGACGACTCGGTCACCATCTGCACTCCAGCATATTGATCTCACATACCCATACGCATTGTGCTCTGTCCATTTGGTGATGACCGTCCCCGTCTCCACGTCCCGCAACCTTACTTTCCCATCATGATTTCCGCTTGCAACAGTGTTGCCGTTTGGAGACATTGCTATGGTCCACAATCCTGACCGATCTCCTTTATTTCGCCAGTCATCGCCAATCTGTGCGCCGCTCTCTAGGTCCCATAGTCGGAGTGAGCCGTCCATTGAACATGTAATGATGCGCCGTCCGCCAGGCAGGTGCACAACATTTTGTACCCATTTGGTATGGCCTCGCATTATCTGGCGGGGCGTGATTACTGGGGTCTGTTTCTTCCTGCTGGTCCGGGAAGACATGGTGGCGCTTGGGGTCTCAAGCACGGCAGATTGTGGACTACGTATACAAGAGACGTTCCGGAGTATGTGAATTCGGACGGGTTATCTGGCAGGGGTAAATATCACAACTGTTACTTCAAGTCATGTTAATAGAAGCGTATAAGGGGTTGCTCACGAGATAGCCTGCTTATAGTGATTCAATTCTGACCCACAGGACGGCTCCAGTACTGTACGCAGGTATTGGTGCGGTGTAATGCGAGAATTCACAGTCGCTAGTAACTGGTCGGTCAGTTTTGCTTGGCAGACAAACCTAGTCACTCACGAGAAGCGCTAGAACTTCATATAAACTCTAAACGCCAGCGAGAGGCACAACCTGTAAGCTGCGAAAGTAGGCGTTTGGTTTGGAGCCAAGGAAGCCGAGCACTCGTTCGTTTAAGTCATGTACTCTGGTGCGTATTCCATGTGTTACCCTCGTGTTCGCTTCACAGTTCAATCAGACGAAGCGCTCAGGTCCTGCCACTGGCCCTGCATATACAATGGACTATATATGTTGATGAATTGTGACAGGCATCCGACAGGGCACCGCAATTTCTCTCTGTTTCTTGCAGCCAGTCAACTTTCGAACTCGATATCTTCAGTGTGTTCGTAGGAAGTGCAACGCGCGTGGCCAGGATGCATATGTTGTTTACGAGGAGTCATGGATCGCGTTGTGGTCACGCACACCACGACAATCTTGCCTTCCCTCTCTTATTCGGGATAAGGGACGGGACTTTTGAAAGACAGATCGCAAGGTTGTCTTGGAATACCCCACGTAGCGGGTTCTCGCATGACTTCGCTTTCACACAATTTATCACTCGTCTGGCAAGCTCACACCATCATACTGTACCGAACTGCCTTGATGACTTCGTCAGCTTACTGCTTGCCAAACTTCAGCGCGCGTTCATCCCAAGAATCTGATGTGGTGCTGTTGAGTACACATTTGCCTTGAGATTCACCCTAGATGACTTATAACTTCTCGCACGCGATGGATTGGGTGTCCAATACCTTGCGATGCCTTTTTGGAACCAGTCGATTGATCTTTCGTACGAAGGGCTTCTCATACACGGGTCGCTCACAGCTCACAAACGCTGATGCCAGGACCTAGGACGGCACGCAAAAGATGCAAAATAAAATGACAACGTATGTCTATTGTACTTTACTTTCCTCTTTTGCAATGTATCTTGTAGCGTGACTGGTCTCGTTTTAGTATATCTGAAGTACTACGGCTCATACCATGACCTTTTCATTTGCAGGACTGGGAACCTACAGCTTCTATTTATGGATGGCAACCTTCCGCTGTGTCTGTTGCGCGTTAGCTCCTCTCGTTGCGAGGCGGTGGGTCCTAAAATTGAAATAGTGCGCTAATATTGCAGATGGTTCTCCCATTCTCAAGTTTATTGAGACACGGGGCGCTAATATATATGATGTTCTGATGACGAGTTCCACTCAGAGACCATTTGGGCTGTTGGAAATGACAGTCCGCGGTGGCCCTCAGTGCATGTATATTCATGACTCCCGTGCAGTGCTTCCTGGCTTCCCTGATCTCGAACACATGATATGTGATCGACCACTGGGCAGCCACCCGGCGAGACCCATCGAAGCAAATCCGCCTTGCGTGAATTGTGCGAGTCTGCTCGCTTCCCCAATCGTATGATCCGTTCTCATCTTGATACCTCCAGAATCATCTTTGTTCCCTACCCGATCGGGCAACGTCCTCCGTCCCCTTGCGGTTATAAAGACCGTTGCGTTATACGGTCTGCTCACACACTACTCGAATGATGGTCCCTTCAGTTGATGGCCGCCTCGCTATCCTTGTTGGCATTCCTTTGTCCTTGGTTGCTGTCACTGCCCTCAGGCGGTTCATCGAGAGCCGGCGGAATAAACCCTCTCTTCCCCCAGGCCCAGTGCCGCTCCCACTGGTAGGGAACGTCTTATCTATTGACACAAAAGAGCCTTGGTTGACGTATACTGAATGGCGTGCTACTTACGGTACGTGGACAGACAGTGTGGTGCATATGTGGTGCAGCTCAAATATTTTATCAGGGGACTTGATCTTCGTGCGACTCCTAGACCAGGAAACGGTCGTGATCAATTCTCAGCATGTGGCAGAAGCCTTGCTAGACAAGCGTTCTCGCATTTACTCCGACAGACCGTACTTAGCTACACTCGAGCCGTGGGTTCTTCAAATATTCTTCCATTTAATCATTCTGAAGTCCAGGCAGATATGGCTGGACGATCAACTTTGGATTCATAGGTTACGGTGACGAATGGCGTCTTTGCCGACGACTCTTCCATCAAACGTTCCGTCCCGAGTCTGCACTCAAATTTCGTCCAATGCAACTCAAGCGAGCTCGTGAGATGGTGGTCAACCTAATCGACGAACCTCAACATTATGAGTCCCACTTCGCAACGTCATTGCATGTATTTTTACACATCGAGCGATTATTTACCTGTTCACAGATTATCGTCCTCTGTTGCGATGTCAACCGTATATGACTACGATGCCAGTGCTCGCGATGATCCTGTGGTCCAGCTCGTGATCAAAGCGCTAGTTCCGGGCTTTACTGTGTTGACCCCGGAGAGAGCAATGCTACTTAAAGCTTTCCCATTCTGTGAGCTTGACTGTCTTTGACGAGACAGAGTTAACATACTGAGCACTCTTGTGGGATGCAGTACTGAAGTTACCTGACTGGTGCTGGGGATCCTCGATCAAGCGTGGTGCTCGATCTTCAAGGGATCGCGTGAATGAAATGGCCGACGTGCCTTTTCGATATGTGCAGCAGCACATGGTGGATATTTCCTTTTGTTCTAGTTCCAGACATTGATTACATGCGTGCCAAGGCCGACAGCTCGCTCCTCGGTCAGTCCTCAATGGTAGCAGAAAATTTGCAACGGATGGAGACGCAAGATGAGGCCTCGAAACCAATGTTCGAGACTGCTTTGAAGAAAGCGGCTACTACTGCTATTGTAGGCGAGTAACCTTTTTTTACAAGCGACGTTACGCTCTTGATATATCCACGCTACGCAGCCTCATATGAGACAGTAAGTGAATGTCCGAATTCCATGTCTGCTCCTTGACCTCTTCACAGACTTCTGCAAGCTTGATGGTTTTTCTTCTCGCGATGGTATTATATCCAGATGTTCAGAGACGTGCACAAACGGAGATCGACTCAGTGATTGGAAGAGATCAGCTACCTACATTTGAGGACAGAGCATCACTACCCTACATTGAGGCAGTTCTGCGGGAGACTTTCCGATGGCAGCCTATTGTACCCCTTGGTAACTTAGACTTCTTACTGTGTGATCTCGCCTGTACTAAAGACGATCTTCTAGGCGTGCCGCATGCTACATCGAGTGACGATACATATAATGGTTACTTCATTCCAAAAGGTGTGCTATTTTTCCAATGAGCATATTATTTGTAAAGAAACTCACGTATATCAGGAGCGACCGTTGTGTACAATACATGGTCAGATGGATTCTCCCATATTTCGCGATACTGACCTCATTTCAGGGCCATTTCACGGGATGAAAAGCGGTACCCCAACGCATCCCGTTTCATGCCAGAGAGGTTCATCGACGTCAACGGCGCGCTGACCAATGATGACCCTGCGGAGTACATTTTTGGCCTAGGTCGGCGTATATGCGCAGGTAGGTTGAGTTCGTTTAGTGTCGTGCAGAGCATGCGATGAACAAGGTGTCTTCTAATCAGGCCGGTCTACTGCCGATGCCTCTGTATGGTCTGCCATTGTGACCATGCTGGCTACAGTGGATATTTCTTCCGCCAAAGATGACCAGGGTAAAGTGATCGACTTCACCCCCGAGTTCATCCCCGGAGTGGTTCGGTACTTAGCTTCCTCATATCCTTCTGACCTCCCGTGACTAACAGTTTCGTTGCTTTAGCTTTCCTGCGGTCTTCCCTTGCAGTATTTCAACCCGTTCTCATATTCGCCCAGGACTTGTGGATGTTTTGCGGAATGCCGTGTAATGTGCATGCAGATGGACTGCTTCTGTAACACTAGTGACATGTGACCTGTATAAGTATTGGTACGAGATCGCGACGTACTAATAATTGCGCCTGGCGATGAGCGTGGGCGAGTAAACCCTCGTCATATATTGGCCAGACGAAGAAGGGACGCGACGTCTATGACCCTACCAGCTTGCATGCCACTGGCACTTGGATCACCCCAGCGGTCGATCATATATCACGCTCCATTCGATTTAAGTACCAGCTTTCCCACTGAGGTTCATTATAACTGATGACGGCGGTGATGCTCATCCCAGATCCGTGGGGTGAGACTTCAGGAAGAAGTTGAACTACAAGAGACAATAGTATACAGGTTGAGCACGCTTGTCCGATCATACGCATCATCCTCCTTCCAGAATCTTTTTCCTTACCCGATCATCGGCGATCCGTAGCGAAAATCAATAGCGATCGAAAAGACATGACGCGACGTCCAAGTGGCACTTCCTCCCGATTATAAATTACAAGCAATCAATCCGTTCGCCTTCGGACGTCCAGTCACGGTGTACGTATGGTGTAAATAGATCGGAGTACTTAGACTACTACGTTGATCGTGTGCAGAGGACATACTACAGAAATGCTTGTAGACGGTTTCCCTTCGAAGATATGTTGCGATTCACAGTAGTACTAGTAAAGCTCGAGCACAAAGTACTATATAATTGAGAGAAGAATACAAAAAATACCTCGTTTGGTGAATTTGTGGTGTAGAGCTGCGACGCAGACTTTTCGGTCTACTACTAAATAGGGCGTATAAGTTGATTTATTTATATGCCCAGTGAGTTGAGCAATTTTAATGCCGTAGAGCTTGCAACGAGCCAAGACATTCTTTAATTAGGTCGACATTATATGGCGAAGCCTCTGCATGATCACCGGTCTGCTATTGTGACCATGTTGGCGACAGTGAATAATAAATCAAACAAGGATGGACCTGTGTTCCGTGAATCGCCGCCTAGAGGGGGAGTGTCATCAATACTCGGGGTGCAGATGAACGAGATCTGTGACGGGATACTGAACCTCAGTCCCAGTTTGATACACGAAGAAAAATATCAAGCTCTTGCTGCCTATGCCTCTGGATTTACAAAAATATAATGTCATTTCAATCAACGGCGCAAGGCCATCTAGGTCATTTCGATTCCATCATCCCGATCACATCAGTGGTCATCAGCGCCACACGACCCCCATTTGACGAGCCGAGTTGGTCCGTCAAGCCATGACCGCACTCTGCGGCGAGCTAGGAGGGACATCGTGGAGCCGCAAGTGCCGACGAAGTCGGCTCCATTCGAGTGAATGATAGCGTCGATAAAAACCGGATACCTGGCAACAGCAACAGCTTCTAGTATCAGAATGAGAATATGGCATCTGAATGGCTCACCACTTTCCATGGATCCCCTCTGTACCCTCTGTAGCATAATCTACCCACGTCCAGCCCAACGCCCTGACCTCTGACCACCATTCCGGGTCACGCTCGTCACTTGTCATGATAACCCGTGTGACCTCAATCCCTTTTTGTGTGCGAAGCTCCTCTTGCACCTCGGACACCCTGCGCGCAATAACAGACAATGAGGCAAACACTGATCCAAAGACATTGATCGCCGAAGTCACCATGCCGTATGTGGATAGATATATACTATCCACAGTTAGATCTGTGGAGAAACCTGTACCCGAGATTTCCACTCACAAGAGGTGTTGGTTCATCTACTGGCACGTTCATGGCGTGCCGGGCATGCGCATCGGAAAGCCTCTCTAGGCTTGCATTCCATCGCATGTGTTGGCCTACAAATATCCATGCAGGAGAATAGTTCAATTCCCATCCATGATGGGCACCTACATAGTAAAGGAAATCGAAGCAAGTACCTGATCGTCCGGGGGAAGGGAAACCTAATGCTGAGGAGAAGGACGATTCGTTTATTCCAGGCTATTCTGGCGGACCTCCGGAAACCCAAGTGCTGCAAGGGACCAAACGGACGCATGAACTTGACCGTCTTGACTATCTTCTCTGCCAGGAGATATCAGCTTGACCCAAGTGGGGGTTCGCATCCACGACATATCTGTGATGACCATATTGTTAATCACCGGCTAGGGATGTTCGAAGTTGTCTCACCGAGCTTGAGCCGGTTCACGGAGGGACTTCCCCGTGGACGGGGATCCTACTAGTTCTTCAGAACGCATTCCCAAACACTCCAACAACAAAAATCATCGAGAACCCACTTTCCGAGTCTTTTACATTCAAGTAAGGGAATCCCTATGGCTTGGCTAAGCCGAGGGGCGTCGATCACTTCCCCAAAAGCAAATGGAAGTTCACTTTTGTCGATATGAGAAGAGAGGAACTTCGGGATTATGCGTATACGCTCTGTTATGAGTGCCAGGTAAATCAAATTTCCCTAGTTTCTGTGAGGAACGGGCACAACGTCGGAAATAGATCATTGACTTGCATAGGTCATCACGTCATTTGCTAACAAGTAACTGTGATCGGTGGTGTAAGTGGCGGTTCGCTAGAGTTGACATACTCCATCCTGATGAAGCCCACGATATAATGTACTTCGTGTCATTACGAAAGTTATCTGAGACCATTATTGTGAGATCCGAGGGACGTCTTGACTGACCAACTGACCTCGAAAGCGTTGGGTGGGTGGGCCTTGGACATATAACCGCGAGTTGAAGACAGCAGAATACGCAGGCGCATACTGTACGTCCAAATAGCTCAAGGGCTCGAGCAGGAGAGCTCCAAAGCTGAGCAAGGAGACGCCTGCAAGAGCTGCGCAGATCATCCTGAGAGACGGCTGTCTACCTTTAGCTGACAATAGTTTGGCATGGAACATGGGAATGAATGGCATCTCTGGGTCGTCGGATGCATAAACTGGATACAGGGGAGATGGGCTAACGCACATATCCTGCTAGTGTTGGGCGCATCCGACAGAACCAGGAACGATCCCTCCCGGCCGCGGCCCTGCTGGTGCCGTTGATAATCTCCGCCCCTGGTATTTGATGTAGATAGAGAATTAAATGGCAGTACTTAGTCTCATTGATGCCATAACGAAGGAAGTATTTGGTTTGAGTGGACAATCACGATTCTGCTCAGAGTCTTGTCAAAGGCCAGCTATTCGTCAGAACCCTGAGCTGGAGTGCGTATGCATCTAATCTAGGTGGCTATAGGGGGTGAAATGCATTTAGTATTTCCATCTATTGCAAAACAGTCTGCAACGTGTCAACGGCGGTGTGCCCTGACCGCCACAAGCTTCAATCAGTAGGTACTGATGTCGAGGCACTGCGCTCACAGAATATAAAGGAAGCGAGCTCTGATGAAGATCACAGAAGCAAACATGCATAGCAGTCGTGCGGTCACGAAACGGCCTATGATATTTTGGGATTGGTATTGGATCGGTGTCCAAAGAAGACCGCGCAGTCCTGAGGTTTATGGAGCGATGGAAGCAACCGGTGGAGAATGTAAAACTACAAGGCTCGACGCTTCGCTGTATGGAGATTGTCTGCATATAGATACTTACTAGTACTTATCCCAGCTTCGAGAAAAGCACTAACTTGAGCAGTGCGGCTGCGCCGGCGCCGGCCCGGAACCTTGCTATAAAAAAAATTAAAAAAAGACTGGCCCCCCGGGGACATCCGCATCTGATGTGAAAAACCGCACTCGATGCTGATCGCCCTCGATAGGCATGTATCGAGTCTGGACGCACCGAAGAGTAAGCTTAGGACAAAAGGGACACCATTGGAGAACATATCGTCGTTGTTGCCAGTTCTCACTATTCAGCGGGGACTAGCCCCAATAATATCCTTGTCCGATGAACGAGACAGGTTTACAGGATGGTTTTCGAATGTCGTACAGAGTACTGCGAGCGAATTTTATCACGACAGGGCTTCAAGTACATAAATGTAATCAATATAATCTAGATCATCATCCTCGTTGTTCGGATCTCTCCAGCAAGTCTATGAATTGCGATGCCACACGTGTCCTCCGCTTGTGCTAAACAACTGATCGAACACGTTAGTAGCATGTACCATAAGTACTCTTAAGCTTCATCGGAACCTGTTAGAAATTGGTAGTAGCCTGGGAGTCGGCAGTATCTCGCCTGTGGGTTGCCGACTCGCCCGGGAGATTGTATCATAGGCCGGGGACGCGATACGGTCATTTCTCTCCAAGCGCCCGACATTACTAAGTTCTAACTTTACAGATAACGTATTACCCTAAGTTCCTTGATTCTATGATGGGCCTGGCAGCTTCCAGGCCAACTTGGAGTAAATTCGAATTCTCTTATCGACTTCTGGAACTAAGCGGAGACTTACGACGCAACGAAGGCCTCTAGTTGGTACTACCGTGTAGGTCACCTGAGGCACAATATACGCCTTACTGAATGTCATGAAGGCACACTGAAATCTCAAGTTGAGCTGTGGAGCCTTCATATTGCCGCAGAACCTGCAGAGCCCCTACAAATCTCATTTGGTCATGCGCCCATATAATTAGAAACGTTACTCGGAATCAGATGTTGCTCCTCTCGCCCCCTTCCTTCCGCCATGTCGGTCACTGGAGAAGAAAAGGTCCACGGAAGCGGATCTGAAACTTCATATGCTGAACAAGTCGAGATCTTCCAGCGTCCTGGAGGATGGAGAGGTGTTTACTACCACACAGCCACGCAGGTTTGTTTGGTGGGCTTCGTATGTTTTATGTGCCCAGGCATGTTTAATGCCCTTACTGGTCTTGGTGCTGGTGGTCAAGTCGATGCAACTAGCAGCGCAAACGCGAATTCCGCCCTCTATGCTACCTTTGCATTCTTCGCATTTTTTTCTGGGTCAGTGGCGCGCAGTGCTTGGTATCGTGCGATCATCTGATTTATCCCCTGTCTAGCTCTGTACATAACGTGCTCGGACCTAGAGTCTGCCTGATGCTCGGAACGTGGGGATATTCTCTGTACATCGCATCTTATCTGTACGTTTTTCTTCGTCTCCTGTCTTTAGTCCTTACACGGGATCGGTTAGTGCAACGAACATCCATCCCGGTGCAGGTAGCTTTGTTGTCGCCGCCGGAGCTATCTTAGGTGTCTGTGCGGCCCTGGTATGGACGGCACAAGGATCCTTGATGATGGCATACCCAACCGAGGCTCAAAAGGGGACGTACATCGGTTACTTCTGGGCTATCTTCAACTTAGGAGGCGTCGTTGGCTCTGCGGTGGCCTTCGGGTCGAACTTTAACTCGACGGTAAATTCTCCTTGCTACATAAGCTGTACGATGTTCATGAACGTAAAACCAGGCGAACAAAGTTGGAAATGGAACCTATGTGAGCTCCTCTAATATTGTGATGGAGTGATGTTCGTTGATCATATTCCTGAAGATCGGATTTCTGATCCTCTCTCTCACTGGTGTGGTTTTGCCCCTCTTCCTTGCAGACCCATACAAGATGATCCGCACTGATGGGACCAGAGTCACGCCTATCCGTCACCCTTCTTGGAAAACTGAGTTTATCAGTCTTTTTGTGGCACTGAAGACGGACCCTTGGATTGTCCTCTTGTTTCCCATGTTTTTCGCCAGCAACTACTTCTACACTTGGCGTGAGTCAACAAAACAAGGAAATAATGCAGTAGGGATTGATGCATTCACCAGAATTTAATGACTATAACGGCGCCCTGTTCAACATTCGCACACGCGGCCTGAACAACTTCGTGTATTGGACTGCTCAAATCTTCGGCTCATTCTTCATCGGTCACTATATTCTGGATTTGAAGTCGTTCCGTAGACGAGTCCGTGCGTTCTTGGGCTGGTCGATTGTAGTTGTCCTTGTCTTTGCTGTTCATGTGTGGTCATATTATTACCAAGTGTAAGTCGTTAGTCGCCGTCTACCTCTTGTCTAACATGACGGTCAATTCCACAGGACTTATACTCGCACCTCTCTGCCTCCTACTGCCGTCAAGATGGATATCCACGACCCTGGTTACCCTGCACATGTATGGCTCATGATCTTTTATGGTCTCCTCGACTCTATGTGGCAGACAACTGCATACTGGCTGATGGGCGCTATGTCCAATGACCCTGCGAAGCTCGCCGTGTTCACTGGCTTTTGTGAGATTATCTCCCTTTGAAGTCACACAATAGTCCCAGTTCTAATGTTGTTCTATTTCACAAGACAAATGCTTCCAGTCTGCTGGATCTGCTGTTGTGTGGCGCCTTGACGCTGTGCAAACACCGTAAGCTTTGTTCTTTTCTGGAAGTTTGCAAACATTTTTTTTTCTTCAATTCACAGATATATGAACCTTTTCATTTCTACTTGGGTCCTAGCGGCTGCCGGCATGATATGCGCCTTCCCCTTGGTCTACATGCGTGTAAAAGACTACACGGAAATGGACGATGAGGCCTTGTGAGTTTCTCTGTTGCCTTGTCACCTTACGTACCCACTAAGTTACTGCCAAGGTTGAACCGCCCAAACGTCGAGAAACTTCCTGAATTCTCTCAGAAGTAAAGTGACAAGCGTTGGTGCAGCAAGCGAGAACGATACTGTATTTAGGACGCACGAACTTATACGAACTTGTAATGGGATTTTTGTTGTTACTTGAGGTCTGTGTTTATAGTTACCCTGCTGGAAGGAATAGTATGTTGTATTGATAGGTTGTAAATTAATTCTCAGATGATAGATATTGCAGTGAACAAGTGGGTTTGGTGTCTTTGTGTACAGGTCGCGTGTGGGCTCCCCTTTGGGTTGACATGCTACTCAGAAGTCGTGTCCGCAGTCGGTTCAATGCCCTCTCCCCCTTCCACAACGTGGGAGTCGGCAGGATGTAATCTGCGACCCGCGGGCGGCCCGGGAGAACGCATAATCGATAGCCGGGAGATGCCGAATGCTGTTTTGCCTTGAGCTCGCAGGAACGTTAACGTTATCCATACTTACTCAGTACTGCTCTCTTTTGAAGGAATATAGTATTTACGACCTAACTCTTGATGGAATGGTGCGCATTCCCACTAGATCCCTTTCATCGACTTGCGGAGCCAAGCGAAGATACCAGTAGGTCACCTGAGGCACAACCCATGCATAATGACTTGTCGAGCCTCCACATTGTGTCCCACGCGGGACATATAACTGATACCTGCAGACCTTGTTTAGTCATGGGCCATATAATTGTGAACGTTTCTAATGCTGCTGGGTACGCTCCCTTCCTTCCGCCATTCCGGCCACTGAAGAAGAAAAGGCCCATGGAAGCGGATCTGATACTTTGTCTGCTCAACAAGTCGAAGTCTTTGCATGTCCCAAAGGATGAGGTATCTACTACCACCCAGTCACACAAGTCTGCCTAGTGGGCTTTGTGTGCTTTATGTGCCCGGGCATGTTTAACGCCCTTACCGGTCTTGGCGCTGGCGGTCAAGTCGATGCAACTAGCAGCGCAAACGCGAATGCTACTTACTATATGCTACCTTTGCTTTCTTTCTAGGTCAGTCGTGCGCAGCGCTCGGTATCAAGTCATCATCTGATATATCTGTGTAGCTCGGTGCATAACGTGCTTGGACCTAGACTCTACTTATTTCTCGGAACGTGTGGATATCCTCTACATCGACTCACAAGGTTGAATAGTACGACGAACATTCATCCCGATGCAAGTCACTTTGCCGTCACCGCCGGAACTATCTCAGGTGTCTGTGCAGCCTTGTTATGGACGGCCCAAGGATCCTTGATGATGGCATACCCGACCGAAGCTCAGAAGGGGACCTTTATTGGTTACTTCTGGGTTATCTTTAACTTAGGAGGTGTCGTCGGCTCCGTGGAGGCCTTCGGGTTGAACTTCTACTCGACGGTAAAGTCTCAAACGCGAATGCTACTTACTATATGCTACCTTTGCTTTCTTTGCATTTTTTTCTGGGTCAGTCGTGCGCAGTGCTCTGTGTCAAGTCATTATCTGATATATCTGTGTAGCCCGGTGCATAACGTGCTTGGACCTAGACTCTGCTTATTTCTCGGAACGTGTGGATATCCTCTGTACATCGACTCACAAATAGTGCGACGAACATTCATCCCGATGCAGGTGACTTTGCCGTCGCCGCCGGACCTATCTCAGGGGTCCAAGGATCCTTGATGATGGCATACCCGACCGAAGCCCAGAAGGGGACCTGTATTGGTTACTTCTGGGCTATCTTTAACATGGGAGGTATCGTCGGCTCCGCGGTGGCCTTCGGGTCGAACTTCTACTCGACGGTAAAGTCTCCTTGCTATATAAGTAAGCTGATACAATGTATATACATAGAAAATCAGGCGAAGAAAAATGGGACCTATGTAAGCTCCTCTATCATTCTTATGATCGTTGTGATCATACTTCTGCAGATCGGGCTCCTCATCCTCACCCTTATTGGCGTTGTTTTGCCTTTCTTGTAGATCCATACAAGATGATCCGCGATCACCAACCTTTTTGTGGTACTGAAGACGGATCCTTGGATTGTCATCTTGTTCCCTATGGTCTTTGCCGGTAACTACTTCTACACTTGGCGCGAATCAAACATCACAGGAAAATGACGCGGCAAATGGTTGATGCGTTTTCCAGAATTCGACGATCATAACGCCGCCTTGTTCAACATTCGCACATGCGGCCTGAACAACTTTGTGTATTGGACTTCTCAAATCTTCGCTCATTCTTCATTGGCTACTTTGTTCTGGATTCGAAGTGCTTCTGTGCGCTTTGGGCTGGTCGATTGTGGTCGTCTTTGTCTTTGCTGTCCATACCTGGGCATAAGTAAGTCGCCGTCCACCTCTTTTTCAACATGACAACCAACTCTATAGGACTGTCTGCTCGATTCTGTGTGGCAGACAACTGCCTACTGGCTGATGAGCGCGATGTCCGATGTCCGATGACCGATGACCGATGACCCTGCGAAGCTCGCCGTGTTCGCTGGCTTCTGTAAGAATCGAATCTCACATGAAGTCGCGGAACACCCCAGTTTTTAATGTTATTCTACTCCCCAGAGAAATGCTTCCAATCTGCTGGATCTGCTGTTGTGTGGGGCCTCGACGCCGTGCAACACCCGTAAACTCTCTCCGGTTCAGTAAGTGTGTAAAATGTTCTTTTCTTCATCCGCAGGTATATGACCTCATCTTCATTTCTACTTGAGTTCTAGCTGCTGCCGGCATGATATGCACCTTACCTTTGGTCCACGTGGGCGCAAAGGACCACGCTGATATTTGACAACGAGGCTCTGCCAGTTCCTCTGTCATGTCATGCTATGTCTCCTTACTTTGTTTAGTACTTACTGGCCCAGATTGAATCGCCCCGATGTCGAGAATATCTCTGAGCTCGCTGAAGTAAAGCGACAGGTGTTGTTGGAGCAAGCTAATCTGGAACCAACGTTTTGGTAAGACGCACCAACTCTTCTGTACCCGGTTGTCCCGGAACGTCTGGTTCAACGAGACTAGGAAGCATGCAGGACAATTCATTTAGTACCATATACAAACTTGTAAATAATTTCGTACCTTGGAGATCGGTGTTTATAGGTGCCTGCGAGGAAACGCATGCTGTACGGGCCGCGCGTTGACGACGTTGATTCTCAGAAGCGTCCGAGAAGGTGAGCCCGCTATTACTTTCGTGATTGGATCACTGTTTTTGGACTGAGTCACAAGACACTTTTGATCAATTCATGATTTCGACTCAAACGCCACAGTGCATTCATGCACCATGCGCCGAGCGCAAGCAGGAGAAGGTAAGAGATCGCATGCGGAATGACATGCATGAGAGAACTTGCTCTACATTCGTAGCCAAGCTGATACATTGCATCTACTAGTGCAGTGCCACTGGCAGCTAGCGCCCAAGATATCCACAGAGACCCGGTGCAACCTTTGGGTATTCTCTGCGATAGTTTTCACGACTGTACGGTCTATTATCGTGATAAAATTCATTTCGAAGCGTATCTACGCACGAGCTTGCCTACGGCGCATTGTGTAAACAAGGGGCCCAGTTCCTTTGTTACATTTGACTTTCCCTCGCCGGCATTGCTTATTTTAGTACGAGCCCTTTCTTTCAATTACTTTCCCCACGGGTCTCAATACGCCGAGTGACCGCATGGGTTGTCCATACTATATGTGGGCGCTTGATAACGCTACGTTATAAGAATCACTAGAGTGTAACTTTGTGCTCCGCGTTGTTGCCGGTTGCATCTTCTGACTACCATGTCTGACGCACAAGCAGAAGTCGACAAACTTGGGAGCAGCAGCAGCGAGGACTCCGGTTCTCAGCGCGCAGAAATCTTTGACCGTCCGACGGGATGGAGGAGATACTACTACCACCCCATTACGCAGGTGTCGATGTTGGGATTCGTTTGTTTCATGTGCCCCGGAATGTTCAACGCACTTACTGGTCTCGGCGGTGGAGGCCAAGTTAGCACTACGGACGGTTCCAACTCTAACACGGGCTTGTACTCCACTTTTGCGTTTTTTGGGTTCTTTGCTGGGTAAGTCAGAGTCATCACCATCGCTTTTGCCTATGGTGACCAATGTTCCAGTTCCGTTAACAATGTGCTTGGTCCTCGGCGCACCCTGATGCTTGGGACCTGGGGCTACTCGTTGTATATTGCCTCCTACCTGTAAGATGCCTTGTTATTCGATCCTGCGATTTTGCTCAAACATCATCCTTCAGTGCTGTCAACATTCATCCGGGCGCGGGTGCTTTCGTTGTCGCGGCCGGTCCCATCCTCGGTGTCTGTGCAGCTTTCCTTTGGACCGCGCAGGGCTCGCTGATGTTGTCATACCCCACTGAGGCTCAGAAGGGCATGTTTATTGGTATCTTTTGGGCCATCTTCAACCTTGGGGGAGTTGTGGGGTCTGCTGTGGCGTTTGGAAGCAATTTCAATAGCATGGTGGGTGAAATATTACGTTTATGAATAAATACGTGGACGCTCATATCCTCCACTGTCAGGCTAACAGCGGTAAGGGCATAATATTGCCATCTCACAGCGGAACTGACCGATTTTGTCATGTCCAGTTGGCAATGGTACATACGTATGTCATCCGATACATCATTGCCAACACAAATTGATACTTTGTTAGGTTGGCTTCCTGATTCTGACCCTCATCGGCGTATTTATCCCGCTGTTCATGGCGAATCCAGACAAGATGATTCGTACGGACGGAACCCGCGTGAACCAGGTCCGCCATCCATCCTGGAAGACGGAGTTTTTCAGCCTGTTCGTGGCCCTGAAGACTGACCCTTGGATTCTGCTCCTCTTTCCTATGTTCTTTGCCAGCAATTACTTCTACACGTGGCGTTCGTATATTTCTTCTTGGAATCATTGCGGATGCTGATAAGTTACGCAGAATTCAATGATTACAACGGCGCGATATTCAACATCCGTGCACGGGGTCTCAACAACTTCATGTACTGGACATCACAGATCTTTGGATCCGTCTTCATCGGTTACTTTGTCCTTGACCAGAAGAAGCTCCGGCGTAGAGTCCGCGCATTTTACGGGTGGATCATTGTGTTCCTCATGGTTTTCATTGTCCACGTCTGGGCATACTTCTACCAGAAGTAAGTCTTCTTACTGCACTACAAATCCAAATGGATAATCAATGCGTTCCTTAGGACATATACCCGCGCTGAGGAGGCAGCGACAGGTGCTTACAAAATCGACATCTTGGACAAAACCTACCCTGCCCATGTTTGGCTCATGATCTTCTATGGTTTCCTGGACTCGATGTGGCAGACATATGCATACTGGCTGATGGGCGCGATGTCAAACGACCCTGCCAAGCTGGCCGTATTTGCTGGCTTCTGTATGTATCGACCTTCAATTAGAAGTACGAGTTCGATACTGATCAAGAACCCGTATAGACAAGTCCATACAATCTGCGGGTGCGGCAGGCGTCTGGCGTGCTGATGGAGTCGGTCTCCCGTAAGTTCATCATCCCTCCATTTTGTGAACACCCCACTGGATCAGCGCTTCAGATACATGAACATCTTCTTGTCGACGTGGTGCCTGACGGTTGCTGGCATGCTCTTCGCTTTACCAATGGTGTACCTTCGCGTCACCGACCACACGGACATCGAGGATGAGACTCTGTGAGTGTCCATGATGATTGATGTACCTGTGCTAATTTCCATGGCAGGATGCAAATGGCAGGCGTGGAACGGATCGAGCCTCCACTAGTTACGACAACGGAGAAGGCATAATGTATCGATCACGAACACTTCCTCCATGCCTTGTGAATGAATGAATGAAACTTCTTTTTTTCGGTGGTTGCATGGTAAGATACTTACCAATAATCAACAAATCGTGTTTAGTTTTCTGTATACTTAATGGTGATTCTGGTGTCATTTCAAGTGGAAGGACGATGCATTTCATGTCATCACGTCGCGCTGAGATACTGGGTCCTCGACGGAGTGTTGATGGTGTTTACTACCTTCAAATCATCCCTCATGAGTGAAATGACGATACTACCCAAACCACGGATGCAAAGCTTAGGAGCTCACATCTAGATGCTATAATTAGCCCTTCACCATCTACCGTGCCTGAACAGGAAATGGGTCACTTACCCTTGATTTCTGATTTCCAGCACTACTTCAGACTATTTTATTTGAGAAACTGCGTGGAATGATAGAAAATGATCATGGCTATCATGATATCGAGGTTTTGTGATTTTAGAGAAGTGTTGTGTATGTTCGTGAATATTTTGCCAGAGGGTCTCAACTTTGGTCAAATGGACCAGTCAGAACTAGCAAACCAACCCCACAAGCTCATGCAATTATTTTTGGTGGAGGGCTTGTCAGACAGGGTTCCACTTGATTCAGGTATACAGTTTTTTGTGAAGGAGGCGAGGGCATACTAGATAGTCCCATGAGTTCGCGCGTCTGCACGGAATCCTTATGTATGTTACGCATAGGTTCCTCCCAACATAATACACATGACCATGTATTTTCTTAAAAAAAAAAAAAAACAAAGTGGATCTCGTGCTATGGCCGAGTTATGGGTGTTCAAGGCTGGTTTTGTGCATAGATGACTCCCTCCAAAGGTCAGATCACCACAGAAAAATGTGGAATGCGAAATGATGGTTATAGAATGCTAAAATAAATTTCTCCGAGGCCACATGCTTCTCAGAATCATCTGCTATGAATCAAATACGACCCAGACGTGACAATCTATCCAAAGCGTTACAATGAGACTGCACGCATCTAAACTCCGCAGTGCCGAAATGCGGCACAAAAACACCAATTGCTGCGGTGCAAGCGGTGCGGAGTGTGAAAAGGCATGGCGGCAGACGTGTGACATGGTGTGACAAAATGCGCGAACTCTAGGGAAAACCGCACTTTTCTGCGCGGTAAGTCTCCGGTGGACTCAACATGTCGATTTTGAAAGAAAAGACCAGCGGGCCTTGTACTTTCGATGTCAGGCTATCTATCTGTCGAAAAATTCTATTTTTATGTGGATGTGTTGTAGAGTTATAGATGTTTTCCCAAAAATGCGCGAACTCTAGTGGACATCTAGTAGTACGGTGCAATCGACACCCAACAGGAGTCGGCAGGTCACACTTATTTCATCATGCAAACCTTGAATAGTTCAGCTCAAAATTTTGGGACAGTGACCTTTCGACTATGCTCTATACGATGGCGAAAACAGCAAGTCAATAGCTGCTGTGGTTGGCGGGAAAAACCCCGGGTGACCCACTACTGGGTCTGACCCGTACCTTACTCAGCCACAGTAATCGTTCTAGATCTACATTTTACATGACACCGTCCATGCCTGCGAGGAAAACGGACAAACCACAGCTAATAAGTAAAATCGATCTGTAATGCTACAATGTTACAACTCGTAAAAAATATTCGTCTAGGGTTATTATACACGACGGGTTGTAACCTCGCTGCAAAATTTCATCGTTCAGGTATGAACACCGCTTCAGCGACACACTCATATCTGGGGTGCGATGAAGGGAAAAATTAGAAAAGAAAGAAAACTTCCATGTGCGACTCAGAAGAATCGACGCACGAGGCGATCAACGAGCGTTACGCTCGTGTTTCATCAACCCGCAACCTTAGTGCCCAAGTACCCCTCGCCCTCCGCGCCATCTCCTTCGCCCTCCTCCCCAGGCTCCTCGCCCTCGCCATCCTCCTCGATAGCTCTCTCCTCCTTCTCGCCCCGCCGATCGTCGTCACGCTGCATCTCGTCCCGCATGACCGCGACGTCCTGGTCAACCTTGGGAGCGACTCTGTCGATCCCGGCCTCCGCGAGGGAAACATGCATGCGGTTCTTGGCAAGGTGAGCGGAGCGCTTCGGGGGCCGCTTGAGCCGGCGGCGGGCAACCATGACCGGGACGGCACAACGCTAATGATTAAGATATCAGATAAAGTGTTATAACAATGATTTCCGGGGTGTGATAAGGCTTACTTGAATGAGATAGTGTGATGTCGAGCCCAAGAGAATGCTATGAAGAGGGGGACATATTAGTTCCAGTGGCGCGATGAGACCATCGTGTACACTTACCCCTTGATCTGACCCAAGCCTCGGGACCCCACAATCAGCATTGTGGGTTCGTTGTAGTCGACGATGTCGAGGAGCATGTGGCGCGCGTTTTTCGAGTGCCATGCTTGGCAGGAGACAGTCACGTTCAAGTGTGTGCGCTGCAAGAGCGATGTTGCTTGACGGACGAGGATGTAGGCAAGGCCTTGACGCTATGAGCCAGCATTCATTAATTCACAGTATGAGCAGATGAGAGTCGTCTCACTTCCTGTTGAGAACGAAGTCTGGTGGTACGGTCCGCTGGGTTGGGGATAGGCGGGTCAACTGTAGCATGTCAATCAGAACAAAATGTGAATACAAGTGAGGATACCATTACCTTTGGCCTCGTTTTCGACGACCGTAACGATGAGCCTGCACCGTCAATTGGACAGTGTACTACGAGAGGGGTGAGAAGACTCACAAATGATCACCATCTCGAATTACTGTGCCGATACCCCACTCAACAGCATAACGACTCTCCTCGCTGAGGTCACTAGCGACAATGTACATCCGCCTCCGTCTTGCTGATGCCTCTGGCTCGCCCTGAGTCATAGTGATCGTGCACCGATCACGCTGGAATAGTGGACGAGAGGTCTTCAGAGGAAGAGTGTCATGATGCCGAGACTTCCTTCGCTTAGCACCCCCACGCTTGCCTTTAATCGAGGTGAAACTCGTCCGGTTCAGAGTAGATGGAAAATAGGGTTCGGGTGGCACAACAACATTGACACCTTCACCCAATGGATCGGGATCCATAGCGACGTCGTCAGGGTCTAGCTCTCCTGTTGGAATCTCATGGGCGGCAATAAGCGCATTCTGCTCTGTGTTCCTCTCGGTGACGATATCAAACATGCCCGCGGTGTCATCGCTCCAATCATCATCGTCATCCTCCGTTTCTTCCCCAGCGTACTCTGAACCTGAATCCGGATCATCTGTGAAAGCATTGCGGGGTCGGACAGCAAGTGTACGTCGTGAAGTGACAGAGTCGCAGTCCGATTCCTCGAGGGGAAGAGGAGTAGGAGATGCATCACGATCGCGGGGACGGAAACGGCGAAGACTGAAGGGAGATGACGAGCGAGCACGGATGGATTCCTTGGAAGCTACAGATGCTGTGTCCTTATCCTTATCTTTATCTTTTGTATAAGACGGAAGTACAAAAGACGAGGAGCGAGCCTTCCGTTTGTTTGCGGTGCGTCCGCGAGTTTCCTTGTCTTTGTCGTCGTTCGTTGACGTGTTCGTGCGAGTCAGAGACAGTGCGGAAAGACCCCCTATCATGGAGTTAAAAGATATCTTGCCGAAGGATCCGGAGGTGCGAGTGATCAGTTCAGGTGATTTCACGGTGGCGGTCGAGGACGACAATGTAGCAGAGGACGATGATGCAGCATTGTTTGGTAAACTCTGCTCATACTGCTGTAGATGAGAAACAGAGGAATGAGGAGATGAGTGCAAAGAAAGGAGGTGAGAGAAGGAAGAAATAGAGCTGCGTTTCGGTGTGCTAGGCCGTGAGGTCTTTGAGCTTGGCTCACAGCGCGGATCGCTCGCACCTGGGTCTGCAGAATGGAAGGTCTGCTCGAGTCCCTCTATTGGGGACGTCAACCCTGTGTCCAAGAGAAGGGTTGGTCTGGGTATGTCCTTTGCAGCGTCCTTCTGCGAACCGTGCCACGCTAGCCAGCTGCGATGTCTTGGACGCACGCCAGGCTCAGCAGTGGCAGACATGACCGTTGCAGTAGAGATACAGGAAATAGCGATTGAAATGGGTCGAAACAAAGGGTGGCGCTTACCTGAGTCGAAAGGTTCCTGATATTGGTGGCTGCGTCGTTCGAGACTGATGGCTGGAAAAGGCGAGAAGTTTAATCGTGAGGAACAATGAAACGCACAAGAGTATTACAGCGTCTTGGCGGACACGATGATTACTCACTTTCGCTTCTTTTCCCCCGTTCATCATAGTTCTTGCCCTAGTAGTCTCGTCCGCTCGAGAACGTCAACAAGTTAGATCCAAAGATTTGCTATACCCCCGAGTTTCTGTGTCTGCTGCTAGAGTTTCCGTGTTGGTCGCTTGCACAGTCGTCCTATTGTTCGATATCAGAACCTGGTGGGCAGTGCAAGGGGAGTTTCTTGAATGGGTAAATCCTGTGCACGTGGCTTCCTGAACCCCATAAATACACATGCAATTCCTTCTGCTATGACTGTCACATGACTACTAGGTACTGAATCCTGAATGTATACGTCTCTCTGCTTTTCTCTTTTCTCACAGGCTCGCAGAAGGAGCTTTCCCGAACATCTCCTGCAAGAAGGCCTCCGAGTTTGGCGGTCGACCCAGGAAATCCTGCACCATTACATGAGCCATCATCCTCAGATTGAATTGTGAAAATGCGACGCACCTCAAGGGACACCGTTTCATCCCGGCTACCTCCCACAAGGAGAATCTTGTCCCTGTAAAGCTTGCCAAAAGCAGGGTTCAACGGATCCTTCTTGAAAACTGTCGCATACATGTCCGCGGCAAACACCAGCGAGTACGTGTACCTGATTATCGCGATTGTCCGAGACGTCAGTTTCAGCCGGTGGCCCATCAGAATCCTATGGTTGCATGACTCACCCGTAGTACCCTGCGTCATAGCCACCGACGATGTGTCCGAAAGTGCCTTGTCCAGGCTGGGCTTTACCCCCTTTTACTAGCGAGATCGACTCACGCAGGTCATTCCAGAGTTTGGTGTAATCTGCCGCCTCTGTATAATAGCCCGTGAGCCCTGCGGTCGAAAAAAATAACAGCCCCATCTAACCTTTATCCACGTGCACTTTGAGGTCAAACTTGGCGAAGAACAGTTGCCGAAGGTAAAATAGCCCAACGTTTACGTAGCGGCTGCAACACATGTCATGCTTCATTCTCGAAAACTTAAGATGAAACACACCTCTTTATCATCTTATCTATCAATTCCGGCGACAGCGGTTCCTGTGTCTTGTAATGGCTTGACATTCGCTGGAGCACTTTGGGCTCCCAGCACCTACTCTATGCCGTCAGCACTCCTCACGCCGGGGCTGCATAGAACGCGCACCAGTTTTCAAGCATTTGCGAAGGGGCCTCAACGAAATCTCTCGCCACAGATGTACCGTGGAATCGCGCGTACTTCGTTCGGCTCAGCAATCCATGGAAGACATGGCCCATCTCATGGAAAAACGTCGTTACGTCGTCGTGTCGCATTAGAGCGGGCCGGTCGGGAGTTGGCTTTGCGAGATTCGCCACCATTGCTGTCAGAGGGTAGTGACGTCCGCCCGATGGCAGTTCATAGCCCGGGAGAAGGCCCCACACAGCTGCGTGAGAGTACTTTGCAGCTGCCAATAGGACAAAGTTTAGCAAGGACAAATACAAATGAGCTTCGCGTCCTTACCGCGGGGGAATAGGTCAAGATAGCAATATCCTACAAATGCAGATCCGTCTTTGGCATCCTTCTCCCACACCGCAAATTGTTGCACTTCTAGAGCAAAAAGTCAGACCGCTGAAAAAAATTTCGACACAGCCAGTGCTACTCACCTGGATGCCAGACATCTTTGGCGTCGTCCTTGATCTCAATGAACTTGACTCCAAGCAGGTCCTGGTATATTTTCAAGATCGTGGGAACAACGACGGAGACCGGGAAATATTCCTTCACGAGGGATTCGTCGAGGTTGAGTGTCTTCTCGACATAGACGCGGTCATAGTACCTGTCATGAAATGAGCGAGGACCGATGGTACCGATCCACGTGGTGCCTTACCTGTAGTCCCAGATGTAGAACTCGCCATCGAACGGAAGACCGCGCTCCTCGTGATCCTCTTTCTTGAGCTGAAGGAGGATCTTACGCTCTTTTTCTCCGACAGGGCGCAGCTTCCCCTCAAGGTCATCAAGGAACTAGGGTGCATGTATGTTGGATTGATAGGAGCAATTGGAAATTCGGAAACCACTCACTTCCTCGGCGTTCTTACCAGACTTGACCATCTTCACTTCCGTAATGTAGTCAGCCCAGGTCTCATAGCCAAGCATCGCGGCGATGCGCCGGCGCAGGTCAAGCGCCTTCTCAAGTAAAGGCACATTTTGTTTTAGTCGGTCATCATATCCTTCTTGAGCCCTGCGTCGCGTGGCTGGATTGTGCGCGGATTTGAACTGCAATAATCCTCAGGTGAATCGACGGAAGCTCTTCATGATGTCACATACGATTGGGAAGATATCTGGCGTCTTGAAAGTGACATCATAGACTTCCTTCGAGCCCTCAGTGCGCTTAGTGTAACCCGAGATGACATCAGCTGGGACACCATCCAGTTCTTCGAGAGTGAACGAGATGCGACCCTGTGTATGTTTGGGTTGTCAATGCCATGAATCAAAGTAGACGATCATTCTCACATCCTCTTCATTGAAGTTTTTCTACAGACGATATTAGCATCACGCCTGAACACTAAAGGAATGATCCCTACGCTGAAATCCAAGCAAGCTTGCGAGAGCTCTTTCTTCAACTTCATCAGCTCCTCGCGCTCCTTCTCAGGGAGCGCGAGACCGGCTCTCTTACCATCCAACACCATCTTCTCCACAAGCCTCCGCTGTTCGTCGCTCAGTTTCTCCCATGCACCAGATTCGCGCAGATTTTTCTCCGCGGCGGCCTTGGCTCTGAATACGTCAGGACGCATGGACTCCTCGACGTCAAAATCACGCTGAAGAACCTCCGCTTGATTGGAAGCATCTCTGAGCTCTTTGGAGGTGGAGACGTTCTGGTAGAATGAAAGAGGCTCGCAAATGATCAGGGCTTCCGCCTCTGCGTTAGCAAGCGGTAACTAAGGTAGTCGGAAGCTTGTTTGAGTATGCGATGACAACTGATCGGAGGCATCACTCACAAAAACCTGCGAGTTAAATCAAAGATGATCAGTCCGACAATGCACACACGACAGTTCACTTACTGATTCGAAGGTGCATTCAGCCTCCGGGAGAGCCGCGACTTTGTCACTGACCGCCTTGTTCTGAGCAAGGGCCTGCTTGGTGATACTCAGGACTTCTTCCGGGGTGTGGTTCCACTTAGGAGGAGACTGTGGCGGCGTCAACGAAGCCATGGCAGGATCACTTTCAAATAGCGAGAACGCAAAGTTGGATCTTGTACGTGAACTGCTGGAGAACGGTCTTGAGGTCTGTAGTCGTGAAAATTGGGTTCGCGGGTGGTTCTGGCGCAAGCCAATAGATGTTAAGGATGGAGATTGGATCCGTGTGGGGTACTTAAGCGCTAGATTGGGGCTATCAATCTGATATGTCCTGTCAGTACTTCCGCTGGCTTGCGTGACCGACCCAATATATCCACCGGGATTATTTGCAAACTGCCAAAAGCGCGAGTCTGCGTTGCGTGATTCCGGTAGTCTGAGACGTGGTAAAAGACGTATAGACTTGGAGGACGCAGAGCTTGCAAGGACGGTCATCAATGTTGCAAATGAATCCAAGCCAAGGGCTTTGAAGGCAACTTGCAGTCCACGTAGCCGAGCGTAACCGACGGAGTTTTATAGTCAAGTAAGTCCGTCGCTAATTAGCCGGTGCAGGCGCCTAACTCAAATCTTCAATGGTTTCTTTAAGCCGCGAAAGCGTATTACGGTCGATCTAGGGTATCCGTGCTGTCCGATGGTACGCTACTTGTATGGTATCTTCACCAATTGGTCTCACTTAAGTCACCTCGCAATTGCGCAAGACCGCGAAGGATGAGTTGAGCTAGCCAAGAGGTTGCCCCGAGCGACAGCCGAGGAGGACCCAATAAAAATTACTCCTGGTATATAAGTAGACAACTCCTGTAGCAACTGGATCTCGTCGCGCGCGGCTACTTCTGACTCCCGGAATATTTTTCTCGGCTCCCAGTTTGGGGCCAAGCTGAGCGGGGATGGGCCATGACCTGCCATGACCCGTAATTTAGCCATGAGCGGTCAGACCTACCGTAGTATCATGCATCATGTATGTTCGTAATGTGTCCAGAACGTACGTGTCCCGCTTAGCTTCCGCCCTTCAGGTGTTCCAGAAGTGTAATCCTCGACGTCTGCGAAAATAGAAATTAACCACAGCACGAGTTGGTTGACACACCGTTGGTATGATTAAAATGTCAAGGGGAGGCTGAGGAGGGCGTTCATAATAAATATTAATGGGATACGCTGTTGAGTGCGATTTAATAAGTCAAATACTGCAAGTTTTGGTCGCTGTAATCTCACAAACGAAGTTCCCCGACAAGGGTAATCCGTCGTGTTCATCATGTTCCTCCCTCTTGAGAGCAATACAGGCAGCTCTATCTCGTTCGGCCACCTACGGTTTCTTTTCGAGATCCAGGACAACCTGACACGCAGGTCTGGGTACCACACCTGGTGAAAAATGCGAGACGTACACGACCCCCTGTCAGATCGCGAGGGCACATTCGAAAAGCGATATGCTCGCGGGAGTTGTCACCCCTGGCCTTCAGCGCTCCTCGGATCGTGAGTTATCGGAGCCGATCGACGTTTCAACAACGCTGATATCAAATACAACGACCGACTAACTACTCACCTACGATTGCCGTAATTGTCAAATTATTGAGTCAAATTGAAAGGAACCTTCCAGTGGGTGAACTGTGGAATTATTCCCGTTCGAATCACGCTTATCATAACTTAAAATGACGCCATCCAGGACCCGTTAGTACTAGTCAGGGACATTGGGAGGCAGATACATTATAAGTAATGCATTACTTACACGCCTGCCCTGAGGAGGTATACCTGTAACTTAGCTGTAAGTAGCTCAGCTAGAGAAATGCAGGGCAAAGGTAGTATACTTACTATGGCTTTTCTATAGAGTTGGACTTTGTGACGCAGCAGGAAGGGTCGAGTGGAATCCTGGTGAGTATTAGTAGTGCACGTTCATTGTGGTCACAAGGTAGGCTGTGGATCATTGTTCTGGATTAGGCACGGTCAATGACAGTCATGGTGCCATAATGCCTGCACAACCCAAGTGGCATTGCGAGAATCACAGTAAATCTGATTGGCCCCGTTGAGTGGTCCTGACTCAGACAGGACAGTGACGTGGCATTTGAATTCGTGTCTCTAACTTGACATTCGCAAATTCGCACGTCATTCACCGCCCGGGAGGGATACCGTCCAACGCGAATAGAAATCAGTGTGGTTCTTGCCTGAGTGAACAAAGAAACGTTGAACACACTTTCTCAAGAAATCTGGTGCTCATAGACTTCGTGCCACACTTGTGCAACATTCGAGTATCCAACTTGACCCACTGCCTCGCCGAGCATCGCGATCACGTTGTAAATCCACTCTGAGTGTGCCTACAACTGTGACTATAGTCACAAATACACCAAGCACTGATGACTACAGACTTATCCACTCCTGCGAAGCTGCAGAGGACCGTGATCATCGGGTGCGACCAGATTCTACATCCATCACTGCACTCCATTTTGACTCATACCCAGAGTAGATAGGCTTCCCGAGCCCGCGAGTCACTGATTTATAAATTAAAATTATAATCATATACCTAAGTCCAGGGTTCTTATGAGGCAGATACTTACGCCTACTATCCACTTGGGGTTTGGGGTAAGGCTTCTTCCGTGCTAAGTAAGAAAAACGAGACGTGAAAGTAAAAGCGTGTATAAATGAGTTCGATGGTCGCGCACACAAGGAAGACCGTATATAGCTAGCTCAGGTATCCCGGTGAACGCTTAGAAGTTAGAAGTGCTTAGGCCTTACAGTTGCGCAGATATGTCGTGATTTTGAAGGCGTTCCGAGTCCGACACGGAGTTTCACTCAAGCCGAGCCTGAGGCCTGAAATCCCCCCCGGCGTCAGTAATAAAGTGTGCAGCATCCCAAGCACAAATGTTGGTACTCATATTTTAAATCGGTTTCCAGAATTCGGCGCATGCTCGGGGGTTGGCATCAGCAAAACACTTTGCACTGTGGAACTCTGCGAGACTCTGTGGGTTCTGTACAGAACCCACAGAAGCAAAGTGATTTGCTAATACGGATCCGAACGTTGAGTGCTATGAAATTCAACCCTTCATATGAAATATTGCAAAAGCTGCCTGAGCATCATGATCGCGGGATAATGCAACCTTACTGTGCAGGTCGGAGGCATTCCTGTTTTGAGACCCTGTTGAGTCCGTTTGCATCGTTCTTTGCGCAAGAATTTTCGACTACGCATAGCAACTGTGTGATGGTATTCCCAAGGTCCTAGACCCGGGTCATCATCATCGCGGGAGCAAGTACTGGTGATGATCCAGTCCCAGATGCGGCAAAAACGACAAGACTTTCTTGAATGAACCGCAGGCCTTGTCTCCCGTCAAGGTATATGGAGGATTATTTTGCGCTCTATGAACGTACGTTGTTCGGAAAAGGATAGTGATATCGGTTCTTATAAACGAAACCGGCGGATCGAAGTTTCCGCCTCAAGCCACAACAGCAGGCCTGGACTTTGCGAGTCGCCCTGTCGTGGTAGGCAACTAGGTTAAGTTGGTCTTTCCAAAGTTGAGTACCAGTCCCAGTGTTCCTTCCAGGTCCATTGAGAGAGGAACCCGGGTCACGGGACTCAAAGTACTACGGTTAAATGTTTTTACATAATATAAACTTACTTGAACTCAGATTGCACTGCAGTGGCTTCCGATCACGGTATCATTAACCCGCGACGTGCTTACATAAGAAATTGAACCCTGGTTTCTATTGGACATGGGCATCTCCGTCGATCGTTTACATACATATGCTTAATACACGTGCTAGTTATGCGAAAGAATTAAACTTGAGATGGTTTTCATCATCTCCTCCATGTATATTTCTTCATCCTTCCCTTCTCAATCTGCGCTTCACTACGCATGATGAGTGACCCCAACTCCCCATCTCCTGCTGAAGTAGAGAATCTCATTGTTCTTTTCATGGGCTTCGCGTTTGCAACATTTTTATACGGCTTGACGTTCTTTCGTGAGCATTTTCATGGTCTCTCACTAAACCTGTTTCATGTTGTCTAATTGTTGCAGAGAGCTACATTTATCATTCTCGATACTCCAATGATTATACGTGGACAAGAGTCTTGGTATGCTGTCATCTCCTATCCGTCAAGTGTGTGTTTGACATCCCCACTCCGTCTCAGGTTGGGGCACTATTGTAATGTATTCCAACTTTGGACTTGAGCTGCACCTCACCTATATTCAGTGTCCTAGATACGGCTTCAACTGCCCTAGGTGCGATCATCTCTATACGTGTTTTCTGTTTGCCTAACCTAGATCTATAGTATCTTACCTGTAGGAGAAGTGTGCCCATTTACTTCAATTTTTGACGCATATGAACAGATTATATCACTACCTGATAACGATGTTCGACGTGAACATCGAGGTCCTAGATGCCACGCCGTAAGTGTCAAGTTCGTGGAATGTATGTATGTGATGTGTAACTGTGTTCTCCAGAGCTTTCTGCGTAAGTCAACTTTGCACAAAACCTTATGTTGCTTTCTCATTGTCTGACATACAAAGATACAAGATGTTCTTTCGGTGAGTCTACACTCAGAGGTCGCTCTCGAGGTAGCTCACAACAACACTTTAGGTCATTCTCACTTTGATCGCACAGTTGTAAGGTCATTGATAATAGAACGTTTGGCATCTCTTACTCTCCCTTAGATTCTTTGTTGGTCGACTTTACACCGGTGAGCCCAGTCTTCAAGTTGTGTATTCTGTTGTCTCATCATTCGCTCAATAGTTTGTGGTGGTCCTGCAAGTACCACGTCAAGATTCGTCACTACGGCAGTGGTATGTATTTATTATCCATGCTCAGTCAGTTCCACTAACCCTATTACAGTTATTTTTTGCCTTCGTCGCCTTTGGTCAGTATCCTTGTTCGCATGTATAAACTTTGTTTGACATGTATTTTATTACAGTTTTCGGCCTGAGTCAGTATATTTGATATTCAATGGAATCCTATTGATGGCAGTGCAGCTTCAGTAGGGCAAATGTAAGCGGACACAGATTGGTCTTAGATACCGCCACTGATGCGAATTCAATTTTCAGCTTCCAGCAAAGGCAACTATCTGCACTAACTTTGCCTCTTGTGGGAGTTGGTGTTTCAGTTTCCAGGCACCGGAGAAATGCTCACCAAGAATTACAGGCTGTCGCCGGTATCAGCCAAGGCTTCGCGGCAGTCGCAAATATTATCATTTTCGTTGCGATGTGTTGGTCGTTGCGTCCAGCACGTTATCCAGACATGCTCGTGTCAGTGTTCCGTATCGTGGGATTCAAGTAACTGCTGACGCATTGTTTTGAAACAGGCCTGAGGGAGTGCTGGACAATGTTGTTGTGCTATTTACTGGCCGTGGCCTGGCACTCGCGTAGGTCAATTTTATGTCGGTTTCTGCAACCTAACCATGTTTCCATTGGTCAGCGTCACTCAGCTAGCCTACTTTGGCACAGTAGGTGTATACTCAGGAAGCAGCCCCTCATAACTCATCGATATAGTTTGTTTCCTCACCAGGAAAACCATACTGGATAGCGGTCCAGATGGTAACATGCAGGAGTGAGTTTTTGTTACCCACTCACTGCGTGCACAAGCTCATGGCAGAACATAGTCTGTGTCAATACTATCTTGGGACTGTAAGTCATTCACCTGGCGGTTCATCAGACACTCCCATTTGTTCCCAGGTTAAATGCCCGAGAAGTTAAAGGCGGCGTAGGTCTCAATGAAGAAGAGACATTCTCCGACCACCACGATTCACAAAACGATGGTTTGCCAAGTGCCATCCGCTTCCGCATGCCATTGAGCACAAAGGCAGTGAGCCACACACCTCGAGCCCAAGCATTCGGTACTGACATGAAGCTATCACATCATCAGACACAACAGTCATTGAACTTTTCATCACATAGGGGGGACAGCAGGGGTAGTGAAATTGAGGACGCAAGCAAATCATATGCAGATGGCGAAGACTTGGTTTGTTCCTATATGATGTTGACGTTGTCCCTTTACTTATTGATCTATGACAGGCCTCCATTCGTTCTCATTGTAGTGAACAGCCTGCATATGACAAGGCAAGTTTGTCATGATGCTGAGTCTGATTCGCCGGCTGCATGCTTATCAATATCGTTGTACTAATGATCGCTATCTACTGCACTCGCTTTGCTCGCTATCGCCCCCCACCCAAGTTGTATTATATTGCTGTTCATGCTGGAGTCTTGAAGCAATGCACCGCGGATCTACTAGATCAGTCCCTGCATCTTGAGCTTAGACCCAGAGGACATGTGTTATATCACGGACTAACGAATACATAGCATATCGCACACATTGTACGTACTGTCTACACCGATATAATTTTGGGAAATCAAATTGAAGTCCCTCAGAACCGCGTATTCTCCTAGAGCTGACCTAATGAAAATATGCGGAAGTATTTGGAACAAGAAAGTCGAATTTCAATTATCGTGCCTAATCTCGATGGTGATCATGGGGATATCGTCACCCTGGGGTTATGGGAGCTCGTTACTAGCCCTTCCGGTGCCATCGGCACCCCACAGAAGTCGGCAGTCACGCTTTTTCGCAGGGTTTCGTGTGACAGAATGTGACTGCTGGTGACCAATTGTAACGAAAGTATCACGTTTTCTGTGTGACCTGCCGACTTCTGTGGGGTGCCGATTGTACCGGAAGGGATAGTACATCAGCAAAAGCGGCTGAAATTTCGCGCAGTTTAAGTGTTAGAAATCAATTCAGTTCACCTGAGACTATACCAAAGAGGGAATGTCAGGGATCGTAAAACGATAGTTTTTCGACGGGTCCAAACATTGATGTCGCGCCCGGGTCAGTACTACTGACCCGGGCGCGAGGTGCCTATGTTCATGTGGGTCCTGGGCTGTTCTGGGTAGCTCGGGCAGCAGCTCCCGCGTGACATAATTATACTTGAGTTCAATCGTTTGTCATGCGTATAGACGCGGGGCTATTCAGGTAAACCCGTTTTCGTAGAACCTCACGTCAATGCCCGGTAGGGGCTCCTCACGATCTTCGGTCGCTGTCCATTGCACGAAATATCACGCTTTGTTCTGACCGTCCAGAGTCCCGGCAAATTTTCAAGGCCCATCGATGAGAAGTCCACGGACGCCGAAGGCCTAAAATCAGCTCTGCCGGTGCCCATACAAGACTGAATCAGGATAGTATGCGTGAACCAGTGTATGATATTGTCGCGCGTTGTGCCGGTCCTCGGATCAGCTGAAAGAGAGTAGGTAATCAAAAAATAACGTACGATGAGGGGGAAGATCGTAACTATTGAATACTGGACGATATTCGTCGTTACCCGCGAAATTATACAATATCAAGGTTTCGGTCTTGTGGCACATGGTGAGGGTCTCGTCCACATGCTTTAGAGTTCCGAAGGGGTACATTGAGTACTATATGACTCGGATAGGCCCGTGGAGTGATTCCGAAGGTTCCCCATAAGATGTTAATTGGCCACTTGAATTTCGACCGCGGAGCATTATTTAAGATTCGGTAGCGGCGCAGGGATGATGGTTTGCTTGTCAGGTCTACAGGTTTACAAGGTCAAGGGCTGCTCAATTCTAAAAGTTCGCGTTCACTTGGGATCCGAGCACCGCTAAGCGTCGCCAAACCTTGTCCTAAACAGGACTTGTACCTAAACCTTACGGCGCGTAGTGCCAACACTTGGTGTAGTAAATTATCTGCAAGCAGTCTGAAAGTATATCCTAAACCTCAGCAAGACTCCTAAACCTCGTCATTCCTAACCCTCAGCAGAGCTGACCCTTATCTCAGCCAGCAATGTACAATCAAGTGCCCATTTTTGAGTGAGAAATGATTATATTATATTCACGAACATACTACATATGATGTACTCTATGAAAATGGTTAGGAAAAGGTTCAGGAATGTTAGGGTTAGACCTGACGAGGGTTAGAAATGTAAATGACGAGGTTTAGTGAGGTTTGGGATGTGCTTTAAGACTGCTTGTATATACCAAGTGTTGGCGCTGCGCGCCGTAAGGTTTAGGTACAAGTCCCGTTTAGGACAAGGTTTGGTGACGCTTAGCGGTGCTTGAATCCAGTGAACTCGAACTTTTAGAATTGAGCAGCCCTTCAGAGTTCGGCCTCGGATCAAGAAATTACTCTGGCTTCACCCAAGCATATGGCCTGCCTAGGGGAGACCTACCACCTGGCAGAGATCTTGGGCTAGAGGGTGTCGTCAGTACGGTGCTGAACGATGCCACATCAGATCTTGATCAAAAATACAATAAATAACATGGCATCATATACTAGAATTTCAGAAGGCGTAACTTCAATGCAACACATTATTCAGCTACGTCACATCAGCGGTGCTTGGTTAGTGCCGCTGCTACTATTAGCATCGCCACGGCCCATCAGTTTATCTGGGTTCATTAGTGTGTAATCACAGCACATGAATCGGGAAGAGCATGTGGATAAAGCCATGCATGGCGGCAAGCGAGAAGAAGTACCGATGCTTGTGATCAAATGACAGCAGCAAGAGTAGACTCGTAACCAGTCTGGACTACGTCTTTGAGATATTCAGAGGTTGACGTAGTCACTCGACTTGTTCGTGGTAGCATATGTGCGCCAGGCTGGTCACGAGCCTAGTACGGCAAGAGCCAAGAATCAATGTCAAAGCTGTCAGAGCGACACAAACCTCTACAAAGTACTCCCTAGCCTTCAAGCCTTCAAAAATAAATAGCAATGACGATTTTTGCCTCGATGCGAACGGTGTCCATAATTTTATATGCTAGCGCTACATCTTTACATCGAGGCTCGTATGCGGAATAAATAACTAGAACACGAGAATTCAGCAGGTGCGTTAGCGAGATGAATGTCGAATCGAAATCTATTACAAGGTACTATATGGCGTCGCGAATTGTGGCACGCCTGACGCGGGCCCGCACGGCGCCTGCTACGCGATACTCCACTTACTCACCGCAGCCTGCACCAAGCGCCCCATCTCCTCACGTGCTTGCTTCTTCGCGCTGTTGGTGATACCTACGAGTGCATCGAGTGCGCTGGGTGATGTTTGTAGTGGGTCGAACTCGAGGACGTGTCCATCGGAGGTTGAGATCGCGACGACCGCGCGGGCAGAGGATGAAGAAGGGAGGGACGAGAGCGAGCTGGAAGGCAGGAGGGAAGGTGTAGCGATTTTGGGCGTCGGCTCCTGGACGAGAGCTGCCGTGCGTGAATTGGTACGTGAGTGTGTGCGGTAATGGTTTTGAGTTTGAGAGTTGGCCCGTGAGTGAGTTTGGGAGGTGGTCTGGCTGGAGGAAGAAGGGACGAGCGAGACGGATGGATCACGCCGGATAACTATACTGTTTACGCGTCTTAGAGTCTTGCCTTCGCCTTGCGTATCTACTCGTGTCTCCTTTCCTTTGCCTTTGGTTTTCACGTCCATGGCATCGATACCGTCTTCCTCTTCAGTAGCAAACCACTCCAAACCGAGCTTATAAGGGTTAGCTAGCGGAGAACCATTTAGGCTAAGCATGCTCTCATCGCGCCGGGGTGCACGGAGCGTAGGATAAGCGGGCGTCTTAACAGGCAAGGTTGGGGCGAAGGTTGCCCTGGTGGGCGGGCGTTTTGCCTGAGATGGTTGCTTGGCATGTGAGGGCATAGGTTTGCCAGGCGAAGGTGGAGCTTTGGAGGGGGAGGGGAGAGGTAATTTAGAGGGAGTTCTGAGGGAAGACGGTTTCTGCGGACTGACGGAGGGGAAGCGGAAGGTCGTGCGGAGTTGTCCAGGAGTACGCGGGACTGCGGCAGAGAATGTGCGAACGCGTTGTGCAGTTCCCGTGTTAGCAGGTGGAAGCTTCTTCTTGGGAGTGGCATGCATCATCCTCGCTGAACGAGAAACATGTCAATGAAAAGACTAGTGCCAAATTAACCACGTACCATTCTTAACGGCGCGCTCGCCCTCACTGGCCTCCTCCCACTTGCGCTTGCGAGTCTCACGGTCGATCTCAAGGTTTGGCGGAGCACCGCCCACGAGACCACGAAGACACGCTTGAATATCGCCATTATAGGTATCAGCAAACTCGCTCATGGTCACGCCGCGCACGAGTTTGGGAATTCGGGAGATGAGCCCTTCTTGGTGAAGCCGAAAATTTGTGAGCGCGTCTGCGAGCCATTCCTCAAGCTGACGAACACGGTGTTCGACTGTGCAGCATAGAAATCAATGCAGAAAATTCAGTGAAGTAAAGTTAGATGAGGCGAAACCAGTGAAATGCACCTTCAATGTCGAGATTCTGGAGTAGCTGTTGTTTTTCCTCAGGAGTGTACTTGCGGGATGTGTCTGGGATGTACATCTTCACCAGCCTCGACGATCAGAACAGAGATGGCTTGGAAAACGTAGGGCTAGAGGCAACGCCGAAACTGTAAACCGGACAAACATTAAACAGGTGGAAGGACTCGACTGAGTCCACAGCACGTGGTCGCGTAAGTCCATGAGACACGTGACAGGTCCGTCGGTCGGACCGTGTATGTTACAGGTGACTACGCTTTTAAGTATTTTGGTCACTAAGCTGAACGTTGACAAGCAGCGACAGCTCCGAGCTCCTCTCTTCTTACTTTCTATTCTTCATGTCAGAGCAAAAAGAAGTTTACCTTGTCATTGGCGGTAGCGGCTTTGTTGGCCGTCACATCGTCGAGCACCTTCTTGCTCGTGGTGACATCGCCTGCGTGTTTGACATTGTTCAGCGACATCATGATGTTGACTTCTATTCGGGTGATATCACTGACGAGTCTCAACTTCTTGATGTCTTGACAAAGGTGCACGCTACTTTTCCAATTTTTTGTGGTCAACAAGTGCTAACATGCTTTTGAAATTCTCTGTGGTGTGCCTCACGTCTCGCAGACCGGTACAACTTGCATAATTCACACCGCCTCACCGCCACACGGTGCCAAAGATCCAAGCATATATTATAAAGTCAATGTCGATGGCTGCAAAGCTGTCATCAGCGCAGCCCAGGCTGCTGGCGTGCAAAAGTTGGTCTACACGAGCAGTGCAGGTGTCGTTTTTGATGGTGGCGACGTCGTAAACCTCGACGAACGTGCTCCGTTTCCGGAGAAGCCATTCGATGCATATAATGACTCGAAAGCACAAGGAGAGAAAATCATTCTTGAGGCCAATGGCAAGGGTGGCCTACTGACTGTTGCTTTGCGGCCTGCGGGCATATTTGGGTATGTTGTTTCCTCATATCGTACCATAAATTTTGATACAACGCGATCCCTCCAGCGAGGGTGACCGCCAAATGATGGTGGGCCTCTACCAAGCCTACCAACGTGGACAAACCCACTTCCAAGTCGGAGACAACAATAACCTCTTCGACTACACCTACGTCGGTAATCTTGCCCATGCACATCTCATCGCTGCCGACAAGCTTTCCTCTCCCTCACTTCCTACATCTTCACAAGAGACCCTCACCGCCGACACCCTCAAAGCCACGCTTCACCTTGACCGCGCCCTCCAGCCTGTGAGCGCAACAATCGCCGCAAAGCGAATCCCGACATGCGAAGCACGCCCCTTGGGACCATACGTCACGCTTCCGCCTAACGCCGTCGAAATGGAGGCAGCCTTCAACGCCCCACGCGACCCGCACACTCCCGCACACCCTATCATACGCTCCCGGTTCGACCAGTTCTCCGACAATGCGATCGAGTTCGCAGAGAGTTCGCCACTACAGGTCGCAGGGCAGGCCTTCTTCATCACTAACGGCGAGCCAGTGTACTTCTGGGATTTCATGCGCGTTATATGGCTTGCTCTCGATCCGCCCTTGTCGAAGTCCCCCTCGGGCGTATCGGCGCGCGCCCAGAGGCCTACGTGGGTGATACCAAGGGGCTTTGGGATGGTGTTGGGCTTCCTTTCGGAGTGCTGGGCGTCCTTAATTGGGAAAGAGGCTGGGTTCACGCGATACAGGGTGGGGTATAGCTGTGCTACGAGATATCACAATATCGAGAAAGCAAGGCGTGTGCTTGGATATGAGCCTGAGGTTGGGCTGGAGGAGGGTGTGAGAAGAATGGTGGAGGTAGGTGTCGGCCGCTGTTTCTTTTATGTGTGGCTAATTGTTCTTTCTCTGCGTGTAGTGGTTCAAGAAGGAGAACAATCTTCCGTGATGCTTGCTATCTGAGTTTGGATTATGTATCTAATTCCTTGCATTCTTTGTACACTCATCGTACGCTGTAGAGATACCCGCGCATGTTGCTTCATTTCGATATGGATGATGCACGGATACCTACCCTTTCGTGTTCGGCGCTATTGAGCTAGCTATCGACCCACCTACAATTGTGTGTATCGTAGCATTAGTACTTGGGGATTATGTGGAGGCCTCGTATTTATACCAAAGGACCTTGATAATACGATATCATTAATACCCAAAACACTTCCGAGGTTTTCAGTTCATAAGCTCTTCCTTCACTTGATAAGAATGCAACTGGTGAAACCCATGTAAAAACAAAGTATATCACGAGTCAAGTAGCTCGAGATATGCGGCCCGGCAAATCATCCCATCACGATCACGAATTTTGACCAGTGGACGCGACTCTCCATGACTGCGGACACATCAATTGAACGCTCTTGATGACACAAGGAATCCATACCTCCGTGCCTGTTGTTGCAATTCTATCAGCACCGACACTGGGACAGCGCCGATAGCGAAGCCTTCTCCGCGGGACAAGGACACGCTGCCAGTAGTAACATACCCAATGATAGATGTGTGGGGAGGAACAGCCTCAGGGGGCTGGTCGGGAAGCAAATCAATCCGAATACAAGGTCCAAAAGACAAAAGCGACAAACCTCATTCGCATCTGCACTATCTCGCATCTTGCCCTTCTCCTTGAAATTCTTGACTTCGACGTCATCGAGGCGGTGGATAATGGCGAGGTCATCCGGGGCGCCACGAGTGACCATCTTCACGCGGATCATGACCAATGCCCCTTTCAGGAGAGCCTCGGCGCGATAATTGGCATCCAGTAAATTCATGCCACGCTTCGCCCGAAGCCTGTTGATCTCTGAAAGGAGACCCGCACCGTGATTAAGCATCTGTGTTACTTTTTCGAGAATCGCTGGCACTTCTGGACCACGGAGCAACCAAGGGCGAACAATAGGTGCTCTGTCAACGTCCATTGCATCCTGGGGGCCTCGTTGTGCTGGCACCAGGTTCTCATCTACAGCAGACGCCATCGGAAGGCCTAGCACAACCTCCCAATCCGCCCGCCATGGGCTACGGGTACCAAGGTTCTTATGATTGGGTCTCTTTGCTGGTGGCGTTCTCTCCCACTTCGCTTTCTCCTTATCGGCACGCTCTTCCCAATGCTTGTCGTAGAACTTCGTGCAAGGGAAGTCTCTCGGGAAATATGCAGTGCCCGCCTCAAAGGCTTGTGTGCCTCGCTCTCGTTGTCCGCCGACACGTGTGCCTGTATGTATCAGTGAGGGGAGGAAAGGCATGCCCCATCCGGCGGGAAAAATGAGCGTCCAGCCGTGGATACCATGCGTGCTGGAGGGCGATTCGAGCGAGCGCTGGATGAGCAGCAGTGGGATGCGATCGTCCTGGCGAAGGGGGTTCAGAGGCGTGCCTGGAACAAGATTCTTTGCATGCAAGTTACTTATCGTTCCCAGTTCGAGAACCAAGGGGGGGCTTACATTGGAACGACGCGTATCAAGATCTTTCTTCTTGTATGTAGGTTTCTTGAGCGCTGAACGCTTCTCTTCCTCCCATATTTCGCTTTGAGCAAGTATGGTGGCGGGAAACGTCATTGCAGGGGCGGCGGCTTGTACATCGTTCGTGCTGGGTTTGGCGTTCTTGGGCGGAAACCTGAGTGACAAGTTACTCATGTGGACAAGCCAAGTAGCCGCAGATACCTACTTCAATCGTGGGTCAAGGACTTTCATTCCGATGACTATTCCGCGCGGTAGGGATGCAGTGGTTTGTAGATCGTTGAGGGATGACCAGAACTGTCTAGGTTATCAGATGTTATAAGAACGTCAAGGAAAGAACGAAGGCACCTTTTTGAATGCATGCCTGTCATCATCTCCAACTGGAGACAAGGCGCCCTTGATGACCTGACTTGCCTTGGGTCCCATGATTTCGAAAACATTGAGAGTGCCTCGCAGATCGGCTATCTCTACTTCCACAGATACATCTTTATGTCGCTGTTTCTCAGCTTCAAGAACTAAGGAAGTAGATTTCTGCAACGCTTCGAAGACATCGTCGAACACCGCAGGGTGCGAGCGCACCCAGACTGCTCTCGCGGAACTTTGTTGAACAGCATTAGCCAGTGTATTCTGCTTGTCCTTTCCTTTCCGCTTGCGTTTGGAAGATCCTTCCGCTGGGGGCGGGTTCGTCTGTGCTGGAGGCAACGGCCGCCACATGATCGTTACAGGTGCAATCAGGTCAAAGGGGTAGCTTCCTGACTTGTACAGGTCCGTCTCGAGCACGCGAGAACCGGACATGGATCTAACGAATAATTAGTTCATGGTTCTTCTTCAACCTCATAGACTGACCGCTTCATTCCAGTGCACTGAGGATCGCAGCAGAGATCTAACACATTTCGAAGGATTTTTTCAGGCCCCTTGAGTTCTATCAGTGAGCTGTACGAAGCATCATGCAGGATTGAGCCATGCATAGACGCTCGGTGTGAGGGACGGAACGATTTCTCCGTAGGTGTTACCGCCTGGACATAAAATTCAGAAGGAGCATGTAATCATAACTAGAGACGGACGAGTCTATACCCCCACATGTTCTCCATTTTCATTCGCTTGGCGTGCCAAATATGAGTCTCGAGCCAGGATTTATCGCCTGTCGAACACCAACATAAGATACGGAACACAAGGGGTTACATGATGTACTGACGCTGTCGCTTCAAGAGGGATTCAGTGCGGGTCACTTGCTTTGTTTTTCCTCGCTTGGAGAGTCCACATCTAAGTATGCGCCGGGCGTTGGGAGCCATCTGAAAGATGAAATGAGGAATATTTCCGAGGCAGTGGGTTGCACCTCACCTCGGCACGTGCTTTTTCTCGCAAGCGCAAGGGCACCCGGCGAACATCATGGCTGGCTGCCCTTCGTCGTAGATGGCGGGGCAGAGTTTGCCATGCGCGATGAGTCACACTTTCCCTGAAGGCGAAAAATAAGTAGTTGTATATGTTGAGGCACATGCTCCTAACCCTGCCGTCTTCATCGCTTTCTGCATGGCATCGATCTCATAGGCTCGAGCCTATGGCGTTTTGCAAATTCAACAATATAGAACCAGAATCAGCCCAAACACGTACCTCTGTAAATTTCTCCACATCGATTGACGCAGGTAATCCTTGCATAGCTATTCGAGGTAAATGTCAAGTAAAGACGCATCACGCGAAAGATGCTCACAATCAAATCGTACGGTGGTGCTTGACGGTCCGGCGAGCGCGTTTCCTGAAGATCGGACACTCCCACTACCACTGGTTGACGCAGCTGGCTGAACTGCAATTGTCCGAGCATCTGCAACTTTGAGTTTCTTCCGTTCCCGAGGCGTCATTTCTTCCGCGCCCCCCTTACGTTTCAAAGGCATTTGTGTTCGATGTGCTATTTCCTCAAAGAGCAGGTCCTAGACCTAGGTTATGCACCTATTCAGCACTGACAGAAACAGAGGATCGGAAGGTGGTGAATACAGAATCTGCAGAACTGAAAGAACTACCAGTGCCACAAACGCGACCTCTACCGGCTAACCCCGAACAACCTCCTTCCTCTCACCACCATGGCCTCGCGTTGTCTGGTTCTTACTCCAAAACTCGCCCAGCGCTCAGGTGCACGATTTATATCAACGACAAGAGTGCTACGGGAAGAGACATCCACTTCACCCAACCTAGGTTCGGTCCAACCGCAGAAGAGACCGGTCGGGGGCTTCCGGGGAGGGTAAGCACTGTTGCACGCGCCTTACCGTATGATCTCACTCTTTCTTCTTGCTGCTAGAATAATCGGGTTTCTGTTCGGATTCTCGCTAGCCTCCGCGTTTGCTGCATATCATCTTTTGGACGAATATAAGCTCGCTTCCGCAGCGCTGCAGGCCAGTGTGGAGGAGCTGCAAGCAAGCACGGAGAAGGTTTGAGACTTGCGCCTTTGTGAAATATTATTTTTATGTTGTATGTCACTCCTCCAGGTGTCTGCACACGTCCGTCGTATCGAAGCAGTGGAAAAGGATTTGAAGGCGCTATCGCAGAGTTCCGCAAGTAAAGATGAACTATCAAGGGTTCGTGCAGAGCTCAAGAAAGTATACGACGGATTGCACATCGGTATGTTGTTCCGCCTACGCAGCAGCGCGTGTGCTTATAGACTTGGCAAGAATTCCTTGATTTGAGATCACATGTTTGGGGAATGCGTCAGTCATTATTGTGTTTATTCGATATCTACCACTGACGAAAACTTTTGATCAGAACAAGACTTGCATTCGTTAGCCAAGAAGGATGCCACATCTGTTCGTATATAGAGCACATCATACTTATAGAACTCCTTGGAAAACCTCCTTTAGTTTCGAACAACGGTTTAAAATTATCTTCGGTGGTCATGGATGCTGACCGTATGTTCCGAATGACTCCAGGTCGTGATGGATCCAAAAAGTCATAGGCAGGAGTTTTCCCGGTTCCCTCTGATATTTAGAACATCGCTGCGAAGTTCGACACAGAACGAGTACGAGGGAAACGTGTTTATATGACAGGGTCATCGACCTGTTTTTGACATGAGAACAGGAGCAGGAACATCGGTATCAAATTTGATACTCACCATGAAGATCGGCATACGCGATACGACAACCTTTACACCCTTCGTTCTGCACTTCGCCTTCAATATCTCATAAGCCACAACCTGCTGCTCTGCAGACCTGTCACACGTCAGGACTCTAAGCTTGGGAAGCACATCTACTGCTTCAATAATGGGCCAGAGTGACTCGCGATCACGGTAAATGTAGACAGAAAGGTGTGGCGCGAAATCAGATACTGGTGGAGTGTGAGCGTGAGGTAAAGCACCAGCTCTTTGAGCGCAATCCACATGCGGAGCAGAGCGGCAGAATGGACGTCATAGTCGAGTAGACGAAGGAAACGAAGCCGCGGGGCATGAACGGCGAGTATATCTCACTCCGTGGTTCCTGCTATCTCTTAGGATGCGGAGGGAGTCGGCAGATGACGCAAGCAGCATCAGTGAACTGATGAGCCGCAGATAAAGTCTTTTATCGTCATATATAGAACTTCTTTCCTTTATATTGGAATATAAAGTCATAAAACGCCGTAATCGACGTAAAGTACCCTGGGTAGACTCACGAGTTCTGAGTTCTCTGATGCCAACCAGGTTGGAAAGTCCGGCCGTGGATAATGCGGCAACGCAAGGTCATAAAAGCAGTTCTTTGCGCCCATGAGTTTGAATCTCCAGCGTCAGTATCCCTCAGCAGCACCGTGACCTGTGCTCCGCCGTGCGACACGGCCACTGCGCAGTGCGCACTAGTCTCGCATCTGATCTTGAGAAACTGGATATTGAGCTATATATTGAGGAGTTAGGAGACAGGGTAAGCTACCGGTGCCCAACAGAACTAATACTTTCAGTCTCCGCCCTCCATCCCCTAATCTTCTTCAATATCTTGCCCGATCGATATTTCGAGGTTTCGTATGAAGTCGCCTAAGCCTTTTCCCCGGGTCGCTGCAGAGAAAAGTGCTGCATGAAACTTTGCAAGTCTATTTGAGCAGTAGTAAGAAATATGCGTCGCGGAAGAAGCAGGGGTTGTGCTGGTCCTGAGTCCTGACCGGGTTCTGTACACTAGTGCAGCAGCTTTGAGCGTGTCATTCGGCTTGACGTCGATAATGTAGAACTGCATGTTCTAAGACAAAATATAAGTTCAGGAGGAATGGAAGCCATCTGCGGATTCTAATAGTAGCTATAGTAGATCTCGGACTCTGCCCCTCAACGCCCCTTGCAAGTTATCACGTCACAAATAGTCACACAATTACTACTTGAGATTAGGATCCCCTCGGATCCCCTGGGCGGCTTCACTAACGGACTTATATCTGGCGTGCATATTCCCCTTACTAGCGATGACTTGCGGGTCAACGAACATGCATTGGAGTACAACAATGGTATCTAGAGTGCATACGAATACTTTGAGTGAAGATTAGCGAGCAACAAGTACTTTGAACCAGGATTAGCGAGCAGCCATAAAGAAACAAAAGAGCGTCAGAAAATGCGGGTAAGCTCGGAGAAAATGAGTGAATGTGACGGTCACGGTCTGTTCGGACAAAATAACCATACAAAGCTACTAAAGGACCGCTACGGGAAACGAATCACCAAGGCAGAATTCGAATTCTGATAACTGCACAAGGCACAATGGCTCATGGAATAGCGCCAATAAAAATGGCGACCAATATCACCGCACCAATCAGGCCGATGGCAGCAGAGCGAATAACAACTTCCCACTGAGCTCGGATCACCACAGGCGACCGCACACGCGTCATCGGCGCTTGGAACGCAGGAACGCCTGCGGTGAAAGAGGGAATCATGAAGGAGACAAGGGGGGGGCGATTAGAAGTCGGGCTCGGAGATGAAGTGTATGAATTAGGCGAAGGAACTGATGAGATTTGTGAGACGAGTGATAGTGGTGGCGCGTATGTGCGCTTGCATTTATACTGCTGGCGTGCGATGGCGGAACTCATGGGATTGTTTGAAGGAGTGGTGTTTTCAGTTTGAGGAGAAGGGGTTGGAATATGATCTGGGATAGTGATAGGAGGTGGAAAAGTGTTGCTCGTGAGGCGAATGTTATCTGCAAGAATCGCGTTTCCCTTGCCAGACTTGGGAAGAAGATCAAAGTCAAAGCTCTCGCCTCGTCTTATCTGTACGCGCCCTTTTACATCTTCATTCGTATCGAGGTCTACTTCGTGACGAATGAACGCTGCGCTGGGACCAAAAGAACCTAGAATCCTCTGGGCTGTGGAACTTGACAGCTGGACTGTGCCGGGCATTCCCGTTGGAATGCGCGATGTTCGAGGGGTGAGGGTAGCGCAGCAGAATTCGGGCGTTGTCGAGTATGTAGCACAGAAGGGAAGGTGATGGATGATTGTACGGAACGGTAATGGGATCGATGCAAGCCTGTGGCTGTGGCTGGACCCTCAGGTGCAGGCACATCATCGAAGTAGGCGGGAGAAACTTCAATCTCCGGCAATTCAAATGAAGAGGACGAGCCTTCCGAAGATCCGCACAGTTCGCTATCAGAAGACGAGTCCGAGGTTGGCGAAAATGAGCGTCCTTCCGCAGAAATGATGCATGGTGCAGATTGGAGGGAGGTGGACGAGAAGAACTCTGGATCACACTGCCTATCGTGATGTTTCGATATTGCGATACTAGGCCTCTTGCTAAGCGGTGGTGGGTGAGGCAGCGGTGAAGATATCGACGTGACCGCAGGGACGGGCAGCGGCCTTGAAATAACCGGCCTGGCAAGCTCAAATTTTCGAAGTTGTCTCAGGTCACCGAAGACATATATCATAAGACAAATCTAGAAATTAGGCACGCACGATTGTATGGAGGGAGTAAATTCACTCACTCCGTTGAAACTGGAGATCAACAACAGCAGACCAAGCCAGATGCCGGGAAAGCTGATAGTCTCCACCACCGTCCGTGGGGGGCACCGGCCCAGTCAGCAGACGTCAGTGCAAGGGGTAAAATTCCAGCAACGCATAAACACAGTGTCCCAGCGGCAATGCCGCAAGCTGCTCTGCCTGAGCCAACATTGGTAGAAGCTGCACGAACAAAGCGGGAAAGGGACTCTCTGAGCATAGCACGCGTCTCCAATGCAACCTCTATAAATACTGCAGGATCTGGGTGCGCATTTGGTGGGTTCGAAACGGCTGTAGGCCCGCGAATTCTGCTAAAAGCGCAGAGTTCTGAGCTGGGCAATGGAAATGGCGCGAGAATATCTGAAGGGACATCAAGTTCGTACTCAGCGCCAGGCGTGAAGAAGGTTTGCTTTGCTTTTGCATAAAAAAGAGCAAGCGACGCGTCCGACGACGGCGGAGTGCGAAATGGTTGTCGTGCATGCGGGATCTGGGGTAGCTGGGGCAAGTGTGGCTTTGGTACGCTGGGCCCAGATGTGGTAACGGGTGGTGTACTCCTTCAGCCATAACAAAAAGTAGAGATTTTCGGGGGATTGTTCGACATAGAGAAGATATTCTTCGAAATCCTTGAGGCCGAGGGGCGGGAGGTGTTTGCGCTCGAGTACATCGTCAAGATTAACGTCTACGAATGGTGTTACCCCACATGAGCCGTACTTTGCCAATAGACGGGGGTGGGTTGCAGATGCGGTACTAGAGAATTGTGAGAGGGACTTGTAGGTAAGTACGGGTGTGACATACTGGAAATGTTAAGAAGCCCTTCAAGGAGAGCTTTGACGGTGGCGGTCTTTCCTGCTGTTGCATGGATCATAGACGTTAGCGAGAAAGCGGTGGGCAGAGGTGGTCTTAATCATCGGGCGACTTAAATGCTACACACGTGATGATATTAATCGGAAATTGGACATTTGCTTGTCTGATTAGGTTGTCAGACACTGGCTTCGACCGAGCTTGGATGGAAATAACTGGGAGGGTGGATCACGTAAAGAGCGCCTATTGCAACTAGGATGGTTCCTCGGCATAAGGATATGAAGCTTGAAGTAGCTGAAAACTGGGAGCAGAAAGTCTTTAACTGCAATCGGTGGGTCCACCTATTGGTCCTCTAGCCCTCGGCAGCTGTGACGATCGAGACCGTTGACATGGGCTACCATTGGGAGCTGTCATCGACGTCACCTGTTCCAACCGGAAAGGGCTAATCGGCTTACCGCTCAACTAATCAAAATACCCACGAGACATCTAGTCTCCCGTAGACTGGAAGGAAGATGAGTCCGGAAGAATCTGGACCATGATCATGGAACCGCAAATTGATGTGATGAACAGCAAAATAACCGCAATACACCTTGTCAGCTTGTCACTTGGTTCCTATTGCCAATACCATTGGATCCAAGGTATGTAATTAGGACTGCCGTCTGGAGTTCGATCTTCTGATCGTGCCAGTGAAGCGGTAATAACCCTTCAATGTTCATAATAACCGCAGCGTGGGCGGCAATAAGAGACAAAAATATGTATGATACCAGCGCTAGTCATCCTTGACCGTGGAGGGCGGAAAATCGATGGCATGCGCATTGCGCACCCAGGCGCAACCACATAATAGTAGTAACACGTGCATCACAGACTCAAGCGAAAGTGAACCGTAGTACGTGATTCTCGCTTGAATTGATCAAGCGGTGACTCATTTGTTCTACTATCCAGGCTTCAGCGCTTTGGAGTCTTGTCGTTGATATAGGTTAATCATAGGTTCTAGCGGTCAGCTGCCAACTGCCAACTACTAGGCACTAGACCATACACGAATCTTGCTAATGTTGAACTGGATATTAAGAATATTGAAATTCTAATTGGCCCGATACCATCAACTCTTCATAATATAACTTCGGGGTTGCCTAAATAGCAAGTTGGCAACCAACTACATAGTCACTTATTATAGCCGTTTTCTTTGTGCGTCTAGACATAATTCAAAAGTATCACATCGATATCCTGTACGGACCTGCAGAAAACATCTTGAGAGGACACCTCATCCTTTCACGTCCGTAGAAATATTGTGCAGAGGTCCTACTTCTCACGTCACGGTTCCTGCTGGATCCTCCGCCTAGGATTGAAAGTATAAAAGTATGATTTGATTCTCTTTCGATTTAATTCTCAGCGTCTGCCTACAGAACTCCTTGAATTCTCGGTTGGAGTATCTATGCAATCAGATACATATAATTTTGTTGCCACAGCACATGCAATTTCAATGCAGGATGTTCAACATATATTGCTCTTGACATGACGAAAACAGTGCTTGTCCAGCATTTCCCGACCCCTGTCAACATTCGCCAGACGACAAACCGTTTGCTCATTGCTCACCAGCAACCCAGCGTACTTGGTGCGGAATTCTCGGCTGATTTGAGTCATTTGAGTCATGGAATATGTTGGGCAGGATGTTCCTCCCCCCCAACAGATATCACCAGCCGTTTCTATGCTGCTCTCCCTTTGTCAACTCTAGGAACTTTTCAACATGATACTGTGGAGAAGAAATGCCCATATTAACTAGTTCGTTGCGCAACAAGGCTCGACAACTGTCACTTCGTCTCACCAGGTGACTATGATCGGGACTGCGCAAAGCTCATCACGTCTGGCAAGGTAGTCGTTTCGCTCACTTTCCTTTTTGTGCTTTTGCACGATTCTTACCAGTAGGAAGACCCCCCTGGGCAAGGGGTTTCCCACTTATCTGTAAGTGGTCAAGACTATCGTCCCTTAACCATTACGCCAGTGATAATGAAACACGTTTCATTATCCCGGACAGTATTTATGGAACTCAGGTAAGCCAACGTTGGGCTTACATTATCGTCTTCTGGGTTGGGATTCGATGACGATTCGCGAGTGGAGCCGACCTTGTCATCTTTGTAACATGTACGTATTCCCACAACACAGTATGATCGCGCGTGCCCTGACGCAGCAGCTTCAGGTAAGATACCATCTCTGGCCCAGAGTTGCAAAACTTTTCGATGTTCGCGTGATAGCTCAACAATAACACAACATTTAAAAACGGCGACAACAGGGGGACGTAGGATTCAGTTCAGGCTTCAGCGCTATGTAAAACACATTTGCAAATTTTGTTGAGGCTACGTTGCCAGAGAGAAGCCGGCGTGAACGGTGTTTGAGCACAGAGTTGCAAAATTTCTCACCTGCACAGAATGGATCATGTCACACTGTGTCACACTGCCGTTTTTACTCTCCGACGCCGTCAAGTGTTGATCGAATGAAGCACTATCCCTTCCGGTGCAATCGGCACCCCACAGGCGAAAAAGCGTGACTGCCGACTTCTGTGGGGTGCCGATTGCACCGGAAGGGATAGTAGGGTGTTGGATGCCGAGCGGAGCTTGATGACTCCGACCACCAAATCACCCCTCTGTCACGCCCTGTGTCTCGACAAGTACAACATTTGTGTCGCACAACACAGCTCGATTTTTGTGTCGGAAAAAATTAGAGCAGTGTTAGAAGGTAATGAGGAATCATGTGTAAAATTCCTGATTTTTTTTGGTCGATGCGATGGCTTCCCTGTGATGGATTGGCGTGGAAAGTACACTTTCTGAGCAGTGTTTTACTCCCGTAGGCACTTCTCGTCCATTTTTTGTGAAATGAAAAATACAGACAGTGAGCTATGCATTGATCATCCTTCAGAATCATCGTGCAAAGAAAATGAGCGAAAGATGAGTGTGCTACATCGCATTTTGCAACTCTGGGCCAAAGATAGTAGAGTGTTTTTGCTAAGAATTTTAATGGACAGGAAAGGAAATTTTGCTTATGTGCGCGCAAGTTAATTGGCCGGGGGCCTTTATCATACTTGGCAAAAATACTCTAATACTACAATTAGACAGGTCGCGTTGCGGATGCCATCCATGACCTTTGGAGTGGGATAGTGATTAGAAGCAGCTGTTTGCATCTGGATGTGACTCCTGTTTTTATTTGATCATGCTACTCAGGTATGCTGACACTTGTTCTCCAGGCAAAGGTTTTTGGTGCCCAGAGGGCGATCTCTTCGCTGCGCGTTTCTACTCCCGGTTTCTTGCGATACAAATAAAGGTAAGGGATGTGGGATTGCTTGATCCAGAGAGGATACCTATATACCGAGCTGATTTGGGTATTCAACATCTCAGTGACAAGCACCATATGCCATTCTTTTCTTTTGTGTCAAACAAGGTTTCCGCCGACGAAAGGTGGCGCTTAAAAGTGTAGCGCCCAGCGCTCCATACATTCAGCGAGTTTTGGCACAACATCCAATGCAGGTGTGTGACGCAAGAGATCAAGGCAAGTGCCAAATCAGGGCTTGGCTGTCAAGGTCACATTCACAGCATGACGCTGCTGGCAGAGGCTGGAGCTCTGGAGGCTGGCAGTCATCGAGTGCTTTGTTTAGGTCACAAGATTAGTCAACCTATTATTCGAAGGTATGAATGGTTTTTCCGGCTGTGTACGCTGGCAATCCCAGCAGACTAAATGATTTTCCTCATCGGTTCCTTTTGTATGCTTCTTATGACGCATATGGGCCACGCGGGCAGTCGGCCCGTGCGTTACATCGTGAAATCCACCACTGCCAGCACCAAAAGTCGTAACAATCCATCATATCACAGATGGCAATGTGCTATTTGCTTCGTATGCTTGAAATATAGAGTACTGCAGTTGCTGGCAGTTTTGATTCAGTCCACAACATTCATGAATGTCCTCCTCAATACCGGTCTCCTTACCACGAATCAACCTTGGGAACACATACGGAGCATTCTTGATTGGGGCTATCTTTGCAGCACTGTTAGTAAAATTCATTTGCTCACTACGCAGACCAAGCTGAGCACTTTGCTGTTGAACAGTCTCTTTGGTCTAACCAACATTCAAGCCTTTATTTACTATCAGACGCATGCGGGCAGATGGACAAAATTCTATAGGCTAGTTGTACGTCCATGTTGTCTTCTCATCAGTTCTACCGTTGACGCTACGTTAGGTCTTCTGGCTTTGGTAGGTATCCTTTTGAGTTGCAATTATCGGGCACGTCCAAATTATACTACACCTGACCTTTCAGGATACTTGATGCTTCGCATCTGGCGTTGATAGTCCATTGCGTTTATTATTATTTGGTGACCAACTACGGGAACACGAGTGTACTCACAGAAGTCGTATGGAGTTTTAAAGTGAGTTCCTACTTTGTCCTTGCGCACAACCCCTACTATCATGTTGGTGGACTCGTGCAGCTTCAGATAGTATTCAACGTAAGTTGTATTTCCTGAGCGCAACGGATCGATCCAATGACGTACTCGCAGGCTATCATCTCCTATGGGATACATCTGTGAGTTCCATGGGCACTGCATATGCAACGCTAAAGTAATGCATTCTCGGCCCATAGTCTGTATTCACATCGCATATGGATAGGTATTTGTTCCCTATCAATGGATTTGCCACGACTGATGCGGTGGGCCTAGTCGGAAGAGACCGATCGAGAATTTTCCGTATGATACCGGTACGTTGCCATCGGCGTTTACATTCTAGCCGTACCATTTCATTTTGTCAATCAGGGCATAGTCGTTGTTGTGGGTTTAGGTAAGCTCGGGCTGTCAATTGAAATGCTTTCCTTTCGATTTTTGACAATCACGTCAGGTGTTGCCGTCTGTGAGCGTTCAATAGTACTCTTATAGTTGGCTCATCATTTAACCCGACGTCAGCCCTGACTTGGATAGTGTGAATAGACAGCATTTTTCCTAAGATGGCTAAGTGCTGATATCGAGTAGGTATCGCCGCAATCCGCCCATAGATTTATTTCAAATTGGGTGGCCAACATTCATGGCTTTGGGCACGGCTGCTTCTCTCGATATACTTGTTGCATCATCGCTATGTTATCTCCTCGCTACCTCCCGCACTGGGTTTCCTAAGTAAGGAGCATTCCGAACTCCATCGATTCTCGGGATCTGATATACTAACACGAACCCCTTAGAACGGATGGCTGGATCACAAAGCTCATTGGTTACACCATTGATAGCGGCTGTCTAACGAGGTATTACTCCTTCCAGCTCGCCCTGTACCTTGACTTATATCTCCTGCAGTATATGCTCAATAACAGCTATCATTACGGTGAGGTTCCAATTACTTGTACTGTCTATCTCGTCTCTGAGGGTCATCCAGTGTGCAGCGATGCCACACAACTTCGTTTTCCTCGGCGTTCAATTTTTATTGGCTAAACGTATGCAACAAAGAATTCTCCGAGGATTGTGTTGATCAGTGATCCCGTTTCAAGTTTATGTCAACTCGTACATCGCACTCCTGAACGCGCGATACTACATGCTGTCCAATACAGACACCGGCAATTCTTCCGAACAGCATATATGTCTCAGCGACACCCTCAGCACTGGGACGCACGATGGGCCGCAAGAGAAATTCCAGACATATCGAAGGGGTATGTTTACTCGTGCCGAACATGAAGTGGTGCTTCCCACTCGACCTGTTCAGGTTGCCATGGTCAGTAGCTGCGTTATTATTGGCGGATGAGGACTCGGACCTAATAATACGCTTCAGCTACACCGGTCGATTTTGGTGACGGTGGAGAAGCAGTCTTTTGCGGATTAGTGTGAATTGTCTGTTCGTCTGGTCATGAGGTAGAACCCCCAAATTCGTTTGCTTCCTGGCGAATTCAAAGTGCCCGGTTGTACTAGAGATGATGGGTTTTCACGCACATCATCCCAGGTATGACTCGAAGTTCTACTAAATAATAGGATGTGACCTCGCGCGCGCCTTCTGTGAGTCGCAGTTTTACTCATCCGAAAGTCACCAAGCAGCTCTCGAGTTTGCTCCACCGGTAACCGGTATTAAGACGGTGGTTATGAACCCGCACTACAGAAGTTTGATATGAACAACGAAAATCGTGAATGCAAACCTGTTCTGAACAGTCCAACAAATGTTAGAAGCTTAGGATGCGAAGCGTCACCATATCATTCGTAACCGTCCTAGTACAGTGCTGATACATACGAGTGTTCAACAATCCCAGTTTCGCGCCTGACACTTGCATTCCGTCTCTTAGAGACGTGTCCGGATCATCAAGTCCTTTTGCGACTCTGTCAAGGATCCTCGACCTGTGAACGGATCCATTTGTACCGCATATTACGCTACGCCGCTATTATTATGTGTAGAGTCAATGCCATGCGTGAAGACTTATTATTGTAAAGAATGTTGAAAGACTGGCGATATTGTCAGCAGGTACGGTGATGTAGTGGAAGGCGCGGTAGAGCGGCAGGTGTTGGACGTTGGGCGCTGGAGCAGCAGCGGCGGTAGGATAGCACGTATACAGTAGCTTAGTCAATTAGTGTCAGGTTATAGGCTCCCACCACTCCTTGCCTAAGGCCTTGCTCGCGATACAGGAACACCTTGTCAGGTTAGGCCACTCTGATGTGCAGGAGGGGTGAGAGGGCGCAGGGTGCGTGCAGCCTAAGGAGGGTGGCAGTACTTACCAAGGAGAACTTGAAGAAGGCCAGGGCCTGAAGTGGGCCTGAAGTGGGCCTGAAGAAACCGAAGAAGCGGAAGCGACACATCACAGGCACCGTTACTTATGTAACTGGACACCTGCCAGGAACGACTACCATCTTCCGTTTTTCAAGGTCTGGCTTGGGGAAACTACTGCCAGTGGGACTTCAAACTCACGAGCTCCAAGCTTCAAGCTGGTGCGTTGATCAGTGCATCGATATGGGTGCCGCGGTCGCACCGGGCGCCACTAGCATCACTGTAAATATCACGTTATAGTACTGACGCTGGCCCTCTGGTAATTACTATTGCAGTGATCGACGCGTCACTTACGACGAGCTCCTGTACTTCCTTGCGAACCCCTCGTTGTTCTGGGTCGGGACTCTGAGAAGGTAGTTCCGGGTATCAGAGGGTATCCAGTCGAACTGAAGAATATCATGAACTAAAGAACACCATATAGTAGATTTCCACCGTCACGCCGCGGGGCTATGGATAGGCCGCCACCGATCGGCGCTTGCGGCCCTAGGAACCGTGATGCATCACAAAGGGCTGCCTTCGATTTGTGAAGGCCTGCGCTATAGCTCTACAGCCTGGCTGCGGTATATATAGTACGATTAGATTAATGACAGAACTGCCACAGTCAACAATGTCTTCATCAACCCAGGACATCATTTCACAACTTGACCTCGGGAATACGATCGGGGCACTCTTTATCGCGGCTGTCCTTGCGATAATGTTGGTTCACCATTTTCTCACTAGTGTGCGGACAACACTGAGGGTTTTCTGTCGTCGTAACATCTCACGGAACAGTCTCTTTGGTGTGACAAATGTTCAAGCTTTCATCTACTTTCAGACACACAGAGGCACAGGGATGACATTATATAAGCTGGCCGTACGTCTATGCTACGTTCTTCTCAGTTCTATTCCTGAAGCCATTTCAGGTCGTTTGGCTTTGGTAGGTATCACTTCGAGTTGCAATTATCGCGCATATCGAGATCATGCAATGTAACCTGACATTTTAGGATGCTCGATGCTCTGCACTCGGCCTTGATAGTCCATGGTAGCTATTATTATTTGGTGGCTAACTACGCCAACATCGCTGCGCTCCAAAAACTTTTATGGAGTTCCAAAGTGAGTCCTAATTTGGCCCTTGGAGTAAGTATATTGATGGACTCGAGCAGCTTCAAATCCCAGTCGACGTAAGTGCAAATGCTAAGCTGTGTGACACTCTCAGACTTGCACTCCACAGACGATGATCATCTGGGGGGTATATTTGTAAGTTCGATTTGTACGGTGTTATACAATGCAACATGCACGTAATGCTTTTTTTGTTCGTAGTCTATATGTTCATCGCATGTGGATAGGTATTTGTTCCCCTATTGAAGCATTTACTGCGACTCGGACTAATGCGATCCACGAACATAGTCAGCAAGGGCCGACCGAGAGCTCTCCCTATCACAGTGGTGGGTGTGCAAATTGATATTCACGGAGTGTACCATTTTATTATGTTTCCACTATCAGGGCATATTTGTAGTCCTAGGATTAGGTGAGTTAGTTACCTGGAAATACTTCGCTTGATCTTGAAAATATCTTCAGGAGTTGGCATCAGTGAGAATTCAATAATATTCTTGCTATAATCTTAACTTGATCTAACCCAATGACAGGTCTTAATTGGGCCATGTGAGTGAAACATCATACCCCCCAACCACACGAAGTGCTGATAGCGAGTAGATATAACGTCCAAGTGTCCAAGGATTTAATTAAAATAGTCTGGGCGACATACTCGACATTGGGCACAATCAGTTTTCTCGATGTCCTTATTGCATCATCGCTATACTATCTCCTCGCCACCTCCCGTAGCGGTTTCTCTAGGCAAAGCAGCGGTGCTCTCCCTGTCTGGATCTGATATACTAACGTAGAGTATTTAGCACCGATTCCTTCATAACAAGGCTCATGAGTTACATCATTAGTACCGGCTGTCTGACGAGGTATTCCTCTTCCACCCTGCTCCATACTTTCGCTTATATCACGTACAGTGTATTTTCATTGACAGCTATCATCACTGTGAGTTTCCCATTATTGTAATGTCCATCTCATCTCTGAGGATCTTTTACAGTGCGCAGTGATGCCGAAGACCTCCATCTTCATCGGTGTTGAATTTTTAATGGTGAAATGTATGAGTAAAACATTCTCTCGGGATTGCGCTAACCAGTGTGCCCTTTCCAGTATACATCAACTCGTACATCGCACTCCTGAACGCGCGATACTACACACAGGCCGACGTATGCAATATTGATTCTTCCGAGTTCCATAACCGTCGCGACTTTTACCGCCCGGAGCTGTGCCTTAGTGCGTCGCAAGACGAGAACTTCTGTGCGCCGGGGAAGAGCGTATTTATGCAACCTGACGATGACTTGCTGCATCTCACTCGACCCGTTCAGGCTGCCATGGTTGGTGATTGCATCACTGGTGATGGAAATGGGCTAAATGACACGCTTCACCACAGCGGCCGATTGAGGTGAAGATGGAAATGGAGTCTTTCTCATCAGTGTGATGGATTGTTAACTGTCTGTCTCTTCGGACTCGCACATAACTTATGGGTTTGTTTGTAAGTTATCACAGTTTTGGGAACGAGATTCGGACACACTGGCTTTTTGCATTTTTCAAAGTTGGCATTTCGTTTTCGTCAGTAACCTTTCCGCCAGCTATGTATCGTTTTACCCGCGATTTATGGTGCAGTTCACTTATGCACCGTTACTTTTGTGCAAAATTTATGGCCTTGTAAGAAACAGTCCCTGTAACTTCTTGTCTTGTAAAAATGCTTGGATTGATGATAGGAACATGCTGTCAAGAGCAATTTTTCATAGCATTAGATTTGAGCAAGAAAAAATTTCAGACATGACCCAAATTGGCGGTGAGGCCAAGATACTTGCGAAATTAGTCAAAAAGACATGCTACTAGTGATGGAAAAGTTCGGTCCTGAACCGCGGTTCGAACCGGACTTTTCCCGAACCGAACTGAAGTCCGGTTCAAGGTTCGGGGTATGGGCTGAACCGAACCCATAGTTCGGTTCTACGTTCAGCTTTCTCCGAACCTTTTTGAACGTGTTCGAACGTGTCCGAACGCCGAATGCGAACACCGAACGCGAACACTACCTAGTCCTAGAATTTTGTGATGTTGTGGGGGTTAGATTCCTTTCACGCTCAGTGACTTTCGTGTCACATCACGTGTGTACTTTGTTCCAAGTCGATTCCCCAGGTGAAGAGATTGATGGGTTGTGCTTGGGACGCACTGTAGTGGTCTTCAAGGTGCCAAATGCCTTCAGGTGCATCATTTTCCTTCCTTGTTTTCTTTTTACTTACCAATATTGACATCATCTTACTGATTCTTACAGGAGCCTGCCAATGCTACTCAGAGTATTGCTGATGCATTGCAAGCTGGTCTCGAGAATTTGGTCCCACAGCGATGTCCCACTCTCAGGAGGTGCGTGATGTCGTCTTTTGAGCTGCTTACCCGACGCTGAGGCCACGGCTTGCTTGGGCCCAAGCCCCAGCTTTCGGCTGGCTTGGGCTCACGGCTCAGGCTTGAAATCTAGTGAGTCCAAACCCCCTCCAGGCCGAGCCTAAGCTGGGGCTTTGAGCCCAAGCCGGGCCGGAACATCACTAAGCCCCTCGCATGATGCCATGCAGTGTCTTTAACCTTGTGCATAAATTTCAGATGTTCAGTGTTTGAACGCCAAACCGAACGTGAACCGAATGCACTGAACGCATTTGAGCACGTTCGGTCCAGCATTCAGCAAAATCACTGAACCGAACGTGGCGTCTGGTTCAACGTTCACCAAATTTCCTGATGAACCAGACTGAACCGAACTTTTCCATCACTACATGCTACAGTCTCTGGGACACATCTATGAGACTTGTACTTCCTTGAGCTGAACTCCTTGATCTGCAACTGCGCTTTTTTCATCTCAAGACCTGACTGATAAGCTTCCATCCACCTTGACCAGCAGCCTCAATGACTTCTTGCATGAGTGGTTTCTGTTCAAGAATGCACTTGAGGCAGCAGTCTGTTGCTTCGTCGGCACACTTTGCTTGGCACCTGTCTCGACATCTCACCTGCAGAAGACCACTGTGCCAGACTACTCTTGAGTTCTTTGCCCTCCAGCTCGACAATGCTCTCTCCACTTTCTGACTCCAAGTCAGTGTCTGAGTCCCAATCCATATTGAACTCTGAATCACTGTCAGAGTCAGGCAATGAACAGTGAACACCACCAGTATACCCACATTCAAAGTCATCGTCATCATTGTTGGGCTCCATGTCATGAACCTTTTGCGTTTCAGTCATGGGATATGGTGTTTGTTCTCATTTACTCGTTTAGTATTTGTCTTCGGAAAGTTGTACATCCTCCTTTTTCTTTAACGTCGTGCTGGTCAATTCTTTCAGGTACTATTTAGTGCTGATTCTGTATTAATACTCACCAATGGTCAATTCTTTCAGTATCTGGGTCTTTGTTGTTGTTGTTTGTGTTGCACCTCAATTCTGAGACGTCTGACAAAAGCACAATGTTTGCATCGGCCCACGACCAACCCTATCGAGTCTAACTAACTCACAAACAATCTTCTCCGAGTCTTCGGTATTGCCGACACACTCGTACAATTTGTTAACTCATTATTTTCAGCTTTAACGCCACAATATCTACAACCCCTATTACACCTACTATAGCTGACACCAAGGCCTTCAAGGTCTCAAAGCCAGTGGACTTTGACAGCTCAAAAGATGCATTCATGGCATGGTTCCGGCATGTCTTGATGTATTTTGAGAGTCAAGACACTGTCACTCCGACACCAAAGCAGAAGATCATTTTTACCTTATCCTATATGAAAACCAGTTTTGCAGGACAATGGGCGGTATTAGCCTATGATCGTGAGAGGGCCAAATCATCGACCGTCCATTGGGACTGGGACATATTTGTTAAGGACCTCAAAGCCACATTTTCTCCCATCAATGAACTTTGTGATGCACAGGAGCGTTTGTCCATGCTCATGCAAGGGAAAATGCCCATCAAGGAATTCTTGACTCGCTGGATGCAGATTCTCATTACGGCTGAATACACCAATATCAAAGCCAATACTACCACTGCCGATCATCTCATTAACATCCTCCGAACTAATGTTCACCTCGACATCATCAATTCGGTTGACGAAGAACTGGAAATGTATGGTTGTTGTGATCTGGAGAAGTGGACACAGAGGATTTTGGTCAAGGGTAGAATTCTCGAATGATGTTATTCTTGTCAGGGTGCAGGAGCTAATCATAAGACCCCAAACCCAAATTATCATCCTCCTCCTACTAGGGCCTCAGCATCTCACATGAATCCACCTTCATCGTCTATGGGAGACCGCACTGATAGCAGCGGAATCACCTATGGAGGTCGTGGTCAGCCCATGGACCTTAGTCATCAGCGTGCTCAAGAGAATAACCTCTGTTATTGATGTGGCCAAGCTGGTCACATTGCATGTAATTGCAAAAATCATGCTCAGGCAATCTGTTAAGGTCGTGCTCAAAGGGGAGGTTACTCAAAGGGCTTCAGCTTCAGCTCATGCGCTGTGCCCCTTACCCAAGTATGTGCCCTTTGATTTCTGAGGGGCAGAGGGGAAGTCCGACAGAAGTCCAGGGAGTTCTGGAGGACAAGCGTCGGTGGAGTTTGGTGGAACTCCAGAATACTATGTGGGAACGGAGTAAGGCTACTATGGACAAGTCTGGAGTAGAAACAGAACAGAGGTTAGACTACCCTAAGGTAGAGCCAGAGAATTAGTCCTAAGGTTTAACCCCTAAGACTTAGGAGTGGACGAGAGATGAGACTCAAGTCTGGAGATACAGGAATGAGCAGAACTAAGATGATATTTGAACTAAGGAGTTCCGGAGTATTACAGGAGTTTATATACTGTGGGTATCATGTAAGTAAATCAGTCAGCAAAGATAAGGGCTATGTACGAAGCATGTGGAAAGTCTATTAGTAAGTGTAACAGATCAAAGCAGTGAAGTCAGAAATGAAGTAAGAATGGATGGATTAGTAAGCATAGCGGAAAAGGACATAACCGGTAACCAGAGCAATAGCTATTCTAAAAGGAGTTAGGGGTGAGTGCGGAGATGAAGGTGGAGTGCCGGACAGAATAGCAGGACGGAGGACTGGACTTTAGTGGTGGGGTTCCAGAATTCTGGACCCGGAGGTACGGGATATGACACAATCTGTCAGATGCTAGAGGAGCTTGATCCAGATGAGAAGAAGGGTGTTGTTGAGAGCTTGGGTTTTTGAGACGGTCGAAAGGTAGTGCGCCCTTGTTGACCGAGCATTCGTGTTCATCATCATCATCATCATCCTGTACACTGTCACATATGAACAATTCAAATCCATTTTCAGTACTTGACGTTGACGAAACAAGTAAAGCGCATGATGAGCTACAGGCAGGAGGTGAAACTCCCAACCTTATGCTCTTGTCTAGGGGAAAGGGAAGCCAAAGTCCAAAGGTTCAGGAGATGCTTCAAGAGCAAAAGGTGTCCAAATCACCTGCACCTGAGGTTACGGACGTGGACCCTCTGCCTCAGGTTGCGATCAACAATTTCCTGAACACGAAGACTGAGGTGCACAGAAGTGGTAGATCCGAGGGTGAAGCAGCTGCTAATAACCCAAGGGGACCCTGTGCAGCCCGAGTACTGGCAGCAAAATCATGGTCACCTATCTGGTATGCCCAACATTTATGAGATCAGTCGCCAATACAAGCCATAGCATTACTTCATATTGCGGTGCACCCAAAATGTCATCTCGAAGCTACTGATGAGGTGCTCCAGCAACTAAATGCATTACCCATCAAAGAGGCAGCAACAGCTATTCAGGAGTTGCATGGACCAAAACAGTACATCCGTGGAACAGGACGATCATTATTTTTACCTGTTTCCTTGACAACTGTTGATGACTGACATTGCATTGCTACTCGTGCACTCTTAGATAGTGGTTGCACAGGGTAAAATTGCACAACCTGTCCCTGTATATAATGCAGATGGATCCCTGAACAGTGGGGGTTCCATTACTGACTATGTCGTACTGCAACTGACAATCGGGAAGCACATTGAATGGATCACTTTCGGGGTAACCAACCTTGGAAGCGGAGATTTGTTCCTCGGTTTAGAGTGGCTAAAACATCACAATCCTTCCATTGATTGGCAGGAAGGGACAATTCAGTTTGACCGGTGTCCAAAGGAGTGTGGCTATCTCATATCACACTATGAACCAGAGGACCCAGGAGAATTCATAGGTTGTCTGCATGAAGATGTGGAGTCTGACCAGGAGGTCAAGCTTGAGGATGGGGAGAGGATCTTTGCATTCGATTTTGAGGAGTATGTGAAGACTGGTGCAGATTATATTCAAGCACACACTACGACCTCACAGCAATTGGCTGAAGAAGCATCCAAGACTAAGGTTTGGAAATCTTTTGAGGAAATGGTGCCTCAGCAGTATCATGATTTTGCGGATATTTTTAAAAAGGAGTCATTTGATGAACTCCCTCCATGAAAGCCTTGAGCCCATGCTATTGAGTTGATCCCTGGGGAACATGCAATTGACTGCAAGGTATATAATTTGAGCCCAGAAGAACAATGAGAGCTCAATTCTTTCCTTGAAGAGAATCTTCAGTCTGGACGAATCCAACCTTCTAAATCACTGTTTGCCTCTGCCTTCTTTTTTGTCAAGAAAAAAGACGGAGCTCTTCGGCCAGTGCAGGATTATCAAAAGTTGAATGCAATTATGGTTAAAAATTGTTATCCTTTACCTCTGATTCAAGTACTCGTCCAGAAGCTCAAGGGGGCAAAATATTTTACCAAACTTGATATTCGATGGGGTTACAATAATGTTCATGTCAATGAGGGCGATGACTGGAAAGCAGCCTTTCATACCAATCAGGGGTTGTTTGAGCCACTTGTCATGTTTTTTGGGCTCACTAATTCGCCAGCTACATTCCAAACTATGATGAATGACATCTTCAGGGACTTGATCAACGAGGGGAAGGTCATTATCTACCTTGATGATATCATGATCTTTACACAGTCCCGAGAAGAACATCGTCGAATTACCTGTTGAGTACTTGAGATTCTCCGTCGGAACAAGTTATATCTGAAACCCGAGAAGTGCGAGTTTGAGGTGGCTGAGACTGAGTACCTTGGTCTCATTATCTCAGAAGGCCAAGTTAAAATGGACCCTATCAAAGTGAAGGGAGTTTTAGATTGGTTGACCCCTAAAACAAAACGAGAGCTACAAGCTTTCCTGGGGTTTGTAAACTTCTATTGTCACTTCATTTGAGGGTACGGAGACCTGGCAAAGCCTCTGACGAGCCTGACAGGAAAAGCAGAGTGGTCTTGGGGAGAGGAGCAACAGCAGGCATTTCGAGACATTAAACAACAAGTTTCATCTGCACCTGTGCTTGCTATCCCTACTGACAATGACCCATATCGTGTTGAAGCTGATAGTTCTGGTCGAGCTGTAGGTGCCATTTTGTCACAATGTCAATCTGGCACCTGGAAGCTGATTGCGTTCTTGTCAAAAACCCTTTCCGAGACAGAACAAAATTACGAGATCTATGACCGTGAACTACTTGCTATCATGACTGCCTTGGCAGAATGGCGACATCACCTTATGGGTGCAGTTTGAGATTTTGAGATCTGGACTGATCATCAAAATCTTGAATATTTTCGAAAACCGCAGAAACTCAATCGTCGTCAGGCCTGGTGGGTAACAGAGCTGGCAAATTATCATTTTGCACTCCACCATAAACCCGGGAAGACTAATCTCAAAGCAGATCTTCTGTCGAGACAAGCAGATCATGAGACCAGGGAGAATGACAATGAGGATGTTACTGTGTTAAAGTCTGAATTTTTCCGTCCAGTCAAATTGATTACTGAGGATAAAGATTTCCTTGCTCATGCACACCAACGACATGGCAATTGAGATCGAGTAGTCAACAAAATGCTCGCATCTAGTGAAGCAAGTTGGACGGACGAAAAAGACCTTATCCTATGGAAGGGAAGGGTTTATATCCCCATTGATCATAAACTCTGGGAAGATATCATTCATGAGCACCATGACTCATGCACTGTAGGGCATCCGGGACAATACAGGACACACGAGCTCATTACACAGAATTACTGGTGGCCTCGTATCCTGTCTAACGTATGAAAGTATGTTGCAGGGTGTCTAAGTTGTCAGTGTACTAAATCTCAGACCCTCAAACCAGCCGCCCCATTACATCCAAATGAAATCCCCTCCGAACCTTGGGAGCAAACTTCTATCGACCTTATTGGTCCTCTTCCTGAATCGGCAGGACATAATGCAATTCTAGTAATAGTGGACCGATTCACCAAGATGATTAAGATCATACCTGCTCATACCGAGATCACATCTTCAGGGGTGGCTAGGATATTGCATGACCAAGTCTTCAGACATCATGGATTGCTGTGCAAGGTGATTAGTGATTGCAGATCTAACTTCGTATCAGCATTTATGCGAGAGCTCTATCAACAATTGGGCATTACCGGAAACTCGAGCACGGCCTATTACCCACAGACAGATGGCCAGACAGAACGTCTAAACCAAGAAGTTGAACATTATTTATGAATTTTCACCAACCATCATCAGAGTGACTGGACTGAATGGTTATCTCTAGCCGAGTTTTCCTATAATGATAAAGCTCAATCTTCTACAGGACACTCACCTTGCTTCCTGAATTACAGACATCACCTGTGGAAAGGTACCAATTATTGTCGAGAGGAAGATCTTGCTGATTGAATGAAGAAGATCTATGTGGAAGTGGAGTTGGCATTGAAGAAGTAGTGTTTGAAAGTCCGGTCCAGTCCGGTTTTTTGTCTATTTTAGATGCAACTGGACCCAGACCGGTCTTTGTTTTCTCACTGGCAACCTAAAGACTGGACTGGACTGCATGCAACCGGTTGCCACCAGTTGTGGTGATATCATGCAGTCGGTCCAGACCGGTCTATACAGCAACTGGTCCACGTACACTGAAAAAATAAAATGCCTCATGGATAACACGACTGGTCAATTGTTTTTTGGTATATACATTAGTATGTGTGCTAGTAATCAGCATCCCTCTCCCCTTCTACTGTCAATGTCACCCCATAAATCTGCACGTCAAAGAAAACCAACAGCAAAGGCTAGTGCCAATACACTAGTACCATGGCCTCACAATCCAAAAAGCCGTGCACCTAACACTAAGCCCTCACCAAAGAAGAGTCGAAAACGACGAGCTCCAAGTCCTGAGAGCAGCGACAGCGAGGAAGATTCAGACAGTGATGTCAGCACGACAGTGAATAAACGTACCGCCAAAAAAAAGGCAGCTGCATCCAAACGAGCACGGCGTCAGAGTGCAGCATCTATCGAGATCGTGAATGATGCACCTGATGTAAGTGAGCCAGAGGTTCTCGATGTTGAAGCACTGGACCAGGAGAATGAGGACAGGGACAAAGACAAAGACAAAGACGATGTTGGACTGGACGATGACAATGTACGATTTTGCGATCTGCTAAAGATAGTATATCAGCTCACCATCAGCAACGACAGGATGATGTCCCATCCAAGAAACAGACAAAAAAGAACAGCGCAGATGACCTACTCACCATCTTTTCAGAATGTATCACTGTTAAGTTTTGTAGTCCAGATGGCAAAGTCGCTACCAAGGTTGGACGCTGGTGCATAGAGTGCAGGTCAGTAACTTGTAGCCTATAGTATTAATACAAGCTTACCATCAAATCACAGAAAGGATCATGTATTTGTGAAAAAGCATGGTGAGAGGAAAGTGTTTCATGTGGGGTCCAATTCGTCGTGTCATCAGCACATCCGCAGCCATTACGAGTTGTATCAGGAATGGTGCTTGCAGCAGGAGATATGAGAACATCATCATTCAGTTCCGCAGGTGTTGCTGAGGCAGAGAGATGCAGCGAAGACAAAAGGGCAACAGCAGAATCTGGATGGTGTTGTCCAGAAACAACCAAGGACGAAAGAGTTCTCATGAAGGAATGTATTGCATGCAGTTGCTGAGTTCGTTGTTTGTGATGACCAGGTAAGAGATAGTATTGATGGGAATATATGGGTGGCATTATAGCTGATGCATTGACAATAGTCGCTCACAGTGGCAGATAAGGTCACATTTCGCAATTGCTTAGTAGCAATGCGACCAAGCTTGATTTGCCTTCGACTCACGATATTATGACCTATGTACACAATTCCTTTATCGACTTCTTTTCAAAGCTCAAGTCTGATGTCCAGGTATGTTTTCTTCTCTATATAATATATTTGCTGACATACTACATAAATATACAGAACCCACTAGCGGGACATGTTTCAACTACCACTGACCTTTGGTCTGTTGACCAGACCAAAGTGGCGTTTTTTGGACTGACTGCCCATTGGATCGAAGCAGCCTCAACATGGACACTTCATTCTTGCATCATTGCTTTCAAAGGCATCTCTGGCACGCACTCTGGGGATAATCTGGGTCGCTATTTCATTGGATTATGTGAACAAGCTGGAATCATTTCAGGACAATCATCTAAGGTACGTTCCTGCATCCCATTTTTTCGAGTTAGTTTATTTCAACTTTCCATAGCTTTTCTGTGTTACTGCTGATAACACCAGCAACAACGATACGACCTGTGACAAGATTGAGCAGATTCTTCACCGCCATCACATCTACTCTTTCAATACCAATAAACAACGCCTCCCATGCCTCGCCCATCTCATCAACCTTGCTATTGTGGCCCTCATGTCATCAATCACCAAAATTGCCAATGTAGTGACTACAACGGCCATATGGGAATATGATCCTACACTACCTGATAATCGCATCCTTGGGGACTCGCTGGATGTCGTGGCTGCTGTGCGAACCCTCGCCATTAAGGTATGTCATCATGTTCATTCTATTCCAATGATTCTAAATGTACATTGCAGATTCAATGCTCTTGCCAACATATTGAGTACTTTGAAACACTTCAATGCAACTGCAGCATTGAAATACCACTCAAGATCCTGCTTCACAGTAACATCCAGTGGGGGACTGCTGAGGGTATGCTGGGTCGAGCATATGAGCTTCACCAGGTGTGTGGCAACATTCTTTTCACATCTTTACCAGTGCGCTGACTTCATTCGTAGTCCATCAATATGTTCATGAAGTCAGCAGATGAGCTTTTCGGGCCAGTAACTACAATCCGGTGTCCTGCAAGTCCTGCAAAGCATATTCCGTGGAAAGCATTCACAATTGGGCCTGTGGATTGGGAACACATTAACACTACTCGCAACATCGTCTCCGATGCCAACAACATTCAGCAGTATTTCTCCTCAGAACTACAACCTACCCTCTGGCGAGCAATCCCGGCCATCGAAGAACTGCAGACTGCATGGGAAGCCAAGTGTGATGATCCAAAGTACACTCTCTTCAAGCCAGTGATTGAGCTCAGACTGGAAAAGGTCAACAAGTACTATAGAAGGTTCGATGAAAAACCAGTTTACGTCCTGGCCCTTGGTACGTTAGTTCTCCCCTGCTCTATCATATTGCTGATACGTTCTATAGTCCTGCATCTATATTATAAACTCAACTACATCAAGATGGCCTGGGGAGGTCCTAAGGAGCAAGAACTCGAACACGCTGCTGGTAACCCTAATGCTGTAGACTGGCATGATGAAGTGCTGAAGATCGTTGAGAAGACCATGCGAGAGTATTCAAAATGTATGCCCACAGGTGCCACCACTCACTCCTCGTCTCCCATCAATCCGCTTGCATCTACTGAAACACTTGAGTCTGAGTTTGATCGTCATTGACGCACACTAGTCGACAAAGCTGCCTGTCAACAATGTTCTGGATGGGCTGCTGAGTTGTGGCAGTACCTACACGATGTCCTTGATGATGTCTCAAAGGACGCTGACATCCTTCAGTGGTGGTTGGTAGGTCGTTCCTTCATTTCAATTGGAATCTCATTGTTAATATAGTTAATCAGAATCACGCATCTAACTTTCCGATACTCGCCAAGATTACTATGGATGTTTGTGCAGTGCCAGCATCTTCTGTGCCCTGTGAACGGCTGTTCTCAGCAGGTGCAGAGACTGCCACCAATCGCCAGTCTTGTTTAGGTTTGGACCAATTTGAACAGTTGCAGGTCATGAAGTTCACTTGGCGGAAATCCATTGTTGATCACGCTGCTTCCAACTCATCAAGCATTGAAGAGGTCTTACTTACTGACTATGCAGATCTCCTTCGCCTGGATGATCAAGCAGTGGAGTGGGAGCATGGAGAAGATGAGGTGGCTGGATCATACTAGTAGCTTGAATATGTTTTCCATACCATGTAGTTTGTCCATTTGATATGCAACCGGTTGCACTGTAGACCAGTGTGGGTGAGGAAAATAGACTCTGTGTGAATCAGAAGTCTAACAAGGGTGCGAGGCTTATACTTGTCCCGAGGGGATTGCTACTGGGTAGCGAGTCCTCAAATAAGTGCGAGGAAACAAAGACTAGACTCTGTCTAGCGACCCGAAGGGTTCCGGTCCTTACTAGGACTGGGAACATGAAGATGCGGAGGGTTCCCAACGAGCGGAACTCAGCGCGCGACAAGTGGAACTACGGGGAACTAACAGAACTAATGCGGAGCAAACAGGACAAACGGGGAACAAACGGAACTAATGGGGAACAAATGGAGGGAAAAGAAACTACGAGCCTGCAGGAGGATAATTGGGCAAAGTCAGACCAGGCTTGTGTCTGGTACTTGCTCCAAGTCGTCGGATCCGATGTTGGGCATTTCAAGCGGAACTCATGGGGCGGGAACGATGCAATGTGATCAGGAATAGATTCGGGAAGATATTTTAAACAGTGAGTGGAGTACTGGGAAGTACTCTGTAAGTGGAAGTGGAGTCGAGTCTATCAGAAGGTAAAAAACTAAGATCCCATCTATTGCTACCTATATAGGAAGGGGTTCCGAAATGCGATATGCTACAACCGGGTGAGGCTGTGAGATAAGGAATCGGTCCCGAGTAGCGGAAGGGTCCATATAAGTACCGTAACACATGAGAAAGGAGATAGGAACATGTTAGTGACACGGGGAACATAGCTAGTGTCATGAATGTTACCAACTGCATCTAAATTTCGATTATCAAACCTAAGGAACCCTATCCGATAAGATTAGATTAGATAAGATCCCTGATAAGATAAGATGGATAACCAATTAACGATCACTATCTTCACATCACATCTATACTAAGTCGACGTCATCCATCTATATCCGTAACCCTAGACACCCGACATCATCATATCCTTAGAAGTCCTATGATTAGGCAACGGGTTACATCATAAGCACCTACACACCGCTATGATCGAACCATAACCGAGAGTCCCTTACGAGCTACAGTGGCTCAAAAAACTGTCCACATGTTTGTGCTATTTTCACTATTTACATTATTGTATATGAATGGACAGGTAGACCAAGGTTATGCTAGTGGGGTACTCTGTAGTACTCCCTTGAGGCGTAAATTTGAGCCCTTGCCCGTGGGAATCCATGGTAATGTCGTGGTGCTATAGGCCTTACAAAATGATGACTCATGCGGACAGTTTTTTGACCCTAGATTAAAATTATATAAATCATTAGTTATGACACCATAAAGTCATGCCACTATTAAATAAATTATGAAGTGGTGTCATTATGACATTATTAAACCTATTGCTAAGTATATAATGAAGTGTGTCCCATATATCATAGTCATAATCACCATGAAAACCATCTCCTCTGCTCAAAGGGTTAATATCCTTTCTCTGTCTACTACTGGCCTCTCCACTCATCAAATAGCCTCTAGAACTAGTGTATGCAAGTCTACTGTAGCTAAGCTCATCAAAGAATGTCACCCAGACAAGGAAAACTCCAGTGGAGGTTGTCCATCCAAACTCACCTCTACTGATAGGAGGGTCATTATCCAACATATCACCACAGGAAAGGCTGATAATGCTGTCCAAGTCACTCATCATATCAATTCCATCATCCCTACTCCAGGTTCTTCACAAACAGTGAGGAATGTCCTTAAGGAAGCCAATCTTAGGGCTGTAATAAAGAAGAAAAAGCCTCTTCTTTCCATCACTCATAGGAAGAGAAGACTAGCCTTTGCCCTAGCCCATCAAAACTGGACTGTAGAGGACTGGAAGCGGGTCATATGGTCTGATGAGACTAAAATCAATAGAATTGGGTCAGATGGGAAGGTATATGTGTGGAAAAAGAAGGGGGGCCCTCTTACAGACAGAGAGATTAATGGAACTCTCAAGTTTGGAGGAGGTTCTCTAATGGTATGGGGAACTATGGGGTGGAATAGTGTGGGAATGCTTGCAGAAGTTGAGGGGAGGATGGATGCTGAGCAGTATGTGGACATCCTCAACCACCACTTGCTGCCTACCATGGCAGAATCAGGAATTGATGAAGAAGACATTATTTTACAACAGGATAATGATCCCAAGTATACATGCAGAAGAGCCAGAGAATGGTTTGAAGAGCAAAATATTCACCTCCTTGACTGGCCAGCACAATCCCCTGATGTCAATGTCATTGAACACCTCTGGGGAGTACTCAAGAAGAAGCTTTTAGCCTATGAACACCCTCCTAAAGGAGTGTGGGAGTTATAGGAGAGAGTTACAGTGGAGTGGGGAAAGATTACAGCAGAGGATTGTCAGAAATTGATTGAAAGTATGCCTAGAAGGATAGAGGCAGGAATTAAGGGCAAGGGAGGTCACACAAAATACTAGAACAGCTAATTATCTGTGTAAAATACTTGGGTCAAAAAACTGTCCACATGAGTCATCATTTTTTAAGGCCTATAGCGCCACCACATTACCATGGATTCCCACGGTCAAGGGCTCACATTCATGCCCCAAGGGAGTACTACAGAGTACCCCACTAGCATAACCTTGGTCTACCTGTCCATTCATATACAATAATGTAGATAGTGAAAATAGCACAAACATGCGGACAGTTTTTTGAGCCACTGTATCTCTCGAAGAGTCATCATCCCTTCACATCGCAGACCTTCACTTCCCACACATGACATGTTAAGAGTTACCTCTGTCATTCACCGAACCCCTTACATAAGAACCTGTTGCACAGTCATAGCTGAATCCCTAAACCCTATCACAGAAGCACTACTCATAGAGAAGCATGCTCATTACCGAAGACCCTGGAGAAACCCTAGATCCGATCGTACCCGATACATCTCCAGATCCCATCTCTTATCAAGATCCTTAATCACCGCTCGAGACTTCTTGTCACAGAACTCTCTCACCCTTCTTAATCTCCGTCCACCCTGAAATAGAAGCAGTACCCTGAGACCCTGCTTAATCACCGATACCCCTATGAACCCTTTACCCTTTCTTGTAGTTGATTGGTTGATAAGATGCCCTATACCCTAGGCGCAATGTTATGATCTTATATAGATATATCACTACCTTTCATACTCAGATATCTCCGCCTAGAGAGTAGTATATAGTTTAGGTCGTAGTCAGTAGAACTCCTTAGACTTAACCTCTTCATTCCTACCTTGTGTAGACAGAGACGTTCACTCTCAATATCATCTATTCTCTTATCCTTTGACGAGTCCTAGTGGTTGTGTGATACCTTTGCCAATCGGTGAACGTTGATCATAACAGCTAGTACTCACCAGCGAGGATGGAAGGACATGGACAGGACGTAGGAGGATGTTCCAAAGGCTGAAGGAATATAATGCATGTGGTAGGCAATTGTTCCGCTGGGTTCCGCTGTGTTCCGCTTGGTTCCGTGTAGCAGACGGGTCGGGGAAGATGCGGATGGGTAGCAGAACATGCAGGAAAATGGTGGGAAGGCATGGGAAATATGCGGGATACGGGCCTACAGTGGGGACGTTCCCCACACCGGTTGCAACCGGTTTTTGAGCGGTTCATTACCTGTGCCCAAATGAAGCAACTGCCAACCGGACCAGTAAAGACTGACATACAACTGCAACTGCAGTCCAGTTCAAAAAAGTTGTGGTCCAGTTCAGTTGCCGGTCTTTTTCCGGTCCGGCAACTGGACTTTCAAACACTATGAAGAAGGCAGCAGATGATATGAAATGTTATTACAACAGGAAACGCAGCCCTTCACACGAGTTCAAGGTTGGAGATAAGGTGTGGCTTGAGGCTACTCACATTTCTTCCGATCATCCAATGAAAAAGCTCAATGACAAATGCTATGGCCCATTCTGGATCCTGTTGAAACACGGAGAGTCATCATTCAAATTAAACCTGCCAAAGACATGGAAGACAATTTACCCAGTGTTCAACAAGTGTGTGCTCTCTCCATATACACCGGCTCAATTCCCCTCACAGAGAAAACCTCTACCTCCTCCCCTGTATCTCATTGAAGGTTATGAGGAACAGGAGATTGAAGAAATCCTTGACTCTCGCCTTCGTCGAGATCGACTCGAGTATTTAGTACACTGGAAAGGCTTTCCATGTGAAGAATGGGAATGGTTGAAGGCTTCCAAACTGCAACATGCACCTGGATCTATTGCTGACTTTCATCGAAATCATCCTTGCAAACCTCGTCCTATGCTGACTATGAAACTTTGGTTTCAACACCTTGAAAATCTCACAATACCGAGTTGCATCCCTCACTATTTGTTCAATTGGGAAGATGGAGTCTTCGAGAAGCATGAACATATCAACCTAAGGAAAGAAGAAGAAAGCGAGAAATTTTACGGTGCTTTGGATGACCAGCCTTGGCTGTGGGACACAGCCCTTTAAGAGGGGGGTAATGTCATGAACCTTTCGTGTTTCAGTCACGGGATATGGTGTTTGTTCTCATTTACTCGTTTAGTATTTGTCTTCAGAAAGTCATACATCCTCCTTTTTCTTTAACGTCATGCTGGTCAATTCTTTCAGGTATTATTTAGCGCTGATTCTGTATTAATACTCACTAATGGTCAATTCTTTCAGTATCTGGGTCTTTGTTGTTGTTGTTTGTGTTGCGCCTCGATTCTGAGACGTCTGACACTCCAGCACAGTAGCAACTTCAATAGTGTAAACTTGAGAAGCTTGTTGGGCGAGTCTTGCACGAGCAGCTGCCTCTTTGCAGTACTTGCAGGATTTTTGTGCCATTGTAAACAGTGTAAATAATCAACTTCATCTGTACATACAAATTGTCTGTTGGGATAGGACATCTTGTACACTAACATCAAAGCTACCATGCCATTTTTGGCAATAAGGTTAGGGTTAGGAATTTTTGGCCATCAATTTGGCGGTTGCCCCGAAGTAGTGGCACATAAGAGCCAGTTCGTCAACGAGATGTTGACAAACATCTGGCAAAATAACATCATGTGCGAAGGTTGTCGGCTTGGGCCGTCCCGAGGGTCGGAACTTGAACATACTATCTAGCCGTCGCAGTACTAGTACAATGTATGTACTGTATATTCCTGACAATGGACGCTCTACCAGCAGTCCCTGCTCCCATCGACCTTCGATTGGATGTCCCGCTATTCATGCCCCATCGTCCCGAAGTTCAGCAACGTCTCATACGATACACGATCCTTTTGATCAGCATCTTGATTAGCGCTACAACTAGTATCTTACACTCAATCTATCCAGAACCATATCACACATCTGCTCTCTTGGGAGAAGCGTGGGTCATAGAACTATTAACTGGTCACCCTGAGCGTATACGATGCGAGCTTGGTGTACATGCGCATGTGTTCGCAGAACTCATCTCAGAGATTCGTACCCTTGGGCACACGGACTCCAAGTTCGTCTTGCTAGAGGAACAACTAGCAATTTTCCTCTACACAGTAGTCACGGGCTTACCTATCAGACACACCGGTGAAAGATTTCAATGCTCGAATGAGACTATATCTCGGTGAGGGTGATATTTTTAATTGCGCGCTATATCTCATTGTACATAGTTATTTTCGCAGGATGCTCTTTATCTTTTCGTCCCCCCCCCTTCTATTCAAAATATGTTCGCTTGCCGGATGCATCTATCCCATGCAAAATTCGCAAGAACCCCAAGTTCTGGCCATTTTTCAAGGATACCGTTGGGGCCATTGACGGAAGCCATATTCACGTGTCACCTCGGGCGTTTGAACGCGGGCCTTATCGTAATTGCAAGGGATCTGTATCTCAAAATTGCCTCTTTGCTTGTGACTTCAGGATGAACTTTACATACGCGCTTACTGGCTGGGAAGGGTCGGCCACAGATGCCCGCATCTATGAGGATGCCTGTGCTCATGACCTTCGCATACCTCCAGGAAAGTACTTTCTCGCAGATGCTGGCTTTCCTCTACGGCCTGAGTTACTTGTACCATATCGTGGTGTCCGCTACCACCTCACGGAATGGGGCCGCGCAAGCATAAGGTGAGATTTTTTTTTTCAGCCGCTGGAGCATACTCATTTTTGCCTACAGACCAGCTAACAAAAAAGAACTATTCAACTTGCGTCATGCGTCAGCACGCAACGTCATCGAACGCATCTTTGGCGTCTTGAAACGGCGCTTCCGCATTCTCCTTCTATCGCCGTCATATGCTATGGAGATTCAGGCACAGATCCCCGCCGCTTTGTGCAGCCTACATAACTTTATCCATTTCCATGACCCTACAGAAGGCCCCATCCCTGTTGATGCAGACAATGACCTTGGTGATGTGCACACTGGAGACTGGGAGCAACCAGCGGTAGCAGATGACCATGAACCTGCTGATGCAGATGTTCATGCATCTCGTGATCACATTGCGGAGCAGATGTGGTTAGATTATCAGTGAGTTTTGCAAGAAAGAAGTGTTCTTGAAGGTGGTTCGGACAATGATCTATCAGACCAGGCTTTATCGGAGGATGAGGAGGATGGATTGGGTCGGTTCTAGAATAGACGACATCAAGTACATGTAACTGGCACTTGCGCGAAATCGATTGCATTGATACGAGCGACATGATATGAGCGGCATGATACGAGTGTACGAGCGACATGATATGAGAGCGGTACATGATATAGGAACTACATGGTGTTACGAGTATGAGACATGTTAAACACAACACGAGCGGTACATGATATCTACAGCTTCGCCATGAGCAAGGTGATATATTGAGAACGTGTCTCAAAGTCCCCATCAAGCGAAATGTAAGCAGCAAGAGTATTCTCATTTCCCTGACGGCCGAAGATCTGCATCAACATCGCTCTCTCCGTGACCTGACAGATGTCCATCTTGGATATGCATAATCTCCAAGGCACGGGTCATGGTGTTTGTGCTGGCGTTGAGTGATGGTGCAGAAGACATGGATGGGGTAGTCAATGACTTCTCAAGAACATCAGTCAGGCGGTTGATTGCACCCTGCATACCCATGACAGCGGCTGCAGGGGTGATCTTGGCTGCCCTGGCAGCACTGCTCATGAGTTCCTGACCACTGTGTCTGGACGCACGGGCCTTCTTTATGGCTGGTTGTGCAGACGACACCAGGGTCGAGGAAAGCGGGAGGGACGATAGCTGGGGATGGTCAGAGTAACTAGTTGGAGCAGCCATGGAGGCATAAGATGTTGAGTCAGTAGAGTCGAATAGAAAAGTGTCGGTGCGCAAGCGCTTGTTGCCGGAGGACTGAGAGGTTGTAGTAACAGTGGAAAGAGGAGGTTCATGGATGATGGTGCTAGGTGGGAATATGACGTCATCACTTGCATGTGGGGCGGCGCTGACAGCGTCCCCAATGGGACCCATGCTGGCAGCTGTTAGAATAATATGCCCTGTTTCTTCGGCTTCAAGTGCATTGGCTGACAAGGTGGGGGGTGGACCTGCAGAGGTAGGGTAGAAGGCATGCCTTCCACGAGCGCCGCTGTTCATCCCTAAGATCTCCAACATCTTGTCGTAGAACACCCAGCCCTTGTTCCGGAAGGGACGCACCGAAGCATGACACTATTGTAATCAGTCCCTGTATATGAGACACATACAATAATGATAGCTTACCTGCTGATCAACGTAGGCCTTCCACACAACTCCCGCGTCTGTACCTTCGATCGATGCTCCCGTGTTGTTGTCCCAGTGACAACCTGATTGGTTGCGGTACGTCTCAATGCTAGAGAATGTTTTTTTGAGCTAAAAACAACCATCAGTTCGTAATAGATTAAGATCAAGATAACATATTACTGTTGTCCACTTAGTCCTCACCTTCTTCCCAGTCTTCAGCGGCCCCACTGATTCAAGGTTTTCATTAGCATTCAGGAAAGCTGCCCCTTTGTTGAAAGTTTCCTGTGGAAAATTTCCTCCATCACCACCCTCTGCATGATTTATGATCAGGTAGTCGAGTAGCGCGTTAATCTCGAGGTCATTCCATTGTGCCTTGTTGGCAGCCTGAACTGGTTGGGCCATGAGAACAGTTGTATAATGGGCACAGATGGCGGTAATAGTGGCCGCCCAAGTGCAGATCTGTTTACGATGTTGATCGTCCAAGGGATACGAATTCATGATGATAAAATGTATAGGTGAAACATGAAGCAAGGTTCAGATTTCAAGTTCCGACCCTCGGGACGGCCCAAGCCGACAACCTTCGCACGTGATGTTATTTTGCCAGATGTTCGTCAACATCTCGTTGACGAACTGGCTCTAAGTGAACTGCACCATGGAAAGAAACCGCGATGCCAGAGTAGAATGGAAAACTTTTCACACACCGTCAATCCTTCACACGAAGAAGGACTGATCACGAGCAAATTGACGGTCCAGCACAGAAGCTCCATTCTTCAAGAACAATATATAGGGCAGAGTGTTACCTCTCTCACAAAACGCGCAATGGAAAGCATTGGTTCAAACGACGAGTCCAGACTGACCACGACGCAAGTTCTTCCTCTCTGACGCTAATCAGTATGAGATGCAAACACTGCAAGGATCCTGAAACACTGACCAAACAAGCAACCCTGCAGCGCAACACTAAAGCATTCGGAGGTAACACGCATTGCCTGTGACTGCTGGCCCTACCGGGAGCAAAGCGACGCGATATAAGTCCAAGCAACGACGAAACAATGAGACAACGAGTCTCAAACCTTTGATAAGTAGTCGCTTTCACGAATTACCAGTGTACAACCACAACAAGGACTATTTCAGCACAAATCCTGTCACTTGTGTTTATTTGGAAAGTTTGGGACCAGGTCTGACCAGGTATGTTGCGGTACCAGCTCATTTATACCGGCACCGTCTGATATAGTTATCTATAGCGCTGATTCTCACTCAAACATGGAAGAGCCCGAGCTCAAGTCAGAAATCTGCGGCAACATCACCGGGGCGTCCAGGGACGTCATATTTTCGCACAGTTCGAATCTTTCCCGAATGCGGTCAAGGATAAACTACGGCACGGTGCGCAAAGCTTTTACAGGCACTGATTGTCATTATGATCCCCAAGATATATTCTAATCTTTCAAAGGCAACAGCTACTATGACCACCCACGCCACATATAGTACTAGAAGTGCTGGCACTCTGGCAACGAATTGCAGTGATTGATCCATTTACGATGAGCTCCTGCACTTCCCTTCCGAATTCTTCGCTTTGCTGGGTCTGGACTTTGAGAAGTTCTTTCAGTAGTTCTGCGTATCATACGGTACGCAGGCGATCCAGTCGAACTACAGAACAGCATAATGGTAGATTGCCGACATCAATACTGTTCACATCACGCAGGGCTGTGCTTCATCAGATGGACGGTCTCGATGCTTACGGCCACTTACAGCCATGGTGCATCGCAAAATGAGGATCATGTGCTAAAGCTCTACAGCCTTGCTGTGGGATATATAGTGTGGTGAAAATTTACAGAATTTCCTCAGCCAACAATGTCTTCCTCAACCCAGGACGTCATTCCACAACTTGACCTCGGGAACACGTACGGGGCACTTTTTATCGGGGCTATCCTTGCAACAATGTTAGTTCACTATTCTCACTAGTATGCGGACAAAACTAAGCATTTTCTGTCATAACATCTCACGGAACAGTCTCTTTGGTGTTACAAGCGTTCAAGCTTTCATCTACTTTCAGACACATAAAGGCACGGGGATGACGCTCTATAAGCTGGCTGTATGTCTATGCTATGTTCTTCTCAGTTCTATTCTTAAAGCCGTTTTAGGTCATTTGGCTTTGGTAGGTATCACTTCAAGTTGGAATCATCCAGCATGTCGAGATCGTGCATTGTACCCTGAAATTTTAGGACACTTGATACTCTGCACTTGACCTTGATAGTCTATGGCCTCTATTATTATTTGGTGACCAACTACGCCAACACCGCTGGGCTCTCAGAACTTGTATGGAGTTCCAAAGTGAGTTCCTAATTTGGCCCTTGGAGTAGCCTTTACAAGCATATTGATGGGCTCGTGCAGCTTCTGATCCCAGTTGGCGTAAGTGTGAATGATTAGCTCTGTGACACTCTCAGACATGCTCTCCATAGACGATAATCGTTTGGGGGGTACATCTGTAAGTTCAATGCGTACAATGTTGTATGCAACATGCCCGTAATGCTTCCTTGGTGGCCAGTCTATATCTTCATCGCATATGGATAGGTATTTGTTCCCCTATCAGTGCATTTGCCACGACTAATGCGACAAACGAACACAGTCAGTAAGGGCCGATCAAGAGTTCTCCCTATTATAGTGGTAGGTGTGCAATTGGTATTCACGAGGGTGCCATTTCATTCTATCGTTACTATTAGGGCATATTTGTGGTCCTATGTTCAGGTGAGTCAGTCACCTGGAATTACTACTCCCGCTCGATCTTCAAATCATTTCCAGGAGTTGCCATCAGTGAGAGTTCAATTGTATATCATCTTAACCCAATCTAAATCAATGACAGGTCTTAATTGGGCCGTGTGAGTGAAACATCGTACTCCTCAACTATACGAAGTGCTGATAGCGAACAGATATCAGTGCAAAGTGACTGAGGATTTAATTAAAATCGACTGGGCGTTATACTCGACGTTGGGCACAATTAGTCTTCTCGATGTCCTTATTGCATCATCGCTATGCTATCTCCTAGCTACCTCCCGTACCGGGTTCTCTAGGCGAGCAGCGTTCCTTTCCCCGTCTGGATCTGATATACTAACACCGAGTACTTAGCACCGATTCCTTCGTAACAAAGCTCATGGGTTATACAGTTAGTACCGGCGGTTTGACGAGGTATTCCTCTTCTCCCCTGCTCCATACTTTCGCTTATATCACGTACAGTGTATTTTCATTGACATCTATCATTACAGTGAAGTTCCAATTGTTTTAATGTCGTCTTGTCTCTGAGGGTCTTTCGCAGTGCGCAGCGATGCCGAATAACTTCATCTTCCTCGGTGTTGAATTCATAATGGTGAAATGTATGACCAAAGCATTCTCTTGGGATTGTGCAAAGTTGCTGACCAGTGGTGCGCTTTCCAGTATATGTCAACTCGTACATTGCACTCCTGAATGTGCGATACTACACACAGGCCGACGCAGACAATATTGATTCTTCCGAGTTCCATGCCCGCCGCGACTTTTACCGGCCGGATCTGCGCCTTAGTGCGTCGCAAGACGAGAACTTCCCTGCACCCCGGAAGAGTGTGTTTACACAACCAGATGATGAATTTCCGCATCTCACTCGACCCGTTCAGGCTACTGTGGTTGGTAGTTGCGTTACTGATGATGGAAAGGGGCTAAATGACACGCTTTACCACAGCGGCCGATTGAGGTGAAGATGGAAATGGAGTCTTTCTCATCAATGTGATGGACTGTTGGCTGTCCGTCTTCTCACCAGATAGGACTCGCAAATACCTTATGGGTTCTTTATAAGTTATCACAATAAATATTAATGCTGGGAACGAGAGGAATCGGCCACTAGCTATGCGCTTCTTATATTATTCAAAATGGGCATTTCGTTTTGATGAGCAACTTTTGTGCGAGCTAATTTATCTCACACGTGAGTTTAATGCGCGAATTATACAGGAAGCTAGAGAAAAGGGCTCAACTCAACTTCTAAGCTACCCGCGCCAGTCATTTGGAAAATATCCTATAGACTTGCCTCTCAAAACGGGCGGGCATGCTAGGCGCAATGACTGGACGTTAATCAAGATCGACTATTATATGAGATGAATGAGGCGGATTCTTTCTCGCGCGCGCTCATCATGATGGTACTATCTTAGTTTTTCGTACTCGAGTCGCTTCTCTGGCTGGACCTTTATATTGCCACCTTCGTGCACCAGAGCGACTACTACTTTGATTTTGATAATCTACGATGACTTAACTTCCGCTATATTAATTAATGCATCTCCCGCGTCTTGTAGGAGTAGATGCACTGCAATGGTGGAATTCTAGCTAGTCTCCTTTCGATCCACAGTGTACACCGGGTATTAATCTCCAAAAAGGCAACAACCGAGGCGTGGGCTCGGGGGCAGTATTTAAGCGGTCAAGGCCCACAGCAATGATCAAAGGTTACTGAACTCAGCCAATTCACTGACTTATATACAAATTATATTCCCTTGCTCATCTGTCCAGCAGGCTACCTTTCAAGCTATCTTACTTCTCTTATGTTGTCCGAGATTGAAGGGCAGCCTCGTCGTTTGCCCACGTTGGTCACATTTTGCCAGCGTGGTGAGTTTCTTCTATCGCACTGTCTATGTGGTCGTATGCTAAGATGACCGTGATATACAGTCCTCTCTACATATACAGATTGTGCGTACCGAAGACATCAAACATCATCGTCCGAGACTCATGCAGATTATTGGTCCAGCTATAAGCAGTTTGGGAGACGATGCTATACGCTATGATGTGATTAAGCCAGTGCTAGAATGTTGCTCTGCAGACACCCTTCTTCGCCTGGAACAATCGTCACCCGTTCGTCCTATCTCCTCCCCTCGTGCTTTGATTCCTAATCTACCTCCTACAGTATCTTGTAAATGATACCTCTGGTGAGTCCAATAGATTCCAGTCTCTCCGCTGCTCTCTCACATTATCAAAGAAATATGGCAACGACTGTGTTGGAGAACATTTCCACTCTTGGCCGAGCAATATTTGCAAGAAGGCGCTGAAGCTCCTGAATCGTGGCGCGAGCAATTCTTCGTAAGCCTTTTCTTGAATTTATGAACACTTCTTGACAGAGGGCGCGACAGCTATTCCGAGAAGTAGAGGCCAAACGACTTGAACTAGTAGGTTCTCGTCTCCGCAGTCAACGTATGGAAGCGGATGAACGGAAGAAGGAACGTGAGGTTAAGATCACTGATCGCCTACCTCCCCCGAAACGTGCTCGAGGATGTACGTTGAATTTTTTGAACTCTTCCAATGGTCATTCATTGACATTTGTATATCAAGGGGGAGCGCCAAGTCAACCCAAGACACTCTTTCAGAAGACAAAGACTGAGGCTACGAAATTGCGTACCTCTATGTACACGGCTCGTATCCTTCCTCCTCAGCGAAACCGCATGATACACAGTTCACCTAGCCTAAGAGCCCCAGCACCTGGACCTTCCCAAACAACCAAGAGCATGGTTACCGTCAAGACAGTCACCTATAAACGACCGCCTGTTCCACCTACCCCGCCTCAGACATCTGGCCAAGCTCCTACAGCATCAGTCTCGGCTCCCTCAGGCCCCACTACTCCCCAGAAGTTGGCTGCTTCTCCTCCTTCTGCTCGCCCATCGAAATCATTACAGATGCCACAGTCATCACCATCCACAGGGGAACAGCGACCGTCAAAGCCTCCAATAAACAAGAAGGACCCCATGGCTTCTTTGTTTATGCCGAAACACCGCACCCTTTCTCAGCTTCCGGGACAGACCAGTAATGCGCGTATCATGCCGACCCGATAACGTCCAAATTGAGTTACTCACTCCACTGCATACGTTTTGCTTGATCACTTATTCAGCACTTGAATTGTATTTGTTGGAATCATCATCTATTATCCATTGTCGCACGACTGTCTCAGTAGTGTATGCCGAGTTTGCTTGTCATTTGCTATCCACGCTATCCCTGTTGACGTTGACGTTGACATTAGACGCATACCCCTTAAACCCTGACGCTCACTACGCAGAAATGCTCCTCGCGTTCTAGGCGACGAAATATATCTAACTATGAGACAAGGGATATCAAGAAATTATAATAGACATATACCCGGCGTCTACAGAAGAAACCAGATGACTGTCAACTGACATTCCAGGTGTTGTGCAATCCAACTGTGTCGTCCGCGCCATTGACTGGACCGCCAGACGCTACTACATTCTCCCTCCTGTGGAATCCATTGACCCTACTGCCCTCACTTTTGTTTTCCCGCGAGTTCACGGTGACCTTGTTCTTGACGTTATCCGCACGGAGTGACTCCAATTGGTTCAAATACTCCGCAGTGACACCACCGGTAACGTACTCTCCTGTGAATACGGAGCAATCAAACGTTGAAATGGACGGGTTGAATTGTCGCACGGATGCGATGAGGTCGGGAAGAGTCTGGAACACGACAAGGTCAGCACCGATGGCTTCGGCTATCTCTTCGGTGCTGCGCCCATATGCGACGAGTTCTGTCCTTGAAGGCATATCGATGCCATAGACATTCGAGTGCCTAAAGTTTCATCAGCAATCTGGCGAAGTTTATTGGTAGGGGTTACCGTATGGGTGGCGCGCAGCTTGCGACAATGACTTTTTTTGCGCCGACATCCTTTGCCATCTGGATGATCTCTTCTGACGTGGTACCGCGAACGATGGAATCTAGAATGTATGTCACGAAATGATCGATTTCAGCTGCTCTAAATCTTACCATCAACAAGGAGTACGTTCTTCCCAGAAAACTCCAAGGCCATGGCGTTCAGTTTCCTCCTGACATTCCTCCGTCTGTGAAAAGAGCGTCACCCCTTTGGGTTTACGTTAACCAGTAGGTATTACCTCATTTGTTGACCTGGCATAATGAATGTCCTGCCAACATAGCGGTTCTTGATGAAGCCCTCTCGATAAGGCAAGTTGAGCTTTTGAGCAAGATTCAAAGCTGCGACGCGAGATGTATCAGGGACCTGCAAATCTTAAAATAAACATTCCTGGAACGGAGGAAACCACTAACGGGGATGACAACATCCACTGTGATGCCACACTCCTTTAAAACTTTATCGACTTCAACAGCAAGCGCATCGCCCATGGCCATGCGGCTGCGGTAAACGCTGATGCCGTCGAGCACGGAATCAGGGCGGGCGAAGTAGACGTATTCAAAAATATCTGGTGCAAAGACCGCATGCTCTGCAACTCTTTTTCTTGAAACCCCTGACCGAGTGATTATCACTGCTTCGCCTACCCACAGCCCGACATCAGTAGCTGCAGCTGACAGTGGGAAAAAGGACTAACCGGGCTTTACATCTTCCCATTCGCTAAAGCCTAGAGCATCAGCGACAATGCTTTCGCTTGCAAAGAGGTAGTCTCTTCCAGAGTTGACCCTTCTGGAAGCCATCCCGACTGGTCTTATGCCATTTGGATCTCTGAATGCAATGATCCCAAAGCCAGCAAGCATGGCAACACACGCATATGCTCCTGTGCATTGCTTCATAAGGCCTCCTATAGCAGCGAAAATGTCGTCTTCGTTGATACGAAATTTGCCTGTCTGCTGGAGATTGTTGGCGAAAAGGTTGAGTAGAAGTTCGGAATCGGACGATGTGTTTATATGTCTATGTGCAGTGGCGTCCATAAATTGCAAGAGTGAAGGAGTATCTATAAGGTTCCCATTCTAGGCAGATCACCTTCAATCGATTCTGAGGGACAAGTCTTGAAAACAGACTCACATGTGCAAATACGATACCATATGGTGAATTAACGTAGAACGGTTGTGCTTCGGCGTGGTTCGAGCTGCCAGCAGTTGGATAACGAACTAAGATAACAGTATGATAATCTTTGGCAGGATCACGTTAATTCAAGGGCTTACCATGGCCAACACCCATACCTCCGATCAATTTTGCGATGGCCTTCTCATCAAAGACATCCCGTACCATACCGTTGGCTTTGCATTGAAAAAATCGACCCTTGGTTCCACAAGTCACGATGCCACACGCATCCTGTCCTCTATGCTGCAACATGGCGAGACCTTCAGAAATCTCTGGAGCTGCATCTACCGATGCATCATGGAGCAGCAGCCCTAGAATACCACACACTAAATCGGAGATCTGTCAGAGGATCTAGCGCTTAGGTTTAGCACGATCAAGAAGCAAACTTACTCGCAAACGTGGGGGTGGAACGAAAGGGTAGGAAGGCAGCAAACCTGAAACTGTGATATCGTGATAAAAGAGCTTAGAGCAACGGAAAAGTTGGGAGGAGGACTCTGAAGGAGAGTATCGCGCTCCGGCCCGAGCCACGTGCAACTTGTTGATCAGATCAAGTCGAGACTCGATGTCAGTAGCTGCATCTTGCCCATATTGAACGCATCTAATGGTCCAGTCCACAACGCAACATGCTTACTATCTTCAGTGAACTCGGAGTCGGAGTCGGACTGTCTATTTTCCAGATTTTCTGCACAGCGAGGGCCTAGCATCTCTAAGTCCGTTCCAATTCATGAAACGACCGAGAGTCGAGACTCTACCTTCTATACGGTCTGCTAAATTGGCTCTGCCCTGCGGGGTGATCACGTTGAAATTGCAGTCACACCAACTCCGCAACTACGGTTAGCTACTTACAACACCATCTTATAACAAAAGCAACCCATCCTGCGGAGAACTTTTGCGAACTCTACGAATTTTGTCTCACCACGATTATTTCTTTCACTGCCCTGAGGCTTCTTCCACCGTCTCATTATTTGACCAGGCGGGTTCTCCCCAGACTCCCCTGGGGCATAGTTCTGTGATACTTATGCCAAATGAGGTCAAGCTGGCCATTACGTTGATCGGGTTGCACAAAGCTCTGAATCACTAGCATCTGGCTGAGGTTGGCTGTTCACACGAGTTTTCCGCTTTAAGCTGTTGCTCGCTGGCAGCAAGATGAGATTTCCCACCTCTTGCCTTCTAGAGTGCCACGGTTTTGGGGGCCAGTCTGGTTTTTAATTGATCGCGATAAACACCTTCGCGCCAAGTGTATGCCCACCGCTATATTATCAGTCTGAACGTGCAGTGCTTGCACAACGATCTGATGAATCAAAGGCTCGAAGCAGAACAAGAGGGATTCGAAAGGCGAGTATCAGCGTAGGCGGTATCCGAGCCTATAATGAAGTCGGGCCGATATTCAATATGCAATAATTGGTCATAACTGGAAGTTGTATAAGAATCAATTGTGAAGCGAGGCCCGGAACCCCGAGTTCCCCAGAGCTGCTTCGACGATTGGCCGATTCACGATTCACACAGACGCAACAACAACCGCAAGATCAGCCTAAATATCAACATGATATAAGATCATCCATGATAGATAATCGCTGTGAGGCTTAGCCTGGCGGTGTCAGAAGCCTGGCTGGCCGCTGATATGATGATGATGGTGATGGTGATCTATGACGATGCTATATGAAGATCCTGTTCGAGGTCAGTCCATCGACGCCTCAGCAGCCTGGGAGACGTTTTGGGATGCAATCCCTCAGTAGATCATATGGTCAATTATAGCCTGCGTGATGATGCGTTTATTTGCACCAAGGCACAGAAACATACATAGGAAGCACTAGGGCTCTGAGTCTATGCGACAGATAAGGGCGGGGCAAGACAAAAGACGTCGAGGGTATGACATAACACAGGGCACAGAATAATCCGGACTTCCGATGTAAAATATACATACATAGCTGGGAGGGTAAGTATCACGGTGTGTGGGTAAGTGGTAGTAAGAGTACAAAGCCAAGCTTGACGTGAATACAGTACGATGCAAAGTTAAAATCCATGCCGTTCCACATTACCATAGTAGTATCATGTTTGTCATATCAGGGAAAGTGCATGGCTGAAACATTACGCCACTTTTGCTTCTGCCCAGCCACCCAGCACGGGCAGCTCGGCGACACCAAAGACAACGTTTGGGACGCCTTCCTCATCACTGGCCCTCCCTGTCGTCACGGCCAGGTTTGGATATTTGGCATCAATTAATTGTGAGTTGGATAGAGCAGCCGGATCTTCCGAGGAGTGCTTGAAGCGCATTGGGGAATCTGGGTGAGGCATGGATATCAGCACGCACACCGAGACGGTATCATCTGGGGAGGCATCTCGAATAACTGCGACTGGACGTGAATCGACAGCTGCAGAGCGTTGTTTGAAGCGCGCAAGGAATGAGGGTTGTCGTTGGTGTGGAGATTCATGAGGTAATCGGGGCTCCGCAGCGGGATCGACCCTATGTGTTAGGAGAGCAGTGACAGGCTATTTGGGAGTGTATTGAGTCGTGTATTGAGTCGAGCCCTGCAAACGGGTAGGGCAGTTCGAGACGTACCATAATGGCCTGCCAATGTGCCTTCTCCTGTAGGTCATCCTGTTCAATCCACGTTTCATACACGCTAGGTTTCTCTCCGATGAACCGTGAAGTAAGACCGAGCCCTGAGGGTGGTAGCTCAAAAAAGATTCCTTGTGCTAGAGCGCCTTCGACACGACGACGAAAGCGGCGGCGAACGAGGAAGGAGCGGAATATGATAGAGGCAGATATGAGAAGGAGGACAAAAAGTGTAGCGAGAAACGTGAAGCTGGTTGTAGAGTTCATTGTTGCAACGTTGAGGAGCCGCACGTTATTGTAAACAAGGCCAGATTATCCAAATAAGAGATCACAAGGAGGAAAACGTTTTGCAAATACGAGATGAAACGTTTAGGAAGCAGTGCATGGGATGATGAAGCCTGTGTAAGCCAGTGAATCATGATGCTGGGATCAGGCAACATACAGATATAGCGTGGTTGACGTAGATGGCTGCTGCGCACCGGCATCAGTTTCTGTTGTCGTCGGCTGTTGAACTGGGATAGTAAGCGTAGGCGTCGTCGACGACAACGACAACGACGATGAAGACATTAATATTATGCGAGCTCGTCGGATGGAACATCTACTAGTGAGCTCGTTACCGTTACCGTTACGGCTTCTTTACGAATTACCGTGGGAGGACCCTGGGCACCAGAGTCTTGGGATCAGATTTTGCTGACATAATCATTAGTTGATGGAACTGCCTCCCATGCGAATAAAATAGCTGCTCATTTCGCCATGTAGATCTAGCGCTCATCGCCTTTCCTACGTTCCCTTCTATCCCCAATGTCTTCGAACTCGACAGACACCCCAACCCTCCCTCCTTCACTAGATCTTCCACCTCATCTATCTGCACAAAAGTACTTTTTTGTCTGTACACTCACAGTCTTGGCTTGGGATGCCCTCGTTCTTACTCCCAGGTCCTACAAGCTGGGGCGTCAGCCAAAATGGCCAGCTTTGAAGGCCATGTATTACTTTTTGCAATTTTGGGTGCTAGCAGATTTCGTTGTAACAGGTGCGTTGTCTTATTAGAGCTAATTCCAGCCTTATCGCACGAGTTCTGGCGTTAATCTGAAACGCTACAGGCGTAATGTTCTTTAGTACAACAGTCATACAAGACACAGACTGCGTCAGGTTCTGGCCATACGAGCCAATTTGTACAGCAATTCTCATTGCTGTGGCTTCCGCCGTTCATGTCATGCGCATATCTGCTATCTACGACCACACTCAAAACGTTCGTGCAACCATGTGGGGATTGTATGCTGTTCAGATTGTCGTCACTGCCATTTGCTGTGGCTTCTATCGCTCTGTGCATCTTGAAGATGGCCAGGGATGCATCGCCGGTCCACTGAATAACGCAAGCTGGGTTGGAATTTACTGGCTAGCTCCTACCCTGCTCTACGGTACCAGCTTCGTCCTCGCTGCTCTACGCAGCATTAAAACACTCCAAGCCAAGAAAGTATCATACTGGCGTCTCATGCTTCGTGACGGCTTGAACCTCTACGGTGCCATTCTCCTTGTAAACCTTGTCAACGTCCTCTTCTACTTCATCATGACGCCCACGGATCCAACCGACCCCATCAAGACAATCGTTAGCAGCATGGCAGCTGTGCTTACCACAACCATGTCTATGCGCATCATCCTCTCCGTTAGAGGGGACCTTGCCAACGGAGGCTCGTTCTCTGTTTCTTCCCACGCTGCTTCTTCATCAGGCGCCAACACACACTCGCTCTCTGGCTCAGGGACCAGACCAAGAGGCGTTAACCACACTTTCACCCTCGGTGATATGCGTGATGCGTCCGTGGCGGTGGCCGGTCGTAAAGAGGGCGGAGAGTGGGACGCCGACAAAAGCAGCGTCACCCCTCATGAGGAATCCAAGGTTATCCTTCCAATTGTTGGGGAGGATATTGATGGTGGTATCCCGCGTGCGCGCACGGGTTTGGGCGTTCAGATCACAGTTGATCAGCAAGTCGAGTATGATGATGGATTTGCCAGGAAGTAATTTGCGGGATTTAAAGGAGCAGGCGTGTTTGCTGTGATGCGATTTGATACGGCGGGGCTCGCGATCCTGTTGTCTGCATGATATCTCCTGAGTCGTATTTTTCTTTCTGCTATTTATACCGTCTGTTTTGTTACCCACAGTATTCCCTAGGTACCCGTCATTGGAAAGAACGTCCATGATGCATTGTATTAAAGTAATGACCAAGCCGGCGGTTATTCGTGCTCACATTCTATGTACAGATAATATTTGATGAAAAAAAATCAGTCGAGTATCGTCCCCTGCTACAATTGCATCTCTGCCCAACGATAATCACCTTGCACTGATCCAGCCCTAACGTGAGATTGTGGCGCTGTCCGTATAAGATAACTCGCCCACGATAGAACAAAGAGATGCGTTAAGGAATATGAAAAGATGCATGATAAGTGATGAACAATGCAAAGATTTATGTAAGACACGTAGCAGATATCCATCAGATACACTAAAATTTAGCACTACATCTTCTGTAGATGGGCGCTGGCGACTGGGATCTATTGTAGTCATGTACTATTTAGGGTTCATTCCCAGACTGCAGAAATCCTGATCGGGTCGCTGTAGGAAGCAGTGAGTTGCTGTTAGAGCTGCAGTGCGCGGACCAGCGATAAGATGCCACATCCTACTATACTTGAGATAGGCAGGGTTACACTGGTGTGCCATCACTGTCATCCAATCCATAGGAAGTCGTGTGTCTCAAACGCACTTCTATATAGGTACAAATTGCTTCTAACTTCTAAGTAGCGATGTTTTAGTGTACTGAACCTGCAGGTACAAGTGTAGTGGGCTTGACTCCTCTTCTCCTCACAAGGTCCTATCTCGCGACAAGACATGCATACTCATCCATCACTCTGACGAGAAATAATCCATCTCCACCATCACCTCAATCGGCCGCTGTGGCTAAAGCATATCATTGAGTGAATCTTCCATCACCAGCAACGCAACTACCTACCACGACAGATGGAGTCGGATGCGTCACTGCGTCGGGATGTGTGTGCCGGGATGCCTGGAGTTCCCTGTTTTGCGACAGGTGGACCTCTGGATAGGTGACACCATCGCGCGTACAGAATGTGGATAGATCGTTAGGGCTTGTGTTGGGCTGCATGTAGTGTGGCGCGTTCAGGAGTGCGAGGAATGAGTTGACATATACTGGAATTTAAAAGAGTCCACTGGTCAGTACGATCCCAGGAGAAGGCCTTGGTCATACATTTAACGAGTAAAAAAAAGATACTGAGGAATATGAAGTTCTGCGGCATCACTGCGCACTGTATGTAACCCTCAGAGATGAGATGGACAGTACAGTCATTGTAAACTCACTGTGATCATAACTGTCATTGAACACATACTGCACGAGATATGAGTCGAGATATGGGATAGGCTCGAAGGAGGAATACCTCGTCAGACAGCCTGTATTGATGGTATAACCCATGAGTTTTGTTATTAAAGAATCGGTGCTAGTAAGCACTCCGCGTGAGTATAGCGGAACACGACAGTGAAAGGGCCGCTGCTCACCCAGAGAAGCCAGTACGGGAGGTGGCAAGGAGATAGCTTAGCGACGATGCAATAATGATATCGAGGAAAGTAGTCGTTCCAACCGTCATGTATGTCGACCACTCGATTTTAAGCAAATCCGTGAACACATGACATTGATACCTACTCACTATCAGTATTTCGTGTAGTTAAGGAGTACGATATTTCGCTTACATGGCCCACATAAGAGCTGCCATTGGCTTAAAATGATAAGCCAACACAAGGAGTATAATTTGAACCCTCACTGATGCCAACACCTGATTCAAGGGATATTCAAGATCGAGCGAAGAGCATTTCCATTAAATAGACTTACCTGAACCCAAGATTACGAATATACCCTAATAGTGGATGAACAGAATTAAATGTTGTAGAACATGTCTATCAATTGTAGACCTACTACTGTTATAAGGAGAGGTCTTGATCGGCCCTGGCCGACTAGGTGCATCACCAGTGAGTTGTGGAAATCCTTTAGCAGGGGATCAAATACCTATCCATATGCGATAAAGATACAGGCTAAGGTGCAAGAAAGTATTATTTAGATGTTGCATATAACACTGCACATCGAACTCACAAATGTACCCCATAGACGATTAAAAACTATTAAATGTGTGATCGGGGAGCATCGCAGAACTTAGCAAATGCAACTCACGTCGATTATAATCTGAAACTGCACGAGCACATAATAGCTTAGTAGAGGCTGCACGGAGCGTCAAAGGAGGAACTGACCTTAAAACTCCATACAATTTCCGTGAGCGCATTGATGTCCGCATAGTTGATCACTAGATAGTAGTAGACGCAATGGATGATCAAGGCCAGGTGCAGAGCATCGAGTATCCTAAAATATAAGACGACGGCATAATCTGGACGCGCTCAATGATAGCAACTCCAATGATACATACCAAAGCCAGATGACCTGACATAAAATCAAGAACTGAACTGACGAGAAACCAGCATAGACGTACAACGAACTTATAGAATGTTCTTCCCGTGTCCCTATGCGTCTGAAAGTAGACGAAAGCTTGAACGTTGGTTGCACCAAAGAGACTGTTCCGTGAGATATGTTAGGACGACAGAACTCGGTCAAGCGCTGAGCTTTGTGAGCAGATATTATACTAACACTGCTGAAAGGACAACACCAATGAAAAGTGCCCCGAACGTGCTCCCGAGGTCAACTTGTTGGGTAAGGTCCTGCGTTGAGGAGGACATTGTCGACTGAGCCAATTCCGACTCCAACGGAATAATCTCACTATATATCCGCAAGCCACACAAGTACAATGAGGGTAGCGCACTGCCGCCGGCCTGATCAGTGTTACTATGCGGATTATGGCCTGTCACGAAGCGCAGTGCAGGCCACACTTTGAAAGAAGGGTGTTTTACCGTCATCATCTTCTTGATCGCCTGCGTACTACTTGGAGAACGCGTACTGAAAGAATTATTAGACCAGGCCACAAAGTGAAATCAGATTGGGCAGTGAACACTGGAGAAGGCTCCCTCTGCAGTTGCATCAAACCGCCGTACTCTGCCACTGAGCCAAATTGTAAACGTCCTTCGCCATACACGTTATGATCACGTCACAAGCCGTTGTGATGGACAAAACGGCTTGCAACTCCACAGGTCACCAGAGGTCATCGGCGCCATGCCATGCCTACCATGGAAAATGAAGGCACTCATTCAATGAATTTCAAACACTGTAGTTGAAGAGTTCTCCTCGGCTGTGTTGATAATCACAGGTACTACCTGTATGCCTGTGATCGGCCTTTCCGAGTTTAGATTTTCTCGACAGATAAAAACTTACTACTCAGAGTCTGGTGGGTTGGGCACCCCATACATTTTTTAGATCGCGAATTGAGATGAGAATTCCTTAGGACATAAGAAGGACTTGATGTAGTTGGCATAAGAAGCGGATTCGTCTAGAGAATATTACAAATACCCGTATCCCATATCCTCGCCCAGATGAGAGCGGAGTTTGAAACAAACAGTCGACCGTTGTTTGTTATGATTTTGATCAACGGTCTGCCGCAATCAGCATACAAGCGCCCTCCGCTCGATGGCGCCAGACGTCTTATGGTCAAGCTCACCGCTGTCTGGCGCATCTAGATATATCTAGATCCCACTTACAAATCTTTACCAACACAGACCATGACCCTTGGCTGGGTGATCACCGATCATGCCCTCCTCTACGAGTCGGGATGGTTTGGGCTGAAGACAAGCCGTGAATCGAACCACTGGCGACAGTCGAAGGCTATCCTAGGCTACTTATCAGCCAATTATCAGCCTTAAAAGTTTAATACGGGACCCCGTGCTACAGCCCATCAAAAGAAGCCCATACAGCATACATACTTCTTAGTCTCCCCTATATAGACGAAGGAAGATAGCCGTTCCTTCTAATGCTTATACATAGGAAATTAAGCTTCAAGCCTTGGATTTTCCCCCGCTACAGTCGCCTTGCACTGTCCTTACAGCTGACCTCTCAACATATGCAAATTTCGTCGGATTAACAAACTTACCATCCACAAAGATACGTTAATAGTTCTGAGCTGACAAGTTGCATTACCGTCACGCATCTGACCGCCAACAGACATCCCATCCACGTCACGAGCCTAGACTCATCTGATGCCGATCGTGTGGTCTTGCTGTGGATGCCGCTACTTAGAAGGAACGACTTCAAGTATAACAGACCACAACATTATTAATCGCTCCGACCACGACTTCAATGAGCGCGTGTTCAAGACTGGATATCATGTTGTAGGTGACACGGACCACAATTAAGTCCTGGTCAGCTCAATCAACTCATAGGACTGTGTAAGACGCGCACACGCGTTGCTCGATGCTGCGAAGAAGTGGACTTGCTGGTCAAAGAAATCAAGAAGGCCTTTCTGGAATGGCAAGGTCACTAACACTGGTGGCAGGAAGTCGTATGTGCACTTGTATACAGTTCTCAGTAACGATATTTTATTGTAACCTGCAGGTGCAGGTGTAGTGGCCTAGACTGCTCTCGTTCCCCAAAACTGTTTAGTGTGATAATTTAATAAGAACTCACAATGTCCTATCTCGTGACAAGACGGACAGATAACAATACATGCATCATCATCCATTACACAGACGAGAAGGAATTCATCTCCACCATCACCTCCAACGGCCCCTGTGGCTAAAGCGTGTCATTCAGTAACTTCTCCATCACCAGTACACAACTACCAACCATGACAGATGGAATCGGATGTACCGCCACTTCATCGTCGGGATGTTTGACCATCATGTTCTTCCGGGATGTCTGGGATTCTTCGTCCTGCGACACGCCGTGGTGTAGTTCTGGACGGTAGACGCCGTGGCGCATAGAAGAATCGACAGTGCCTGTGTTGGACTGCAGGTAGTATGGCGCGTTCAGGAGTGCGAGGAACGAGTTGACATATACTGTAATTTTAATCAGCACGATCCTAGGAGAAAACTGTGGTCATACATTTAGCCACTAAAAACTCAATACTGAGGAATATGAAATTGTTCGGCATCACTGCGCACTGTATGTGACCCTCAGAGACGAGATGGACGACACAGCCGTTGTAACCTCACTGTAATCATAACTGCCATTGAACACATACTGCACGAGATATGAGTCGAGATATGGGATAGGCTCGAAGGAGGAATACCTCGTCAGACAGCCGGTATTGACGATATAACCCATGAGCTTTGTGACGAGAGAATCGGTACTAGTAAGCACTCCATGTGAGTATGTTAGATTCCGACAGTGAAAGGGCCGCTGCTCACCCAGAGAAGCCAGTACGGGAGGTAGCCAGGAAATAACACAGCGATGATGCAATGATGATATCGAGGAAAGTAATCGTTCCCAAAGTCATGTATGTCGACCACTCGATTGTAACCAGATCCGCGAACACATGGCACTGATATCTATTCACTACATATCAGCACTTCGTGTAGTTAGGCGGTGCGATGATTCACTTACATTGCCCACATAAGGGCTGCCGATATTGGGTCAAAATGGTGGGCCGACAATCATAATACATTTGAACACTCACTGATGGCGACACCTGAAGAAATCTTTAATCTCGAGCGAAGTGCAATTCTATGTAACAAGCTTACCTGAAACCAATACCACGATTATGCCCTAATAGTGAATCAACATAATAAAATGCTGTTGAACATGTACATCAATCGTCCACCTACCACTATTATAGGGAGAACTCTTGATCGGCCTTTGCTGACTAGGTGCCTCACATGAGTCGTGGAAGTCCTTTGGTAGGAGGGAAATAAATACCTATCCATAAGCGATGGACATATAGGCTAAGGCGCAAGAAAGTATTATTTGGACGTTGCATATAACACTCTGCACATCGAACTTACACATGGACCCCATAGACGATAAAAACCTGCGAAGTGTGACTGAGGCCCATCGCAGATCTCAGCAAATACAACTCACGTCGATTATTATCTGAAGCTGCACGAGACCGTAATGTCTTAGTAGAGGCTGCGCGGAGGACCAAAGTAGGAACTGACCTTAAAACTCCATACAACATCCGTGAGTGCACCAATGTTCGCATAGTTGATCACTAGATAATAGTAGACGCAATGGATGATCAAGGCCAGGTGCAGAGTATCAAGTATCCTAAAATTTCAGGGGACCGCGTAATTCGGATGCGCTCGATGATAGCAACTCGAATGATACATACCAAAGCCAGATGACCTGACATATAATCAAGAACTGAACTGACGAGAAACCAGCATAGACGTACAACGAGCTTATAGAATGTTCTTCCCGTGTCCCTATGCGTCTGAAAGTAGACGAAAGCTTGAACGTTGGTTGCGCCAAAGAGACTGTTTCGTGAAATGTTAAGATGACAAATACTTGGTGAAGCGCTGAGTTGTGAGTAAATAGCTTACTAACACTGCTGCAACGATGACACCAATAAAAAGTGCCCCGAACGTGCTCCTAAGGTCAATTTGTGGGATGAGGTCCTGCGTTGAGGAAGACATTGCTGACTGAACCAATTTCGACTCCAGCGGGGTAATTCCAGCTATATATCCGCAAGCCGCATGAGTACAACGAGGCCAGTGCCTGCCGCCGAGCCGAAATGAGTATGGCTTCTGCGGTGCTGATAGGCAGGGGCACAGCCCACACTTTGAAAGAAGGATGAAGTTCAACCCATCAGGCACCTACCATCATCATGTCCTTGATGTGCATGCAGAACTGGTACTGAAAGAACTATTAAATCAGGCCGCAAAGCGAAACCAAACTGGGCGACGAACACTGACTGGATACAGCTTTCTCTCCGTCGCGCAGTTGCATCAAAGTTAGTTATGTATAATTTTGCGCCGTACTCTTGCTGCTGAGCCAGATATGATAACACCTTTCAACATAAACATAATGGTCACAAGCAAGTCAAGTCATTGGTAGACACAACGGCTTGGGTCATAGACTCACAGGTCACCAGCCCACCAGGTTTACCCCCAACACCGCATGGAAAATGAAGGCACTGATTCAATCAGTGTTCTTGAGGAGTTCCGCTTGGCTATGGTTTTATCATTACGGTGGTACTCTTGTACACCAGTGAAGTTTGATCGGGTTATCCGAGTTTAGATATGCTTGAACAGATCAAACTTACTACTCTGGTTGGGTTGGGTTTGGCGCCCCAAATTTAGATTCAGAATTGAGATAAGAAGCTCGAGGAAAAAGATGGACTTGATGCATCAGTCCGACTCGGGGATTGGCAGCCTGGAGAAATGGGCCCATCTAGTCTCTAGAATTGTGAGCACGCATATCCACCAGATTAAACCTGTTTACATAAACTCATGGCTTCCTCATCATCCATCTCTGATATCAGATCTAGATGTATTCCCCCTCGAGGCTCCAGACTGACGAGATAAACAACTAAAGTGTAAAAAAGGAAGAAAAGAAAAGATATGGATGATCGAACGCATTGTATGCAATTGATACTTGAATAGTAATTGATCATTTATGTAAATTAGCAGATCCGGTCTACGACCGGTCACCGTCGACCCTACTCTACACTGTGGTTGCGTTTGAATCGGGGCTTGAATTAATAATATCCGTGCTATTACCCACCAATGTAGTTTGGGCTGGCCGCTGAAAACAAGCCGTCCACTGAGTCGAAGGCTATCCAAGAAGGGACCTAGATGCTTGTCTTCCTTCCGAGTCTATATAGTTTGACGGCTATCAGCCAAGTATCAGTCTTAAAGCTTAAAGATTTATACAGGCGCCTACACGTTGCGAGTCGAGCACTGGGCCACACTTACAGTCGTACACTGTATTTATTGGGAAGCCCCGTGTTTCCCCCGCCACAGTTCATGAATCAGTCACCTTGTACTGCCAGTGGCTAGGGCTGAGCGCTGATCTGTGACGGCAAGTAGAAGTTTCTTTAAGACTTTAGATGACGGCACAAGGTAGAACACAATCTCGCGCAATGTTAACCAGATACCAGCCTAGTTGTAATTGGGAGAAGTTCTGAGGGCTAAGTACATAAACACGATCTTTAAATATTGTTGATAAGTACGAAGCCTGTGATTAAGGAAATAACGAATATAAAGAAAACTTATCGTGCTGGCCACGGAAACGACAAGTTACCGGGCCTCGAACATTCTATCTCTCGATCAATCTGAAACCATTCTTCGTGCGAGGCGCGCTCGCCACATACCCCCCTCCAGGATGAGTATCATCCTCACTTTTCTTTTGCCTGGTGAGCTCCCTTTCAACTTTGTTGGAACTTTTACCGGATTGCTCTTCAGGTTCTTCCTCGTCGATCTCCATACAAGCTGATGCATGAGTGCGAGTGGATGATCGGGGAGTAGGAGCGCGCGGTGAGTGAGGAATAGTGCGAGTACCCACATAATGCAGTAACATATACCCGTCTCAGACGGGCAGCCGGGTGTGACAATGTGCCGATAGAGACGGGCCACCCGGTGCCGGCCCATGGCAATAATTGTACCATGTTAGACGAGTGGGCCGAGGGGGTGGAGTGTCCAAGGCAAACAGATGGGCCGGGTGTATATAGTATAGATGGTAGTATAGCAATGTACTATATAGGAAATTATGAATAGTAGTAGTGAATCCAGTGTGTGATAGATGAGTGGGCTGGAGGAATGGAGTGCAATATAGATGAGTGGGCCGGGGAACTGGGGTGTGATGGAGATGAGTGGGCTGGTAAATGAGGTGCAATGGAGATGAGTGGGCCGGTACATAAGGTGCAATGAAGACGAGGGGGCCGGAGAATAGGGTGCAATTGAGACGAGTGGGCCGGTATAGCAGGTGCAATGGAGATGGGTGGGCTGGTAAATAAGGTGCAATTAAGACGAGTGGGCCGGTATAGCAGGTGCAATGGAGACGGGTGGGCCGGTATAGCAGGTGCAATGGAGACGGGTGGGCCGGTAAAGGAGGTGCAATGAGGACGAGTCGGCCGGTGTTATTGGGTGCAATGAAGACGAGTCGGCCGGTGATATGGGGTGCAATGAAGACGAGCTGGCCGGTGATATGGGGTGCAATGAAGACGGGTGGGCTGGCATTATAGGGCGCAATGGAGATGGGTGGGCCGGTGATATAGGGTGCAATGAAGACGAGTGGGCCAGTGATATGGGGTGCAATGAAGATGGGTGGGCCGGCATGATAGGGTGCAATGGAGACGGGTGGGCCGGTATTATGGGGTGCAACAACGACCGGTATTTATGTAACCAGTTGCTTGTGGTAACATAGCACTCAATCCGGCGATTCCACCGGTGGTCTGATCATGTAAAATGGTTAAGATTTGACAAAGTTATGAGCCCTACAAGGGAAAGTCATAAATTTAGAGGATATTATGATATATTGTATCTAGACCATTGCAACCGGTATTTTTTGACTGGTATTTACATGGCCGGTTGCTTGTGGTAACATAGCACTCAATCCGGTGATTCCACTGGTGGTCTGACCATGTAACATAGTTAAGATTTGACAAAGTTAGGAGCCTTACAAGAGAAAGTCACAAAGTCAGAGGATATATCATATCTAGACCATTGTGACCGGGATTTTTCAACTGGTAGTTATGTGACCAGTTGCTTGTGGTGACATAGCACTCAGTCCGGTGATTCCACTGGTGGCCTGACCATGTAAAATGGTTAAGATTTGACAAAGTTATGAGTCTTACAACAAGAGAAAGTGACAATTTCAGAGGATATATCATGTCTAGACCATTGTGTCCGGTATTTATGTGACCGGTTGTTTATAGTAAAACATAGCACTCAATCTGGTGATTCCACTGGTGGTCTGACCATGTAAAATGGTTAAGATTTGACAAAGTTATGAGCCCTATAAGAGAAAGCCATAAATTTAGAGGATATATGATGTATTGTATCTAGACCATTGCAACCGGTATTTTTTGACCGATATTTATGTGACCGGTTGCTTGTGGTAATGTAGCACTCAATCCGGTGATTCCACCGGTGGTCTGACCATGTAAAATGGTTAAGATTTGACAAAGTTATGAGCCTTACAACAAGAGAAAGTGACAATTTCAGAGGATATATATCATGTCTAGACCATTGTGACCGGTATTTATGTGACCGGTTGTTTCTAGTAACAGTACTCAATCCGGTGATTTCACCGGTGGTCTGATCATGTAAAATGGTTAATATTTGACAAAGTTATGAGTGCTACAAGAAAAAGTCACAAATTCACTGGCAGAGGATATATGATATCTAGACCATTGTGACCAGGATTTTTCAACCAGTAGTTATGTGACCAGTTGCTTGTGGTAACATAGCACTCAATCCAGTGATTCCACCGGTGGTCTGATCATGTAAAATGGTCAAGATTTGACAAAGTTATGAGTGCTACAAGAAAAAGTCACAAAGTCAGAGGATATATGATATCTAGACCATTGTGACCGGGATTTTTCAACCGGAAGTTATGTGACCGGTTGCTTGTGGTAACATAGCACTCAATCCGGCGATTTTACCGGTGGTCTGATCATGTAAAATGGTCAAGATTTGACAAAGTCATGAGCCCTACAAGAGAAAGTCATGAATTTAGAGGATATATGATATCTACAGTATTGTGACCGGTATTTTTTGACCAGTAGTTATGTGACCGGTTGCTTGTGGTAGCATAGCACTCAATCCGGTGATTCCACCAGTGGTCTGACCATGTAAAATGGTTGATATTTGACAATGTTAGGAGCCTTACAAGAGAAAGTCACAAAGTCAGAGCATATGTGATATCTAGACCATTGTGACCGGTTGCTTGTGGTAACATAGCACTCAATCCAGTGATTCCACCGGTGGTCTGATCATGTAAAATGGTCAAGATTTGACAAAGTCATGAGCCCTACAAGAGAAAGTCATGAATTTAGAGGATATATGATATCTAGACCATTGTGACCGGTTGCTTGTGGTAACATAACACTCAATCCGGCGATTTTACCGGTGGTCTGATCATGTAAAATGGTCAAGATTTGACAAAGTTATGAGCCTTACAAGAGAAAGCCACACATTCAGAGGATACAGTGTTGTATCAGCTTATATCTGGACCATTGTAATCAGTATTTTTGCAACCGGTTGCTTGTGGTAATGTAGCACTCAATCAGGGGATTCCATTTTGCCCCTTTGATAGGAGAGTGTTCTAGCACTGTCAAAACATATTTAGGAGTATATATCAACATATTCCACCACTTAGTTGACCCCTGAAGGGCTACATCAAACAATATAGCATATATACATGAAAACATAACTGATAAGAACCCTCCAACACTATCAAGGATGTTATTGGTAATCAGACACTTGGGATATGTCCCATGTATATCCCTAGTCATGGTCCTAAAATTCTGGAAAGATCCCTCAAGTATTGACGGTAAGATAAGTAAAACAACATAGGCTTGACATATGACAATTTACCCCTGTCACTGAAAGTCACTGACACATATCACACACACCAAAGATTTTATTAAAAATGCAGTAGTATGTATAGTAGACTACATAATGAACCTAAAATACACATTGCCCTGAAGGTAAAGTCTTTGTAGAAGAGTGTGGTGAGGAAATATTAGGATTGGTAAGTAAAAGTCCAACCACTACATATACACCAAACTAGTGAGTTTCGATGTTTTGGGCTTTTGGACTTTCCCACACTCTATTTCAGAGATATTTCACTGCCCTAGCTCTCAACTGTTAGTGGATCCTTTTATAAATCTGAGACCATGATATTGACCATGCTTAGAATATATTGCAAGCATCTGATTACTAGATCACCACTATTGGCTTCGGAATAGCTCTCGTCATATCCCTGGTCATTGCCGAATTTCGTTGTAACGCTGGGTACGTGCCCTGTGCTACTTGTACCCCATAGACGGTGCACTCATCAAACGGCGCAGTTGCCTGGAAGGACGCTAACTCGTCTTTATTTAGCAACACGCTACTGGGGGCACATTGCCTCTTGACTGTGGAGTCAAACAACTCGTTAAGTCCTACATAGATGTCGTCTTGAACCATTGACAAGTCCTCGTTTAATTCCCAGGCTGCCTTCCTTAAGTGGCGACGATACCATCTTCCGGGGTTCCAATGCCACTGCAAGACCGTTCTTCTCAACAGGTATGTCTCTATCGCTAGGGCATTGTCGGTGACCTGATAAGTTTGCTCATTGATACGCTTACAGACGAAACGTCAGTCCAACGACGAGGACCAATAGCCCAAGGTTGGAGCTATATACTCCTCCAACCACCACTCGATGCGATCCTCGATCGGGGTTCCCATAGGTGCCCTCTTGTCGGTGCATCGTCTCTCCTGCCTATGCAGCTGCTGCCCTTTCCAGCCCTTTCATGTGCTCAAGAGCCGTCCTAGATACAGCCAATAAGCCCGATCGATTCGAAAATGGGGATCCTCCAGCTGGCGCCGCGATATCCTCATTTTTTCCATCCCACACCCATCGTGGTGGAAGTCCATTACGATGTAAGTGTCCTCATCTTTAAGCTTAGTTACCCAGAATCAATCCGGGTCGTCCCAGTTAACCGTGTTTGAACGATCGTCTGAACTATCCCAGGGGAACCTCAATCCCTGTAGACGATCCTCTGCCCTTCGGGCTACGGGATCCCTGAATCGTATGTTAGATTCCTCTCTTTCCGTGATCGTGGGGGCTTCTTCAAATGGCCCCTCCATGAACAGTCCGACGGACCCTGTGAATAGACTGTCCAGGGGTTCTGACACCTCAGTTAGTTGCCGCATGCGCTCTTCGTCACTGGGCCCAACGTGTATCCCGAAACTGGGTATTCCAGGTGGTTTCCCCGGATGGTCTGATTTGATGTGAGTGTTCCGTGGACACTGCCGCGAGACGTGCCCTAATTCCCCACAGACGAAGCAGCGGCCCTCTGCTCTGCGCCGCTCGCGTTCCTCCGGACTGATACCGCTCCCTTGGGGGGCTCTCCCCATGCTTTTGGGCATACTACCACCCTGACGCGGCTTCTGTCCCTTAGATTTATTGTTGGGATTAGGGCGCCTGTCTCTGCCTCTTCGGTAAGGTGAGTCAGCTCCCTTTATTCTGGGTGCTCTGCCCAAAGTCGTCGCACTTGAAACTTCGACAGCAGCAGTTTTGTCTTTTTGGGCGGGTCGCTTTTCCCTCCCCATTGGTACGGAATGAGCTATCTCAATTATTTCGGCTGCAGCCTGAACTTCCTTGAAGGTTGATACCTCCGGGTTCAGTTCCTTTTTCCAAAGTTCCCTTTGGATTTCGGCTGATAGACCGGTCCATAACTGAGATACTCTATCCCGGTCATCTACATCGCCAATCATGTTCCATAGCTCATTGAGCTCATACACGTAGTCCCGTACGGACTTATCATTCTGGAAACACCGTTTCAACTTTTCACGCTGCTTTGTCCTAAAGTTGATGGGAAAGCAGTAGTTGAACATTTCGGTAAAGAACTTGCGGAGTCTCCAGCGGTAAGGGTCTCCAGAAATTTCCCGGATGTAAAACTCATGGGCTTTGCCCTTTAGGTAGTGCGATAACACGAATACCCGCTTCTTGGATTGGACTTTCCCGTCCTTCACATATGCGGTTCCCTTGGTGATAAACCGATGGAACGCGCGGGAGTCGACTGCTCCGTCGTACATTGTAGGAGCTATGGGTTTCAAGGTAGTCTTGTTTCTCCTCTTTTTCGGACGCTTCTTTAGCTTTTCGTTCCCCCTTTTGAGAGCTTCATTGCTTGAGCTAACAGAGTTTGTCTCGTCGCTCAAGCTTGAGGAGCTGTTCGAGGAGGAGCTCGATTCAGGGTCTGAAGAATCATTGTCTCCCTGACCTATACGTCCTAACACCTGCCCAATGTATGACTTGGGCGCTACCTGATGTACTGGCTCCATGGCCTGGGGTGTTCGGCGTTGCTCTCGTCTGCTGGTCTCCGGGTTTACCACCCTTCCAACCAGCTCGTTTATTGGGTTTTTTCTTTTATCAGAGGGGTCATGAAGGTGAGTTTTGCTTTCGGGTTTTTGGGCTCCCAACAGCACTTCCTTCAGTTTCTGATCGTACTCTTTCCGCAGGCGTTTTTCCGCCTCTTTTACTGCCAGGTCGATTGTTCTTTTCTCTCTGACTCTAATTGCCTGATCGAAACTGTCTTCCGTCCTTGGGGAGTCTCTGAGTTTCTCCTTCGGTACATTTTCGTTCGATTCCTCCCATGGGGAGGTGATCTCATCTGCTAGGGTCCTGGCAGCTTTATACAACTCGAGGGCTGCTCGTTGCCCCTCGATGTCTATTTCCTCGTCGTTCTCCAGGGCGCCCCAGTTCCTTGGGTCCACGCCCTTTCCTTTAGACGGACCTTCACCTCTTGACCCGTCTTCGGTCATAGAGTGGGTGATTTTTCGCTGATCAACGCTTCCTTCGCGCTCGTTTAGCGTAGAGCGGTCGGCACTGATAAGTTTATCATTGGTAGGTTTTACCATCTCATTTCGCTCATTTGAGAGCTCATCAGGTTTCTTGGCCTGGCTTCTGCCTCGGCGGCTTCTGTTGCCGACTGTGACCCATGGACGGTCGTCACCATCCTCACTCTCACTAGTGAACTCGCTATGTTCATTGGCGGTTCTAAAGGTGATGGGCTCGGTCGTTCTCTCAGCGAGAGTGTTAACATTATTGTCGATCTCGACACTCGTTATCGCATCTAGGGCTATGTTACTCTCCTGCTCAACTTTGAAGTCAATGACAGGACTACTCGCACGGACCACGTCGCTGTACGAGCGGACGGGTCCTGCTGCGGACGAACTACGGTTTTCGGCCTCCGATGGCCGCCCCACCGAGGTTAGAGGGGACTCTACAGAGTCGGGCAGCGCAGCCTTGAGACCGGGGCCCTCCGCCGGAGTGTGAGCACTAGACAACGCTTCATTAGCAAGGTCTCCGAAGAAATCACCTACTTTGAAGTTCTTAACACGAGCGGGAGTTGACAACGAACTAGCTCTAGCGCGTGTGCGCGAGCGAAGGTTGTAACGGGGGATTTTTGACATGGTTTGTTGATTTCAGGTTTGGGGTTTGTCACTGTCGATGAACGTGGTGGGCCAGACCAGTTAACTGAGTGACTAGGAGTGTTTGAGAGAAAAGAGGAAAGGCTTGGAGAAGGTTAAAAAATATGTGACGGCAAGTAGAAGTTTCTTTAAGACTTTAGATGACGGCACAAGGTAGAACACAATCTCGCGCAATGTTAACCAGATACCAGCCTAGTTGTAATTGGGAGAAGTTCTGAGGGCTAAGTACATAAACACGATCTTTAAATATTGTTGATAAGTACGAAGCCTGTGATTAAGGAAATAACGAATATAAAGAAAACTTATCGTGCGGCCACGGAAACGACAAGTTACCGGGCCTCGAACATTCTATCTCTCGATCAATCTGAAACCTTTCTTCGTGCGAGGCGTGCTCGCCACATGATCTCTCAACTTATGTAAATTTCGTCAATTAAACAGATCTACCACCCACACAGTAGAACAAGAATGAAACATTGTGACACCCTTGACAACGGCAATGTACCATCTTGATCTTCTCGAGTCTGAGAGGATAGCCTCCTCACATGCAGAACAACCGAAATGAAGTCAGGCAGTGAGACAGATTGAACAGGAGAAAGCGAGGAGAAAGATTTTTTTTAGCCACAACTCACACTAGTACATCAGGACTGCGATCATGAACACCGCATTATGTTTTGTACAATGCACTGGCATACGTGTGTTCTATGTAACAGCAAAATGTCATAGAAATGATATTCACCGCGTCAGTGCTCTCGAGAGCTGTAATCTAGCACTGGACATCACGCTGACGAAAAAGAATTCATCTCCACCGCCTCCTCAATCGGCTGCTGTGGCTAAAGCTTGTCATCCAGCCCTCATCACTAGTAACACAACTACTAACCTTGACAGATCGAGTAGGATGCACTACTTCATCGTGGGTATATTGAAACATGTTCTTTTGAGATGCCTGGAGTTCCCCATCTTGCGATGCCCCCCTGTGCAGCTCCGGGCTGTACACGCTGTGGGGCATATGGAATCCAGAACAATCAATACTAGTGTCTGCGCCAACCCCCAAGTAGTATCGCGCGTTCAGGAGCGCGAGGTACGAGTTGACATATACTTGAAAAGGGATCAATGGTCAGCACGGTTTTTCAGAGAATGCTTTGGTCATACATTTGGTCACTAAAAATTCAACACTGAGAAAGATGAAGTTGCGCGGCATAATTGCGCACTGCAGGCGATCCTCAGAGACAGCACGGACTACAATCATTATGACCTCACTGTAACCATAACTGTGATTGAAACTATACTGCACGAAATATGAGTCAATTATGACATAGTCTGGAAGGAGGAGTACCTCGTCAGGCAGCCAGTATTGATGGTGTAGCCCATGAGCTTTTTTACGAATGAGTCGGTGCTAAGTGCTCCACGTTAGTGTGTCAGATCCTGACAGGGAAAGAACCACTGCTTGCCTAGAGAACCCGGTACGGGAGGTAGCGAGGAGATAGCATAGCGATGATGCAACAACGAGATCGAGGAAAGTAGTCGTTCCGAAAGCCATAAATGTCACCCACTCGATTTTAATCAAATCCGTGAACACATGGCACCGATATCTACTCACTATTAGCACACCTCGTAAAACCATAGAGTATGCTATCACTCACATGCTCCAAGCAGTGACTACCGTGAGGTGAAAATGATGAATCAACAACAAGAGTACCACTGAACCCTTACCAATGGCAGGACCTGAAGGAATTTTTAAAATTGAGCAAAGTGGGTTTCCAGGCGACAGACCCACCTGAAACCAGTACCACGATTATCCACTAATATTGGATCATCAGAATCGAATGCCGTTATTTTGTTTCAAACCCACCACTATGATAGGGAGAATTTTTGATCGGCCCTTGCTGACTAGGTTCATTGCATCAGTTGTGGAAATCCATTATTAGGGGAGCACATACATATCCATATGCGATAAGCATACATACTGCGAATCAATCAAGCATTAGTTGGATCTTCAAGTTGTATACAGCACGGACTTACGCTTGTACACTGTAGATGAGTACAACCTGTGGTGCATGTGTGGGGCGGATTACAAAGCGCAGGAAATACAACTTACATCGATGACTAACTGAAGCTGAATGAGCCCATCAGTATCATAGTAGACGCTACACGGATCTCAAAGGTAGGAACCCACTTTGAAGCTCCATACAAGTTCTGTGAGCGCACTGATATTCGCGTAGTTGGTCACCAAATAAAAATAGACGGAATGGACGATCAAGGCCAGGTGCAGAGCATCAAGTATACTAGGGGATGACGTAATCTGGACGCACTCGATGATGGCAACTTGAAGGGACACATACCAAAGCCAGATGACCTAACGTAGCATCAAAAGCTGAACTGACAAAAAGGAAGTATGGACGTACAGCCAACTTATGGAATGATAACCCCCTGCACGCCTGTAAGTAGATGAAAGCTTGCACATTACTCAGACCAAAGAGGCTATTCGGGGAAATAGGTATGTTAGGACGACAGAAGTCAGTGAAGCGCTGAGCTTTGTGAGCTAATGTTTACTGACACTGCTGCAAGGGTGACCCCAATAAAAAGTGCCCCCAGCGTGTTCCCGACGTCGATGTGTAGGAAGTCCTGCGTTGAGGAAGACATTTTAATGTTGACTGAAGTTGAACTCATTCGGCCAGTAGGAATGACTATATATCCTGCAGCCACATGATAAGGACAACGAGGTCAGCGAAGGTCGGATTGTCAAGAAGCAATCTGAACACACGAGCGTACCTGTCGAAAATTTAACATCAGTGTAGGGATCATTTGCATGTGACATGAGAACCATTCATTGCTAGGCACAGTCGCCGGCGATATCTGATAACCTTGCTCACAGCATTCTCAATGCTCACACTGAGTGACTTCCCGTAAGAATTTACACAAACAAGTTGTCTGTAAAAGTTTGGCCGCTCGACATCGGCTAATCTACGACAGAATCTGTAAACCGTAAGACTCAGCAAGACAATGGACCGAGGGGTAGCTACAGGTAGCTACCCTTCCATAGATTGACAGATTTACAGACAAGTGCGAGACGGTGAAGTGACGGTGGCCAACCGTTTGACAACTACTTTCCAAATCCAGCGCGGCTATTCGGCCAAGGTCTGTAAAACCTTACGGGCATGATTCGGGGTTAATCCTGGTTAATCCTTACGCCTCATGCCTTAGCCTTAGCCTTAACCAAATAACCGCGCTGATACCTGTCAAACGGCAGGCCCGTACCCAAGCAGAGGTTTCAGGAGGTTTCAGGCTGTTTGAGGGCAGTCCCTGAGGGCACTTAAGTTAGGACAGACTCGGGACCTTAGGATAGACATTCAAACCCTGTTGTGTCATGGCCAAACCTTATCGATTATGCTAGGTTAACCGTACGTTGCAACGTTGAGGGATACTATCCCTTCCGGTGCAATCGGCACCCCACAGAAGTCGGCAGGTCACACATTTTGGCGGGAAAACGTGACACTTTTGTTACAATTGGTCACTGACTCACAGGCAGTCACACAAAACCCTGCGAAAAAGCGTGACTGCCGACTTTTGTGGGATGCCGATTGCACCGGAAGGGATAATAAGGGTTGTGTTGGATTTGAATTGATGTCGTGTGGCTTTTGCAGTGATTAGGCATAACACACCACACCGCATGCATGCGCATCTGAAGAGGTACGAGGGGTACTGTAGAGCCTGGTCAAACGGTTTCTCTCGCACTTCTCTGTAAATCTGCCAATCTGTGGAGGCCCCAGATGAGTCGTAACGCACTACAATTTTGTCTGATTCGGGCAATTTTCTTTTTCTTAAATGGCTCGCTCTGGAATCAACCCAGAATTACATAATTGTGACCCGGATCATTTGTGTTCAAGTTGTTCCTGGTCCGACATCGTCTTGCTGAGTCTTACGGTCTCTTACGGTTCACTGATTCTGTCCGTAAATTAGGCGATGTCAGGCGGTCAGACTTTTACAGATAAGCTTTACTCGACTCCAGTACTAACTATGATCTGCGAGTGCGATGATACAGTATTGCAAACTGCTGCACTGTTCATTCGCCGAGGTGGTCGATATATCATAATACCTACCTATGGGCTTGAACCTAATCTGGCGTACCTTGCTTCTTGAAGGTGAATATCAATTTACAATTTCACATGCATACCAGAAATCACCAGATGCTGTGGCGGTACAATAAGCCAGCTGGTCACGAGCCTCTGCATTGAATTCGAAATCAACATGCCGCGCATCCTCATGGCGAGGTAAACAGGCGCGTGAAGTGTGAAGAACAACATAGTATAACCCCAACAAAGTCCGCAAAGGTCCACAAATGCGCCCATTAGATGCATATTGTGGCATAGCAATCCATCCATTCACAGCTTCGATCTCGGCCGTACCAAGTCACGCGCCCGATCGCGCAGCACGCGACGCAGCAGCTTCCCACTCGGGTTTTTTGGAATTACGTCTATAAATTCCACCCCCCCAGTAAGGTGTTTATATGCGACCTTGTTATCTGCCACGTGCTTTGTGAAAAACGGTCAGGACTGAATCATACGACAATAAGTACGAGCTAACCTTTTTAATGGATGTTTTGACCCTTTCGGCTTCAGTAGGATCCGAGGCGACTCTCTTGGCTGCGTTAGGACGAAGTACGACGAATGCCACCGGAAGCTCCCCGCTGTAGCTATCGAGAATTGACGTCACGCATGTGTCCGCAACATCAGGATGATCAAGAAGACAGCCCTCCAACTCTGCAGGAGCGACTTGGAACCCTTTGACTTTCATGATTTCCTGCCGGAAACGTTAAAGATGCCGAACTCGATATAGGACAGGCGCATGACGCACCTTCAGCCGATCCACGATGAAAACTTCATGGTCCTCGCTTATAATGACTTTGTCGCCAGTGTGCAGCCAGCCATTAACGAAGGTCTCCTTTGTCCTATTCGGCGGTAGCTAAGCTCAACACCAGCCTATGACATGGACGATTACTTACGCTTCATCATTGTTCAGATATCCCAGCGCTGCAGACGGAGTCTTCACCTGAAGCTCTCCAGGTTCGTTGAATCCCGCTAGGGTTCCATCATCTTTGACGACCCTGGCAACGACACCAGGCACCAGGCGTCCGGCACTGCCGGGAACGCCAAGTTTACTGTCCACGGAAAACATTGTGGTAGTGGCTGTCGACTCCGTCATGCCTGGAAAATGATGACAAAGAGGTGGTGAGGGTCAGAAAGTAGTCCTACCATAACCTTGACCTATCTGCGCATTCGGCAGAATCTTCACCAGCTGGTCAACAAGAGAGGCGGAGAGAGGAGCAGCTCCACAAATCAGCCACCTGACACCATCGAGGTTGTAGTTCTTCACAGCAGGGTGCTGCTAGAAGTATCAGACCGATCGGTTGATTAGCAGAAAGGTTGGTGCTGACCTTGCAAAACAACACGATCTGAGGCGGTACCAATCTTTGTACAAGTCAGGATTCCTATGGCTGGGTCTGGGAATGGTGACGACTCACTTAAGATGCGTTATGCGATGTCTCACAATACTCTCTAGGAAGTCCGTAAAGTGGAACTTGGGTATTACCACAACTGAGATCTGCGTGGGGTTGAGACAAGATACATGGGGAGGAATCAACAGAACCTTACGCCGCAAAATGGCATGAAGTGAAGCTAAGGTAATCGTGTTTAAGCATGACAATCAAAGAACGAGTTGTTGAGATCAGACGTACTCCTAGTACCAGTCCATAAATATCTTGTAGCGTTGCACATTTCAGTTTGTTGGACGATAGGCAATGAAGAGAGCCTACATACGGAAGAAGGGTAGCACTTTACAAAAGACAGTCAGCGACGTGTGATTACCCCTATAAAAACATACCTCCGGCGGCTATATCCCCTGGTCGAAACCTCTGTTCTTCCCAAGGGGCATAGTTCTTGTTAACCTTCTGCGACTCGGCCATCTGAATCACGTTCATGATAGGACCAAAGTGTGATATTGCGACGGCCTGTCGCGACCACAGGTATGAGATTCCCTTCAGTCCCTCCCAGTCTAAAGCTTGTCACACCTTCGGTTTTCCTGTTGTGCCACTCGAAAAACTGAGGAATGCGACTTTCGTTTTCGCCTCTCCCTTCCGCAGCCTTCGCTCAATGAAATTTGGCTCGCTCCGCAGCCCTTGCTGAATCAGAGTATCTACCGTTATCTGATTTGACTCATCCAACGTGATAACGTGATCGGATGGCAAACCGGCAGCCCGAGCAGCAGCCAACGCAGTGTCCAAAGAAGAGGAATGCGCGATGATCACAGACGCATGAACCACCTTAAGTTGATACTGCAAGTCGTGGATATTATTAGCTGGGTTTGCGCATCTGTGATAGAAGCCCGACGATGATTAGATAGGTTCGAAAATATCATAGTGTGCATAACATACGACACGATACCACCTAGTCGATGCGTTGCCCATATGGCGACCGCATAATCTACCATGATTAGTGAGTATGACTAGAAGTTACTGACACTCGAATAATGACCATACCAATGTGGTTTGGGCCTGAAGATGACCACTGAGGCAAAGCCAATGAGTTTCGAAGTTCTATATGGGCGCCTAAACATTGCACACACGTACCCGAATCATCCTCCTCTAAACCGGGATCGTCAAGATAAGCGGATACGTTTAGGACTTCTACCACGACTTACTGACACGAAACCGCAGACTCAGGCCATTGGCAAGCCCATAAGTCCTTGCCCGGATCTTGGATGTAAAGTGTTGGTGACGTCACATACCCAGCGAGGATATCGCAGTAGTACCACAACTCACCTCTTCATATCCCACCCCTCGTCCACTGGCGTCCTCGATGAACCATGGCACATGGCTCGGTCGAATGGGCCTCAATGAATGAGACGAGTCGAGAAAAACTGGGGTAAAGTAAGGTCGTCTGGAACAGACGTCTCCAGACTCGGACCATAAATTTCAGGCATGAATGGAGGCTCGGAAGTGGGAACGTTGTAGAGAGAGAAGGAAACTGAGCGCGGGATGGCGATTTATGTTACGGGATGTTGAAACTGTACTTACGAACAACGTGTCCGGGAGGATATTCAAGCGGTTGGGCCAGGAACTGCTAGGAACCGTATCGTCACGGCAAGCTCGGTTCCGGTGAGTACTTGAGTGTCCAACTTGAAACGGGTGCTAAGGGGGAGCCAGCGCACTGACTTGGTTCGCAGTTCAGTATTTCAAATTTGTACACGGTGGGTGGAAATTCTACTATCTTAAATCCGCTCGTGAAAAAAGACAAACATGGGCAGCAACAGCTCCCGACAAACTACTATCTCGCAGATAAATACAACAGAACGTCAGAGGTATTAGTTTAGTCTGGGAAGTCGATCAACGTACGCCGACAAGTGTGATGTCGCATGTAATGATCATACGTATATGTACTACTGAATGTCCTTTGGTTCAAGACATGGTCGCGCCGCTTATTTCTCCTTCGGCTCCTCGGACACCTTTACTTAGATCTAACATCTGTGCCCGCGTCTCACCCAACATTTCGTTACTTCGTCCGCCACCCGCTTGGCCTCATTACCCTCTCGCTCCTCGCGACCTCCAATAGGTTCGAGCAGCATGACATGTTCATGAGAGGTGCGTATTTTCCTCCTGTCGTTTTCATCTGTGGCTGTTATCATGCTGTTGATTCATTCTTTTCGGCATTGGGTGCGCAATGATATTCATTTATCATAGATTGCCATTACAGAATCAAACATATCACAGCTTCGCCTTGAGCTCTTCTGCCCTCAATTGCCGGGCCTGGTCACGAAGCACCCGTCTTAGTAGCTTTCCACTTGGATTCTTTGGTATCACGTCTATAAATTCTACGCCCCCCGCTAGACGCTTGTACGCGACCTTGTTGTCTGCGACGTGCTGAACGACGACGTCAGCCTGGCTGCCATCACTTTGAAAATAGCCGAACCTTCATTATAGAAGCCTTTACTTTGTCTGCTTCGCGAGGGTCTTTCACCACACGCTTCGCAGTGAATGCATGAAGCACGACGAACGCCAATGGAACCTCGCCGCTGTAGTCAGTCAGGTACGGGCACGACACACGCATCTGCGACGTCAGGGTGATCTAGAATACATCCCTCTAGCTCGGCAGGAGCTACTTGGAATCCTTTGACTTTCATAATTTCCTGACAAATAGATCAGCTACTGCAACAGGTGCTTGGAGAAGAATACCTTTAATCGATCAACGATGAACACTTCCTTGTCTTCACGTATGATGACCTCGTCTCCAGTGCAAAGCCATCCATCGACAAATGTCTCATTTGTTGCCTTTTCGTCATTCCAGTATCCCAGCGCCAAGGAAGGTGCCTTGACTCTCAATTCACCTGGCTCATTGAAGCCAGCCAGAGAACCATCATGCTTGACTACTCGGGCAACTACACCTGGAAGTAACTGTCCAGCGCTACCTGGGACACCTATTTTCTGATCCACCGAATACATTGTAATTGACGTAGATGATTCGGTCAGCCCTGGATTGCAGGTGCAACGAAATTAAGTGTCAAGGGAGCAAGAATTAGCAAACCTACCATAACCTTGACCGATCTGTGCGTTGGGGATTACTTTTCATGAGCTGGTTAACCAATTCAGCTGAAAGAGGTGCAGCGCCGGAGATCAAGAATCGAATGCCACTCAGGTCATAGTCCTTGACTGCTGGATGCTGGAATTATATTTGTCAGCGTGCAGGAATCAACTACCCGTCCATTTACTGACCTTGCAAAGCAGTACGATTTGAGGCGGAACAAGTCTGGGTAATCGATATGTTAACAACAAACGTATTTTTCAACGGCGAGAAGACTGATTCTCACGTCAGGTGAGTGATACGGTGCCTCTCTATGCTCTTCAAGAAATCTGTGAAGCTGAATTTTGGAATGACTACCATCGACATCTATAGAATAGCCCTGGCGTTAACCCTCGAGATGACACGACATGATGGACTTACTCCGAAAAACGCCGCCGCGCAAATCTACTTCAGGGATCAATGTCCGATTCTAAAGACACCTATAGGAAGCTTGTGCTCACGGAGAATACAAGACCATAGATATCTGCCCAATGCATGTTTTCGACAACACACAAGACATGCAAGGAACAGACGTACGGAAGAAGGGGAGCACTGAGTAATAGTAAATCAGATGTAACCTCAAGACTGCCCGGACAAACGCATACCTCCAGCAGCTATGTCACCTGGTCTGAACCGTTGCTCCTCCCAAGGAGCATAATTCTCGGTCACCTTTGTATACTGCGCTATCTGTATGACGTTGACAATAGGTGCATAATGTGCAATGACTACTGCCTATTCATTGTTTTATGCATCTGCTCAATTTCGTGCGTGTAGTCAACTGCGTACCTTGGGTCTACCTGTTGTGCCACTGGAGAAGTTTAGGAACGCGACCTTGGTCTTTCCCTCGCCCTTCTTGAGTCTTCGTTCGACAAATGCAGGTTCGTTGCTGAGTCCAAGCTGAATGATACTCTCTACAGTAGGCTGAGTCGATTCGCCAAAGGTAATAACTCGATCAGAAGGTATGCCGGCCGCACGTGCAGCATCGAGAGCCGTATGAAAGGAGGACGGATGCGCAATTATCAGAGTTGCTTTCACAACCTGGATCTGGTATAGAAGTTCCTCTGTAGTATATGCCGGATTTGCGCCGCTTGTAACGTGGTCGGTCGCATCAGAGGGTAAAAATATCATCATTGGGTGTGCTCACGAAACAATTCCACCCAGTCGGTGCGTAGCCCATATTGCGGGTGGATAGTCTGTGACAGGCACGGTGAACTAACGCTGACGCGGGAATGGAGAGGAAACCTTACCAACGTGATTAGGACTAAAGATAAGGACTATAGACCAATCAGAAAAAGGGATGTGACTGAACCGGGTCGATTGAACACCTACCAACATCATCCTCTTCTGCACGTATCACAGTTAGGAACACAAAACCACTCAGGCACGTCAAACACGTACTAATACCATAGCGCAAGGTAAGTCCATTGGCAAATCCGAAGGTTCGTGCACGGATCTTCGAGTTGCAGACAATGGACATGCACCAGGGTCAAAATCGCTACTGCATCATGACTGGTAATAGATATCACGCACCTCGTCCAAACCAATGTTCCTCCCAGTCTCATCCTCAATTAACCACGGTGTATTGGTTCGGACCGGCCTACGTGGATGATGGGAATCGAGGATGAACTGGGGGAGTGTCAAGTCGTCGGGGACCACTGTGTCAAGCGGTTCACCAAATATCTCAGGCATTACTATCTACTACAAGAGGGCACAATCTGAAAAGACTTTGGGTAGTTCGGGAAATCATTGGTTGACATCTTTCAGACTATTATGGTCGTAACGTACTTATTATCATTGGCCGCACATTTCGATACGTGAATGTCGTAAGTGCGGGGAAGTGCGGTCAGAACCCCCGGTCACACGACGGTCATGCGGGAGTGGCGTGCCGCCGCAACATATGTACTGGCTCTCAGGCCTGGATACCGCAACATTGGAACAATTCATCTACAGAGTATTAGAGCTCCTGACCCGGCCGATTAACACAAGATGGTCGATATTGGTACATAGGTGTACATGTGATGTACAAGGCACTCGCAAATATCGTGTCATAGCTTCGCTTTGGGCTTCGTCCGCATCTCCCGGGCTTCGGCTCTTAGCACCCTCCTCAATAGTTTACCGCTTGGGTTCTTCGGAATAACATCAATAAACTCAACACCGCCGGCAAGTTTCTTGTAGGCAACTTTATTGTCCGCAACGTGCTGTAAAGTTGAAACATCAGTACGACACGTTCCCTGATGTTCTAAGCACTAACCTTTATAATGGACGCCTTGATCTCGTCCGAGGCGCTCGGGTCTTCTCCGATACGTTTTGCGGCCTGAGGGCGGAGAACGACGAATGCCAATGGCAATTCGCCGCTATAATCATCTGGTATTCCAACCACGCACGTATCAGTTACATCGGGGTGGTTCAGAATGCACCCTTCGAGTTCGGCAGGTGCGACCTGGAATCCGCGGACCTTCAACATTTCCTGTGGGACAGCTCAGTCAAGCGAGACAGAGTTCTAAAAGTCAAGAAACCTTTAGACGGTCAAGGACTACGATTTCACCCTTGCGGTTCATCTTCACCTCATCGCCCGTACGAAGCCACCTGACAGAAGAATGTTACGATTAGTCTCCAGCTGATTGACAGAAAATTACTCGCCCATTTACAAAAGTTTCCTTCGTTCTAATTATATCAGGGTGAATACGTCAGTTGAAACAAGGAAGATGATCACATACGCTTCAGGGTTGTTTGCATAACCAAGCGCCAGCGACTGTGTCTTCACAACGAGCTCGCCAGGTTCGTCGAAGTCCGCAAGAGTGCCATCTGGTTTCTCCACACGGCCGATGATACCGGGAAGGAGTTGACCAGCACCACCACTTAAGTCACATTTCTTATCGAGTGCACAAGTGGTTATGACAGTGGATGATTCGGTAGTGCCTGTGGCCGATGGAATGAAACGTGGATACGCGTGCTCCAGAGATGGACATACCGTAGCTCTGCCCAATGTCGGCGTTTGGGAATATCTGAACGAGCTGCTCCATTACTTCACGAGACAGGGGCGCTGCACCTGAGGTAACGTATCGAACATGGCTAAAATTGTAATCCTTGACGGCTGGATGCTAAGTGACGAGCACACAGATAGGTAAGTGACCTGACCATCCTAGAGTTACGACTCGCTAACCTTGCACAACAACACGATTTGTGGGGGGACCAGCCTAAAGGGATCGTTCAGGTGAGGTCAAAAAAGGCCGAACCATGACGTACATAAGATGGGTAATACGGTGCCTGATTATACTCTTCAAGAACTCTAGAAAGTTGAATTTCGCTGTCAAGACAACCGTCATCTAGATGTACTTCAGTCAGTATGCAGCTGCAGATTTGGGGGTGTATCGACGCACTCCGCAGAAAAATGCATAATGGGTCTACAAGAAATTCAGCAATGAAATAGTAACCAAAGTCAAATGAGCTCGGACATTGAACACCAGTCCATAGATATCTGGAAAAAGCAGGTTTTTTTTTTAAAAAAAAAAACATAATGACGTTAGAAGGGTGGTAATGGCTCACGATATAGAGGAAGCACTGCGCAGTTAATTAAATGGAGCCCTTCGGAAAGACAGCTACACACGCACCAGCACAGCACACATCACCAGGTTTAAATCTCTGTGCAGCGTAGTCCTCACCGACTTTGTGATGCGTAGCAACCTGAATGATATTTGCAATTGGCGCAAAATGGGGTATTGCGACGGCCTGATGTATACCATGTGCAAGTTACATCGACATGATGCATGTCCTTGCAAAATACGCGCTCACCTTGGGATGACCAGTTGTCCCGCTGGAAAAATTCAGAAAGGCTACCTTAGTCCTCCCTTCCCCAGGAGCAAGTCTCCGTTCCGTGAAGTGTGGAGCACTCGCAAGACCCTGCGAAACCATACCTTGCACAGTCACTCTCTGCGCGGCATCAGCACCCTCAACATCAAAAAGAATGACGCGATCTGCGGATACACCCGCTGCATGCGCAGACAACAAGGCCACTTTAAGCGAGTCCGGATGCGTGATGATGACGGCTGCTTTTACTGTATTGATTTGATACACGAGTTCGTCCACGGTGAATAACGGGTTAGCACCCCTTGTAAGTGCGTCTCAGAATGTTTTAGGTAAATTAGAGGAACATGAGCATACGACATGGCAGCACCCAGTCTATGAGCTGCCCAAATAGCCACAAGGTAATCTGCGAATTCATACATCAACCCAGACATACGGCTGCATGTCATGGAGCCGGCTCACGTACCCACATGATTTGGGCTGTAGATCAACACTATGGTTGGCAGAATGAGGCAGTCATTAGTACTTGCAAGGGGTTAGCATTGTGGTGGTGTCATTACCAACGTCGTTCTCCTCTGTATGGAGGGAATAATCAGTATGTAGCAGTCAGTACCATGAAAATGCAGAGAACGCACGGATGTTGTAGCGGATACTCAACGCATTAGCCAGGCCATACGTCCGAACTCGGAGCTGCGAAATATACAATCAGCCATGGTAAGCATTGACGGGAACAACAGTTTATATCGTGCACACGCCAACTTCTTCTGTGCATTACCCCGTATTTGCTGGCAGGCACACTCACCTCCTCAAGTTCAATATTTCTCCCACTCTGGTCGTCAACAATCCAGGCACCACTCTTGCGGACAGGCTTTCTGACATGCTCCGCATCCAACACGAACTGCGCGAGCGTGAGGTCGTCAGGGATGTGAGGGAGGGTTCCTGCGGGCGACACGACTTCAGCCATTCTCTATCGACCAATCCGAAAGCCAAGAACGATAAGCGAAAACAAGGAAAGACGACGTGCGCTCTGTAACGTGGACTCCCATGCTTGTCTTTATGGAGTCCCCATGCGTCAAATGCCAACTCACATGATAACTTCGCGCGGCCGAGCTATTTCGATGATTGGGCGCCTATATATCATTTGTGGCGGATCAATATAGACTTTCAAGTGAGGTGTGTCAGTACAGCAAACAATTGAATGAGTCATAGGTACTAAATGTATGGGTGGTATGCTGGCGCATTACAACCCTCGATTCCATGTGCCTTGACACGGAGGCCAGAGGTACATGTTATGTACGACATCCCAAGCCCGTTGTCACCCGAGTAATCTCAACGCAAGTCCCTGCGTACAGAAGGGCAGTTTTGCGCACGTAATCGGGGGAGCATATCACACCCGTGCTGTCAACGTCACCTCAGCGTCCAAATTATGATCCCTTTCGAGTTCCTCACAACCAGGTCCAGTATGAGCCCACTTTATTCGCTGCTCTCCCCACCATCGCACCATATATCCCTTCTCTCTGTCACCAACGCGCTCTTTTATCTCCGCAAAGAGCGCGTCAATCAGCTCCGTCTTCCTCTGTTCCTCGTGAGCTGCTTCGATAACAGAACGGATGGGATCTAGCAAGCGTGGGAGCAAGGCCAGCGGTACCGATGGCACGCACGAGATAAGAGTAAGGTGAAGCCGATGTTCACGCTCGCCGTCATGCTCGGAAGTGGATGCAACAGCAGTCAGAAGGCAGTCGATGCAAAACCACGCAAGAGACAGATCGGCAGCAGATGCTGCACTCCGAACGAGAGCAGCAAAGGCTAGCCGAAGTTGCAATGAGCTGAGTCTGCCCTGCGCTGAATTCTGTGATAGATCGACGTGGTCAGTGTTGTACAAGAGATAGTCACGCGACCATTTACATCTATTAAACAGTTGGCATAAAATGGCACGATTTTCTTCGTGAACCCGCTCCCCTGTTGCGAAGTCGATTCCCTAGTCTTCTGCGCATGCGAAGCGAAGATGGCGAGGACGACACTGTGCGCGGATTCGAACGTCTCGCGGTGACTAGCGTCAGACAGGTGCCTACCGCGTGTTAGGGGTAGATTACTACATGTGTGAAGGATGAAACTCACGGAAGACACGTAGGAAATACGAGCTCCTGAATCGTCAATTCGCTCAGCACAGGAACAAGTTGCTCGATTGCTGAAAGCGCAAAGGCCTCTTTCGCTTGATAGAAAGGATGAGCCAGAAGTGGCTGCTGACCCGATTCAACGACACAGAGATCTCGAACGTATTTGTCGCTCTCAGTTACATCATTTCCGAGAACGTCGAGTGCAAGGTAAAATAACCTCTTTAGCTCATTGAAAGCACCGTGACCTGCACCACCAAACTGCGTGATAACAAATGACAAGTGTGAGAGCGTTTGCAGGACAGTTACCGCAAGCATCGAAGTCGACGGTAGAACCACGGAGGTGGAAGGGATATAGACAAGAGCAGAGAGACCTGCTTCTGTGATCATAATCACGCTGAATAGGAGTGTTTTCAAAGTCGTCCATATGGCGGCTGTAACATCCCTGGCGTCTGGTGCTAAGTATGGATGAGCGCTGAACGGCTATTACTTCAACGAGGCTCTCACACAACGAGTTCTGGTCTGTAATGCCAGATAGTGGAGTCGGAAACCAGTCGGTTTCAACGTGGGCAGTAATAGAGTTGAGTTTCTGGTATGCTTCCGAGACCAGGGGCAGTGCCACATTTGGCCTATGGTCTACAAAGAGCGACACGGTTCTAGCGCACAACTTCGATATTGAACCGATGTAAGCCATCGCAGTTGAATTTAATGATTTCTTGATGGATTCTGAAATTGAACTGTCTGGCTGTATGAATGTTAGTTTAGTGAGATATATCATACGCTGGCTACTGACGGGAATGTGAATAGCGAATTCTGGCTTAGAACATAAAGAAGACTGGAGGGAAGATAGGAACCTTCCGCCATTAAACGTATCCTCAATGGTATGCATAATCAATCTTAGTAGGTGCTGATGGCACATTAGTAAAAGCGAATTGTTCGTGTGAGCGGACTCACTGAAAGGGGGAGTGCAGTAAATTTCTCGGAGGGCACCAAGAGAAGGGACTGAGAAGCTATGATGAGTGACAATGCAAGGGCATCGGCTATAGGTGCATTAGTAGAGCAGTTACCAATACTCTAAATACGCACCTGATTCAGCAGCAGAATGAAATTCTTTCCCCCATGAATCGGACGTCGAGAACTGGTCAATGACGTCCGCAAACGTCATAACCAGTTCATCTTCGGCTATACCCTTCACGTCTCGCTTCTTCGCTGGCAAATGTTGCAGGATATCCTCAAGGCCAAGAAGGAGTCCACTACAGCAGGCTAATCGTATGATGGCATGTCCACCTTCGAGACCTTGAAGGATAGCAAGGGACCAGACGTTGAGCTGAGTATCTAAGCTCGGAGAAAATAGTCCGCTTGAGTCCGCTTTCAGCGCCTGTAGTTTAGAGTGTACTGCATGTCTTAAGGATGTACTGAGAAGTTCTAACTTTGAATGCGAAAACGGAAGGAAGATGGGGCTGCTAACAATAGTGGCAGCCAGAGGTGTTGGAGAAGGATGAACATTGGCTAGGTAGTGGACGATGAGGGCCTGGATGGTCGGCAATGGAGTTTTGGTGGTATTTGACTTCCCCAAGCTGCTGAGTAGAAGGGTATGCCCCCGGTCCAATGGTAATGCCATGTCGCACGAAGAAAACTGCAAAGCTAGTACTTGTTGCTTGCTGGATGATCTGGTCAATGTGGCTTCTCAGGACTGCTCGACTCGGTGCACGTGAAGCGTCTATTTCAAAGAAAGTTAAGTTCTACTTACAACTGAAACGAACGTCTATATGTCGCCTACCGGTTAGACTTGATCGCGCTTCATTATTATCACAAGGTCTCGTTTTTTTTTGTTCAGATCTCTTTCTTCTAAACGTTTCTTCTGATATGAATTATAATATGAATCTTCGAGTCTGCTTTCGTTCGGGGAACGCTCTAATTGCATTGGTTCCGATAACTTATCCTGGCTGACAAGTGCCTTAACCCACATTCATATCCCAACGTAGCTTTTTCCCTCTTGTTCTCCCGTGCTTCTAGACTCACGACCCTCGTCAGCTGGTTGTCGCCTGGAATCCAACGCTCCACTGATATCTACTTATCATCACAAAGCTCATCCAACACTTTGCGGCTAACGATTGTAAATCGGCTCTGGGCTGTTCTAGGGTGACCGTCGTCCTCCTACCCCGCCGATGAAAACGGAAAATACGGTCCAGCTTACTCGACTTCTACTTCGACATGTTTTACGGAGTTACTGATGAGGACAAACTCTTCCGATTCCCCGAATCTCACATCAAATTTATCCCCATCGATCATCCGATGGCAGGCTTCGCTCAAGTTTTGGCTTGCGTGACCGGGCGCGACCCTGGATTGTGGGTGAACCGAATATCTTTGAACTCAGCGTGAAAAAATTGGCAGTACGTAGTATCTGAGAAACTCACAAGATGAGTGTTTCTCCGGTGGCATCACCAGATGGCAGTGAGTGGTAACTCTGGTGGGACCTCGCCGTGTGGTTCAAATTAATCTCTGTGAACGAGTACTCGAGGAATTTTTGTGCCTTGATATACATATAGCAGCCAATTGGACCCTCTGCCGTATGATTTGAGTTGCAAGGTCTCTCCCTCTGAGCTGTGCTAATCCCCAGGAGACTGCGGTATACCTATTTCCATGTGATGGCCATGATCACCGGCGCTATGAAACTACAAACTTTTTTGACACGATGAGTCATGACATGGATGACATCTTGATGAACTAAGAAGCATAAATGAAGGTCTGGCTGTGGGTTTCAGTGTAACTTCACCGAGGGAATTAGATTTTATTATGTTATGAATAACGCGAGGCTGATTCCCAAAACGCGCGGACAACTAGAGCCGTGCGCGAACAAAGGAAACGTATAATTATTATGTAAGTCGGGGTATTCAGGGTCTTTGAGAATTCAGCACACTCACCTTTTGCAACGCTCACTACAGAACCTTGGCTCTGTTCATTCCCTGCTCGTCGTCCCCTGCGTCATTCCTGTCGCTGCTGTCGTCGTCGAACCCATCGTCGTCGTCGCCCTCGACGTCGTCAAGGACATATATTCCCGCTTCCTTGTTAGTTGGACCGTTCCCCCCAAGATTCAAGGTCATAAAGCAACCATAATATATCTCACCTCGTCCCAGTCATACCAACACTTTCCTTCTGTCCCTTCTTGAAGAAACGGGCGGTTACATCTCAGGTTTTCATTCAAAATCTGCAACTCTATCTTCTTCTGCGATCACATTCCTGCTGCAATGGTTCCTAACCCATCCCAGAACTCCCCTTGGCCAGCTGTGACACCTCCACCATCGCCATCAAAACGAAAGAGGGAACCTAATGTGGGATCGTCTTGGTACCCATCGCTGGAAAAGAGACAAGGAACCACCATCTCGAACTATAGTGCTGTCCGTGCGTGTACAATATAGTTATGCGAGGTCCCGGACGCGAGCAGTCGTGTCTCCCTCATTATTCGTATCCTATGCTAACCTCTTGTCTTTGTTGTGCCAGAGGCCGCCAAGACTACATGTGAACTATACGCTGATAATAGTCAGGTGACTTGCTATCCAGAAGCAGGTGAAATCGTGTATCAGCATGACTGGGCAGCCCTTGTTTGTGAGTATTTCAACGTTTCATCTTCCCTCTGTTGAAATTGACATCATCGCAGGGAATAGCAGACGGCCGCAACTCACGCAGCTCAACATCGTCCAAATATACTTGTTTAATGCCGATACGAACGAACCCATCTTCAATTACACTACAACGAATCCAACTGGTAACGCCGGCGAGAATAGTACGGAAGTAGACGATACCTGGTTCGGAGACAAAGGCAATTCGTGGACGCCAGGGCAGAATTTCTCATATCCATTTTATTGGATTGTGACCAATCAGAATGGCCTGGATGGCTCTCAGACCACCAATCCCACGTTCACAGCTATTCGTGCGTTCCTGTCGCGCAACAGTTTACGCCTCCACTAACATGTTTGTGAAGAAACCACGTATTTAGATGCTGTTGTTTCTTCCATGCAATCTTCGTCATCTGCAGCCGCCGCGTCGTCATCCCTCGCCGCCGCATCATCATCATCTGCGTTGGCATCTAGCTTACATGGATCGTCATCTGGGATATCGTCGTCAACTCCATCGGGAAGTGTTCAATCAAACAACGCAAATGCAGGTTTTCCTCATTGGGCAATAGCAGTTATTGTGGTACTGGGATTTCTCGCCATCGCAGCCGGGGGCGTCTTAGTTTGGTTAATTATGCGCCGCCTACGAAGACGTGAGCAGCTCTCGAATCGAGGGTCCATGGGTTCTTCGTCTCCGATGATGGCTAACGCCCAGAACTCCAACTCTCCTCAACTACCGTTGTTGGGTGCTGGTTTGGTGGGTGCGGTGGCAGGCCGGACATCGTCAGAACAACATCGTCCTGCATCTATCGTATCTCCGGATGGTGCATCTGATGTCTCACGGACACACTCGGCAGGTGACACCGGCCCATTTTCAGGAGCCGATGCAGCCATCATGGCGGATGCATTTAGGAAGGCACTACGCAAACCTGATTTTGCAGGGCCCCCTGTCGAGGAGGCCGAGGAACACAGGGATGATGCGATCATGAATCGTGAATTGGCAGAAGAAGGGCGGGATATACGTAGTGTTAGCTCATCACGAGGAGTTAGAGTGGAAACTCTGAGCGAGGCTGGTGACACAGTGCAAGATCACTAGGATTTCTTGTGCGCTTTATTTTATTTTATTTTACTTTCGGCTTCTCAACGTTGGTTGTATATTTTCTCGGATACCTGTTGCAGTCTTCACGTTGTTGTCACCCCTTCATCACCGTGTAGTTTGCCCCTCTACTTGCCCTTCTGACCCGCATAAGTCCACTTCTCTAGTCTCCGCTTTTCCACCCACCACCCACCACCCTCTTCGTACCTTCTTCCTTCATTGCAAGGCTACTTTTTTACCATTCTTCCGTTGGCATTGTGGTTCGCGGTGATTTCTGGTAGTTGCACTTTACTTTTCATTCGGACCCCACCCCCCTTGCCCTGCTCTACTACTCCCAATCCTTGCCACCGTATTTCCCCACGGACACCGTCCTATCATTCCTTGCACCCACACACGGCATCCACCACCGTTGTTGCATATACTTGTCATTATGTCTTCCCACCCCTGCCCGTATGTCGCCCGCGAACCACATGCCTCCTCGTCAAACTGCTCACGTTCTTTTTCAACAACCAAACTTCGGCATGCATGTGGACCATGCGAGCTGGGACGGACGCTCCCTTACCTAGGGAAGACGGACGCGCACTTGGATTTTTTAACTCCCCGAACGCTTTTTCATATATCTTTACGGTCCTCGAATTCCCATTTGTTTTTTTTGCTCGTGCCAAAACCTTGTTGACCGTATATGCCGTCTGGGTTACCATACGACTAGACAGATTCTCCTTTAATAATGATGACGATGAAACGATCGCAAGCGAAGTACGGGATGTCCGATTTGCATCTGGAAGGGAGACGGACGTTTCTATCATTGGGACTGGATCGGGGTCTGGGCTTGATTTCTTTGGTGTTGACGTTGAGGCCTGAGGCTCTAAGCCGTACAAGCTCTTTTTTTTCCCGAAAAACACCCGGTTGGAAGCTGGAACAACGTACGTTTGCTGCTCTTCGCATGCACACGCCGGGCAAAGGGTATACCTAAAATAGAACGTTGGGTTTGACTTAGCTGGCAATCTCTGACGATGGGGCGTAAAAATCCACGGTATAATAGAACTCCGTTCGCTGGCAACGAACGATATTGACGAGAATGATAGGCCATCTTCAAATTGGACGCCCAGGGCTATGTACCCCTGGCCAATTAGTGTCAATTATAGCACATGTATTACTGCAACCGCAGGAACAGCGCGAAGGAGGGCGACTGGTAGGGGAGATAAATAGGAATACACCCGTGATGATACTATACACCAGGTTATCTATACGTGAACGAGTCTTTCTAAATGCAGTGTTGGACTCGTCGTATTCAAAAAGTACTGTCCTCGGGGGGTGAGTGGGTGAGTGCTTATATGTGATCGCGCGATGGGTACAATTATGTCTTATTGTTGAGCCGTAAGGTGACGCATAAGCAGTTCATAACTGGCAATTATGTCAATGAAAGTGGAAACGAGCTATGGGCATTTGACGTACGTCAAAAGTGTAACCGCACTGTTCGGCACTGTTCGGAACAGGTTGACTGACAGACCTTTATAGAGCCCCGTCCAGCCCTCTTTCTGGATGATCTTGCGTGTCGTATCAATGATTCCGCGGCGTGCATGCGTTTTAACCATGCCGTCCGAGGATGTATCCTCAGCTATTGGTAATCGGAGCGTCTGCAGCCGTGTGCGTACAACCTCATGTGGATACGTCGCGATGGACGCAGTCATCTTCGCTACACCAGAACATAGCAATATCGTATCGCTTCGTAGTGGCTCATCGGAGTCACCCTCTACGTTTATTTTTGAGATGGTCATGAAAGCGATGCAGAATAGGTAGCTGCCACTCACGCGCCCACATCTTGAGTTTTTCGTATAGAGGAAACTGGACGGCTACATGAGTTATTCCCAAGAGGCTGGGTAGGAGTCCGCGGTAGAACGCGCGGATGCCCTCTGTGCGGTATATTGTCAAGGCTGCATCGAAAGTATGTCGATATCTAACTTCTCGTCTTGATTGTGTCTATTGTATGCATGAACCAGGGATGAAAGCTCGTGAATTTGGTTCCAAGTGCATGATATCGAGATAGAGACTCGCACCATGAAACGGGTTTTGATGACCCATAGTGGGTTGGTGCAGGTTGTGCTAGCAGCGCCGGCGATCATAGCAGAGAGGATGTGGAGGGTCCATGGGTGGTCGCGCATGGCGGGCTGATATCCCTTAGGTTGTGCAGCGGGGTATATTCGGTCATGCTTTTGCACTAGGCCTAGCGGAGGTTCTCCAAAGCGCGTCTTAATCCCGTCATACACCGCAAAGTAGATGGCCCATGTTGGGAGGTACCCCAAGATTGTGGGGCCAAGACCACGGTACATGCCACGTATGCCATCATGTTTGAGGATCGTTTTCACAATGTCTATGAGGTAGAGTCAGGAATGATAAGCGATATGAGAACGGATATGAAGGGGCCGGATAACGAACCAAGGACCCCTTGATAACCCTGCTGTCCTTGGACTTTACGCTGAGCTTGTAGCTTGGTCTTGACGACGTCGAGCGGACAGGTCGCAACGCTGGCGACGAAACCTCCTCCGGCGCCAGCTGTATGCGGAAAGCCGACTTTGCTCAGAAAATGAGGTCGTATGCAGCAGTAATAGCGCACCGATCATGCTGTGTGCAGTCCATCTTGATTTTCGCGACTGCATATCTCTTCCCCGCGAAGGGGGACGCTCGAGCGTTATTGCTTTATGCTGGCGTGACCGACTATATACTGATGGCAGAAGTCTGACCAACCCAATGTTTATTGCCCCAACTATAAGCCGACGCCATGCACACCCGGGTTTTGCCGAGCCATCTACTTGTCCCTACGACACGTTCCGATTTTGATCCTGCTAGTGACACTGAGAGAGAGAGAGAGAGAAATTCTATATTTATATACCGCAACAAACAAAGTGAGCTGTTAAGACGCGGTGCCCTGTTAGGGCTGTGCTGGGGAGTGTTGTAACAGGGTGAGGGATGTAGGTATAGTACGAATAGCCAAGCGGTCCGCGTTTGATGAGTTTTGGTGTGCGTGTGGGCTCGTTTGGTGTCCAGGCTTAGTATAATATGATACACTTTCTCTCCTTCCTCCTCCTTCTGATCTCTCCTCGTCTCCTCCTTCCCTCGTCACTTCCTTCTTTGCCCTTACTCAGGCTTCTGTCCCTCTCCTTTCTTCCCAGTCTCCTTCTCGTTCCAGTGCGACCTTCTTGAATGCGCTGGATTCTTGAATAAACTTCGCTAGTGCCTTTATGCCCTTCTCCGTACCCAAAATTTCGTTGAGTATGATGTTGTGTGATACCTCACGCAGATGGATGCGTTGTCGCGCAAATAGTGGGCAGTCACGTATGATATGTTCTCGTGTTTGACGTGGTTCTCCACATGGGCAGAGGGTGGGTTCGGTTGGAACGAATGCAGCGTAGTATTCTCCCATGAATCCGTGTCCTGTGCGGCATTGTATAAGACGGCCGTATACTTCTCGAGGAGTGTGAGTGAAATGTTGGCGGGGTTTGAGCGTTGGTGGGAGTCGATTTGCGAGAGCGAAGCGTCCAGTCTGTGCTGCCACGTCTCTATTCCAACTCTCTGTCCATTTCTGCAAGATCCCTTCCTTGTTTCTTCGGCGCGCATTTGCATAGGTCGAGTGGTACGAGTCGTTACGTCCAGTGGCTTCTTTTGCAAGCTCGTCGGCACGTTCGTTGCCGATGATGTTGTGATGTCCTGGGATCCATGCAATTTGGACATGATGGAGGGGGGATGTGGTTAGGTAGTCTTCGATCGAGCGTCTGATCTGTAATGCAATGTATTGTGAGGGTCCGGGTGCAGCTGCATATGCAGCCTGCACCACAGAGTTGTTATCGACGTAGAAATGTAAATGGGTCACCTGGGAATTTTGCGCGAAGCTGATAGCTCGCGATATTGCTCGAAGGAGCGCTACCATCTCTGCATCATACACCTCTGCTTTGGGACCCATTCCTTCCTGACCCCAGAAGACTTCTCTTCCTCTGTGATAGCCGGCCCATCCTGCTCCAGCTCTTTCCTCCTCTCTGACTGATTGTTTCGATCCGTCTGAGTAAACGAGAAGGTGCGTGTCCTCCGTTCGTAGATTACGAGCGGTTTGTATGTGCGCTTTGGCGGCTTCTTTCTTGCCTCCTCTTTGCTTGTCCGAGATCGTTAGGCGGCCGCGGTACGTTTCCTTCGTGTTTGCCCAAGGTGGCAGCGCAAATATGTTGATGCGTTCCGCGTTCGGGGATGCTCGTTTTGACAGACGGGTGAGTCTGGTCGATTTTGGTGGTTTGCGGCTGCGAGGACGGTATTTGTCGGTGGGAAGAGCGGGTGGGGGGTCAGCGAGGTTAAATTGTCGCCAGGGTTGATCAAGTCTCTGTAGGATTGGGTTGAACGAGGGGAGTTTGAGTAGTCGAGTGGCGGCGTTATCGTTTGCGTGTTCGAGGAAGAGGTTGATGGGGGGGATTGATGTCTCTATTTCTAGGGCCTTTATTGGGGTGGTTCGGAAAGCGGCACAGATATGTCTAAGGGATTTGTTTTGGACGCGGGTAAGCATGTTTGCATGGGTTTTCACGCCCGTCCACCAAACGGGGCTTGCGTATGTCATTACACTGCGGACACAAGCCGAGTATACAGTTCTCAATAGTGATTGCGAGAGACCTCTTACCGTATTTGCAAGCATTTGTAGTCCTTGGGCGATATTTTCCGCTTTGCCTGCCAGTTCACATACATTCCTGCGAAAAGAGAGTTTAGAGTCGAAATATATACCAAGCCATTTGATACAGTCACGGGGGTTAATTGTCACCTGTCCTTCGTCACTAGGCAGCAGGATAGGTGGTCGATCCGGTGCACGACGCCATGTGAAATGGATGAGCTCAGATTTGTCAATTTCCGCCATCAGTCCAGCTTCGCGAAGCCAATTGTTCACAAAAATGAACTCCTCCCGGAGTATTGCGACATTGTTCTCCAAGGATGGAGAGGAGACATATAAGTTTCCATCATCGATGTAGCATGCTAATGTGGTCGGTGTGGCTTTGTCCGGGCGTAATTCACGAGCTCGAGTTTTCGCATTGTAGGCTTCGTTTAGTGGGCTTGTGCAGATAATCGAAAGGGCCGGTGATATTGGGGATCCTTGAGGTATACCGTTTTCGACTGGTTCCGATGGTGACAGTACTCCGTCCAGGCAGATTGCTGCTTGTCGTTCGCTGAGGAAGGATTTCACCCACTTTACCATAGGGAGCGGTAGGTGCTTGTCCCGAAGTATTCGGAGTAGCCGTGTATGATTGACGAAGTCGAAGTATCCTTTGATGTCGAATGTGATGCACGACGTGACAAGTCCGTGATTACGGGCTGCTTCGATATCATGAACGAATGATAGGGCTGCGTCGACTGTGGAGCTTCCTGGGCGGCCTCCGAACTGTGAAGAAGGTACCAGCAGATATTTTGCTGTGAGATATGCTAATCTACTTGCCTGTACGCTTTCGAGGACTTTTCCAAGACATTCCTCTAGCTGGATTAGTCTATAGGCTCTCGGGTTCGAATAGTCTGGTTTTCGGGGCTTGCGCAGGGCTACTGCGATTGTGCGTCGCCAGGCGATGGGATGGTAGCCTACATTTGCGCAGCGTGAGATTAGTAAGTAGATATATTCCGATGCAACCTCCCAGGCCCATCGGAGAGCCATGTAGTTGATTTGGCTGGGTCCAGGAGCTTTTTTGCGATTTGGTCGGTATATACCATTCTTCACTTCGGCATATGTTATGGGTTCCCATGGGATGTCATCCGGGAGGTCCTGTTCTAAATCTGGTGCAGCTAAGTCTAGATTCGGGGGCGGTTGGAACAGTTCACCTCGTAGTGTAGCACACTTTTCCTCATGTGTTATTGCCATGTTTTGACCGTTGTTTCGTCTGAGTGGTGGCGTGGGGTAGTTTCTTATCCCTTTGGGCCATCGAGTGAAATTCCAGACGTCATCGGGAGTGGCTTTTCCCAGAGTCTCGTTTGCCCACTGTCGTTTAGCAAGGCGTGTCTTCCGTTTGAACTGATTGCGTAGTTGGCGGATCTGTTGGATAAGGTCGTGGTCAGCAAAACCTGTATCGATGAGATGTTGTCTAGCCCTTTCACGAGTTTCTGCAATGCGGTTGAGTGATTGCGTGAGGTCGGGAGTCCACCATGGTTTCGCATGTGCACTAGATTTGCGGATGGGGACCGAGCTTTCTGTTGCTTGCACCAGTGCATCTTGTAGTGCTGTGGTAGCTCTTTCAATATCATCAATATTAGGAAGAGTTGAAACACGTAGCGGTATCCATGCGTCTTCTCTATCCGTCAGTTCTCTCATGAACGCTCCTTTCCATGCTTTGATCGTGTCTTCATCGATATCTTTCCAATTGAATCGTTGAGCCGTGATATTCTCGATGGGGACACGTTCATGGTCTAGTGTCCATGTGAGCGCTGCGTGGTCTGATCCGTAGGCTTTACCGTAGTCGATTGACCAGTCCTTGATCGTGTCGAGTTCGTATGCTCTGTCGTTGATGAATGTTAGGTCCAAGACCGACGAGGATTCACCGTCGTGTGCGAAGTATGTTGTTGCCCCACGTTCGTTTAGCATGATGAATCCCTGGTCAGTTAGCCAGTCAACGAAAGCTTCTGCACGAGGATTGGGGTTCTCAGCTGTGTTTGACCACATTGGGTGGTGTAGGTTCATATCTCCCGAGATGATGACCGGTATTCCGTTTGGTAGTTCGATGTTGAAAAGACGGTCTGCTGACCAGTTCAATGGATCCTCGCCTGCTTTCTGGTTGTACATATTTACAAGTATTGTAGGCGGATGTGTTCCTTGGTTGATCTGTAAAATTTGTATGTCAGCATCCATTGCGAGATCAGAACGAAGGGTAACCATGAAGTCAGGTCTGTTTTTGATGTATGCCATGACTCGAGGAATGACATTCGGGGGAACAGACGGTAATGGTAGGATTGGTTGCCATCCGGTTAACGACGCTGGGCCCTTTGTGTTATTTCCGATGTCACCATACCATGGTTCCGTTATGAGCAGGATGTCATAATCACGGACGGCGTTGTTGAGTAATGCGTGGCAGACTATATTTGAACGGTTAGTGTTGAGTTGAATCATTTTTATGGGTTTAGTATGGACTATCATTGCCATCCATCCATATTGTTGTCGTTCATTGGTTGTGGCGTTACGATATGGTTCTGGGATGTTGATGGTGGGGTTGGAGTCCGGGTCTCTGGAGGTGCTATTGGATTGTTAGCAGTTTGAGGTCGACGTGCGCGTCGTCCCCCTTGGATACTTGGTCGTGGGTCTCTTGCAGATCCTTTGGTTAGTATATGAATGGGGCATTTGGTTGAGTCTGCCGTGTGTGCTTCTCCACAGTTTGCGCATTTAATCGGTGAGTGATCACATCCTTTTTGTGCTTTGGCCGTGTTAGGGCACAAATCGCAGGTATGGAATGATTCAGTGTGGTCGCCTGCACATACTCGACACTTGGGGGGGTTAATACATTTGGACGTATGATGGTCGAAGGACCAGCATCGGTTGCACTGACGAACAGGTTTCAAATCTTGGAAGCGCGAGAAAGAGGCGTACCGTCCATATAAGAAGACTCCACCGACGTGTTTGAGAAGGTAGTCGATTTCTTCCTGTGATGAGACCGTTAACAGCATGGTTGAGTGGTATTTGTGTTCAAGGGTCTCCGGCTTCGCCATCCACGAGGGTTCTGCCGTGAAGTTGATGTTGCGTACACTGGGGTTGTTAGTTTTCATCTCATAGATTACTTCTGCTCCGGATCGTGGTTCGAATTCCATCATGTCTTCGGCATCGGACTTCCCTGTGTCTACACTGTTGAGAAGAACACGGAACCATTCCTTGTCTGGTGTGGCTGCGTAGTTGGAGTTTCCGACAATTAAGTCTGCGAAGGCGTCTTTGAATGGAAGCAAGTCATCTGCTGTGTAATCCGGATGTGTAATAACGATACAGTTACCTTTGGTGTTCCATTTTATGCCGTTGACCGTAACTTTCGTGACCTCCTTGAGTCTTTCATTGATCGCTTCTACTAATCCTCGGTCTTTTTGGCGTTGTGTAGGGTCCGGAGGAGTTTCGATGTGGAGAATGAGTCTAGAGGGGTGGTGTCGGGTTAACGGGTTGTTTCGGCGTCGGTTCTCTTGTTCTGTTATCTTAGTTGAGTTTGTCTTGGTCTTCGGAGTAGGAGTTATGGTGGGGCCATTTGCGATTTGAGTACGGGGGTTTTGACTGGTTTCCGGTTTGTTGCCTTGTCGTAGTTCCTGGACATCTTTGACGAGTTGGTTGAGGATCGGAATTATGTCGTCAGGATTGTTTCTTGGTGTTTCAACCGGTTTAGGGGGTAGGATGGCCTGTGTAATTCTTTGAGCAGCGGTAAGTATGTTATCTGGGAACTTAGCGTGGATTGATATGTTGTCTAATGCCTCTGCGGCTTTGATAAGATGATGGTTTAAGTCAGTGATCCATCCTTGCTCCGAACGGGTTTCACTGTAGATGTCCGTCTCCATTTCCGAGTCGTATTCGCGTTGGGCTACATTGTTTACCATAGCCACGTGTTCTGTAGGACGGCGTTTGGTCTGTCTCGCGGTGTTTGGTGAGGCCAATGGAGAAGTGGTTGTTTCCAGTCTACGTTTGTATCCTAACCCTCTACGTGTGGGTGTGATTGGCATGTAGCTGGCATTGGTTGGTCTGTATGGGAATTCTGGGGGTGGGAGGGGATCGTTGGGCTCTGATTCATCCCACGCCCGACGTTGCTGGAACTCCTTCATATGTTGTCTGGTGTTACTAAGGGATGCTGCTTGTGAATATGTTCTTGCTGATATACGTTTGTCAAGGTTTCTAGCTATGCTTATACTGCCTCCTGGCTCGTCGCCCATGTTCTGTTGAACCGTGGGAAAAAAGCAGATGGTGGCGGTTAAAGGTCAAAAAAAATCGCTAGTGACACTGACACAACAAAGCAACTACAATCTACAGGTAAGAGATAGCAAGGACACTAGTAATGGTTCGGATCTTGCATCCTAATGAGCATAAGGCAGAAACCACCTGACATTGAGGTGTGCCTGCTATTGACATGTGGCGAAACTGTATGACTCAACCTAGACTTAACATCATCTAATACTACTTATTTATTATAGCGCCCATAAAACATGGTCAAAGTAACTTATAGAGACGAAATACTCGCCGAGGACTCCAATCCTGTCGTGGTGGAGGGCAACTACTACTTCCCCCCTGCGTCCGTCAATAAATCATTCCTCGCTCCCTCGGACACAAGGTAAGGATATAGTATTATTAATGTAACATGTCCACTGAACTCCGAGTGCTCAGCACTGAATGTCCTTGGAAAGGGTGAGCGTCCGTCGATTCTCAGTGCTGAACCTATTTTGACGGAACCCCCCCTGAAGGACAGCATCGTACTATTCTGCACAGATTCATGGTGACACTGTGAAAGATATCGCATGGTACGTCGAGATTACTGTACAAGCATCTGTCAGGGACTGTACGGAATTATCTTTCAAGGTACTATCCGGATCCAAAAACCAAAGCATCACATATCAAAGATTATGTCGCATTCTACAAGGCAAGGTTGTCTTCATGGGTCCTTCTACCACTCTAAACTCGTATCAGAACAAAGTCACTATCGAGTGAAAAGCATTCCAGCACCAGTGAGACGACGAGGGGACATTAATAGAAAGCACCAGCTGTGCGTAATTGTATCCGTGTAATTTTACAGAATCGGAGGTCTACCCTTTCAAGAGCAGCGAAAACATATAAGTGACTAGGACCTTGGCATCAACATGAACGCCTGTTTCTGTGTTATCGCAAGCGTCAATACCCCGGTTCATCTCAGCACATAATTGATAGGTTCGCGAAGGTTCCTGAAGAGCTCATGCCAAAATCGTAGTTGGGGCGCTTTACATGCCGGTCAACATGATATATAGGGTTGCCATCCCTCAAACTTCCACGATATCCTATCCCCAGGTCCCTCTTCCTCACCTCCCAAAAACTCCCCCAAAGTCGGCTTGCGACCCCATCTTTCATCGTGCCAGCCAGGTCGCTGCTCGGGTCATGCATGACGACATACGACACCACCTCTGCGCGATGCATGTGCGTGTGCAGATTGGCAAAGGTGAACGTGGCTGGGAGCTGAACGATGTGATACACATTTGCAAAGTTCATGAGCTGGAATTGGAGCTGGATGTAGGAGGTGGTCTTCGCAGGGAGGGTAGTATATGGACTTTATTTGGAACGACCCATCATTTCTGAGTTCTTGGCTACGTGAGGGAAGGCTCGTCACAATTAGAAGTTTACTAGTAAGTACTGTTGGTGAGTCGCTAAAGAGGGGTCTAGAGTCAGATTGCCAGATAAATAATAGCAAAGTCACGAGACCGTGTACATAGAAAGCACTTCGTTACTTATAGTAGTTATGTGACTAATGGGTCGCGTAGGAATGTGTATTAACTCGATAGAACATGCAAGACTTGATGCACCGAATCCCGCACGCGCCACGCGGTCTACCATGCGGAGCTGCAGGGCGAGGAACTCCAGGCATCCCGGTCCCGGAAGAACATGTTCAAACATGACGATGAAGTGGCGCCCAATCTGTCATGCATCATGGTTGGTAGTTGCGTTGCAATGCTAGTAATGGACGAGTTACTGAATGTCACGCTTTAGCCACAGCGGCCGATTGAGATGACGGTGGATATAAGTTCTTTCTCGTTGATGTGATGGATGCATCGATGAGCATATATGTATTATTGCCTTCCGTCTTGTCGCGAGATAAAACCTTGTGAGACTCGATAAATTCTCACACCACACAGTTGTGGGGAATGAGAGGAGTTTAACCCACTACACATGTACCTGCAGGTTACAGGAATATATATATAAGTCATTCAAGATACACGACTTCCTATGGATTGGAATGAGCCACCAGCCTGATGTTAATGACCTTGCCATTCCAGAGAGGCCCCTTTAATTTCTTTTGGCCAGCAACTTCACTTAGCGACGGAAAATTGAACGGCGCACGGTACCTTGAAGCATCTGCAGATAGATGAAGAGAGGCAAGGAAGGAGGCATAGAGAGAACAGAGCGAGGGAGGAGCTAAGTGCTCATGTGCCTTGTCTCTCCGCTCATCAGATGACTTCATCATGCACAGTGCCTTGCACCCTGCACTCATTTATTTAGCCACACGGCAGTGCTCCCAGCGACACCAGCAGTGGGCCTCCCTTCGCATGCCACGATATCACCTCACTGCCAATATATGTGCAAGAGTCTTCTCCCGTTGGCCGAACACCGCTTGTCGCGGTGAAGCAAACAGGACCGACAGAATTCGACAAGATGAACTAGATTCACACAAGAATGTGCAGCACCTCGATTACAAGGAACGACTGTTCTCCCTATAGCTCAGAACGTTTGAAAAAAATGACAGTTGCTAGTAAACAGATAACACGCTGAAGCAACGTGAAGAAATTGCGAGTCCAATCTCGTTATACAAGCAGACAAAAATCCATGCATGCTAATCCATCACACTGTCGAGCAAGAATCCATTTCTATCGTTACCACACTCGACCGCTGTGGTAAAGCGTGTCATTCAGTCCCTGAGTCTATTAACAATAACGCAACTACCAACCTTGAATCGAGCAGGATGCACCACATCGCTAGGATGTTTAAATGCATTCTTCCGGGATGCAGTGAAGGTCTCGCTTTGCGACGCACTGAGACACAGTTCCGGACGGTAAACGCCGTTGGAGATATGGAGTTCGGAACAATGAAAATTGTCTGACTCGGCCTGTGTGTAGTATTGTGCGTTCAGAAGTGCAATGTACGAGTTTATGTATACTGGAAAGGGTACCAGTTGTTAGCACTATCCTGAGAGAATAATTTGGTCATACTTTTCGCCACCAAAAATTCAACACCAAGGAAAACGAAGTTCTTCGGCATCACTGCGCACTGCGGGAAGACCCTCAGAGACGAGACAGACAACACAACAATTAGAACTTCACTGTAATGATAGCTGTCAATGAAGATATACTATACTAAACTTTAGTCAAGGAATGAAGTAGGTGGAGGAGGAATACCTTGTTACACAGCCGGTACTAATGGTGTAACTCATGAGCCTCGTTACGAAGGAATCGGTGCTAAGTACTCTGTTTGTATATCAGATCCCGACAGGGAAAGGACTGCTCCTTACCTAGTGAACCCAGTACGAGAGGTAGTGAGGAGATAGCATAGCGATGATGCAATAAGGATATCGAGAGAAGTAATTGTGCCCAACATCAAGTAGTTCGCCCACTCGATTTTCAATAACTCCGCGTACGTGTGGCACCGATATCTTCTCGCTATCAGCACTTTGTAGAGTTAGTTCACTGTCTCACTTACGCTGCCCAATTGAAATCTGTCATTGGGTTAGGACAACCTAATATATCATAATAATGCTATTGAACACTCACTGATGGCAGTACCTGAAGGTACTTTCAAGATCGAGTGAGGAGCATTTCTAGATGACAGACTCACCTAAACCTAGGACCACGATTATGCCCTATGCGATAGTGGGTCGATGAAATGAAATGGCACAACACATAAATATCAATTGTAAACCCACCACTGTTATAGGGAGAGTTCTTGATCGACCCCTGTTGACTATGTTCATCGCATTAGTCTGGCAAATGCATTAATAGGGGAACAAATACCTATCCATATGCGTTGAACATACAGGCTATGAAGAAAGAAAACATGACATGCATGTTGCATATAACATTGTACGCATCGAACTTACAAATTGACCCCCCAAACGATGACCGTCTGTAGAGTACGTGTGTGGGACGGATCACAGAGCTAAAGAATTGCAACTTACATCGATTGGGATCTGAAGCTACACGAGCCCATCAATACGCTAGTAGAGGCGACTCGGGGGCCAAAGTAGGAACTCACTTTGGAACTCCATTCAATTTCTGGGAGCGCAGCGATGTTCGCGTAGTTGATTACCAGATAATAATAGATGCCATGGACGATCAAGGCCAGGTGCAGGGCATCGAGTGTCCTAGAATTTTCAGCGCACGATTTTGACATGCTCGATAATTGCAGCTCGAAGTAATACCTACCAAAGAAAAATCACCTAAAATGACTTCAAGAATACGACTAAGAAGAAGATAACATAGACGTACGACTAGCTTATAGAATGTCGTCCCTGTGCCTCTATGTGTCTGAAAGTACACGAAAGCTTGAACATTTGTCACACCAAAGAGACTGTTCCGTGAGATGTTACGACGCATACTAGCGAGAAAATGGTGGACTAACAGTGCTGCAATAATAGCCGCGATAAAAAGTGCCCCAAACGTGTCCCCGAGGTCAAGTTGTGGGGTGATGTCCTGCGCTGAGTCAGAGGACATTGTTGACTGAGGCAGTTCTGTCAGCAATGCAATAGTTTGATCGTAGTATATTATGTACTAATTTACTATATATCCCTTCGGGTTCCCTAGAGAGATATCACCGCGTGAAGGCCGTCATGAAACTGCGGAGATGACCAGTAGACGTGTCTATCTTAATAAATGCTACCGCCATTACGAAAAGCAAAAGTACTTGATTATCGAAGGCATTTGTTTGGCTTTCCCATGGGCCATGCCAGACCCCCGGGGTCGGGCCAATCAGTACTAGTAATCACCAGACTCCAGAGAAAACGTATCTCCGTCGACGCAGCAGAAGCCTGCAGAAGCATGGTGCTCTATTACGACTCCGAGCCCCCGCACAGCTTCCTTTGCCCCCACCGCCCAGCCGTAGGAGGGGCTGCTTTTTGCCGCAGCTTGCAGGGTTAGAGCCACTCTTAATGCGCTGACCGCATATTGGAAGGATAAAGGTGCCGTTGAAGCTCGAGGGCATCCTTGCGCTCGTTCAAAGTCTGACACTCTCAATCTAATCAATTTGATAGATATTATTGACACCTACCTCCTACATGCGAAGATGCGGACGTGCCAGCTCGTGCCAGCAGTTGACTTCATTGTGAGAGAGAATTATCGAAAGGCTTGAAATTTTACACGGGTTCCGGTAGTGTAATAGCATTAGCCAGAGTTCGGGAGACATAGCCAAAGGAAACTGGAGCCGAAGCTGTTTAGCAAACACACTAGGATGTGACTTAGAAGCTGCGCACCAAAGTCATTGCCACCGTCCTTGAGATTTGACTACATAATCCGGCTGAAAACTGTCCATTGGGACTCGGGAGAACGACTATAGACGACCAGTACTGTCCTTCGATTGGTCTGGCTAAAGAGACTAGCTTCAGGCCTCAGGCACCTTGCACTCAAGCTCGGAAAAACCTGAGCTTCATGATGATAACCATGATACACGAGATTCACGTGTACACAGGTAGGTACAGTAGGAATGACTGTTTCTTGTATAGCTCTAGATATTTGAAAAAATAATTTGACAGTTGCCAGCATTATTGAGAAGGAACAACTGTCTTCCTTCTGATGAATGGTCTACCACAAGTTGAAGCAACGTTGAAGACAGTGCAATAGCTTCACACTACGAAAACGATTATGTTAAATTGCGTTGGCTAGGTCAGAAAAAGGTTACTCGACGACGCCCTCCTCCCCTTTGTCGTGTCGTGGAATCCCGACCAACTGCAATCTCAACTAAGGCATGCACGTATCTATACGGATTCTGTGCAAGAGATCAGCCACCAAACAAGTAGAAACAAGTAAAACATACGCTGCAGAACATTGTTGAGCTTGTTGACACGCGACGAGACACTGAGGTCGATGCTCTTATCGCCGAAATCGACCACAATACCGCCGAGAACCGAAGGGTTGACCTAAAATTCATGAGAACCAACTCGAAAGCATAATGAACAAAATTAAAATACCTTGTTCGTGATTTTCAGCGACTTTGCTTGTTGAGCTGTCTGAGACTGCTTGAGGATAGTCTCCAGCCGGGAGGACAAATCCTTGGGCAGTGGAGTGGCAGACGTGACAACCACTTCTAATTCTCCCTTGTATTTCGCGACCAACTCGTTAAAACCCTCGATAACACCCTGTGTCTCTCCAAGTCTACCATTCTCCGACAGAACACCGAACAAGTTTTTAGTTATGTCGGAGACAGGCTCCTTCTTCAGACCAGTGCTTTCTGCATGAGCATATACGACAGCGAGGCCCGCAGAGCGATCCTTGGCAGATAGCGTCGGGTTGCTGACGAACGCTTTGAGGTCAGGTACCTCTTTGATGGTATTAGAGATGGCGTTCAGCTCCAACTGGACTTTGGTGAGTGTCTGCGGTGATTTCGAAAGAGCAGCCGAATAAACAGCCTTGGAGTACTTTTGAGCGATGGTAGACGCTGCTCGCCGTCCCAGACCTACGGAGGCGGTTGCTGAACGGAACGAGGAGCACAACATGGTAGGTGTGTTGGTAGTGTTGTTCTTCCGATGTTGTATCGGGGAATTTCGGCGGGCTTTCAAATGCAAAGCTTAACCGGCGTCTCCGCAACCAAATTGCATCCGAGGACAACCCGAGGAAATACTGATTCTGAAGTTCAGTGTGTACTATTCTAAATTTTAACTTGTCCTAATTTCAAGAGAAATTTTCTGTGATTGAGGGTGCGCCAGTAATATGGTGGGATGGCGAATAGATGTGCATGAGGTCCCTGGGCAGACCACAAGACAATGATCCTAGGCAACACACCAGCAACTCCGATGCAAAATCGCAACGTAATGTACTACCATACAACACATACAATGCAGTATCGATATCAAATGAGCATACCTATACGCAGGCTCCAAACAACTTCACTTACAGTGTTGAAAAGTATCCCGACGTGATAGCTTTCTGCACAAACGCTGTTATCGATTCGCATTCGGGTTATTCTGAACGATGACTTCAACATGTTCGCAAAGCCCTACAAGTCGACCCCGAATATCCCGTGCCAGACTGAGACTCTTGAACTACAAAACTGCTCATAGCAGAATTGTTGCGAAGAATTCCATGTCGGCCCATTGCTCCCAGACATTGAGCAACGTGAATTGGTCTCCATTGCGCAGACGAAGCTTTGACGCACTTAGTCTGCGTGCACCTTCTTGTCTTTGGGGCGGTAAAATATACATGAGTACTCGGTAAGTATGGCCATAATACGATGGTCAGTGCCTGGTGGGATAGCGTCGGAGCCAATCCATTATTTCGAGGTGTGAGCCCGCACCTCATCAGGTACTTCTCGATGGAAATGATTGGTTTTGATAACATGGGATCGACAGGGAACTCTGCCATCCGCCGACCCAATTTTGTGAGCCTTTGCCTTCCTCCGCACGACCTGGCTGACCGGCTCTTTGGTTGGCTGATCCTCGAGAACACTATTGAACACAGAACTGGATGAGTTGTGAGCACAAACACGATGTGTCATCACGTACCGGAACCACGATCAAGGAAGGCATGCCGGTGCAAGGATATACGAATTTTGCTTGACAAACCCGGAATCGATAACGAAGCCCACACCCTCGATGGTAATCGACGTCTCTGCGATGTTTGTAGCTAGCATGACTTTTCTTGCGTCATCTGGCATTGGTTCAAACACCTCGACTTGTAGGTTGCTGGGCGGGTCAGCGTACATCGGGGACAAACGATTTACTTGGAGATCTTCTGCTCGAGTACTCGCGGAGTCTACTGCAGGTTTTCTTGGGCCGCCTCGATTACGTCTTGACCCTGTGACAGACCAGTGAGTTTATAGACGACGTAGAATAAAGACGTCACCCACTGTGAAGAATACAATTCTGTTGTATAAATCTGACAGACGGTGGTGTTATCGGCTGCGTGCAGGTAGATGGTCTTTGGCTGTCATCACCAAAATTACACAACTCAGACATCCATCTACGACGCGTCCCTACATTGCATCATGCTCTCTTTCAACTTGTACACAAATCCTTACCCATTATGTGTCCTGCGACTCTTGAATCTTCCATATTACGACACCTGGTTCCCTTCGGATGCCAATAATGCAACAGCATACAGCACGGACTTCGACTCCGATTTATATCGAACATCGTGCGTCGGATCCAAACGGCTTTGTTATCACTTTGCATGATATTCGAAAATGAAGGTAATTAACTAGCGCATATAATAGCGCGGTACATGCTGGCACATGTTGACACTGCATGTCCTGCATAATCTATTATCTCGCATCCATGTCACCTGCATTATAGGTAGTGGTTCGTGGTGGTGCCGCGTCAATTTAACCTGGCCCGCACTATCATATTTATATGCGCTAGTTAACTACCTTCCTTCACTTCAGAGTTATTCGAGGACCTCCCTGCCAGATCCCGTATTACCTCACACAACCAATGCGTTTATCCTTCCTCGTCGTCATTGCTACTTTTGACGGCATCTATATCTGTTGATGCCACACCAGCTGTTCTCGGCGGGCGAGGCTGTTCTGCTGAGTTCTCGCCTTGCCACTCGAATCGTGATTACTGCTCTCTAGACTGTATTTTGGTTGCGAGTACTCGGAGTAGTTTGCTTAGCATCCAATATTCAACCCCCTTTGACCCTATAATGTAATAGTCCTCCGGACCGTGGTGTAGACCTGAGATACCGACGAGTTGATATGACACGAGGGTGAGTCATCTTTCTGCTTTCGTGTCGGCACTGTGGCTCACAGCGCAATTCTTAGTTTCTGGCGGAGTTGATCAGGGTTGTTACGCTTGGACACATTCTTCATGGCTTGTCCTTCCTAAACACTCGATACAATTGTAAATCAGACTACGTGAATTAAACATAAGAGGTGGTGGCCGTACGTTCTATGATCCAGTACCACAAGCGAGAGATGTGAATATCATTGGCACCCAGGATGGGCCATGTCGCTAGAAGGAATATTGGGGCCCAAACCGTATGAAATACATGGGTGACAATACCAGAAGTGCGGAGAATCACGGTCAATAATGCAGCAGCAAAGAACGCCATTCTGTCACAGATTGAGCCCATCGACCCGTGTCAATATCTAACCAGGATCGCACCCCCAAACCAGAAGTGCAAGCGGCAGACTGAGCTTGAGAGCGAGGCTTTCGAGGCTAAGTATAGAACGTGATATTTTGACCGTGAAAGACGCCTGTGGACGTAAAGAATGCAGGTCAAACAATTGGAAAAGAAACTTACCGCATCTTCAGCGCAGCCTCGCCGGTTGTCATTAACTTGACCAGCCAAGATCGGCGAGACCACTAACGAGCCTGAGGCGCTGAGGGTAGACAGATATGCTAGAAGGATCGCGGGCGTTTGAGTCTGGACAGATGGGACTGCGAGAAAGCTGATATCAACAGCAAGCATCATAGTAGACTGAGATGGTCATTGATCTCACGACAATATGAAGCGAGGTACAACTCACATATATTGTATTGTATATCCACCCCATTCAGTAAATGCCGAGCGCATAAGTAAAATGCAGCTAAATCGATCGCTTGCACTGTGACATTATTGTGGGTTTGGGTCTGCCCCGCGTTCCACTTGGCTTTCATTGAGCTTCTGTTTTCCATCCGTAAGTTGTGCCCCGCCGAAACCCGCCAGATATTCAGGTCAATCAAGTCTGAGGGGGTATGTTATACTCTCTAGTCACGAGCATCTTTGTGTGTGAGGAGACCATAGAATAAAAGGCCTGAACGCTTTGGATGATACTGGAGATATGTAACGTACGATTGGATGGTGGTGCATATGTGACGACTGTACGACGAGCCCACGATAGCAATTTTACAACCCACGAGACTGTTGTAAGCGCACGTCAAACCAGCTGTACGAAGTAGTAAGTACAAGGCGCAGGAGAACATACACTCAACTTACATATCAAGAATCAAGTTGAGACAATACGACTGTCCGATTTCATAAGTGACAGACACACTCTAAACGAAAATGATTGATAGGATAGGCGAAAGACATTATAAGAGTACAAAAAAAAAGTATGAAATACTTGGGGATCGATGACCATTGGCGTGTGGAGGAGATGCACAGTAGAGAAAAAGCATGAGACGACCCCACAATGGAAGAGGGACGTGACTGCATGCGTACTGGATCGGGCGTGGTAGCACTCGTATCTGGAGTATGTGTCGCGGACGTCGAGGCGGCGGCAGATAGAGATTGCGATGATGGCGCCTGGGCTTGGGATTGGCTTTGCTGTTGCTGTTGTGTTCATTTCGCATTGTCACGACACAGAGCAATAAACAATGCCTGGACGGAAATCGCTGAACCATGTTGATTGGAAATGCACCGGAAGAAAGGCGTACCCATTTGTCCTGTACGTAGGAAATTCGACGACATCAAGACCGCGAAGAGAAAAGAGAGATTGCCTTGGGCGTTGCTGGAGTTCGATTGCTTCACCGGTGTTGGCGTGAGAATGTGAGAGAACTGTGGCGGGCAGAGCAACGGGGATCGATAGTGTGCCTTGCGGAGGATTGCCGACAACGCACGTTACCAAAAAGAAGTGGTAGTCGACGGACGTCCCTAAGGTGGGCTCGATTACCATCTGCACTCCAACACAGTGCGCTGTCCACTCGGTGATGAGCTTCCCAGTCTCGATGTCCCACACCCTCATTTTCCTATATTCACTTCCGCTTGCAACGGTGTTGCAGTTAGGAGATAATCCTATTTGCACTGTTGCATTCTACACCTCATCTCTCCAGTCCTCCCCTATTTGTGCACCATTTTATATGTCTCATAGTCGAAGTGGGCCGTTCCTTGAACTTGTGATGATGCACCGCCCGCCACCCGGCAGGTGCACAACACCATTTACCGGCGCGTCGGTATGACCTCGCATCATCTGGCATGGCGCGATTTTTGGCATTTGTTGCTTCTTGCTGGGGACAGAAGACATAGTCGGCGCTTGGTGTCTCAACCAGATCGTGAATTATGTATGTCGGAGAAGCTTCCCGGAATCTTTGAATTCCGACAGGTTATTTGTCAAGGGCAAAGTCGATTTGGTGAGTCGACACGCCTGTTCTATTCGAACCGCACAATTTGCTCACGACGATGCCTTTTTACAGGAGCTCAATCACAACCCACAAGATTGCTTCGGGACTACGTTTGCAAGTGTTGTTCCGACCTTATCCGAAAATTCACAGGAAATCTTTGTGGGCCGGCAAGCGAGTGGTCAGCTTTACAGGTTAGAGTATTACTCACGAGAAACACCGTGCAGACTAACTTACACAGATGACACTTCATCACTGAGACCGGTGGCATTTGGTTCGGAGTCGAGGAAGTTGGGCACCCGTGGGTTCAAGTCGTCTTAATTTAAGTGCGTCTCATCATGATGTGTTATCCTAGTGTTGGTTTATTGATGGTTGTGGCAAATATTCTACAGGGCGCTACATTATTCCACATGTTTCTTCCAGAATCCAGCCTGTCTATCTTCGAATTGGGTCTCTTCTGGTGCAGCATGCGTAGACCCCTCCCTTATATCGCCCTTGATACCCATGGCGAAACGGTGATAAGCTCGCTGCGGGCTGGTAGTGGTACTATCCAACTAGGGTTCTGAGCCTGCTGGTGAGTTGTGCTACTTAACACGATTCCTGATGAACTTGGATGACTATGTATGTGCCCCTACAATTATCATCCCATGTCCGAACCTCCAGTTGCACAAGTGACGTGGAGGTTGAACATCGATTGACCACTCTCATATCATGGTCGCTCCTCGTCGTCAAGCATCGAGCGGTGCTCCATCTGTGGTCACGAAGATGAGAATCACCCGAGTCAATAGCTGCCAGCCTGGTACCACCTGCGAAAAAGTCAACCTCGATGCGCTGAAACATGAAGATCAATACTGGCAAGCCCAACAAGATCATCAAATTCGGATTCGACGAATTATGACTGCGGAGTTATCAATCGAACTGTGAGCTTCCTGTGAGTTGTTGCCAGCCGTGCTAAACTACCCTCAGGCATGACATCACTGGGTGCATGCTACGAGAGGGGTTTTTCGCTAGCGTAAGAATATATCTAGGTATGTAGTCATTCCAACGAGAATTACCCGTGGAAGGGAAATGTCCACCACGCGAGACCAAAAACATGCACGACTCGGAGTATGTGCGATATAATACGATCGAACACGTCCATCTACGACGCGTCTCTACATTGCAATTTGCATCGTACCACTCTCCTTCAACTTGTACACAAACCTTTAATTCATTATGTATGCCACGACTCTCGAATCTCCATATCGCAACTCCTTGGTTCCCTTCGGATGCCAATATTTAATGCAACAGCATACAGCACGAACTTCGACTTCGATTATATCGAGCCTTGTGTTTGACATCGTGGGGGTTTGTGGTGGTGCCACGTCAATATGTGCCAGCATGTTCTGCATCAATTTAACTTGCATATAGGTGGTGGTTTGTGGTGGTGCCGTCAGCATGTGTTATTATGTCCTGCGTAGCCCGTGCTACTTTTATTGTTATAAATTTACATACGCTAGTTGATTAACCACTTTATTCCAGGACCTCCCTGCCAGATCCCGTATCACGTCATACAACCAATGCGTTTCTCCTTTCTCGTCGTCGTTGCTGCTTTGATAGCGTCTATGTCGGTCAATGCCACACCGGCTATTATCGGCGGGCGAGGTTGTTTTCTACCTCGCTGGCCTTGCGACAATGGTGATGAGTGCTGCAGTGGATACTGTCAAGCCATTGTGAGTATTCGGAGTAGTTTGCTTTGCATCCAACATTCAACACCTTTTGACCCTGCAATGTAATAGGCGCGCGTGGGGTTTTGCTGGTAAGATGACCGTTCCAAACTGATCGTGAGCTTGCGAACGTCGACGCATGCAAACAAGGCCTTTGCAAATCACTGAGATTCACGAAGCATGATATGACAAACAATTTTGCATGGCTATGACATGCTAATATAATGATGAAATGTAATAGTCTATCAACCGCGTGTCATATTATCGCCCTTTGATAATAGTCTACTTGCATGCAGAGCTTCATATGGTACATTAATGATGTATCGATCATATGACGAGCAGATGCCAGGATTTCTACATTCTTGGCCTGAATGATTTCAAGATATCATTTCCTGCAGAAATTACCTAGCCATATGGTATCATTAGATGCGCAATAGGTACTAACCTTCAAATAGCATGTTCTGACGCTCATTGTCTTTGGCATGTACACTCATTTTCAGTGCAGAAGTAGTTTCCGTAGCAATTGTATGTAATTACTCACTACGCCTAGGATTACCATCTCATATCGAACCACGAGTGACGTAGACGTACGTTGAACATTGATTGACCACTCTCATGTCGTGGCACCACCACAAACCACCACCATTCGCGCGTTGGAATGGTGGTTCGTTGGCGGTGCGGCGTCAATATGTGCCAGCATATCCTGCATCAATGTAACCTGCATCATGGTGGTGCGGTGTCAACATGTGTTAGCATGTCTTGTGTCAATTCACCTGGCCGCGGCTATTTATATGCGCTAGTCAACTACCTTGCTTCCCCTCAGAGTTATTCGAAGACCTCCCTGCCAGATCCTGTGTTCAAACCTCACACAACCAATGCGTTTCTCCTTCCTCGTCGTCGTCGCTACTTTGACAGCATCTATGTCTGTTAATGCCGCACCAGCTGTTCTCGGCGAACAAGACTGTTTGCCTGACAACTTGCCTTGCCAAACGTCTTATGCTTGCTGCTCTCTAAGCTGTAATTTTGAAGTGAGTACTCGGAATAATTTGCTTTGCATCCAATATTCAACTCCCTTGACCCTATAATGCAATAGAACATGTATGTGAGTACTCGGAGTAGTTTGCTTTACATCTGATATTCAAACCCCTTTGACCCAATAGGTGGATTTAGGGGTGTGCGGCCTGTACGGCCTAATAAACCCATGAGCTGACATGACATAAGGGTGAGTCATGTTTCTGCTTTCGTGTTGGTGCTGTGGCTCACAGCACAATTCTTAGTTGCTGGCGGAGTTGATCAATGTGAGTGACGGTTGCCTTGATCGAGTGTCAGAGTGTAATGCTTGTCAAAAGCCGAGCGCACGGACATTGTACTTAGCTACTAATATCCGTATGAAATGTCAGCATCACCCATTCATTCCTAGTTATTCTTTCTGTTTCCTTTATTCCTACTTCTCCCGAGTCTCTCCTTACCTATATAAGTTAGTTTACATAGTATTGGAGGGACAGTTAATCCTTTCCCTCTCCGAGTGACAACAGTTTAGTTCTGACAGTTCTCTCCGTGCTATGCCTAAGTTTACTCTAGAAGTCAACTTCTCTCGTGTGAACATTTATCAAAATGCCACATATTTTTGAACTGGAACACTAAACTACCCATCTTCACTTTACTATGGCCATCACTAGGGTACTGCATGGGTATGTGCAACCCACATGGGTCGTGGGTGTGGGTACCCCTGGGGTGTGGGTCTGAACTTGGGATACCCACACCCATACCCACACCCATGAGGTGGGTATGTCACCAAAATAAGGTTGGCACTCTGACATTACTCAAACCTAAAACTCTAAATATACCAAATAGCACCATCATTTTGAGAGTCTGAAGCTACATAAATACTCAAATACACAAATCTACCAGACGAAAATCTGTACAAACTCATCACAGCATGCAACCAACCTTCTTCTCAACAGCTGTGAGACGTGTCACAAAGCTCACAGACAAAGCCAAAGCTACCCTTGATGACAAGTTGGCCAAGCCATCAAAAAAGCGAAAAAATGATGGTAGCAGTGTGAGGAGCACACAACCCAAGAAGGCAAAGCCAAGACAGACACCTAGTGAGCTACTTGTTAGTATTACAAGCAGCTTGCTATAAGATTACCTACAGTTGAAGATGCACAGCCAGTGATCACAATGGTCCCCTAGACAGGCTGTTGGGCTACAGTCCAAACAGAGGAGGAAGAGGAAGCTTTACACAATGATCCGATCACCATTAGCTTGGATGATGAGGCCAACAATGCCAGAGATGATGAAGAGCAGAGTGCTGAAGACGAGTTGAGTAAGTACATATGTCTTTGAAGACTGGGAACACAAATTGACATAAGCATATAGAATCTTTGATGAAAGAATGGATGTCACCTATTTATGTGTTGTTTGACCCTATTCCAGTCATTCAAGAAGTCAACAAACATCATGCACATGTCTTTAAATGTTCAGCTAAAGGGTGTAAGGTCACGATTCGCCGTTTCCTTGATAAAAAGGATGCGTGTTCCACTGGTAACATGTAAAAGCATGCTAAGTCTTGCTGGGGTGAGGAAGTTTTGCAGGTGGCTGATGATGCAAAGAGTGCTGCAGAAGTTTGGACAACAATTGTTGCAAGTGTCCTGTGAGATGGATCAATTACATCTGCCTTTGAGTGAAAGGGGAAGGGAAAGGTAACATACTCACACCGCCAACATACATGCACAGAATCCAAGTATGAGAACTCACACATGATGAGGTCCACCCACTAATATTCCAATAATTAGGGCTGAAATCGTGAAATGGGTGTCCAAAAGTCTGAGGCCATTTGATATTGTCAAAGACCAAGGGTTTCAGTGCCTAATGAAGACAGGAAGACCTGAAATTTACATACCTTCGCCTTTGAGTGTTTTGCATGATGTCTGTCTTGTATTTGCTCGAACACGTGCAAGAATTGCTAAAATGTTCAAGGTCAGTTGAGTTTTTGAAGCCATAAATACAAACTAATTCAACCTACTAAGAATACAAGGGAAAACTCAACTTTATGACTGACACATAGACATCTACGAACCACTGAGCATTTGTAGCTGTATGTGTACACCTTGAGCTTGATGGTGTACCCCTAACAATGCCATTAGACATTGTTGAAGTAGTGAAAGTGAGTTGTAAACTCACTGAGGTATAGTTGAACATCTGACCGACTGATTTTCAGTCACATACAGGTGAGGAACTAGCGGCAGCATTCAAAGATATCCTGAAAGAATTTGGAATAAAAGACAAGGTCAGTACACAACAATATGAGCCAAAGAAGAATAGGACTCACTATAACTTAGATTCTTAGTATTACCTGTGATAACGCGTCCAACAACACAGTTATGGTTGACAAACTTGCAACAACACTCCCCAAGTTTGGCAGGACAGCAGCGCACACGTGCTGCTTCTTGCACACAGTCAATCTTGTGGCTAAGTCCCTTATCTGAGAGTTCAATGTGTCGAAGGAAGAGATAAATGCACCCAAGGATGCTCAGCTGAATTGTGAGCTTGCAGAATTGAGCGAGGGTATTGAAACAGAGGAGTGGGCCACTGCTGCAGAGCAAGGTGGAAGTGATGAGCTGGCGGATAATGTTGATGGGCTTGTGGATGAAGTAGCCATGCTGACATGAGATGAACGGTAAAACCTGCAAAACAGTATTCAACCAGTAAAATTAGTTCTGGTGAAGGTATGTGCATTGTGAAAAATGAAACATGGACCTTGATTAATGTTTTATGCAGCTCTGCAAGCTGGCCTTCAAGTTAATCCACTCGACAACAAAACTCCTGCCAGTGTGGCACAGTATCCTTCAAGAGCTGTGTGTTCCAGTTACTAATATACCTTGCGATGTTGCAACATGTTGGAATTTGACTTATGATATGCTGGAGTATGTGTCCAGGTATCAGAAAGCTGCAGACACCTTGATGTAACGAAGACAGTTGGGATTGAGAAGTTTGGAGCTATTGGACAATGAGTGGTTGGTTGTTGAACAGCTACAAGATGTACTGAAGGTGCATTAGTACATGCATGTGCATCATTGTAACTTGTTGACTTACATTTGTTTGTCTGTGATCTAGATTCTGAAGGATGCAACATTGTTCTTTTCTCGGTCAACACCCAACCTCACCACAGTCATCCCAGCGATGGATCTGATTGACAAGAAGCTCACAACTCTCTCTCTGGATGAGAAATTCCTCCCATCAATTCACACTGCTGTTGGACTAGCTAAAAAAACTTTAAATCACTACTATGAATTAATGGACTGGTCTGAAGTCTACAGAATTGCAATGGGTAAGTCTCAAATATTTTCAGTCATGACGCTAATATATTTTACTATCTAGTTTTACACCCTCGGCACAAATTGGCATACTTCAAGCTCACCAAATGGACAGATGAGTGGATTCAGATGGCCAAGGTGCTTGTAAGAGACGAGTTTGAGTGCTCATACTCATACTCAGCAGGGGCCAACTCAGACAAAGACACAGATGCACAAGCAGCACCCACCTCGGTGAGTTTTTTTTCATATTGATTGTCTGAGCTAGTCCTAAGTCACTTGAACTCCAGGGCAATATATTTGACAATATCCCTGCACTCACACCCCCAAAACTAAGCGCTGCCTCCAATGAACTTGACCAGTACCTCAACACTGACATTGAACATGTTATGGATGCCCTCACCTGGTGGTATGATCATCATAAAACCTATCCTCACCTTTCTTGCATGGCATTGGACTACCTTACAATACCTGGTATGTGTTTTCCTTTGTTTCAATGAAATTGTAGTCTACTAACTCATTGACTCACTTGGTAGCTACATTGGTTGATGTTGAATGGCTCTTTAGCCGTGGGTGTCTCCTCCTGTCACATGTCCAATCTCGCTTGTCAGCACAATCAATGCATGCACTATTGTGCCTCAGATACTGGAGCAAGCTCAACTTAATCAAGATGGAGGATGTGATGTCAGTTGCCGCACTAGCTGATCTGGAAGGTGATGATGAACAGGAACTTGATGATGGCTGGGACTGCATCAAGTTAGATAGCCAGTAGTAGCGCACTTTGTAGTAGTATAAAACATCTTCCTAATCCTCGTGCTACCCATGGGTATACCCCGGACAGGTGCGGGTGTGGGTCTGCAAGTGCAATACCCATAGGAAAACCCATACCCATGCTGGCAGGTGTGGGTTTTCACTGGGTACGGGTGCAGGTATGGCCTCTGATACCCAGGGGTATACCCGTGCAGTCCCCTAATGGTTGTGGGGAACTACATCTGACATGCTCTGACAGAGGTAAGACTACAAGGGACTAAGTTCGATGTAGAAAGTAAGGCAAAGACTGTTGGAAGACAGAGGCAGAGGTCAGCAAGACTAGTCTCAAAGTCAGAAGAGACAATGGGCAAGACTTAAGTCAAGTTGGAGGTGGTTAGGATAGGTTCAAGTCTATATTCATATTGTAGAAACACTACCGGAATACATAGGGTTTATATACTATAGAAATACTGGGCTATGCAGCACAGCATAGCAGAGTACAAAGTAATAGCAAAAGGTACAATGTACCATAGTATACAACAGGTTAGATTGGAATGGAGAGTCAGATCATACAAGGTACCAGGACCAGATGGAAAGCAGAATGTACAAAGGGAACTCAGAATGGACAGATGTGCACCTCATACCTTGATTGAGTCAGGGGCAGAGGAATGTACCTGACATCAGAGATATGTATTTATGGGCAGAAGAGCATGAATGAGGGCAGAGGACTATAATTGAAGGTGGAGGACACCAACTGAGTGTGGAGGTGACTTGTGTGGATCATGGATATGACAGACATGGTGCAAGCATAGTTTTGGAATTGAGGTCACATTCCAAAATTGACTTATGGAAATGCAGAATAAAATGGAGCCTTAGATTTTTATATATTTAGTTTTGCATGTACATATTACTGTAGAGTCATCCTCTGCTAGCCAATGATGCAACTGTGTTAAAGACCATGCTCGAATGGAGAAGTGGAGGGGTCGGGGCTTGGCTTCAGTTCTTGCACTGTGCCCTTAGCCAAGTACATGCCCCGAATTTGGAGCGGGTCTGATGATGTCCAATGATAGGACAAGTGGACCGCTTAGGTCTGCTTTGGTGGGTCGGGAAGTAAGTGCGGCTAGTGGTAAGCTGACTAGGAGCAGAGCGGAGGAGGCGGAGGAAGTTTATTGGGACAGAGGGGAGCAAGGGGATTGATTGGTCGAGTCAGAGAAGTAAGAGTGAATACTTAGAGCGCGGCTCTAAGTCGGAGTGGAGGGTCAGAGGTGACGACAAGGTATACTTGTGTCCAGAGAGGGAGCAAAGTCCTATGGAGAATCCCCACTAGTAGAGACAGCGGGAAGACAAGTAATATTAAGACTGGAGAGTAGCTAAGTACAGGATATGATTTATATACTTCTATGTAGGAGGTAGTGAATAGTTAGTACTTGGTAGGAGGCTATGTACCAAGCATAATTTGTAAGTAGGCACAGGTGAAAAACATAAGTCGGGGCGGATATCAATATGTACACGTTGGATCAGTTAGTCGAGTGGTTATAGGAAGTACCAGTGATCCGGGAAGTAAGTACTATGTGCAAATGGGGAAAGTATGTACCTAAATGGGAAAGGAGATTTTACAGTAGGATGGATGATGCGGAAGGCAACCGACAGGTGGTCGAGTGGAGCTGTAGGGGCCAATGCAGGAGCCGACTGGGTTGGGCAGAGGGCGGATGGAGCGGAGGTGGTAGGAGAGCAGGGGAAGTAGGATGTTGGGTGGAGTGGATATTAATATTGACAAAGCGGTCGGATCAGGTATATGACAACCTGACTCTGAAGTCATGCCTTGACTTTGATGATGGGAGTTCAAATTTTCATTTACAGGTTAACAAAGCTAAACATCCTTTGTTAAACTTGTTAAGATGACCACTACATGTATCAGAGCCAGAGTCTCTGGTGCAGATCTTACCCCAGATATCTTGATGGCTGCAGTCACTGATAAGTATGACTGTTAAGGTCATGCTCAAAGGGAGGAGAACTCAAAGGGTTTGGCTTCAGCTCATGCGCTGTGCCCCTTACCCAAGTATGTGCCTTTAATTTTTGAAAGGCAGGGTGCCGTTTGAGCTAGCTAGCGAGCCTGCGAGCAAGCACAGCTCAAACAAGTGCTTACTAAGCAAGTGAGCGATCTAAGTTGCAATGCATCATATGCACGCATCTTACTTCTTCCCTTCATCTCTCGCTCACTCGTTTTCTTTGATGTTGAGAATCCGATGCTCATCTGGTTAATCTGTCATATTCTGGCGCTTCGCGCATCTGACAACGTACCTCCAACGTGGTCGTCTTCGCACGGAGGTTGTATCCTACACGCACCGATATGTCGTGTTGTGGGTATTTTCGCACCCCTCGACTCTGTTCAATCAAAGATGAGTTCTTCTCAGTCCATTCAGTTTATTGGCCTTTGGCCATGACGAGTTGAGCGATATAGTATCATACTATTCACGTCAGTGTTTCTACAGTCTTCCCCAGGCTGCATACATTCACCTTCTTGTTTTCTCTTCTTCATGATAACACACCATGTGTGTGTTAAGGTCTCGCCTATGGATTCTGCTCGTCGTTTGTGACGAGGATTCGCCCTTGACAAGGGCCTTTACTCAATTGCATTACATTTTGTCTCGGGTTCTCTTCAGGCATATCGGCAGCCTCTTGCTCGCCTTAGCACATATACTTTGGCACTCGTCCGTATGCTGTGGCATCAGTGCTTCGACACTCACAGACCAAGCACCGTGAAGCCTTGGACATGCTTCGATGCTCACACTTAGGCACACCAATCTAACGGATTGCTATTCGCACGCTTCAGTGATCGTGCTTCGGCACTTGCATGTTGCTTGCAGCGCATACATGCTATAATGCGGCGCATATACTCAGCCTTCGTATTTTTCTTTCCTATCGTGTTTTAGACACACTTTCTGTAGTGGATCATTAGCCATTCGCGCGCCTCGGAATGTGCATTCGGGCACACATACTTCGGCAGCTGTTTGCATGCTTCAGTGATCGTGCTTAGCCACCAGAACTTCACCCGCAGTGCATACATGCTGTGTTTCCAGCACATATACCCATTTCTTTACATGTTTTCGATATCTTTCTTTCCTCCAGACTGCTACCCCTGCTTCAAGGCCACCCTACAGAGCCTTTTCAAGTTTCCCGTTCTTGTTGTTGTATTTGATGAACACCTGTTACCTGGGGTTTGATCACCCGCATTTTGCATGGTGGGGTCTCTCTCTCGGACAGGGATGTGCATAACCATGGCCGTGGTTGGTTTACCTTCTTGTACATTGCGCTCGGCTGTCACAAGTACGCGCAACTGCGACAAACCGGTTGATGCCTCTTTTCTCTTTATCGGCGGCACATGGCCATGCACTGCCACGTACTGCGGGCCAATACCTTCCTTCTGTTGAATTGTGCATGACTGCACCTGTTTAGGTCAATGCCTTCATCCTTTGCACAAGCGTGTGCGACTGCGACGGTTGATGTTGTCCCCCTTTGGATTGTGTATGATTGCACTTGAACAGGCTGAGGCCTTGCAAAGTGTGTGCGACCGCAACAGTGGGTCGATGCTCTTCTCTGTTGGTTGTGCATGACCATGTAACGCGGGCCAATGCCTTCCTCTTTTGGAGTGCACTTGACTGCACTTGTGCAGATCGATGCCTTCCTTTCTTTGCAGGAGTGTGCGTGACCGCGACGGTGGGTCGACGCCCCTCCTCTCTTGGTTGCGCATGACTGTGTAATGCGGGCCGATGCCTTCCTTTCTTTGCTGGAGTGTACGTGACCACGATGGCGGGTCGACGCCTCTCCTCTCTTGGTCGTGCAGGACCGTGTAATGCGGGTTGATGCCTTCCTCTTTTTGGATTGCACATGACTGCACTTCTGCAGGTTGATGCCTTCCTTTCTTTGCCAGAGTGTGCGTGACTGCAATGGCGGGTCGACGCCTCTTCTCTGTTGGTCGTGCATGACCGTGTAATGTGGGCCGATGCCTTCCTTTTTTCGGAGTGCGCATGACTGCACTTGTGCAGGCCGATGCCTTCCCTTTTTTGCAGGATGGTGCATGACCGCGACGGCGGGTCAACGCCCCTTCTCTGTTGGTCGTGCATGACCGTGTAACGCGGTCCAATGCCTTCCTCTTTGGGTTGTGCATGACTGCACTTGTGCAGATCAATACCTCTTTCCCTTGCAGAAGTGTGCGTGACCGTGACGGCTGGTTGACATATCTTTCATGACTGGGTAATGCGGGCCAATGCCTCCCTCTTGGTGAATTGTTCACAATCACACTTGTGCAGGTCGAAGTCTCCCTTTCCTTACGAGAGTGCTCACGATCGAGACAGTTGGTCTACGTCTTTTGCTAATACACAATCACTCTCCCTTTGGATTTTGCATGTCTATGCTTCGACAAGCCATTGTCTCTCTTTGCTTAGTGTCCTGTTCAGCCCTACTTTGTGCTTTCCAATACCTGCTTCGCCCTGTGTCTTCCGCCCCTCCCTTCTCTTTCCTTTGTTCTAGACATTGGTTTTAGAACTCATTTGTGTCGGACACCTGTTCTACGGTGCTGCACTTCCTCCTTGCTGGACTATGTGATGGCCTTTGGTAGGGGAATGTCTTTTCCTTCACTGGTCAAGGTATATGCGACCACTGGAAGAGGGACCGACCCTCTCCGTTCGGACCATTGCTACTTGTTTGCTGGTAAACCTCAGCACTTGTGGGCGCACGCAATTCGATATCACCATCCCTTCCACTAGTTTCATCGGAATCGGTTTAGCGTCTTCGACTTTCATTTCATTTAGAAGACATCCACCTGGATTCCTGTCCTGTTTTATTGTTTTTGTAGACTTGGCGCTCCTACGGAGGCATTAAACACCTTGACACGTCTCTCCTGCTATTGGCAGCTCTGACAGAGCATACTATACATCTTCCCTTAGTCACGTGAGACCGTGTGTGCAGTCTTACACTTGTTTTTCATTTGCCTATCTCTGTGTCCGCACCTCGCATCACTGAGCCCTGATGAGGACTACAATGTCACATTCTGTATACACTTGCAACACTTGACTCTGTTTTCTGGTCGTTCGTCTTCATTCCCTTTTGTATCCGGACAAATGGATGCACTTCAGATGGCCTCCCAGCTCATTGCTTCACCAAAGTCATCAGACTCCATTCATCACGAGTCCTCTGGTATAGCATAACAATTCAATCTTGTTTTATCTTTTTCAACCCTTGGATCAACTCGACATGAGTCAGATTTGTATGGCGCAGTGATTGGATTTGTTTTCCCAGCTCTTGCTCTATCTGTCAATCTTCACATCACAAATTCAATAGGGTTATTTTACATTAATGTCTTTGCGCTCCTTGCCAGTCGCAGAACAAATGTCGTTCAGACATTCGATAGTCATGATCCTTGCCATTTACTGGTCATCGAGTGGTGTCAGCCGCTTCTAGCCAAGGGCCTTCTGCACTACTGCTATCTTGCCCAGATAAAATCTCAGAACACGCTCATCCACACTTGGAGATGATTCTTTTTAACTTCATGTTAATACCCAAGTCATTCTAGGATGTTCGGCATGCTCGCGACACCACAGCGATTCACCAAAACTTGTACATCCTACCCAATTGTCTTCCACTTGCCAATTAACCTTGAAAACTATTCCTTCGGCACTACTTCCTTCAGGCGCGAGCGCACAGGTATATATTACCATGATTAATGCTGGTCCTACCACTTCCAAATTTGCTCTTCTCATCATTCACTCGCAAGTCTGCTAGTTGGGGAGTCGCATTTTTCAGCCACGACTGTTTGTGAGCCTTGCTTGTTATGGGTAGTGTCGTGCTCTGAAAACCCTCTCAAATACCTCACACTCGAGGACTTCGGTTGTGCTTATTTTGACGTCTAGCTGTCTCCTTTTCAGCTTTCTCTGATCGAAACAATTCCTTGCTCTCGCTTTGCTTCGCATCAGTTGCATTGAGCATTGATGTGTCACATGACTTGCAGCACTGATCATAACATCAAAGTTTCTTATCGTTTCGATCTTTCTTGTCTTTCGGAGACTTCAGACTCTCTTTTTTTTGGCTCTCGGCTAAAGCCGAACACCAACCGAAGCCCCTCCCCCCAACTGGCAAAACTCGCATCTAGTCTTCACCACTCAAAGGAGTGACCTTAGATATTCTCTCATATCTCACATACCTCACAAATAACGGCCCCCGGTTATTTGTGATTCACTTTTACAACTTCTAGTTGAACGTAGCAAACTAGTAAGCAGGGAAGTCTGACAAAGTCCAGAGAAGTCCAGAGGTCAGACACAGGAGGAGTTTGGTGGAACTCCAGGGATTCAAGAAATGTTAGAGTAAGACTACTATGGACAAGTCTGGAGTAGAAACGGAGTGGAGATAGACTACCCTAAGGTAGAGCCAGAGATATAGTCTAAGAAGTTGATCCTAAGACTTGGAGGTGGACAGGAGAAGAGACTCAAGTCCAGAGAAACAGGAATGAGAAAGAACTAAGTTGGTATTTGAACTGAGGAGGTATGGAGTGTTACAGGAGTTTATATACTGTAGGTATCAAGTAAGTAATCAGTCAGCATAGTACAAGGCTATATATGAAGCATGTGGAAATCCTATTAGTAAGTCTATAACAGATCAAAAGAAATGGAGTTGGAAATGAATACAGAGAAATGGATCAGTAAGCAAGGCAGAAAAGAGTATAACTGGTAGCCAGAGAAGAGTAAGTCTAAAAGGAGATGGGCACAAGATTATGTTCAGGTCCAGAAATGAAATAGGAGCACCAGACGGAAATCAGGATGGAAGTCTGGGTCTAAGGGTGAGGATCTGGAGTTCCAGGTCTGGAAACATGGGATATGACAATGACCAATGCACCACAAAGTGTTACAATGGCACTATATTTTCTTCTTCTTACTTCTTTTCTTACTCATCAAGCCTTGTGACTGCTTATCAACATGTCCAACACATGAACACTTACTTATATGCTTACTCATAACACTTACACAGATGATTACTCATTGTTAGGTACTGTGCTTGGATGGAGAAGTGGAGGGGTCAGGGCTTGGCTTCAGCTCTTGTGCTGCACCCTTAGCTGAGTGCATGCCCCAAATTTGGAGCAGGACTGACATTGTCCGATGATAGGATGGTTGGTCCGCTTTGGTCCGCTTTGAGGGTCGGGAGGTAAAGGCTTCTAGTGAGAGGCTGACTAGGAGCAGGGCAGATGAGGTGGGGGAAGTGAGTTGGAGCGGAAGGGGACAAGGGCATTGGTTTATCATGTGGAGGGAAGTAAGAATAGTTTAACTTAGAGCATGTGTTAAGGTCGTGCTTAAGGGAAGTGTAACTCAAAGGGCTTGGCTTCAGCTCATGCGCTGTGCCCCTTACCCGAGTACATGCCCTTAATTTCCAAGAGGCAGAGGGGAAGTCTGGGTAAGTCCGGAGGTCAGACACAGGGGGAGTTCAGTGGAACTCTGGAAGGCTAGGAGCAAATAGAGTAAGACTACTTCAGACAAGTCCGGAGTAGAAATGGAACAGAGTTAGACTACCCTAAGGTAGAGCTGGAAATATAGTCTTAAGGATTAACCCTAAGACTTGGAGGTGGACAGGAGATCAGACTCAAGTCCAGAGAAGCAGGAATGAGCAGAACTAAGATGATATTCAAACTGAGGAGGTACTGGAGTATTACAGGAGTTTATATACTGTAGATATCATGTAAGTAATCAGTCAACAAAGTAAAAACTATGCCTGAAGCATATGGAAAGTCTATTAGTAAGTGTACAACGGATCAAAGAAATGAAGTCAGAAATGAAGTGCAGAACGGATGGATCAGTAAGCAAATGGAAAGGTGTACAACCAGTAGCCGGAGAACAATATTCTAAAAGGAGATAGGTGTGAGTCCGGAGATGAAGGCGGAGTGCCAGTGTGGGGAATACTCCCACTGTAGGCGTAAAACCCTGTCGATTCCACATTGTCTCATATCAGTTCCACACGTTCCACATTTCCCGTGCATCCTCCGATGGGTTCCACATTCCCGCGCATCCTCTGGAACATGCCTGCACTATCCGATATTCCCACGCATCATTGGACAACCTTTGCATGTCCTGTCCCCATCCTTCCAGGTTCATTGGTACACTGTATCTCTCTTCCCATTGCTTCCAACATTATCTGGATCTGTCATATCCCATACCTCTGGATCCAGAATTCCAGATCTCCTCCACTAAAGTCTGGTTCTCCATCCTGTTATTTCGCCTGGCGCTCTGCCTTCATCTCCATACTCACCCCTATCTCCTTTTAGAATAGTTACTGCTCCAGTTACCGGTTATGTCCTTTCCACTATGCTTACTGATCCGTCCATTCTTACTTCATTTCTGACCTCACTGCTTTGATCCATTATGCACTTACTAATAGACTTTCCACATGCTTCATACATAGCCCTTACTTTGCTGACTGATTTACTTACATAATACCTACAGTATATAAACTCCTGTAATACTCCGGAACTCCTCAGTTCAAATATCATCTTAGTTCTGCTCATTCCTGCATCTCCGGACTTGAGTCTCATCTCTTGTCTACCTCCGAGTCTTAGGGGTTAAACCTTAGGACTAATTCTCCGGCTCTACCTTAGGGTAGTCTAACCTCTGTTCTGCTTCTACTCCAGACAAGTCTGGAGTAGCCTTACTCCATTCCCTCATAGTCTTCCAAAGTTCCGCCAAACTCCCCCCGACATCTGACCTCTGGACTTCCCAGACTTCCATTGGACTTCCCTTCTGCCTCTTGGAAATTAAAGGCATGTACTCGGGTAAGGGGCGCAGCGCACAAGCTGAAGCCAAAACCCTTTGAGTAACCTCCACCTCCCCCTTGAGCATGACCTTAACAGGATCACATTGACACATGCCCTTATGGCATGGACCCCTATTGTGCAGTATTCCGCCCATGTGCACTGCTTGCCTTCATTTCCGCATCCTGGGAATGTGCTACCTATATCTCCGTGTTCCTTGAAAATACTGTACCCTATAAGCATAGAAGGTTTCGGAAAATACTTACTTCACTTACTTCCTCCCATCTTTTACCTTCCAACTTTTCTCTGACTTTTCCTTCACCTTACTAGAGGACTGCTTTGACTTATGCCCACTATCAATCTAACCTTGTGATATACTTCCTTCGACTTGATCCGCAAGTTCTGACAAATCTGTACATTCTGCGCTTCATTCTGTTTGAGTTCCATTTCATTCCACTTCATTCTGCTTGAGTTCTGCTTGTTCCGCATTTTTGTGGATCCTCATCCTACCTGCAGTAGGGTTGATTAGGGTCGTTTAGGCAGAGACTAGTACTCCACAGTAGCAATCCCCTTTAGGGTCGAACATGCTTGTTCTCAAGTGAGGCAGCAGGTAGCAAAGACCCAACTTTGTAGTAGATCAATTTCTCACTGCTGCACTTGTTGTACCCACACCAGGCAGACAACAGGACGGAGAATAGGATGGAGAACTGGACTTTCACAGGGGGGAGGATCCGGAGTTCTGGGTCTGGAGGTATGGGATATGACAGCACGGCTCTAAGTCAGGGCAGAGGAGTGGAGGTGACAACAAGATGAGACTTGTGTCAGGAGTGAGCAAAGTTCTATGGAGAATTCCCACCAGTAGAAACTGAGGGAAGACAAGTAATATTAAGACTGAGGAAACTAGCTAAGTACAGGATAGGTTTATATACTTCTATGTGAGGAGGCAGTGATCAGTAGTCCATTGCATAAGGCTATGTGCTGAGTATACAATTTGTAAGTATTACTACAGAGAAAAACATAAGTCAGGGCGGATATAAATATGTACACAATGAATCAGTAATCAAGCGGTTATAGGAAATACCAGTGATCCAGGAAGTAAGAGTTATGTGCTGAAGGGGAAAGTATATACCTAAATGGGGAAAGAGGTTCCAGTTGAATGGAACCTATACAGGAGGTAACCAACAAGACAGTGAAGCAGAAGCACTAGGGCAGGGAGCAAGTGGAGCAGACGAAGGGTAGAGCAGAAAGGATGTAGTCAGATGGAGCAGATATTAATATCATTGGAGTGGTCAGATCTGGTATATGACACTCATACTGTTCTCTGATTGATCAATTCAACATTGTACCACTTCTCATCTCTTTTCTGATTGGACAATATCATTTCCCTTACTTCCACTTACCTTTCTTGATAGGGTCATCAACCTACAGACTGACCCTAAACCATCTTCACTATACATATATACACCACACCCTTGGTACTAGGATTCCTTAACTTGAATCTACTAGGTTCTCTCCTGATACTTCAAGTTTACCAATCTAGCTGCCTGCTAGCAGACTAGCCTGATCACTAATCTAGTGAGCCCTTGAAACTCAACTAGCCAGAACCCTTGATCTAGCAGACCTTTGACATCCAACTAGCAGAACTTGCAATATGCTTCAACCTTGATTATCCTTTATTGGATTGTTGAAAGAAGAACTATCTTAGTCACAACACAAAGGGAAAGAAGTCTGCATCTTCTAATGATGATGCTGCCTACAATGCAAACTCCAATGGAAAGAAGCACTGCTTCAAGGGCCAGTGTCACAACTGTGAGAAGAAAGGCCATATGAAGCCAGACTGCTGGGCTGATGGTGGAAGGGGCCTATGCTTTCAAATCATCAAAGTCTAATGATCGGACACCTGGAGTGCATTTTGAATATATTAAGCATCATGGGTTTAAGGTTTCAGAAAGATCCATCAAGTATTGAGTGACAGGGAAGCAAAGGAACATATCTGTGAAAAGTTGGTTTTATTGACTTATTTTACCAAAGGCCCGTAAAACATGATGGCACATGATCTCGCTGACAAATCAGCAACCCGACGTGTCTTTTACTAGAGTAGTAGTAACTATGTGTCCTTGGTTTGCGCAAATCTGCAGCTCCTGTTCAGTTGCCTTCCCATTGCAGGATGCACTGCATTGGTACCTGCACTCGAGGACCACCTGTCAGCACTGAAACCACTCACCAATGGAGCTTGCTGGGCTCATTGTGTCACCATTTTGCATCCAACAGCCTCGCACTATGGTTGCAACGTGATTCCATCAAACTTTGCCATGCGCACACGCAGAAAGACAGCGTGATAAGTGTTTGTTTTTTCTGCCCATATGTACAGCTGTATATACCCAGACCCCTGCAATACAAGTCTTAGAATTTGCTTCATTGTCTGGTGAAAACGATCGAGTGTGCCTGCCCACCCTGTCCATGTAAAATCCCACCGCCGGAGCTCTCAGCCACCCGTAAAATCCCAAGATTTTACGGTAAAATAAAGTGTGGCAGACACTTTACCACCACTTTTCTGTTCTTTTCTTGTAAAATGTGGCACCCAGTGCAGCAAAAAATCGCATTTCTGGTTCCCTTCCCTCAAAAATTTGCTCTAACCGCAACCTTACATTCATACTATGATATTCACTGCTCTGATAAATCCCAGAGGTATGTACAACCAACCCTTTTACTATCTACAGCATATCTCATGTGCTCAGACCCAGGGGTGCTCCCTTAAGAAGGCAATGTGACTATTGGTCACAATCACACTGCTCTTTGTTGCCGTCAGGTTAGTAGTTACCTCTTGTCCGCACTCAACAACTTCTCGCTAAGCCTTGATCATTCAGTGTCCTCATGACAATTACCATGGCCCAAGCCTGCCCTTGGGGTGGATCTGAGCTAGATCTGTGGTGTGCTTATGTTGGCTGAACCAGGAGCTCAATGTGAGTTTTTTCATTTTCTTCTTTCAAACACTCCCCTCCCCATGACGCCTGGTTTGGCTGTATTGCCCCAAGGCTGATTGGCAGAGTATCACATCTCCCTTCCTCCACATTTGAATTCATGTCTTAGAGAAAACAAGCCAGTACCAATACAAATGAAACAGAGGAACAAATCAAACTTACTCGCCAGCTGAAAGGTCTGATAAACAGGTAATGTCTTTCTATATTGTCATGTTCCACACTAATTCCAGCTGCACTCAGAATGTCCGAGCAAAATATCACAACCATTGTAGATAGCATTGAAGAGGTATATCACAACCACTGCCGACATGGTTCATGCTTGTTTTTATCCGTACTGAGCGTGGCACACATGTGTTTTCCTCAGATGTCACCTTGACTCTCACCAACCTCATCATTGATGGCATCTCATCTCATTCAACCCTTCTGGACTTGTACATTGTCCTCCACATGGCTTTTATATCTAGCCTCTATAAATTGATCGGCACTGTGTTTGGTATGTGTCTTCTAAAATGACACTCTGCAATGTAAGCTAATGCGCCGTGTGCACTCAACAGCTTACTTCGTTCAGAACGCAGTTGCGTCATATGAACAGCACCTCGCTTCGGTGGACGAAAAGTCAACAGCCAACTCAACTGAAGTCCCTGAAGACCTAGGAAAAGAGTGTTCTAACCTCGTCGTGCTTTCTCAGAGCTGTACAACTTTCAAGTGATCTTGTGTATTCTTGTTTATGACATCATCTGCGGTCTTTTGGACAAAGACCTTTCTGAGTTCAGGGTAGAGCTTCTGCTGAAACTTCTTCGAAGTAAGTACCGCCCTGTCTATTCTTGACGCATCTTGACCTTGTGCTAGGTTCCGGCCAACAGCTATGACAAGATGACCCTATGGCATTGAAGGACATTGTAACCCTAGCACAGTCTTGGGTGGCCGGACATGCCAATGCTATTCGGCATCCCCCGCACAGAAGTCAAGAAGTTCGCCAATCCCCATCACTGGCTGGAACATTTTCCTCCAATATGCATGGTGTGCAGACTAATTGTCAATTTACTTGCTATGTTTCTCATTTATGTACTACAGGAAGATATTGTTTGATGGCAAATGAACAAGTTGCATGCACTGGGAAAAGTAAAGTTTGGCAAGCAATACACCATCTACAGCCCAAAAGATGGACAACCTTGTATGAACCATGATTGGTCTGATGGTGAAGGTGTCAATCCCCAAGAGTACACTGGCGTCAAGATGGAGGTTGTGGAATGGTGTATGGTGTCTTTGCAATCAATGACATGGAAGTGTTTGTGTGCACGCATCGTGCAGCATGTAATATGGCTTTCCAAGGTCTGTTGCCTGAGCACGGTCAGACTCAACAGTTACTGGAGATAGATGGAGTGGCCATCATCGGCACAAAGATCAAAGCACCGTTTGGACTGGTTTCTGAGGTGTACATGTTGCCCATGGACAATGTTTTGGCCACAAATGTCAGTCTTCGTACCTTTGCAGTAGATCTTTTTGACATTCTCTTAGGGTACCAGTATCATCACATCTGTGCCCTCAGATTCTGTCTGTTCAAGAGGCGAAGCCCAAAGTTTGCGCAAGCATGATCAAACAGGGATTGGCTTTCGCATATGCCAAGCCAGAGAACTTGGTCATATCATGCAGTGCGGATGAGTGTGTTGTTGCTCTGATGGACCAGTGGTATATGGACTATGGAGAACCTGAGTGGAGAGTACAAGCCAAGAGGCTCGTAGTTCTGTGTTATCCCTTTTCTTTTGCTTACCCAGTTTAATTTCAGGTTGCTGGCAAAGATGGAGACCTGGATGGTTGAGACTAGGAACTTGTTCAAAGCCACCTTGGCCTGGCTGAACAAGTGGGCGTGTGCTCGGACATATGATCTGGGGTCCAAGTTGCCTTGGGATCCCCAATTTATGGTTGAAAGTTTGAGCGACTCCACTATCTACATGGCATACTACACTGTCACACATTTGTTGCACGGTAGGTGTCACAATCAATTTTTATCATCTCACTGAAGCATGAATTCAACTACTTCTACCCCTTCAATATGCGTTCCTCAGGCAAAGATTTGGTCTAGAATAATCTGATGTTCTTGCTGTATAACCACACTGCAATCTTCCCTGAAGACAAGTGGCCCCAGGGCATCCGCACAAATGGGCATTTGATGTTGAATGGCAAGAAGATGTCGAAGAGCATGGGCAACTCACTGACACTCTCTGTTAATGAACTTTGTACCTATAAAACAAGGTACATTATGGTCTCGTTAGTTTAGTCTAATGTATATGAAATGGCACTAACTCACATCTCAGTCTCTTCAAAAGAACTGAGATGCATGTGCGTTACTGCTGGCAACTTTAAGGTGAGTTGGATGGAAACGGAAATTTTAGGTATCAATACATAACATATTGCAGGTCTACGCCCATTTTGGCTTGAGCTCAGACCCTTCAGTATTTGTCATGCAAATGGATGAAACCGCACCAGAGTTATCTCCTTACACTGACTTACATAATGATGTCTCAGTCCAGTACCATCATCATGATCATCTGTAAGGCTTTGTTATCCATATGTGACCCTGCATTTTAAACAATCTTTCTAGACTTCACACTTTCAGTGTTGTCACTGGTGGCTAGTGACAGACGAGACATCGCCACTGAAGTGCATGCAGTGGGACACTCCAGCGATATTGCCTCTTCTTGGACACAGCGTGGTTGTTCGAATTGGCTGGTGATGCACTCAAAATACCACCTGTTACAAAGGGGATGCTGTAGTGTAGTCCTTCTGCTTGCAATCCAACTATTCCTCCTCATCTTTAACACTGTCCTCATCCTCATCCTCTTCTGTCTTGCTTAAAATCTCGGCAACAGCACGCTCCTCAGCTACCTCCCTCATCACCTCTATGGTCTCTACTGTTTGCTCGTAACTCTTGAGGTACCCATAAACTGTCCTGATGACATCTGCTTGAAATCCTTGCTGGATTGCAAGCAATTGAACCCATGCCTTGAAGCCGGCCTGAGCAAAGTGTGTGATGTCACCCTTGTGTATGCTGGTGTGAGCAGTAGATCCATCTGAAGTTTTGCTGGTGCAGTCTTTGAAGAACATCAGCTGGAGCATCATGGCTGTAGAGGTGTGTGTTAGTGCAACATAGTCCATACACTGCGACAAGTACAAACCAGCATTATTGTTTGATGCTTTGGAAAAAGGTGAAGATGTGGGATGTACCGGTGTTGTGTTTGATGCTTTGAAAAGGTGCAGGATGATGTGTGGATGACAAGCCCCTCAAGTGTTCAAAGTTGAATTAACAGACCCCTATAGCATCAGGTGCATGACATGCTGCACGCACGTTGGGTTGCACTCTCATTCACACTCATTTCATTATTTATCGCACTGGACACACTACTGTATTTTTAACCATGGCTCGGGGGATAACAAAGAAAATCACGTCTGCTGTAAAGAAGTCGGCAAAAGGGAAGGCAACTACTGCATCGGCATCAGCCCTGATGGCACAGCGAGAGGAAGCACGGCAGACATTACTAAAGGCCAAGGGCATGCGGTCGCAGTACGACAGTCATCTGGTGCGGGGCTGCCGGTTCCTTGCAGATGTAGTTGAGCAGAAGAAGACTGCTCATACAGATGGTACTCACACCCAGGCCAATGGCAAACTCATCAACATTGATGCTTATAGCCATGCATTCGACAACACTCCCAACAGATACTCTGCATCCGCACTCAAACTCTTTCTCGTCCAGAAGGGTTTGATGGAGGCGTGAAGTCTCAGCACAATGTGGGGCATGTTCTCAGCTTTCAACAATCTGTGGAAGAACTCATGAGTGATCGCACACTCATTTTATGACACAAAATTGGATGATGTACAGCCAAGGGGAGACCTACCAAGGGCCGTACCACTTCAATTCAGCGACCAGGGTAGTCACCGGAAACCCAGCTCAGTCCATGGCTGTGCAAGACATGATGGAAGTTTTGAAGAACAATGAGGGAGCAGAAGGTGGCAGCAGGAACCATGCATCTGCCATGACGATTGAGGACATGCAGAAGGTGATGGCATGGTCCTACAAGCAGTGCCCTGACAAGCTGATCAGTCTCATCTATTCCCGAGTTCGGAGTGAGTTGGCTCTTGATATGGACGATGTAATTTTAGCCCAGAAGCACCTCGTAATCCGTGCATTCGCAACCACAGGCTTTATGATTTGGACACGGTGCATCCATCAGCATGGAAGTGTGAAGACTAATTATATTGGCCACCTAATCCCCTGCAGAAATTTCGAGCTTACGAAAATCAGACGAAAGGACATTGTTTGGAATTGCCAGGGACGCCTTCCATACGACATCCCTTATGACTTAGTGAGCCTGCTCAACTGCAAAGGCTGGCAGCAAAAAGGCGAGACCAACAGTACCTTAGATGGTAATGTCCTATGTGCCCCCAAAGGCTGAGTCCTGACATGTAGCTTCAAGATCACGAGTACAAGATCTACCCTCAACAACAGACACCTGAGATCTGCATGTTCACACATCTGCGAGCCTGGGTGAATTTCTTGGAGGAGGTCCTTCTCCGGCAGCCATTGGAGCCTGATGAATTCATCTTCGCCTGAGTAGGTGCAAACAGTGTGGTCTATGCCTCCGACAAGCTGTCATACAATGGTGTGATGAAGATGCTTGCCTGGATGTGCAAGGAGGTAGGGCTGACGGCTAGGTACACCACCCACTGCTTTTGGTGAGGTGGTGCAAGGTACCAGTTCATGTTCACACCTCTGGGACAGCGCTGGTCACTTGCTACCATTCGGTGGTGGGGTGCATGGGCCGAAGGCGAAAGTGTGAGTGGAAGTTGTTGTGTGGTGCAGTGAACTGACCAATCCCCCTCAACTTGGACAGGTTGATACTCTGATATGGTACCTTCTGGACGAGCTCACTCAATATGAGAAGAATCATAGGGATGCATTGTGCCCCATCCCTCAGGAAGCTGACAAGAGTTTCAACAGTGACCACATCTTGACAGCACCTGTGACAGCAGCAGAAACATGGCAACTCAAGATGTCATTCAATCGCGAGCTGAATCGGCTGTCTGACAAAGTCGAGGAGGTGCTAGACAAACTGACCCTTGTTCCAGCAGGGCCTTCACCATCACCACCACCTTCCCAACTTGCTTGGTGCTCTGTTTCAAACTCTGTCCCCTCCTCATCATCTCCGCTATCTGGCCAGTCCAACCTAGTACAGCCAACACCGTTTTGTGAGCCTGAGGCCTTGCATGCACCTTCCTTGGGAAGCTGTGTCTCACCATCTACAACACCCGACTCATTTCCTATTGACTCGAATTCTTCCTCTGCACCCTTGCCTCCTGTTAAGACTGTGCTCAGGGGTAAGATGGAGTCTGGGGGGCTTGGCTTCAGCTCGTACACTGCGCCCCTTACCCAAGTACGTGCCCCTAATTTCAGATTGTAGTCCGACTCAAGTTCTACAAGCTCTGACAGGACATCAGAGCGGAGGTCCTCCGAAGGAGGACCGATGGACTACTAGATAAGCATGGGAACGTCAGGCGGAGATTGGTCCGCCCTACAGGGGAGAGTCGGAGGGCTACTGCAGTCGGAGCTAACAGTAGGAACAGAGCGGGGGAGACTGCTCAGATGAAGTCTGAAGCAGAATGGAAACATGGAGGATAGAGGTACGAGAGGATTGACCACAAGTCCAACACGTGGGAAAGGCAGCGGAGGCGTGGGAAGTCGGACGAGTGGAGAAGGCAGTCAACCTAGGGAGTCAATCCCCTAGGTCAGCAAACAGTGTTACGCCGAAGTATAATGCAGGCAAACAATCAATCAATAAGACCAAAGGTTTGTTGATACATTCTAGACAACTGTCTAAAGAACGCCCAAGTTCAAGTAAAGGCTAAGTACTGAAGAGGTAACTTAGAATCAAGTCAGAGTGATCAAAGGAAAATCAGTGTAGGTTAAGCTGAAGAATCAGCGTCACCTAGCCAGGGTTTATATAGTAAACAGGGTACAGTGTATGATGTAATAATAGTTAATGATCAGTAAGCTGCATGTGTAAGCAATGAGGCGTCTGAGTCATACTGAACTAAATATAGACTAATAAGAGTCATGCATAGTAAGCATGGATCAAGGGAAAGAAGAAAAGAAGTTCATAGAACAACACAGCCATAACAAACAGGAGTTGACTTGGGTTAAGCCTAAGTCAAGGAGCAGAAGAGCAGGGCTTAGAAAAGGTGATATTCAGACTGAGTATCTACAGACAGATGTACATATGTTTATATACTCTAAGTAAGTAGCATAGCATAGCAGAAGGCTATGTGCTGAGTGTACAGGATTACAAGAGAGATGACTGAGGCATACAAGAAAGAGGCTCAGAGAATAGTATGTACGCAACGGATCAAATATCACTTGGGTATGGGATTACCGGTGATCCGAAAGGAGGAACTATGATACTAAATGGAGATAGGACCAGTTGAGTGGTTCCTAGTCTAGGAGTGGACTGGTGAGGCAGTCGGGCAGACTAATAGTCAGGCAGGGCAATACGAGCGGAACTGAAGGAACTGAGTGGGGCAGAAAAGCAGAGGGAGTAGGATCGGGTGGACCGATAGGGCGGAGGAGCAGAACCCCAGATAGGGTCGGATGGAAAGGGAATAGGGGTAGCATCGGAGGAGCAGATCGGAGTTGGGCAGAGGTAGCAGGGCTAGTCCTGCTGAGATGCACTTCGTGCATTGTCGGGGAAGGAGGAATGAAGCGGACGGGGAAACAGGGGGTCAGACCAGCAATAGGGATGCTCATGGGTGGTGTTGGAGGTGCTTGGATCTGGTATATGACACCTCCCATTGTCCTGATGTCAGCTGCATGTCTCCGCAACAGTCACAGGCATGGTGCCTCAACAAAAAAAAGCCACTCCTATTCCTGGCGTCGGGATTCCGGACCTTCCATGTGGACTTGAGGCATGGTGTGCTGCCGTAAAGCAGTGGGAAGACCCTGTGGCATCTATCAGAGGCAAGGCCCTGAAGGATTGGCCAGAGGAGTGGTATACTGGTCCCATGCACACGATCACCAGTGTGAAACAGAACATCTGCAAGGTGATTGCCATGGAGTGCTACCGGTGAGTCACCTTTATGCTCATTGTCGGTTCAAGAGCGGGGCTTGAGACTTGGATCACACTTTCAACAGGCTGCAGCAGGACGAGGGAGTATTTCTGGAGACATACCCTGAGGCAACCCGTGGTGTCAAGCCGCTTTTTGATGTGATCCAGCACCAATGCGAGGGACGTGGTAAAATCACTGGACAAGCAAGTAAGAATGGCCGCCCAGAAGTCTGAGCATCCTCCTCCCGGTGAGAACAATTATACCATGGTTTTCCATCTGCACTCATCCACATACCACCCAGTTGCACATACCTGCAGCAAGATCAGACTTGCTGGCATGACTTCACTGCACACTCACGCACCACACACACCCACTTACTACTTACTCCTCATAACTCAATCTGTATCTCTTTCATGCTCTGTGTTTTGTAGGCATCAGCTTTGTAAAGGATTGGTCATTTGTACAATTCACACCCACAGTTTTGAAAGCTTCAAATCCATTTTCATTTTTACTGTGTGACTGAACATGAATGCGTGTCAAGCAGCGGAGTGGAGGATTCAAGACTCCAAAAGATGTCGGCAATGTTGACAGAGAGAGAGAAGGAAGTTTTCTTGAACCAAGAGGGAGGGAATCTGGCAGATGCCAGGGCGGCACGTGACCGTAAAACCGCATAAAATGCTCGACATACATAAGTCTTAACACTACTCAACTGACCATTTTCGATGTTTTGGGCATTTGGAGTTTCCCATGCTCGATTTCTTATCTATTTCACTTCTCCAGTTCTAAATTCTGGGTGGATGTTTCTGTAACTTTAGTCCTGTGATACTAAATATATGTGAAATGTACTTTAGGTGTCTGATCATTAGATTTCAACAATTCAAAAGTATAGGCCCCTTATCAGTAGAAATGGCAAGTATATACACTGGCTCAAACCTTCAGTCTATTTTGAACTGATCCCTGACACACAAAGCATTTATATATGTATTACTAATGATATGAGCAGAGTGAACCATGTGTGCAAGGGTAAGATACTGTAAACATCAAAAATGCGATTTTCTATGCCCTTGTTTCTGTAGAAGGATCCTATAGGTTTTCTGGGGTACTTATGTGATAGTTATACCCTAAATATACATAGGAATAGAGCCCATACAATCCTGAAGGTCCGGTCCTATAGGAAAAAGTTTCACAGGGGGTAAACCACCAGAAGAGGGGGGATACACTACACAAGAAGGTCTTGTCCTATGGTCCTGGGCTCCTAATACATCGTTCCTACTGTTTAATAGATGCTAGGAATCATTTTTCCAAGTCTATCCTTCTAGAAATAAACAAATGGGAACATATTTTATGTTTTCCTGTATATATGCTATATCTATTGATGTAGAATGCTTCAGGGGGTAAAACAGGTGGGGGAATCTTTTCATATACACTCCTAAATATGTCCTGAATACCATAGAACACTTCCCTATCAAAGGGGCAAAAATGCGAAAATGTTCTGTACCCAGGCTATTTTAAAATAGCCCTGGAGGGGGAGCTGTCACATAAATAAACAAAAAAAGTGGTTTATTATATCATATTACACATGTATATACCAAACTACTACTTAGATACAAGGGGGGACTGATTGTAGTGTAGTAGTGAAGCTGCAGTGAGGTGGGGAGGGTGTGAGAATAATTGATATTGTGGAGATTCCCAAAATGGGCGATGTTTTTTGGTGTTGTGGGGTAATTCCCACACTAGGTGGACAACAATGCGGGGTATGGGAATAATGTGGGAAGGTCCCGATACAAGGAACAATCTATTTTTTTTAAGTGTTGTGGAGAAATTCCCACCTAGTAGCTGGCCAAAAAAGCGATAATTAGGAGTGTGAGATTATTATGGGAATGTCCTGACAGGATCCTCCACTGATACATTGTAATGAATTAATGCATGATTCAAACTTACTGTTGTAATTGTTCATGTATTACAATACACTTACAATTGTAAGACTTAATGCATTATCTCCCCAGGGTGTTCTCTTGGCCCTGCGCATCACGCATCTTGCATGTTGATTTGTGCCGCTTATAGCCCTGGGATTTGAACATTTTGACCCACTAGTCAGTGTTTTCTGGGTATAATTGTACTTGCTTCGGCTTGAGCGGTTTGGTACCATATATCTGACAGTATATAGTATGTACATGTATGCACAGAGAAGAGAGTTATGAGACGATAAGAACTCGAGGCAATTACACTCTGACACATCGGGGGTTTCAACATTTTGCCTCTTGCAAGATTTCAATCAAAAGCATATCTAGACCTGGCTAGAGCATTTCAGACCTAGCCTAGAGCGTTCCTGAGCACTCTAGATTACCTTTTGAATGTAATTTCACTGGCGGCAAAAGGTGGTAAAATGTCAGTTTCCTCGCTGTGTGATAAGGTTGTGTTCAAACTTGTAAGCCGGCAGCATTTATGTAATAGCGCCTGTCAAGGCCTTACGTTTACTTCGGTATCCTTAAATAGCCAAGGCCCCTTGTAATGCACATCCTTCTATGCCGGCGGTATTATAAAGCTCATTTATCTTTTTCCGACATGTAAGTATAGCGAATAGGCAGCTCCCGTCGCTATACAGTATGAGATAGTGTACTGTATCCAGTCAGTGTTCGTCGCCCAGTTTGGTTTCGCTTTGCAGCCTGATCTAATAGTTGATCTTTCAGTACCAGTTCTGCATGCACATCAAGAACATGATGATGGTGGGTGCCTGATGGGTTGAACTTCATCTTTCTTTCAAACTGTGGGCTGTGCCCCCGCGCATCAGCACCGCAGAAGCCATAATCATTTCGGGTCGGCAGCTTGCGGATATATAGCTGGAATTACCCTGCTGGAGTCGGAATTGATTCAGTCAACAATGTCTTCCTCAACGCAGGACCTCATCCCACAACTTGACCTTGGGAGCACGTTCGGGGCACTTTTTATTGGTGTCATCGTTTCAGCAGTGTTAGTAAGCTATCTACTCACACAACTCAGCGCTTCACCAAGTATATCTCACGAAACAGTCTCTTTGGCGCAACCAACGTTCAAGCTTTCGTCTACTTTCAGACGCATAGGGACACGGGAAGAACATTCTATAAGCTCGTTGTACGTCTGTGCTGGCTTCTCGTCAGTTCAGTTCTTGATTCTATGTCAGGTCATCTGGCTTTGGTATGTATCATTCGAGTTGCTATCATCGAGCGCATCCGAATTACGCGGTCCCCTGAAAATCTAGGATACTTGATGCCCTGCACCTGGCCCTGATCATCCATTGCGTCTATTATTATCTAGTGATCAACTATGCGAACATCGGTGCACTCACGGATGTTGTATGGAGTTTTAAGGTCAGTTCCTACTTTAGTCCTCCGTGCAGCCTCTACTAAGACATTATGGTCTCGTGCAGCTTCAGATAATAATCGACGTGAGTTGTATTCGCTAAGATCTGCGATGCGCCTCAGTCATACTTCGCAGGTTTTTATCATATATGGGGTCCATGTGTAAGTTCGATGTGCAGAGTGTTATATGCAACGTCCAAATAATACTTTCTTCCGTCTTAGCCTGTATGTCCATCGCTTATGGATGGGTATTTATTTCTCTACCAAAGGATTTCCACGACTCATGTGAGGCACCTAGTTAGCAAGGGCCGATCAAGAGCTCTCCCTATAACGGTGGTAGGTGGACGATTGATGTACATGTTCAACAGCTTATGTTGATTCACTATTAGGGCATAATCGTGATCTTGGTTTCAGGTAAGCTTGTTACATAGAATTGCACTTCGCTCGAGGTTAAAGATTCCTTCAGGTGTCGCCATCAGTGAGTGTTCAATATATTATGATCGTCGGCCCACTATTTTGACCCAATATCGGCAGCCCTTATGTGGGCAATGTAAGTGAATCATCGTACCGCCTAACTACACGAAGCGCTGATATGTAGTGAATAGATATCAGTGCCATGTGTTCACGGATCTGGTTACAATCGAGTGGTCGACATACATGACTTTGGGAACGACTACTTTCCTCGATATCGTTATTGCATCATCGCTCAGCTATCTCCTTGCCACCTCCCGTACTGGGTTCTCCAGGTGAGCAGCGGCCCTTTCACTGCCGTGTTCTGATATACTCACGCGGAGTGCTTACCAGTACCAATTCTTTAATAACAAAACTCATGGGTTATACCATCAATACAGGCTGTCTGACGAGGTATTCCTCCTTCGAGCTTATCCCATATCTCGACTCACATCTCGTGCAGTATGTGTTCAATGGCAGTTATGATTACAGTGAGGTTACAATGGTTGTACCGTTCATCTCGTCTCTGAGGGTCACATACAGTGCGCAATGATGCCGAACAATTTCATATTCCTCAGTATTCAGTTTTTAGTGGCCAAATGTATGATCACAGTTTTCTCCTAGGATCGTGCTGATTAAAATTACAGTATATGTCAACTCGTTCCTCGCACTCCTGAACGCGCCATACTATCTGAAGCCCAACACAGGCACTATCGATTCTTCCGTGTGCGCCACGGCGTGTCGCAGGACGAGGAACTCCACACATCCCGACGATGAAGTGGTACATCCGACTCCATCTGTCATGGTTGGTAGTTGCGTACTGGTGATGCAGGAGTTACTGAATGACACGCTTTAGCCACAGGGGCCGATTGAGGTGATGGTGGAGATGAATTCCTTCTCGTCTGTGTGATGGATGATTATGCATGTATTATTATCTGTCTGTCTTGTCACGAGATAGGACATTGTGAGTTCTTATCAAATTATCACACTTAACAGTTGTGGGGAACGAGAGCAGTCTAGGCCACTACACCTGCACCTGCAGGTTACAATAAATATCGTTACTTAGAACTGTATACGAGTGCACGTACGACTTCCTGCCACCAGCGTTAGTGACCTTGCCATTCCAGAAAGGGCTTCGTGATTTCTTTGACCAGCAAGTCCACTTCTTCGCAGTATTGAACACGCGCTCATTGAAGCCATGCTCGGAGAGATTAATTTGTGGTCTGTTATACTTGAAGTCGTTCCTTCTAAGTAGAGGCATCTACAGTAAGACCACACGTTCGGCATCAAATGAGTCTAGGCTCGTGACGTGGATGGAATGTCCGTTGGCGGTCAGATGCGTAACGGCAATGCAATCAGTTCAGAACTATTAACGTATCTTTGTGGATGGTAAGTTTGTTAATCTGACGGAATATCATAAGTTGAGAAGTCAACTGTAAGGGCAGTGCAAGGCGACTGCAGCGGGGAAAATCGAGGCTTGAAGCTTAATTTCCTATAAGCATTAGAAGGAACGGTTATCTTCCTTCGTCTATATCGGACTGGCTAGGGAAGAAATACGTATGCTGCATGGGCTTCTTTTGATGAGCTGTAGCACGGGGTCCCGTATTAAACTTTTAAGGCTGATAATTGGAGCCTAGTATAGCCTTCGACTGTCGCTAGTGGTTCGATTCACGACTTGTCTGAGTCAGCCCAAACCATCCCGACTCGTAGAGGAGGGTATGATTGGTGATCACCCAGCCAAGGATCATGGTCTGTGTTGGTGAAGATTTATAAGTAGAATCTAGATAGATCTAGATGCGCCAGACAGCGGTGAGCTTGACCATAAGACGTCTGACGCCATCGAGCGGAGGGCGCTTGTATGCTGATTGCGGCAGACCGTTGATCAAAATCATAACAAACGGTCGACTGTTTGTTTAAAACTCCGCTCTCATATATATGGGTATTTGCAATATTCTCTCTTCTTATGCCAACTAGCATGCATCAAGTCCTTCTTATGTCTTGAGGAATTCTCATCTCAATTCACGATCTAAAAATGTTTCAGCGTGCGACGTTCAAAACTTTGTAAATCGTCATCGCGTCATCGAGCAGTACTTGTTTATGTAAACTCAGCCGCCGAAGCCCTAGACTGGCCCTAGACTTTGCTCCAGAAGTCTATCATGGAATAGCCTCAGAGTGGCCATTTCCCGAACGTTCTCATGACACACTCCCAAGCATCGATTTACCTATGGCAACCTCTTACAATACTCTTTACAGGCTATATCGGAGACTGGCAACATTTTTCCGGTCGCTAAAGTCTTCATGTTTATACATCATCCTGGCCTTCTTGAAGAAATGCAACCTAAAGTCTTGCGCCCAACTCACACACACTACCATTCACCTTCCGCATAGTCGTAAAAGTCACAGCAATCAGGAGGCTAGTGAACTGGCTGCGCTTGCCTCATTACAACCGCCGGACATGTTTTCTACAATACCAGAGCCAGCCGAACTCGTACCCCGTGTTCCCGAAGTATCGTCTCTCAGTCAACATGTTTCCCAAGAGATATTGGAATCTAGTGGACTCATTCGCTGTGTGCCTCGCGTAGCCTCGGATGTGCAGAGGTACCATAAGAATGTGTTTCTGTATGTTTCGTAGATTTCTTATCCTGACGTATATTGATTTTTATTTGAGTGAATCACGTTCCATAAAGGTCATCATTCCTGCCGGTACTTTGCAATTTCCTAAGTGAGCGTTGTGGATGTACTTCTTATGTTCATTTGGCTGACGGTACCGCGTTTCCAAAGTCCACCTGCGCCGTCTGGGTGGGAAGCTCGTGTCCATCCAAATGGTGCCTTATATTTTGTGAATGAAGTCAGCCCCTAGTATCGTTCCTCTCACAACTGGCGTTGATGGGTGCGTAGCGGTTTGTTACGGAGGCAAATCTGTACCAAAGCACCACTTTCGCTAGCATAAACGCTTGCGCGCAACACTTGTGGAATACTGCAGGCGACCTTATGTTACATATCACTGACGACGTCCAGGTGATGCTCCAGCTAGCCTCACTGGATGGTGAACGAGTCTGCGGATATTATTTCGTAAACCATGCCACCCGCGCGTTGTTTTGGATCGAGGAAATGCCAGCAAATAACCTATCCAATGGCGTGGAGGGACTCAAATATTTGCATCAATTTCGTGGGTGCAGTGGCATTGAGTATACTTATTAAGACAGACTGATTGGTTTCAGGATACGCTATTGAAGCAGAGTATTGGTGAGGTGTATGTGAGTCGCTTTTTGTCGCGCAGGACGTACAACAGCTGATACGATTAGATTTTGGTCAATGCAAACTTGTGATCATAATTTGGAAATTGTCAGGCGCCACTGTGAACTATACCCACTTGCAACGGTCAATCGGGATCAAATTAGAGAACTGAAAGGCCTTCTTCTCGTGGCTTGTACAGGTATTGATCAATGATGTAATTGACTAGAGGATAGCTGAGTGCGGACGTTAGTGAACTTAACATCAACCACTTCTCTGTCGCCGTTTAATGGGAAAGAACTCAAGTACATCCTGGATTTGATGCCCAATATCGAAGCTACTTCTGACGAGTACGATTCGCATTACACGTGGGTCATCGGTGAGTACTGATCAATCATTTGTATGACCGATGACCGATTCCTCCTACAGCTAGAGTCATGGAATACTTTGGTAGAGATCCTCATTTTAGTGAGGGCTATCTTAAATGACGAGCGCCTTAGCCAGAGCCAAATTCTTGAACTTCTGCGGTCAACCATTTGCTCGTCTAGACGCCAATCAATCTGTCTACTATTCTAGAAAGGGCTCGGGTTGGATTGGAACGATAATCTCTTGGTGCATCAATTTTATCTTGTTTGGGGGTCCGCACGCGTATATGCCGGAGCTGCGCAAAATCTGGGTGGACCACACTGTCAATTATATCCATTGGAAAGATTTTAACGAAAGGTTGACCCGCCAGTGGTCATCGCTTGCCCTTTATGTGCGTAACACCTCCCGTCCTTGTTTAGCATTCGTCCAACGCCATAATAGGCGATGATCATGCTCGGTTCAGACATTGGGTTTCAGGTTTTACCAGTCATCAGTAATCGGGCCAACTACCTCACCTCTCAGATAGCGATAATCGCCATCGAGTTGTCGACATATTGTACAATTGGCTCCCTACTGGTTTCCATGCTGTTGGCTAGGCGTGTCCAAAAGGACGGGCGACGATCCGCCACCGAAACTGTGAGTGACTTCACAGACTCATGGTAGCTTCGCTGAAATAGCATAGGTTGAATACATATTCAAACCATTCTTCGGAATACATATTATGGCGGGCATTTCGATCATTTATAGCCTTCCGCACGCAATGCTAATGTGGGGGTGAGTGCAGCTTACCATCAAGTAAAACCTTACAAACACCTTCACAGGCTGTGTTTGTTCGTTGTCGCGTTCTCTGCAATCCTTTCCGAGATGACCTCTACGGTGGCTGTAGTGGTTGTCTATAGCATATTCGTCTTCATCTCTGTTTCCATCCTGATGTTTCTGACCAAAGTTTACGGGCGCCAGGTCGTGGACCTATCTCAGCTGTTGTCGCGGCCTGTATATGCTTTGTACAGATTGGTACACCTGCGTGCTAGAACAAGTCCGCTGGCATCGAATGCATGAACCTTTCTCCATATGCAGCGTGTTGGTGTTGCTTTCGCCTAGTACTACTAGTACTGTTAGCTCCGTCTGTCCGAGGGAGGTACCACGGGGATTACCATGACCCTGATATATGGATCTCTTCGAGCTTCGGAAGTTCGAATACCATAACCGGTACATAACCCCCGCATGTCTTTACATCCAATGTAATTATTGTACAAAGTTATCACTCCCAATCTACTATGATATTTGCATCAATCACTACTTTGATGGTGTTGTTAGCTTCCTGCGTCCATCCAAAGAATCTGATGTGGTATTCTTAGAGTCACTACCAAACAACAAATACAACGCAGTATCAAGTGTAGCACAACACGGATCAATATCCCAAGTGAGCACGTCATGAAGCTGCTGCTGCTGCTGCCCCCGACGAACCAACCGCTTTCGCATTGGGCAATTTCTTGTCGCCAATAGTGAGCTGCTCCATGTCTGCTTCCTTGAAATAATGAGGAGCGACTGGAGAATATCATTAGCTTTGTGTGGGAGACGACTTGAATGAGAGTACTCGCCTTCTAGTAGCCACGACGGTTTGATTTCCATGATTTGTCTGGGAAGAGCAAAGTGGATTAGAAGCACTATATATATATATATTGGGAAAGGGCTTACCTCATGTATGATTTCGAGGTCATGACGAGCTCGTAATACAGCACGGTTTTGACAGGCGGTTGATGTTGGAAAAGACTTGATGAGGGGTGGATATACACAGTGTGATGCGTCTTTAGTGTCCGGTAAGAGTCGCCACTCTTCTGGAGTTGTGCCTGGTGGTGTTCGCATGAGCACACCCCTACACATGCTACAAATCACTTCACCTACAGTATTATAAAAGTATCCCGACGTGATAGCTTTCTGCACAGCACTTATATCATTCGCAGTTCGGGTTACTCTGAACTACGACTTCAACACGCTCGCAAAGCCCAGCAAGTTGATCCCGAATATCCCGTGCCCGACTGAGACTCTTGAACTGCAAGAACTGCTCGTAGCAGAACTGTTGCGAGTAATTCGGTGTCGGCCCATTGCTCCCAGACGTTGAGTAATGTGAAGTGATCTCCACCTGTGCGGACGAAGTTTTGGCGGGCTTGGTCTGCGTGCATCTTTTTGTCTTTGGGGCGGTAGAATAATGACGAGGACTCGGAAAGCATGGATATGATGGTCAGTACCTGGTGGGATAGCGTCAGCATAGATTGATTTTCAAGGTGGGAAGCCCGTACCTCGTCCGTACACGAGTACTTCTCGCTGGAAATGATAGTTTTGGACAGCATGGGATCGACAGGGAACTCTGCCATCCTCCGACCCAGTTTCGTGAGCTCGCCACGGTCGTTCAAGGCTCCAAGAGCATAGAGCAGCTCTAGCGCCCTGATAAGCGTCTCTCCTGGAGGTGGGTCCATAAACTCAAAGTCCATGAAGTTATTAATGCCGAGTGATTTCAGCAGGAGGACAGTCATCCCGAGGTTCGTCCGCTGGATTTCAGGCACCGTGTTCTCTTCCAGCTCATTTGAAAACGCCCATTTCGTGTACAGTCGGAAGGCTTTGCCTGGCCCCACACGACCTGCACGGCCGGCTCTTTGGTTGGCTGATGCTCGAGAACACTTTTGAACACAGAATGAGATGAGTCGTAGGCAAGAATATGATACAGCGTGATCACTTACCGGAACCACGATCAAGGAAGACATGCCAGTTCGAGGATTATACGAGTTTTGTTTGACGAATCCGGGATCAATGACGAAGACTACACCCTCGATGGTGATTGACGTCTCTGCGATGTTTGTAGCAAGCACGACTTTTCTTGCGCCCTCTGGTGTGGGTTCGAAAATCTTGGCTTGCATGTCGCTGGGCAAGTTGGCGTAGATTGGACAAACGATTAGTTCGGCGATCTTGTTCCCGAGTGCTCGAGCGGTCTCCTGCAGGTTTTCTTGGGCTGCTTCGATTTCATCTTGACCCTGTAGACGAGTAAGTTCATGAACAACGTAGAAAAAAGGATGTCACCTACTGTGAAGAACACGAGAATGTCGCCCTTGGGTTGTGTTGTATGAATCTGGAAGACGGTGGTGATAGCTGCGTGCAGGTAATTGGCCTCTGGTTGCGGCGTGTAGTGGATGTCAACCGGGTATCGACGTCCAGGAACTGCGTAGAACATGAGCATCACGTTTTGCATTCGCAAAGTGTTGACACGCACCATAAAACACAGGCGCATTATCAAAGTACTCGCTAAACTTCTCAGCATCCATAGTCGCACTTGAAATCAACAACCTCAGCTCAGGCCTGAATCTCGCGATATCCTAACAAACGAAACCCTCAAAACCTAAAGCAAACCGTGAGAAGTAGTACCACACACCTTGACGAGAGCAAAAAGAATGTCCGTACTTAGAGTCCGCTCGTGTGCTTCGTCAATGATCAGCGCTGCGTAACCAGCCAAGTCAGGTTCGGTTAGGAATTCTCGGAGGAGCATTCCGTCCGTCATGTACTTGAGCACTGTCTTGTCGCTCGTGCAGTCCTCGAATCGGATGGAATAGCCCACTTCGTAACCGACTTTTGTACCCATTTCATCTGCGACACGCGCTGCTACGGACATTGCGGCTACACGACGAGGTTGCGTGCAACCCACTTTTTGTCCGTTGGATGTATACCCGGCTTCATGCAGGTACTGCGGAAGCTGAGTTGTTTTGCCCGACCCCGTCTCGGCCACGACGATGAGCACCTGATGCTCTTTAATGGCCTCCAGCAGTTGTTCCCGGTACGTGAATATCGGCAGGGATTTGCGAGTTTCATCGATAGATTTCGCTAGATTGAGGTGGTCAGAAAACATTGACCAGAGATAGACTTTTGATACTGACCTCGGTTTTCAGCCTCCTCGATCTGCTGGTGCAGGAGTTTGTCCTTGGCACTCATCATCCCCTCCCCCTTAAGAGTCTGGTCCATGACAAACTTGATGGTCTGACTCTCGTCGAAGACGTACTCGTACTCGTCGACGACCTCCCTTTTGTCCATTGCGCCTGTCCGGAAGGTGCTGTGTTGCGTTTGACTGGCCTCCCACTGGTCGACGTCCGTTACGAACTGGTCGTCCTTGGGCTTGGCTTCCTCGTACCGCTTGTAAAGGGCGTTCTGTTTCTTCTCCTTGTCGATTTTCCCCTGCTCGGTAATGTAGTCTTCGGGTAGCATGTAACCGTCCCATTTGTCGTTGATCTTGAGACGCTCCTCGACAAGCCGCAGAATCTCTTTCTTGCGCCCTATTTCCTCATGTTCCTCCTTCGTGAGCTTCATTCCATGGAAATAGGCCTCCTCGTCCGCAATCTCCTTCCTCAAGAGCTCGATCTGCTGGACCTCACGTTTGGTGAGGTATTCCTGCCGAGAGTGCAATCGTAGTGAAGGCATTGCTTGCGTCCGTGCTTCTGCGTCATCTCCGAGTTGTCGACGTTGCGCAGCCTCGGCCGCTGCACCTGCGTTACGAGAGGAGCGATCTTCGACGACCTTTTTCGTCTTTTCCCGATCTTTTTCACGCACACGCTCAGCGAATTCGTCTCGTTCCTTCATATCCCGTATCCGTTCTCGTTCCTTCCTTTCATCCTCGTCCTCCGGGATTTCCATTGCCTCTTCATCGACGTCGGCTTGAACATCATCGTCCGGTTTCCGCCGCTTGCGAGCCTTCTCTTCCTCGTCGCTCTCCCACTCTTTGCTATCGTGCTCTCTCTTCCTGAGATGCCGGTCGCGTTTCTCCTTACCACTCGCTCTATCATCCTTCCGTTTGTCCTTGCTACTACTTCCCTCCTCCTTCCGCTTCCCCTTCAGCTCGGTAACATCAGGGGTAGCCTCATCCTCAAGCAAGAACTCAAACCTGCGAGAATTCAACGCCTTTGCATCCTTCTCCGCTTGCTTCCGTGCGCTGTCTGCTGAAGACTTGTGTTTGCTTTTTCTGGGAACGCGAGAGAAGAGCTCGTTGATGAATGTATGTGCGTCGGGGGTGTTTGGGAGGCCTGAAGCGGTGAGGGAGGAGAAGAGAGCGTCTGGTGTTTTTGATGTCGATGCTGGAAGATAAGATGTGAGCAATGGCATGTACTGGTAGAATGCTAGAGCGCACCTGAAGCTTGTACGAAGTCGATGATACTTCGGTCTGCAAGACCAAAAAGCTGCAAATGGGCATTAGGTAAGGTGAATGGAGGAGGATAAACGAACGTTACCCTAAGACAGTTGTCGCTGATGAATCGCTGGAGGTCGCTCGACATAAGGCTCTACGCGTGACAACGTTTGGTGTGACACCAATGAAGTCACTATCATGTCACATTACTACTAAATAAGACAACTCTTTCGCGCGCCTACATTTGGCAGCATCGTTCGTCACTGTGCTCAACGTTGAACACGATGGGAGACGACCGCGAGCGACACTCAACTTCCAAGCACAAACGTTCCAGAGACAAGGACGAGCATAAATCTAAGAAAAAACACAAGTCCGAGCATAAATCCCACAAACGCAAGTCTCGCACAGACGCCGTCCATATCACGGACGATGACGCCAACGACGATGATATGTGGGTCGAGAAGAACATCGACAACGACGGCGAGCGGGTGCGTATTTGTTATTCTTGCCCGTGTAACGCTGACATGTTTGGTTTACTAGCTTCTCGCAACGGATATCCCAACTGCAGAGAGCTTGAAGATCACAACTCATGCAACTGCTGGGGAGACTGACCCGCCGCTCCCGCCTAATCTAACAACGGAGACGAAACTACAACGCGACGAGTGGATGCTCATGCCATCCGGTGGTGTTGCAGAGCCTTTGAATGCGTCAAGACTAGGATTGCCAACAGGAGACGACTCTCTTACAGAGGACTACGGCGAAGCCTCCTCGAGCGGGCGCAACCCTAGCGGCGATGTCGACTTCTTTTCTTCCCTTGGCACCGAACGCAAGCGACCACCACGGCCTGACAAGCCTGATCCTGACAAGGTACAGTATCACTCCCATCTGCATACATTCAAATGACAGTGTCCTCCAGATCAAAGTCAGTTCTAAAGAAATCAACGAGGACATCCGTGCTGGACGTCCTATCGATAACGACGCACCTCCCCCACCTCCAAAAGCCATAACCCCCGGTGGCCCAGGCTCAAATTGGCGCATGATGCGTCTCCGGCGCGTATACGAGACATCAGAGGAGGAAAACAAGCCCATCGAAGAAGTCGCAGTCGAGCGTTTCGGCACACTGCAAGCATTCGAGGAGGCCAAAGAAGAACGGCGCATACTCGACGAACGTCAAGGCAGGCGTTCAGAACGCAAAGATGAGAACAGTCGAGGGCGGGAGACTGGTGGGGGGAAACGTTTTATGTTTACTGATGTCGGCGCAAGTGGGGCTTCGTCCCGTAGCTCCTCTTTCAGACGTCCTGGCTCGGGCGCGACAGGAAGTACCCCCTCCACACCATCACCCACCAACCCACCTGCGAATCGTCGCCTCGACTCTGTACGATTACCCTCGCAGGCCGCATCCCCACTCGCACAGTCGCACACCCCAATACCGAGCGTCATGATTCCATCTGTGGCGACGACGAGCACGCGCCGTGCCATGTCGCCTTCATCGTTAAACAAACTTCAAGCGCAGGTTATCCGTGCGAAGCTGATGGATGCACCGAATGTGAAGAGGCTTGAGGAAGAGTACGATGCAGAGGTGAGGCGGGCCAAGGGTGAGGAGGGCGGAGTCAGGACTCGCGTGGAAGTACTACCGACATTGGATGCCAGGGGACAAATGTATGATGTTGGTCATGGGAAGGATGACGCAGAGAAAGGCCCTGGTAATAAGCGGAAGAAAGAGAAGGTGAGTTCTTGCATCCTTGAGCGCGAGGTCACTGACTACATGCTGGTCAGTTCGAAACGCGTGATCCGAAGACGGGAGAGCTCCTCAGGTATAACGCTGACGATGATGAGATTACACTGGGAGAGATGGTTAGGCAAGAGCGGTTTGGAGCGGGTATGGCGGATCAGAAGAACTTGGATGCACAGTTCGCCAAGGCTATCACTGGGAGATGGCAAGTTTGAGGTACGAGAGCGCTATCAACTCACCTGCTCCTTCTGACACTCATTATTCTATTCACAGAGCAACCTCGACTATATGGATGATAATGCGGAACGGCTCGGGCGGCAAAAGATGCGAACTGACGCAATGAAACGACAGTTTGCTGTCCACGGTGTGTTTGTATTCCCCATCCTCGCTTTTTGACATTCAACAATTTTTGTGATCAGACTACAAGCGCACTCAAAAAGCACTCGCAACATGCCAGTTCTGCTACGGTGAAGACGACTCGCCTCCAAAAGCACCTGTCGTTGCAATGGGCACACGAGTCTACCTCTCCTGCACCCTGAACGAGGAACTTCTAGACGGCCATTGTCTCATTGTGCCTATACAACACCACCTTACAATGCTGGAAGCTGATGATGACGTCTGGGATGAAGTGCGGGTGCGTAATCAGACCTAAACCAACCTCCACAGCCAGACTTACTGACGACACCCACAGAACTTCATGAAAAGCCTCATGCGCATGTTCGCCGAAGAAGACAAAGGCGTCATATTCTACGAAACCGTCATCTCCCTCAAACCCCAAAAACACACCTGCATCGAGTGCGTACCGCTCCCATGGGACAAGTACGACGACATCCCAGCGTACTTCAAGGAGAGCATCCTCGCTTCTGAAGCAGAATGGTCGACGCACAAGAAAGTTATCGATTTCTCCGCGAGGCCTGGGGGGTTCCGACGTGCGATGGTGCCGAATCTGCCGTATTTCATGGTGCAGTTTGATTATAAGGGGGAGAAGGGGTACGGACATGTTATTGAGGGTACCGGGGAGTCTGCGGCAACGGGTGAGGAGGATGGGGCGTTGGATGAAGGGGATAAAGGTGGTGGGGATTTTCCGAGGTGCGTCTTTGTTGTTCTGAACGTTCGTGGTCGGGTTTGAAGGTGCTTGCTTGCAGATATTTTGCGGGAGAGATTATTGGGAACGTGCTGGATCTTGAGCCACGTCGATGGATGCGACCGCGGAAGGTGGATTATCGGCATAACAAGGAACGGATACAGTTGTTAAAGAGGATGTATGAGAAGTATGATTGGACGGGGTTGATTGGGACGTCGTGACGGATTTGTTGAGATTGTCTGCTATTCGAGCTTGCGTTGCCTTGGGTCATCTAATCTGATGTATGTACCCGCACCTGCGATCTTCCATTCTTTCTTACGCAGCGTGAGGAATAGAGATCATTGTGAAGATCAACGCCGATAGGAAAAAGATCATGTCCTCTGAGAATCATAATCTCTTGAAAGGTCGATTTCCCCCTTCAAGTGAGTGTTGGTAATCTTGGCTTGTCGTTGTTGCGGCGCAGCGCGTTTTCCCTTCTTCTTGACGTTCGATAGTGCTTTCGGAATTGGCGTTTCTTCTGCAGTAGCCTGGAGACCCTCTGTAGTTCAGTCTGTCAGAAAATGAATAGGAGGGAATGGTTCCAGATACGTGCCTGCGTGCAACGCTTTGAGCAGGTCCACGTCATTTGGCACCTTGAGTGAATACCATAGATCGAAAAATTCTGCGAGAAAATGATCAGCAAGGGTCTATACCATGACAACATTTCTAGAACTCACCATTCTCGACTTGCTTCCTCCCACTCTCGTCATCTGGCTTAATTTCGTTCCAAAACACCATTCGCAGCTGACCGTCCTTTACTGTCCGCGTCACAAGAGCTTCCCCTTCTTTCTCGAGTTCCTCTATAGCTTGCGGCGCCTCTTTCCACGACTCTTTCAGTGCACGGTCAGGGATCCCACCACCTTTGCGTGTCTGCCGTTGTATTTCTGTGAGGAGTGCTGGCTTTATTGCGACAGCTGAACTCGTGCTACATCATGCGTCAGTACGATTCTGGGGAGCGTTGATGGGACATACTCGATACGAGTAGAGGTCAGTTTTTGTATCCCACCGAATACGATCGTGTGATTTGAATTTCTGCAGAAGGACCATGTCGGTGTCTAGCGGCGTGCCGGTGACAATTGCTATGTCCTGAATACGCATTGGATTATGCGTCGACTACATCTGAAGGTCAGTGTGAGCGCAACGGTCGAAGTTAAAGTATATTACCTTCAAATGGTCTATCGCGTAGACTAGCTGGGTGTTGGCATTGGTGCCTGTTCCCGTATCCGCCGGTTGCGAATAAACAGTAGCTAGAGAATAATGTTAGAGTGCTTGCAAAGGTACGAGCTCACTGAAGACGTGCTCGTCTTTGGTCTCTTCTTTTTAGTAGCGCTTGACGTCGCATCAGATGTAGATGCGAGTGATATGGGCTGCGAATGCCACGAAGTATAGTCCTGACGGTGAAGTACCTGCTTGAAAGCGTCAGTGTCATGAGACGACATGGTAAGTAGTGAAGAGCGCGTCAACATCAACACACAATGGCATCTCAAGCTGCAGCGACGACCATCCTCGACTCAGCTATCCTAAAGATTCTACATGCCCATAATTTCTCGAGGACGTCATCGCAGGCTTCTGTTGTCCTAGCCAGCCTCGTTTCTCGCTATCTTGTTCTACTTTCTTCTGTCTGTGGCAGCTACGCCGAGCTTTCGGGACGCTCGAAGTTGTCCATATGGGATGTGCTGAGCTCATTAGAAGACCTGGGCGTGAGCCTAGAAGAGCTGGACGAGTACTGCGGCTCTGAAGGAAAGGAGATTGGGAGGTATGCGAGCAGCAGCGCCAGGAGGCTCGACGATCTTTTAGAATTCAGAGGTACTGTTCTAGACCATCCAGTTCACCGTTGGTTTACGATTATCACAGGTTATCTTGAGGATGGCCACGAAGACGACGCGATACCTCTTCTCGACTTACTACCTTCGTCGAGCGACGAATTGTATCGCTCACCTACTCCAGATTTCCTGCCTCCCCTCCCAGATGATACATCGCGGCCACGAAGCGTATCGCCCAAGCCCACGGCTCACCCCGTGAAGCTAGAAAAGCCGCCGTCACTCATCCCACAGCATATAACATCTAACACCGTTTCCGACTACGTGACACAGGTCAACTACTCTGAGTCCGTTCTAGCTTCCACGCCGGAGTGGCACCTCCCCTCGCGTCCACCAGCTAGCGCGCTGTCCCGAAAACAACCATCTCACCTCCCAACCCCACAAACAGAACAAGCGCTCCTCCAAGCATACCACCATATCCTTACGCACCCCGTACCTCCTCCCGCCCCACCAAATCCCGCAAAACACAAAGTCGCAACGACTCTCCTCTCCCAAGTGCAAAATAACCCACGATGGAGCCTTCCAGATACACTATACGCTAACATCGCACCCTGCCCACCCCGGGTTGCAGTCATCGGCCCTTCCTACCCCGTCGCGCAATCGACTTTGGATGACATTCGCTCGGGCAAGGACGACAAAGAATCCGATAAAAAACCTATATTTCCCTCTGCACCACCCCGTCCTGTCTTTTCTTCCGACAAACTTGTGTTCCTGGCGTCACAGCAATCCTCGCGCTTACCAGATCTTGCACGTCAGATCTTGCCTGTAAGTCGTCCTTTCCATCCATTTCATATCATCTACTCACTACAATGCCGCCATAGCCCTCGGTTCTCGCACGTACTACACGTCTTGCACATCCACCCGTATTACAACGGGGCAACCAGAAACTTTATTATGGCGCTGGCGTCAGCGCGCCATGGAACTCGTCATCATCAGGTGCGCCTGCCGGAGCGAAAGGAAAAGACGATGGCATAGCCAACGGACGTGGAAACGAACCTCCAACGTTCACGTTACCCGACGCACAAATGTTTGCTACATGGGAGTTTGAGGTAAAAAGGCCGCAAGAGTCACTGGTGGTACGCAGAGGGAGAGGCGCACCTGGATCTGGAGTGACGCTTTCCATGGGGAGCCGGAAAGGGTAAAGAAATGGTCACTCGTAGAGCGCATACTTGTTCTGTGTTATACTACTTGAAGCTGCTACGAATGAAATCCTATTTTGCGAAGTATACTTATAGTGGGACTTTGGTGGGACTTGTATTATAACTACACGTTATGTTTGTGAATTTACTGTCACACGGCGAACCCGGTTACTTGGAACCGTGATACATTGAAGGGCAGGTCTCTACAACTTCGTTCCAGTACGATCTCCAACTTCGAATAGGCAGTCGCAGGCCTCAGGAGACGCCGATGCTGCTATCGCGACTAGCTTCACCCGCACGTAGTGCCGTGCGCACGAATCTGAGACATGGCTCTATGTGCATTCGCACACTGAGTACTATTGGCAATGGCAAGACCGACCAGGCGCTTCGCCGGTCATATCTCTATGGTGTGATGCCATATCTGAGTTATGATGTTTCAAGCTGAACGATGACCAGTGCCCACATCGTCCGACCGGATGCTGGACAAGTCTTTGAGCACACCATCCGACGTCATCATATATGACCTCGAGGACAGCGTACCGCCCTCCGCTTACGACAAAGAAAGCGCGAGACAAAGACTGAGTACGTTTCTCAGCGTACGTCGACGCGTTTGTATTCCTCATGATTTGAGCTTGAAACGTTGTTCGCCGGGTAGCGCACACCAGAGCACAAGCTCCCGCACCCTCAGCGCATAGCTGTCCGCCTAAACGACATCACCACGCCTTTCTTCGAGAATGATATCTCCGAAGTCGTAGGTGTTCTCTATTCCCACACATTGTATCCCGTAGCTGAGTTTGGCTTGCCTTTCATCCAGCTTAAATCACCATTCGTCCGAACACTCGTACTCCCCAAGATCCACTCCGTGCGCGACCTTCATCACGTCTCGCGAGCTATCCGAACTTCCCGGGCAGGAATATCAACTCCATTCCCTATACGCCTCGTTGCAAGTATCGAAAGCGCCAGAAGCGCGTGGAATCTTGGCGAGATCGCTTCTTGGACTTCGGAGTATGATCCAGATGTGGGTGGGAAGTTGGGTGCTTTGCTCGTGCGTTTCCTCTTTATCTGCTTTCATAGGTGCTGAGAGATCATATATTTGTAGTTCGCGGCAGAAGATTGTATTGTGGTTTTATACTTCGGCACAGGCGGAGAGCTTACTGTGATACAGATTGTGCGGATACCTCGGTGTTGCGGTCTTCTTCAAGACTTGAGCTTCTCTATGTACGGTCCCAAATTACGATTGCTGCGAAGGCTTTCGGATTGGATGCCATAGATATGGTGCGTAGTGTCACGACTACGTTGGGATATTCGCTAAAGTTGACCATGGCAGGTTTGTGTCAACTACAAGGGACCTCGATTATCTAAAAGACGAATGCGAAGATGGAAGGAGACTTGGTTTCAATGGAAAGGTCGATCTCGTCTAGTCTTGTCTTGAAACGCGTATTGAATGTGGCTATCATTTCTAGCAAGCCATTCACCCCACACAGGTTGATATCATTCAGTCGACGTTTGTTCCTTCAGAAAAAGGTGCGTCGTCTGCATCCAAGTCCAATCCTTAATGAACACCCTCGCACAGAAATTCTTCGCGCCGCCAAGATTCTCCACCAGATGGAAGTTGCGCATTCCTCTCAGAAGGGCGCCGTTGGCCTAGAGATGGAGGGGGGCGGTAAGGAGATGATTGATGCTCCGATGTTGAAGCAGGTAAGTTTGTGCAGTTTCCTGTTTTGTGCAGTGTCTGATATGTTGGCCAGGCTGAGAATATTATGCGAGTGGCCAAGGCAGCTGGCTTGCAAATACCTGTTATAGATTAGTTGCGAACGAATGTATTACGTTCAGTTCAAGTGAGTGAACTGCGAGTTCTCGACTACTTTCCTTGCTCGGGTAGCAAGTACCCAGTGAAATAAATTTAGGTACGCGTATGCTGTGGCGACCTTTGGATTCGTCTTATCGACCGCATCATACTCGGCAAGTTACCACCTGGAATCCATATCCCTCCTCATCGTCATCGGCCTATCGCATCTTCCGGGAAATTTGTCTTATGCCTCGATTAACCACTGATGACTCATGAGAAACCGACCACGTCGACATTCGCGGAGAATACCGCTCTACTCTTCCACTTATACCACCTCAAATAATCAGAAATCATATCGCATCACAGCACTGGCAGACCTTTGTCACTGCGAGCCTCAGCGACAAGACATTACACATCGATCCTCGAAAGGACCAGTCTTATCCTCCTTCGGCTCCTTTGCGTCAGGGAGGGGACTATCATCCAATGAACACTGGATCCACAATTGTCTGTTTTTCTGTCATTGCACTAACCATAATTTGCTGTTCCCTAGGAGGCAACAAACCATGCTCAAAATCTGCGATTCGTGACCGAAATATTCATGGAGACGGAACGGTCTTCCTAGTAGGCAATATCATACGAGTAGAGCCCCTGACATGTCCAACAAATTCCCACCTAGGAGTTCTTATCTCCCATTGGCCAATTATAACCCACGTCATGTGTCCTCGACTCCGATTATAATGAAAATGCGGCCCTCAAGTACTGGCTTCACGGGACTATCGTGCTCGATTGCACCTTGAGCACCCACCAGCACTATGTCAGACCTTCCCTCCGCTATCCACCCCGACATCCTCCCCCGCCTCGACCCTGAATACGTCGCAATCCACAATGAGCACATAGCACACCGTGTCCCCCCACACACGATCCCCTGGCACCCAGATATCAGGAAAGCACCCTACGTTCCTGGTGGCTCGCTGGTCAGGACAGTTGGAGCTGTCAAGGATATCAGTTTGCAGAACTGCAAGATTCGGGCTTTCATACCCGAAGGAACACCTCCTCCAGAAGGGTGGCCGGTATTGCTATACATCCATGGGGGTGAGCGCCAGTATCTGTTCGGGTGAATGTTAGCTGAGAGTCCTCAGGTGGATGGACGCTTGGGAGCATCGACACTCTGAACTCATTCATCTCGCGTCAATGCAAAGGTGAGGTCTGAAGACGAAAATTGGCATGAGCTGGTGCTGAACTGAGTTCAAGAGAACGACTGTGTCGCAGTTGCCTTGGACTATCGCTTGGCTCCCGAGAATCCATACCCTGCAGCGGTTGATGACACGGTTGATGCGTTGAAATTTATCTATTACAGTGGGAAGGCAGAGTTCAACGCAAACGTGAACAAGATCGCTGTCGGAGGGTCGTCCAGGTGCGTACCGTCTCACTCCGTATGATAAAGCACCAATTTTTGCCAGTGGCGGAAACTTGGCGGCAATCGCATCTCTCAAGGCGCAAGAACTCACGCCTCCCATCCCTATCATCTTCCAGCTATTGCTCGTGCCTGGTAAGCATGAAGAATTCGAAAGGACCATTGTCTCATCTGTTCGCAGTGATTGACAACACAGCATCCGTCACTGACGGACGATACCCATCTTGGAAAGAGCTCCAGAATACCGTTTGGCTGAATGAAGGGCGCATGATGTGGTTCCGCAACATGTACCTTCCTGATCCTGCGACCTGGACAGAGCCAGACAACTCGCCCATCTTCGCATCGGATGCTGCACTTGCCAAGGTCCCACCTGCATATATTGGCGTCTGTGAACTCGATCTTCTGCGTGATGAAGGAATCGCGTATGGCGAGAAGTTAAAATCGCTTGGGGTGAAAGTAGAGATGAAGGTATACCCGAGAGCATCGCATCAGATTCTTGGAATGGACGCTGCACTGAAGGTTGGGAAGCAGCAAGCTGATGACGCCATCAAGGCAGTGGGTGATGCTTTCAGAGCGGCATAGCATGGTGCCACAGAAGAGTGATAAATTGTGTACTTCTATATTGAATGCGAGGGCCAGCCAACTGCGGTATTCTCAGGCGACCTTGTAATTGGTCATGTGGAACTTGTCCAGGGTGTCATATGCGCCCTGAAGGATTCACAGCAACTAACTTGCCTACGGCCGGGTTACAGCACATTCATAATCATAATCATTGAAGAGATGATAGGGGGCCGATTCGCGCGCCAGCAGACTCCTGCTAATAATATTAAGTAGCGGCACAATGATTGTCGAATGATTGTCACAGCCGTACGACCCTCGACATATAGGAAGATGCACATGAAACCCGTCGTAGATCTGAGCGATATATTTCGTGACCCTGTCATTAATGGTATCCATGTTCATCGATTCATCCATGTATTCCATCTTAATTTGTCTGTCAAGAAACTGCGCGCTCTGCACACTATATGACACGTTGAAGGTCAAAAAGAGATAACGCTACCACTACTAAAGCAAAACAACGGTTCGATCGACTTATCAGGGGCTGGATCGTCCGGAATCTCGACTCTGCGGAATGCGACACGTCAAGATTGACTTCATGCATGACGTCCAAGGAAACAGGGAATATCGGATAAAAGCTTTGCAAAGGGTTGGGTATAAGCCGCTCGAAGTTGAATGATAGCAGTCACCTTCTCAGAACTCTAGACTGCAAATTTTACCAAAAGACATCGCTAAGATTTGACACCGAGTGGCTAACGAGAACAGCGCTCGAAAGATCCACCCATCACTACTGACGTCCCATCACCATTGAAATCATCGGTCCTGATGATGCCCTTCATGTTTGGCATGAGTACGATGGCGCTTGTTTGTGATCGGGAAAGAAAAGAGGCGACCGGTAAATTTGCGTTTAAGAATGTCTGACGGCGTCTCGTCAACCTTGCCGTCCTGCATGTGAGAATATGTAGCGTCTACGAATGGTCCAGATCGGAAGATTTAACAAGTCGTGTCCTTACGAGCAAGACGACAGCAGGTTTTGATGCATCGGGGTTGCTGATAAAATGGCGAAACTTGAGATAGAACAGGAGACGCCAGCATCGGAGGCATCTACTCAGGACCATGTATTCAATCTCAAGGGAAAATCAAATCAAATCACACAAAGCCAGAATCTCAGAGGCAATGAGATACTCTCCACAACTGTTACGCCCTTTGTGTGCCAGACGTGCCAGGAAATAGGGCCACACCACCCAATCTTTTAACCCTCCTCCAATCTTGAGATGCGGGGCGAGTTACAGAGGCGCCCGAAGTCCATCTCGGTGCGCTCGCAATGCCTCGAGGATCAACGGTTGTTCCTTCACATCTAGCACGATGCGGGCTATTACTTGTCAAGGACATCAGTTTGCAGAAGTGCAAGATTCGGACATTCATACCCGCTGGAACGGGTGGCCGGTATTGCTGTACATCCATGGGGGTGAGGACCGGTAATTAATCCAAGAGCACCTGCACCAGATTCTCGGGATGGACGCTCCACTGAAGGTTGGCAAGCAGCAAGCTGATGACGCCATAAAGACAGTAAGCGATCCTTTCAGAGCGGTGTAGGATGATTGTGTGAGCGGATCACTCTGAAAAGTGTGTGATAAACTGTGTACGATCACACCTTGACCATGAATGCGAGGCCACGGTACCGGTTACATAGGGTATTCCAAGACAACCTTGCAATTGGTCTTTCAGGGGACCCGTCCCTTGTCCGGAACAACATAGGATTGCATCTGTGCCCAGGGTCAAAAGTGACGGGTTTACGACAACTGAATTGTCTGCGACCAGGCTGCAGCAAGGAAGCAGAATCACCTTGGAACATTGCCTCGACCAACTGGGAAGCATTGTGCCACCGCCAAGTCAGGGGCAATCATCAGGATCTAACTACAAACGGTGCGAAAGTTCCATCAGTGATAAACCAGAGTACGGAGATGTCGAGTATTGGAAGTCATAACGTGAGAAAGACATTCCGCAGAACAGCCCTTCACTCGTGCCATGTCTGACACCAGCGGGATAAAATGTTTGAGGTTGAGAACCCAGATATTCAGGCGGCGCCCAGCCCCTACTATACAAATTTGATGCCCTGTCTTACGGTTCATATTATTAAGCTAAAATTGAAAGATAACGGCATGCATCCAGACATACATAGTCCACGATTTGGTCGACAGTCCAAGCGTCGAACATGTCCTCCCAAACCATTAAGATGCCAGTAGTCATGCCTCGACAGACGATGCGGGGCCATATCGACTGGGTAAATGGCGTTGTGCACCTGCCTGGCGGACGACGCGTCATCACGAGTTCAAGGGATGGCTCACTTCGATTGTGGGACCTAAAGAGTGGCGCAAAGATAGGAGAGGATTGGATAGATGCGGAGGAAGCAGCAATGTGGCCAATAGCATTGTCTCCAAACGGTAACACTGTTGCAAGCGGAAGTAGTGATGGGAAAGTAAGGTTGTGGGACGTCAAGACGGGGAAGGTCATCGCCAAATGGACCGGGCACGCATTATGGGGTATCAAGTCAGTGGGCTGGAGCGCAGATGGTGAACGAGTCTTGAGCGGATCCGAGAATGGGACGACGAGAGTGTGGGATATCAAGAGCGGCGAAATAGTCGTGACAATCAAGACAAAGCATGACTGGTTGGATGCAGCGATCTATTCACCCGACTCATCAAAAATTGCGACCTGCGGAGGGCTCGACACTGGAATAAAAATCTGGGATATCAAGACAGGGAAGCTGCTCGCCACGCTCGGACATGATCGAATGGTTTGGAGCTTGGCATGGACGTCGGATGAAAAGAAGCTTATTTCCGGGTCATCGGGCGGTTCGATTAGGATATTCGACACAGCCACTTGGACGCAGACTGCCCTACTCAAGGGTCGCACAGACTATGTTCGCGCCCTGGGTCATACAGACTGTGTCCGCGCCCTCTCCTTGTCTCAGAACGACCGCCTCCTTGCGAGTGCATCGTGGGACGCAACAGCGCGTCTCTGGAACCTCGACACCAACCTCCCGATCGGACCACCCTTCCGGCACGAAGACAAAGTGGAATGCGTCGCCTTTTCTGCTGATGGAGGCGTGCTAGTCACTGGTTGTCAGGATGAAAATGCGTACGCATGGGACATTCACGCCATCCTCAAAGAAGCTGGCCTTGAAGACCTACTGCCCATTACCAACGTGAGTATCAACATATCATGCACTCTCTCGCTGAAAATGTCTACTGTTAGACACCCAAAGATGCACTTGCATCATCCAATGGCGCTTTAGCTTCAAGAACAAAGCGCATTCCCCCCTCCTCGCCGGACATAGATGACATGTCATTTTTGGAAGTACGTTTCGTGGTTGTGAACCTTCTCAATGATTATAACATCGACATCCCAGGCTGATGCTACGCGATGCCCCCACCAACCCGGGGATGTCGATGATGAACTCCCACCGGAGTTTTTTGACAACATGCAAGCTGATGTTCATGTGCGTCATCAGCATCTTTATAATTAGTTCTTGTTCAGACCTCTACTCCCAGACCTCCGCAACGCCCGGTGCCCATTCCCCTGCCAGTGCATTCTTTGAGCACTTTTCCTCGCTCCTCCACCGCTCTCGACCCGGTAATGTTGAAGCGACTGAACTTCCGCAGCCCCGAAGTCCTTCGCGGTCACAACTTCTCGGTTGCCTGTCCTCACTCATCCACCGCTCTCGACCCGACGGTGATGAAGTAAACGAACGTCAGCAACCCCCCACGCCTTCGCGGTTGCGTCCACACGAGCTACTCGGTCGCATGTCCTCACTTTTTCCCCGCTCCCGACTCAATACCAACAAAGCGACCGAACCTCAACGACCATCAACACCTTCTAGTTCACGTTCAGATGCATTCATCGCTCGTCTGTCCTCACTTTTCCGTTCTCCATCTGACACGCATGAAGAAGCCAAACTCCTGCGACACTCGAGGCAAACCACCCGCACTCGTTATGTTGTCGAGGTTGCTGCAATGCGGGACAAGCGGGTATGTCTTTCCCCAGTGTGTCAATTTCTGGCGTCTGATGATTTTTACGCAGGCATTGGTTGTTGTTCGGCGGCCGGAACGACCGAGTGACAAGGCAAAACGCATCAAGAACCCAAAATGGTGGGTTCGTATTGTGTTGTTTCTCGTTTGTGTCTCTCCTGGCACCGACGGCGGACATCCCAGCACATAGGCAACCATTTTTTTTTCCATCTCGCATCTAGTTCTTTATTGAATTACAGTGTGACCCTGTTGTAGATACACCTCGTTACCCCCCATACATGATGTTAATGACCATCTATGTAGCCACTTAACTCGTCTGTCGAGGTATTTTGCACACCTGTCATAACTCGTGTTGAACTTTGTCACAAATAATGTGCTTCGTCATTGACAACATAGCATTGCATTTGTCACTGACTACTTGCTTGGAAGAAGTGCCAGAACACAGTTTGGCCCGGCGAAAGCGGAGGATGTGGTTCAGCAACATGTGTCCTGTGACCTGGACGGAGTCAAGCAACTCGCCCATCTTCGCATCGGATACTGCACTTTCTAAGGTCCCACATGCATGGATTGCCGTATGTGAGCTTGAGTCTCTTTGCGATGAAGGTATTGCGTACGGAGAGAACTTGGTTAAAGTCATTCAGGGAGAAGGCATAGATAAATGTGTACTCAAGAGCACTGGATCAGATCCTCAGGATGAACACTGCACTGAGGGTTGGCAAGCAGCAAACTAACGACGCTATCAGGGCAGGCTTTTGAAGCGGCATGGGATGATATGAGCGTGCCAGAGAACAGTGATAAATTGTAGACAATTACATTGAATGCGACAACCGACTCATGTGATGATACTCTAAGACCACCTTGCGATTGTTCTTTCGTAAATCCTGTTCTCCAGAATAAGAGAGGGTGACATGTTGATGCGCCCTGGGTCAAAAATGACGGGGTCACGACAAACTGACTTGTCTACTGCAATATTCATTGACGAGAGACGGGAAGCACAAGAGAATCACCTTGGAATAGTGCTTGAACCGACTAGGGGGATTCTGTTATTGTTGAGTCAGGG